TCCGAGAGGACGTACAGATCAAACAGAAAAGCAAAAAAAGGAAAAAAAAAAAGAATAAAAAGAAAAAAAAAAAAAAAAAAAAAAAAAAAGAAATAAAAGAAAAAAAAAAAAAAAAAAAAAAAGGCTCATAAAAATCGTATTTTGGTTTTCCCACTCCCAGGTTCGCATAGGGATTCAGATAATGTATTCACTAGGATCCGTTGATCCTCTTTCATGGAATTGATTTCTGTCTGGTTTACCCCACGGTGTGCGAGAACAAGAAGCTAACTGATTCGCCGTTGTGTGTACGACGGCATGCCTCCGCCAATGTAGGGCTGATATCAATAGTCTTGATCTTGTCGCATCGCTCTTGCTTGTCGCCCAGTGGGACAGTGTTGCTGACAATGATGCTGTAACTAGTTAGCCAAATCCTGCTCCGATGTTTGAACCTCCCAGGGTTCGTCAGATGTACATACCGCTTCAAACAGCTGCCATTGAGGTTCTCAATGGCCTTTCCGGAGAGGATACCGTGCACAACAATGGCGTTGACTTCGGTTGCACCGTGCTGCATAACGGTTTCGGCGGCCTTGGCAAGAGTACCGCAGGTGTCGGCCATATCGTCAACAATGATGGCAACCTTGTCCTTGACATTACCAACAAGGACCATGCGAGAGACTTCGTTGGGACGAGCACGTTCCTTGTGAATGAGAGCGAATTGCAGGTCGAGGCGATCGGCAATGGCAGTAGCACTAGAGTGAACCCGAATTAGTCCTTGCTTGAACTATCATCAAGATGTCTGTAACATCAGAGAATGAACTAACCGCTTAGCACCACCGGCATCGGGGCTGACAATCACACAGTTGCTGACGTCGAGGTTCTCGCGGATCCACTTGAGCATGCTGGGCTCGGCGTAAAGGTTATCGACAGGGACGTTGAAGAAGCCCTGGATTTGACTGGCGTGGAGATCCATAGTGATTACATGGTTGCAGCCAGCAGTCTGGAGCATGTTCGCCATGAGCTTGGCGGTGATGGGAGCACGGCTCTTGTCCTTCTTATCTTGGCGGGCGTAGGGGAAGTTGGGGATGACAGCTGTGATACGGCGGGCCGAAGCAGTCTTGCAGGCGTTGATCATGATGAGGAGTTCCATGAGTCCATCGTTGATATCGTTAGGTTTCGTCGATTGCAGAATGAAGACTGTATGTAACGAAGGTATATTAGGTGGGGGTGGTTCCCTTGATGTCACCGAGGTGGGATGCTCGTACCATCTTCGTCGCGCACACTTTCACCAATTGTGACACTGGTTTCTTGGTTGGAGTATTGCAGCACCATGATCTTGGTCAACTCAATGCCCAGACTAGCAATCGAGTTAGCTTGCCCAGGTCCTCCTTGGGTGCGGAGTGACATACCGGTCAGCCACCAGGTTGGCGAGCTCCGGGTGACTGTTACCAGTCAGGAGCTTAATAGAGTTGGTCGACATGATTCCTGATAATGTCTTTATTCAAGGCAGCATAAACACCAAGATGAAACCGTCGGCTCAAAAAATCGTTTTCCTCCGCGCGGCCCCGCATGACTTTTTTCTACAGTCCCGTGACGGGCTCACCGCCTGATGATATAAGCCTGCATTACCTCCACGGGTCTGAGCTGATTGATCAACTACGAAGTACATAGGGTAGTTGAGGTTACAAGAATTTCAACGAAATGAAAGAAAAATAATAGAATAACAGAATGCAGCAATCTAGATACACATAAAGAGAGCTCAGAAAATGATCAGGTTGACCTGCACTTCAACCAAAATCTTTTCGAGCCTCCGTTTTCATCTCCTCATAACAAGAATCACCTTCTCTTCATCCCCAGTAAAAAGAAATATTCATAGAAAAGAAACACAAGAATAAAAAAAATGACAGGAACGCCATTGAATGCTTTGCTTAGGCCTAGATGTCGCATCCGTGCCAGAAAACACAGAATTGCTTTAAGCAAACCCGAAGTACTCGCTACCAGCAGTCATGGCCGTGTAAAGGCGAGCACGGAGGTCTTCGTAACTTTCATACTCGGGGAGATCAAGCTCTGGAAACAACAGTTAGTAAAGTGTTCTTATATCAGGATTGGTTGGCAAAACTCACGATTGAAACAAGTGTGCGAACTAGGAAGACGGTCCTTGTTGCCATAGTCGCGATGGATGTTGAATTTGCTGACACCATTCATACCCTCAAGCTCCTTGAAGCCATTAAGAGGGACCTTACTGGTTCCAGTGACGAACTGTAGAAGCTTGGCGCGCTCTTCCTTGTCGAAGGAGCGGACAGCACGCCAGAACCATTGGATCTGTGGGGACGAGGCAGAGTAGTTGTGGTAGTCAGTGTGGTTCTTCCACTCGTCCACATCAATCTCAGGAAGACCGGAGATCAACAGTTCCAGCTCTTGCTCGTTGAAGATAGAGATCAGATCAGGGGGAATGATTTCGTGGAAACCCTTGAGGAAGTTGTCCAGCTGCTCTCGGACAGATCCGACAAGGCGGTATTCAACAACACGTTGAACGTACTCCTCCTTGTTCTCTTGGGTGACGGGAATGTCATGACCATTGGGCTTGAGGTCAATCACTTGCTTCTCGCCGAAGTCGTCGGTTTCAATGGCAAATGTCTCAGTGATGATGTCAGTGATGTCGTTCTCCAACATCCACAAGAGCGATTTGTAGTAGTCCAAATCGAGCGTCTCCATGTCCTTGATAGAAACGGAACGCCCAAGAATGTTTTTGTAGACTGCTCGGCTGAAGTGACAGTCGAGAACGCGGCCTTCGTACAAAGCCTTACCAATGATGCGACCGATGAACTTGAAGAACAGGTGATGTTCCGCGTTGACGCCACTGAGACGGTTGGGGTGGAAGGTAGTCCGGTCGGCAGCCACAGGAATGAAGAGAGCGTAGTTGGGATTGAACATGCCTCTGGCAAGAACTTGGAACCATTCTCTGGTGACACCACCGGCATCAACACCCTCCTCGCCGTGGAATCGAACGTTCAGTTTGCCATGTTTCAACTCCTCTGCGCTCTTGAAGTAGAGAGACTTGAAGGAGTCGAGGAAAACCTCGGACCTACGAACAGAGAGCTGGAGTGGAGGGTGGGGATGGCGAGGCTCAGCACCACGCGAATGGACACGACGGGTGAAGTAGTTGCGCTTGTTATCGAATTCCAGCACCTTGGGGTTCTTGACGAGCAGGGAGAAGGTACCGCTCATCAGGCGGGGATTTTGGCGTACAAGCTCATTGAGAATCTTGCGATGTTCCTCGGTGAACTTGAAGAAAAGATTCTCCATGCTAATACCAGTTTCAGCCGGGGCGCTGGTCACAGACAACTCACGGCTGCCGCGAGACAGGGGTTGGTCCTTCAGAGTTGTGTTCTTGCAGACAACCATCAAGGCCTCGGTTAGGGGAAGAAGAATGGTGGCCACGTTCAGCATGTTCTCCTTCTGGCGAATAGCGGTTAGGCAGTCACTCAGCTTAGTCCAAAGTGGACCGAATGTGGCACTCTCATAAAGCCTCTTGAGCACGTCCTCTTTGGGAGCGGACTCTGGCTCAGTGCCCTTAGTCTTGTCCACTCGGGCTGGGTCAAACAAATAATCCAGTGCCGTCAGAACACGCAAAAGCTTAGCCTGGTCTGAGCTGGCGGGGGAGAACTTGGCGAGAGCAAGACCTTGCATATCGGTACCCGTCTTGGCCTGGTTGATGTGAGGAAGAAGGTCCTCTAGATCCTGCAAGATAGTATCACTGAGAGCCTGGGCCTGGGCGACGAGTTCGTTGCCGATAACGTCGCGAGCCCCCGGGACGGCGGAAAGGTTGTTGATAGTAGAAAGGGTATCGCGGAAAGTTTTTCCATTACACTCGCGAGCGGCGAGAATATGGACAACAAGGCGGAAATTGTGGTCCGGAACCACGGGGGGCTCGATGGTACGCTTTTTGCGCTTCTCCTCCTCGGCGGGCTCCTTTGGATCAGTGGGCTTCTTGTTCTCGGCAGATGCGTCCTCCGTCTCAGTAGTCTCTTGGCCTGTGGTCTCAGAGGTCTCCACGGTAGGCAGCGGGGCATCAGTCATGGAGGTGTCCATGGCCGTATCGGGAGCTTCGGAAGGCTGATCATTATTTTCTTCGACTTCAGCACCCTCAGGCTTTTTACCCTTGTCGGCCTCTTCTTGGCGCTCCTTTTCACGACGAAGGAGAACAGTCAGTGGCTGAGTGATGCTGCTGAGAAGGCTAGACAGTTGCTCCATGCAGTTCGGACTCTCCATAATCAACTTGCGATCTAGAAGAGAGAGTAGTGCATTCAAGGCATACTTGTTGGCTCGGTTTTCTTTGCCCTTGCCCTTGCGCATTCCCTTGAGCTTGGCAGCCGAAGAGGAGTCATGCTCCGTTAGGAAGAACCAGGCAATGTGAGGGTTGAACTGTGACAGGAAAGACAGTGTGTTGAGACATTGCTGGATAACCATGATTGGGGTGATTTCGCTGCTGACGCTGGAAGCAGATTGAAGAGGCATATTTCGCTTGTTAGAAAGTGGTGTTTTCTGGGACCCAGAGGATTTTGCACGCAAGGAAAGATGGGAGAAGCTGCGCTCAATTGCAGTGGAATCAACGCTACCATCCTGCAAAACTGAGAGCAGAAGGCTGATGACTTCGCTTCGGTTCTGACGGTTCTCACAGACATTGTGAAGGATGTCGTTCAGCTGGTGACGAGCGTTGCCATGGAGAGGCATGAACATCAAACGGAGAAGAGTTGCAATGCCAGCCTTGTCAAGCATCTGAACAATTTGGCGTCGTTCTTTCTTCGACGATTGGCCTCCAGCAGGCTCGGATCGTCTTGGGTCAACAGCACTCATATCACCAAATTGAGCCATGCGGCGACCGGTGCCACCTACAGCACGAGCTTCAGTCAAGTACTCTGGGCCCAAAGTTGCAAGAACATCCTCCGGTTGGTCGGCTAGAACGGCCTGGCGCAAACTTGGGTCAAGAGTGGCCAGGAAGCTCGCCGCATCCATTTCTTCTGCATGTGCTGGAGGACCTGCGCTAGGCCCGCCAGCAGAGGCTGCCTGCCGCCGAGCAACTTCACGTTCACGTCGACGTCTATCGGCTGCTTCCTGTTGAAGTAGCTCTTCCCGAATTTCAGCAGGCAAGGCTTCGAGGAACTCTTGGTTGATCTCGGTAGGCTCCTCGCCCGCAGCAGCAGCTTGAGAGCGTTGCTCGGCAACTTGGGTCATAATGACCTCCTCTCGAAGCTCCTCTGGAAGGGCGGCCAGATATTCTGGGTCAATGTCAAGATCAGTGATATCGACTTGTCGGCCTCTGATGTCTGTGTGGATCCGAGGAGCTGGTTCAGCTGGTTCAGCCTGTGATTGAGCTGATGGACCACCGGCCTCGGATGCAGTGTCATCTTCTGGGACGTCTCCCATGGGCTCATCGGCCCCGGCAGCCTGACGTTCAGCTTCCTGCTGCTCTTTTTCTGCCTGAAGTCTAGCCTTTTCCTCTTCTTCTTTCTGCTTGCGCTCCTTCTCCTTCTCCTCGGCGGCAATGCGTTCCACGCGTTCCTTCTCGGCACGCTCGGCATTTTGGCGGGCACGTTCCTCGGCAGCTTCCTTCAGACGTTTCTTCTCCTCCTCGATGGCAGGGGGGAGTAGATTCTTGAGCAAAGAGGTGAGAACACGCTGAGCACGCTCGATGTATTGGTTACTGTAGAGAATGCGAGCCTCTTCTTGCCAGCGGTTCTTCGTAGTCGAAAGACCGAACTTCACGGCGGTATGCGGGTCGTCACCTCGAGTACGGGTTGGAGGGCCTGATCCTCGAGGAATTCCAAGCATATCCTGAATGCGACCGGGTAAGACTGTGTGTCGATCAACATGGACGTGGATACCGTCGGGGCGTGTGACAACGCCGAATCCTGGTGCGGCCTGTCCACCGATAGCTTGCATAATGGCATTCATGAAGCTGATGGGGCTATCCATTGCCACAACCCGACTACCGTTGGAGAGATCCATAGCTTGGGGCCAACCGGCGATGGGGTCAATGGCGGCTCCGCCTGGTGGAGCAGCGGCATCTGGGCGATCAGAACGAACCAGCAGCGGGTTGGTACCATCATCGTTTCCGCCACGCGATGGCAGCTGAGTACGGTGAACACGGTGATAGGGTTGAATGGGAACAAGACCAGCAGGGCGACCAGGCATAATTTCTGTGACAGCAGCCCAAGCTGGAGCAGTACCACGGAAACGAGAGTGGGCATGGCCTCGGGGCATGGGGGGTTCCTCGCCTTCCCATCCCCATGGCTCAAGGAGATCCTCATCTTGAATCCTGTCAGCGATGCAGTGGGTTTAGCATATACAATTCAACTTACCGTCCATATCCCCGAATGATCCTTCTCCCTCATCAAAGTCGTCCATATCTTCCTCGAGTTCATCCATTTCATCTTCGTCGTCAACTAAATTAGACGTTAGCGAGGGGGACTGAGAGTATCTTGCGAGGTTTCGAAGTGACGAACCGTCTTCATCTAGATCATCGAGAATTTCTTCATGGATATCACCACCAAGAGCATCACCATGAAGGTCAACACCAGCTGGGCCACTTTCGCCAAGGGCACGGAAGAGGTCACCGATATGATGATCTCCGCCATGGTGGCGACTGGTTTGTCTGATATCGGCCATTTCGTCCTCGAATTGATTCATCATCTCGACTTCCTCTTCGTCTTCGGTGACTTCCTCACTTTCCCATTCGCCTTCGTCACCATCTTCAAGACTTTCGTTGTCACGATCACCACCAATTTCTCCAGAATACATGTCATCGTCCATGTCTAGATGATCGTGTTCCTCGTCGTCGTCATCGTCGTCTTCATCTTCGTCCAGAATGACTTCGACTGCATCACCAGAAAGACCCTCGATGGGGCCCATGCCGTCGTCATCTTCGTCGCTGACGACCTCGCCATCGTCTTCGGGAACATCCTCGTCATCATACATTTCTTCGTCGTATTCGTCGTCGTACATTTCATCATCCTCTCCTTCCGACTCCTCCGTGCTGCTCTCTTCTTCATCGTGACGAGGTTCGAGCAATCCAAGAGTGGAATGACGGAAGAGATCAGGGGTCTCTTCGCGTTCATCTTCAATTCCGGAGACAGAGGATGCCGAGGAGATCTCATCATGCTCGTTGTCGCCTGGAGTTGAGATGTCGGAATTCTCACTGAGAAGAACGGCAGTTTGGGTAAGTTTGTTCAAAGGACGAAGAATATACTTGATAACGCGCTTTGCTGACGGGAAGTTCAGGTCAACATCAGCAACAGATGCGGTGAGCGTGGGAATGAATAGCTTCTCAAACATAGTCTTCGCAAGTTGCCGGGTTGATGTTGGGAAGCCTGCGTCGTTGGTAAAGGAGTAGCCACTGAGCATCTTATCGAACAAATCCGCAAGTGACATGAGCTTGGAGTATTTGACATCCAGAGGCTCGCTGGAAGCCATGGCATCCTTGTAAGACCTGAGGGCATGCTCGAGAACGAATCGGCGGACGAATGCAAGTTCGGGCTCATCCTCCTCGTGCTTTGGTTCGGTGCGGCGTCTACCGACACCGCCAAACTCGCCAGTCTTGGTGCAAAGAGCAACAAGCACTTGCATAGTCCATGTTGAGGTGATGCTACGCTTCTTGAATGCTAGAGACTCATCATGATCCATAGTTCCAAGGGGAACAAGGACGTTCAACAAATAGTTGAGAACACCAGAGCGTGGCTTGGAAGGGGTGGTGGCAAGCGGATCAGCCTTGCGAGAGAAGTTGATGAACTCGACTTTAGTACGATTGTAAGAGGAAAGAAGTTCAGTCAGGCACTGGAGAAGCAAGCAGCGGTAGATGTAGATGGGGTGATCATCTGCCTTGAACTGGGGCTTTTCTGCCTTCTTGGAACCTTGGGCAGTCTGTCCATCAGCGGCACTTGAGGCTGGGGGAGTAGGCTCATCCATTGTCATTTCAACATCGGATTGTGCACTGGACTGGTCCGTCGTCTTATCAAAGTCAAGGCTCGGCTCTTTGTCATCGACCTCCTTGTAGGATAGAAGCTCCGAAAGCAGATAATGAATGACACCGTCTGGGTTCTCAACAATGGGGGCTTTCATTTCGGCAGCCTTGGGTTGAGCTTTGGTCTTGTCCTCGCTGCTCTGTTCCTTTTCATCGGGCGCGGACACCTCAGCTGTGGTAGTTGACTCTGGATTGCCGTCGTCCGCAGTGGCTTCGGGCTTGGCTGCGCGCCGAGCCTGGCGATCCTTGTCTGCCTTCAGTCCAAGAACTTGTGGGCGCTGGTGGGTGTCATATCGGAGCAAGCGAAGCTTTTCATTAGTCACTTCCACGAAGATATCGGGGGCTCGGAGCACGAGATGATACATTTGGCGAATGTAGCCATTGGTGTCAATCTGGCGAGAAGTCTTGGACTCGAAACTGGCAACAATCTCACTCCTCATGATCTGGCGAATAGTTGCTTCGTCTTCGACAATGTGACGAAGAATCAGCATGAAAGCACTTCGCATTTTGTCATTGGCCGCACTGGAGAGCTGCTTCACCATCACGAACAACCGTTGGAGATTGCGCTTTTCGCCAAAGCGAGCGGCAATGCTACGCTGACGAGTAAGGATGACAAGAACACGACACATGGAGAGCGCCAGAGTGTCATCTTTGCCCACTCTGGGGAGAATCTCGACTAAAGCTTCAAATAGTTGGGTCTTCTCGTCGAGAGAGACAAGAGGATCTCCGAGGCGAGCCGGCTCGTCGGCACTAGGAGTAGGCCCGTCGAGGGTTGGTGGGGTCCATTCAATCTTGGGTGGTTGGCAATCATCAGAAAGCAATTTCTCAAGGATAAGTAGAACATGTCCAACCCAAGGGAAGGTCTCTTGGTCAGCTTTTTCGGGCGGAGGCAACTTGATGAACCCTAGGAAAGTCGAAAAGCAGTCCTTCAGCTCTTCGAGGGTTGCATCGTACATTTCACGATCTTGGAGAGTCAGCGCAAGAATATGAGCATAGGCAGCAATCTTCTTTCCGGCTGTCTGGAAATTCTCCATTTGCAAAGAGACAAGCGACTGAACAAGAGTCTCTCCAATGTCACGGCGGAATGTTTCCGGTTCGTGGTGCCTCTTGATAGCTGACGTGATCAAGTCGGACAGTTCGAAAGAGACATCATGGTGTTCATTCAAGATATCCAGGGCCCGCTCAATCAGGTTCTCTCGAATGTCGGCCCTCTTCTCATCGAGGTCTTCCACCGTTGCCATCACTCGGTGTTTACCAGGTTCACCCTGTGGTGGTCTCGCAAGATCAGATGAGCTTGATTCGATGTTTGAGTTGTCAGGCTGGGCTTGACTGGGGGATTCGCTTCGGTCATCACTATCCATATCCTCGTTGTCGTTGAGAACATTATCTAAGGCTCTGGCCAACCCATCATGCATGTCAGAGTCCCCGTCTCCGCCAGCCTGGTCTGGTTGCATCACCTGACCAATGGGATTTCCGGTAGCCGAAGACAGAAGCATCGCCAGGGTGCTGCGGTCCAGCGCACCGGTGGCAGAATTGACGAAGGGCGTGCCCTCAATGCCTGTATCTTCAAGGGAATCCATGCCTGAGGCGGGTTCCGGCACACCGGTCTGGAGATCGTTGGCCGGGGGAGGAGCTCTGGGTGGGGCTCGCAGCCACTCCTGTGCCCTGCAGTATTCCTCAGCCGCGTTCAAAACGTTGTTGCAACGATAAAGGGCTTCTTTGTTCAGATCAACATCTTTGAGTCCCTTCTCGAGTAGAGAAGCGGCCCGCTCTTTGTGGACAGTAAATGGTTTTTTGGGCCCATCCCGCAGGAGAGAAGGGGGGTCCGATCTTTTAGCAGCGCCAGTCTCGTATTCACCGTCTAAGGTACAACGTAAGATGTCTATCAATAATCTGACAATGGTGCTCGAAGATTGAATGGCAAAGTCCGAGTTCCACAAGTCTTGAGCCATGGGTAAGATTTCCATGCGGAGTTCCAACAAGAATTGGCCAGGCATGAAATAATCAGAACGTTCACGGTCACGCTCATTGTGCGAGGTCAATGCTTGTGTCTGGCTTGAGTCCACGATGAATTTGCCGCACGTGAGATCTGCGAAGAGACCAAGAATTATCTTGATTCCACCATAGCCAGATGCAAGCCGATCAGCAAGCTCCTTATCTTGATCGGGGATGGACTCGGCAGATGGGAGAGACCGAATATCGTTCAAGAAGACGTCACAAGTATCCTTCAACAATTTCAGCCCATCGATCTTCTTGAATGCCAGCAGAACCGTAGTCAAGTAGTTTGCGTTGGGGCGATCTGGTGAGACCTCATAGAGGAGGTGCGAGAAGTGGGAAAGAATGACAATCAGATAGGCAAAGCGATGCTTGGGGCTGTCACTGGAATTAGCAGGGGTGAACTGCAACTGCCGAAGGACACCTTCAGCGATAGCATCTGCAACTAAAGCAGCATTTTGCTTCTGCTTCGCAAGAGGATCAATGCGTCTCTTGCCAATAATGCCAAGGCCAAGATTGTGCAAAAATCCAGTGATCGTGGTTGGAAGAGCACTCAGGAGATATCGAAGAGTCCGAGCATTTTTGAAGGCAGGATTCTCCTCATCCACGGGGGTATCGGCTTCCTTTGGTTCCTGGCCTGCTTTGACCTGGGCAGCGTCAGGTGCCCCGGAGCTTTCCCCTTGAGGGTGAGCGCCCGGCGTTGAGGATGGTTCACGAGGAACCTCTGCGGTAGGTCCAGTCTTTGGCTTTCCAGGGTCTTGCTTCTCGGCGGAGGCCTGTGTAGCTTTGAGCCACTGCTCGGGGATGTTCTTCTCGAGCAAGATACCTTCCCAGACGCACGAAGCGAGGAGGTTGCTCAATGACTCAATCAAGGTGCAGTATTGGTCCGCAAGGTTGACCTGGCCGAAAATAGATGTTGACTGACCAGGTCGAGTTTGATACAATGGCAATGCAAAAACCTCACGAAGTACATCTGTAAGAAGCAAAACTGCGTTGAGGTGTCTCAAAAAGAATGTGCCAGAGCTAACGGCAGGAGTAGCCTCAATGGCGGGCATTTTCGAGTCTGCTGGTTTGATAAACTCGGTAAAGAAGCCTGTCTTTGTCGGTGCATGGAAGAATGGTGAGAGATTGTTCAACGCATCCTGGGCTCGCTTGACAAGAGACGGAACAATGAGATGAGGCTTTGTTTCCGCCATCATGTGAACGAGCACAGTGATTTCCTGGTTCGCGTTGGTGCTGTGGAAATCGAAGGATAAGCTTTGGAGAGTTGCAAGATCCAAAATGAACTCCGCGCCGCCGGCTTGAATGAAAGAACCGCAATTAGTCTGGTTCTCGAAGAAAGCCCCAAGGAAACGTAAGGCGGGGAACAGGTAGTCCGTAGCCGACAATCCATGGTCATCCGTGTCCTTAGGCTCAAAATCGGGACCTGGGGCAGGGAGAACATGATCTAGGTGACCAACGACAAGCGTTCCGCCGTTGGGGAGAGCGTTGTTCGCGTTGAGGTCGGGTACACCAATTGATGAAGGATCATCTATGGATGCTGCAGCATCTGTGCCGATTTCGCGGAACAGAGAATAGATATCTCCAGAGAGATTGGTTTTACCATCGCCATCTTGGGTCCACATTTTAGTGCCCATGCCCTGCTCCCATGCCTTGATCCGACCAAGAACGTTAACACGGGCAGCCATCACAAGCACGGCAGACATGATGGAGGTCTTCAGTGCTGGATGGTGTCGCACAAGCTCATCGAACGTCGTACCCAAAGAGCGTACCAGTTCAGGGTCATCTTTCAGGGCTTTGACGTGCTCTGGGTTTTCGAAGATCTCAAAGAAGCATTCCAGGGCGTCAGAGGACTGGAAAAGATCCAGACCGGAGGAGTTCAAACAAATTGCTCCGAACGCCGAAGGAATGCAAGCAAGGGCATCACCTGCAGCCATGATCCCGGGCGCGAGAGGGGTATTTTTGGCTCTAATGAGATAATACTCGCGGCCTTTCTTCTTCCCTTCGGATTCAGAGGCGGCTTCGGCAGATGGCGGCTGAGAGGCAGATTCCTCTTGCGAGCCGGCGCCTTCGGGCTCTACTGCTGGCGGCTTTTCTGAGACCTGGAGTTCACGGCCCATAACGGCAGCTAGAAGACTCTTGCTAAGGCCAGCTTCGGCAATGACAGCATAGCTGGTCGGCTCGTTGTGGATGAAGCTGCTGAGAATGTTGACGGCATTACTCCAGACATGCGATCCGAACACACGAGCATTCTCAAATACCAGGCGGAGAGAAGTGAGCAGCTGAGGTGAATCGATCAGGTTTCGTAAAACACGGTCGAAGCCTCCACCATTATGCTGCATGATGTGGTTGACGAAGCGGAACATCCAACGCAAAGTCTGTTGTTGGAAGTAAGGAATTTGGTAGTCGACGGAGGGATTCTTGTATTGTGCAGGGAATCCTTCTCCGCGGTTGACTTTCTCAAAGGCGGTCTTAGTCTCATTGTCAATCAGATCAGACATGGCATCGAAGCCCTTTGCTGCGGTAAGTGTTCCTAATGCGTCCCGAACGGCATGCACAAATGTATCGAGGAATTCCATAACACGAGAGTAGACCCGGCGAGATTTACTGGTCCTCAAGTTCAAGATATCAACAAACATGGGGATCAGGCCAGCCGCAACAAGGGTCTCCGGGGTACGTGTGCTAGAGCTTGGTAGAGTACGCAAGAGCGCAAGCAAACTATCCCGCCACTCGTCTTGATAGGCCTCGTCTGCATCCTCATTCTCCGAGCCCAGTTCATTGACCATTTTACGGGTCAGGAACATGAGAACTCCGTGGTTGACATTGACACTCAAGGCTGCACAAACATCTACAGCTCGAGACTTGTGCTTAGCCAAAGCATCCAGCGTCTGGAGGGCAAATGTCTGTACTGGTCGAGAGACTTCCAAGTCGCCACTAGCGCCGAGATGGACTAGTTCAGCAAGCTGGAACGCAAGCTGAAGACGCTTTGGCTGCTCCAGGTCAGATTGGAGAACTTTCTGTTGGAATGAGCTCTCCGGCTGAACATGAGCCAAGTTGGTCACTGCCAGAGCCTTGATGGAAAGGATCTGTTCTCTAGTGGCGCGTGAACCAGTAAGGGCCTTGGCAACTCGCAGCTTGTGAAGTAACTCGTATTTCGACTCAAGGGGAAGATGAGGCAGATTGACCTCGAGGAGAGCCTCCAAACTCGCAGAAGAAACCTTGGAGTGGGAAATTTCCAGAATCGTGCCACCGCGCGATGCTTCTCCAGACTTTGAGGGAGTTGCGAGTGGGGAGTCGTCTGCATTCGAGCCACGACCTAAGTTAGAAGCAGGGTGGGTCGCAGTTCGTCGCAGTGGAGTCGGAGTGGTTGGAGCATGCAAGCTCTGCTCCGGCTGGCCATGTTCGGAGGTCGTTCTCGCTTGGTCGGGGCCTGAGGGGTAATAGAGAACACGAACATCGCCCCATTCCTCCCAGCCGTCTGAATCACGCACCAGAGAGATGAGCTCATTCGCATTGATTTTGGTCTGTATTGTCTGGTCTTTGCCCTGGGTAGAGACTGCTGGAGAAGAGGCAAAGGGCGCTTTGCTGGCGATAACAGGGCGTGGGAATGGTGCTGCGATTTTTTGCAACTTCTCCAAGTCAAGAGCATAATGGGATTGCAAAACGGACTGTTGATGGGCGCCACGCTGACGAGAGTGGTAGCGTTGGGCCAAGCACAGAGCCAGGCGCAATGTGGACTGGAGCAGAGACAGTGAGGTTGTGTTCAGAAGATCGCCGAGACGATCACTGCTGCTGTAGAGGCTACGGTTGCCGCACTTCTCAAGTAAGAGACGAGAGAAGTCTAAAATGGCTTCCAGAAGTTCTCGGTCTCCATCCGGTCCATATCCTAGAGTGTTCAACTTGGCATCAATGCCCTCTACAGGCTTCGTGGCTTCGTCGGCCAAGTATGACTGCTCCAGAACGCTTCGGGTGAGTAATTGAGTCTGAGGACCAGTGTTCAAGAAGTATTTGTCGATGGCCGAGGCCAGGATCTCGTCGAACCGGTCCAAGACATTGATCCAGTGGTAAAGATCACCGCGTGGAAACGGCCATAGCTTGGGGAATGTGCTGAGGAGGGATGGGAGCTCTGGAACTGGAACACTAGTAATGCGTCCTATGAATTCTTGTAGGAAAGGTGACTATAGTGGGAGGAAAAATTTTTTTAGTTGGGTTGCACCTCAGGCTGGGTGGAGGATAACTCACGATTGTAGCCTCATGCTTTTGGCTGGCTACCTTCTTAATTCTCCCCATGATCACGACCGATAGACCAGTCAAACATGAGGGAGTTGAGAGATTCCGGGAGTCTTGTCTCCTCGGGGTGGAGTGGGGAGGTCGTGGAGACCAGTGTCGCGGAGAAAGCGTGAAGATGCCTTATGACGTTTTGGTGCTGCTTTCCGGCTTCAATGAAAAAACCGAATCAACTCAACGTGATCAACGCCTGAAGAACGTGACGTTACTCAGGAATTTCAAGTCAAAGAGATGCAAGGTCAAATTCAACTGTCAATCGTGAAGACAATGGGAGTGCTCGAAAGTGAGAGCTGATGAAAGGTTGTCGGTCAAGAAGCTACCAGGGAAAACGGGTGCAGGTCGTTTGCCCTAGAGTTGTTTGACACACGGGTTAAAGAGGAGGATGTAAGGTGAAGGTGACGGGGAGTTGATAGAAAGGAAGGGAATAATGACGATAGAAAGGAAGGTTCTTGAACGAAGCTGGTCTTGCCGGCAGTAGCAGGGCGGAGCGGCGGCTGATTTCCCCCCGCTAGGCCTCAGGCATCACTCCGCTCCTGTTTTTTTTATCCTGTTTTTCCGCTCCCTGTTGTAGTGAGGGTTGCTTCGCTTTTGACTAAATACTCCTAGAAGTAGGAAAGTTATCTTGGCTCCTTGTTTCACTCAGCCAGCTTACACTCAGAGCCAGGCTCTCCCAACAATCTTCTGATTCTCAATAGTCCATTGGTCACGTGATTTGTCTCAATCCCCCTGTAGCTTGTGATAAGTGGCATGTAGTACTCTATATCAGGCCCTTGATTTCAGTTTCTACCTCGTTTCTGGTGGGGAGATACGGTATCTAGCTCTGTCTCCATCGTGTGCGGTTGTCTCCAGTGTGCAGATCTGGGGGGGCCTAGAGATATATAATGGGTTCGGGCACGATCTGGGAGTGGCTTAGTTTCTTAGATATACGCTCAGTGTTCAAGTGGTAGTCCAACTCTGTATAAGATGCTCAATTAACCGACTGTATCCACCGGTAATTCTCAAACCGAGCAATTATAACATAGAAAAGTTCAAAATTGCTCCCACGGCAACCTTAAAGTATGATTGGAGTATCCATTTGATGTTGCTGTTATACCTTGGGCGCGACCGCGATCTTCTGATAACTCTGGGTACGCCATTAAACCTACTAGGTACCTATACAATGCCCCCGGATATAGATGACATTGAGAACTCCAGGAATCACCGTCACTTCCAAGGTTCCGTGTATCCATGGATTCTAAAGTTGTACAAGGATCTCCCAGGCCAGTGGTAGAAAGTGAGATATTACTGTTTTTTGCCCCTAGGACTCCCGCTTATCCTAAAATTTAGAACCCAGGCACTTAAATATCTATCCTATGGCGTGAGTATGGGATATTCATACTTACTTAAGTAAGTAGTAACCAAAGACTTCAGGAGAATATGGTCTCAGAAAGACAATAACCTTGGAACGTAGCCATGAACAGACCAAATGTCCAGTGCTTGATGGTGATAGAGGTTACAGACACCATATGATAGATTCTCACTTTCTGGTCACGGCAGATTTAATCTTGGAAGACTACCCTAGCTTGCTTATCAAGGAAGGCCCCTCAACACACGCCATGACCCTTGCACTTTTTACAAACAGCCTAAGTACTTCGCAAAGCCGTCTCTATGGCTCATTTAGAACTTCACTTAGTGCGGTTGCTCCGTACTGCAAATCCACTGAGCAGGAGTCTGGGATGGCATAGTGGATTCGCCTCCATTCCAAGGCCGAAAGAAAGAATGTTCTGACTTGTAAAAGTTTCGCAAAGCAGATGTGAGCTCAGCAGTTGCACGTCCTTTCCGGATGTGAAATGAACTTGCTGTCCGAGTCAGAAACTTTAGAAAAATGTTTTTGAATTAATGCACTCCATGGCTCATCCCTATGGTTTTCGAGTCTGCTCCATGCTTATTCGCGAATGAGCCGTATAGCGATCGCAAGCCCTGGAGCTAGCTATGACCATTGACGCCCCATTGCTGTATTTGAGTCCGACTTCGCCACCAGCTATACAACCCAGATGCGTTAAAAGCCATTTGATCAATTTCTTAATCGAAACTGCTTGATGAGCTCTAGACTTATTCTCGTAAGTGCAATCGGCGTGCGAGTACGGATTTGAGCCCGACCATACCGGACCCACTTCGGGTGGAGCGGGCGCGGGCCGCTAGCGTTGCTTATTCCGGCTTCCGGTCCCCTGACATCATACTAGCTCGAGAATTCGTGAATTGACCCTAGCTTCTAATTCTAATCACTGGACTTTGATTATAATGCAGGATACCTAGCCCTGGAGGTATTGACTGATTACTCACCAGCCTGAAATAGAGATCTTGGTTTCCAAAGTTCAACGAGTCAGTGCGCTAATGCGTCAGGTACTGGCACTGAAGTAGAATTGCTTAGTATATCTTTGTTTGACTTCGCTGGTTTCGTATGTTCGAGGTTAAAATTGCTCTCTATTCTGTACGTGCAACTTGTCTCTCGGACAATAAATGGGCTCCAAGGTTTAGCAATGGTTGATAAACTCCCAACTAGGGAGAGAGAGAGAGAGAGAGAGAGAGAGAGAGAGAAAGCCCGTTGGCATCGATTGATGATGAACCTTCCAAGATTGGAGTTCAAGTTTCTCCACTGCTGTATATGCAGCAGTCCGTACCTAAGTCTCTTTCATTTTGACCACGAACCTTAGGAGTACTCAAGTAACACCTGGGAATCTTATAACTTCTCTATCACTACTCCGTACTTAAGCAAGGCATATATGGCCTGGTTCTAAATTTCTAAAGTTGCGGCACAAGTGTGGCAGAATTTTGAAATATTCTCTCGGTCTTGAGACTGCAAGGTACGAAATCAGACAGCACTGGGCTATCCCGAGGTAATCCCGCTGACATTACTCGCATGAATCAAACAAACTCCACAGAGGAAGATCATCTCATTGATACTTAAGTACATCCTAGATGACAGAATGACCAGCTTTTATACGGCCTGAGCTCGTTCCGAGATATCATTGACAAAGAGATGGTGGCCATGTATACTATGTCCTTTGCGCTGATGGGGTTTGAAACACGTTACCACACAGCCGACTTCAGGAGAAGGACGCACTGGATACCATTCGCTGCCTGGAAGAATGTTGCTCTCAAGGGCGGATTACCCTCTGCGGCGAGAATGCGGGAAGATACACAGTGCAAATCGCGAAAACGTGAACGAAGCCGCTCAAAACTGCTGGCTCATACGATTTCACAATCAGCCAGCTTGTCGCAATGCCCCGGAGATGTCTCAGAGAAGTCCACGTATTATATCAGGGGTTGTGATGAGGTTGTTTGGATACCAGATGTCACCAATGCGGTATTCAATTCCGCCGTCATGCGTACAGGAGGTTTATAGAAGACTGGAGGGGTGTGCTTTGCAATGCACTTTTATGCCGTCCGACGGTCCCTGTCATTTTGGAGCAGTGGCAATGTCCTCAAACATGGCGGTGAAAGACGCCCACATCGTTGCGCACTCAACAGAAATGTCGTACTTGGAATTCTCGCAGCTCCACAGACCTATCGTTGAGGTAGGAGAGGCAGTCTCCTTGATCGATACATGAAGGCCGGATACTTCTGACCTGGCCCTCAAACATAAAGCACCGATAGCCGACAGTGAGACAATGAATGGGCGCCTAGTAGCTGCTTCTTGGCTTACTGGTCGAAAGCGGCGAGCCAAGCCTCCAAGGACGTGTATGCATATCAGTCCTTCGCATAGAGCTCTTGATTAACATTGACCACCAAGATGAGCATTCGTTTGTACAATCTGCGAATGAACAGCAGAAAGGAAGACACCAGAGCCGTGGCGGGGAGCGTCACTCAGATTTGGACTGTCATGCCTAACTGAGGTTGGTTAGAGTATCTTGGCATCGAAGCGTTCCCACTTGAAGACTCTAAATTTTGTGTGCGAACTCAACAACCTGAGTCTCTTATTGGGTTCGCTATGCGCAGCAGCCCAGCCTCTCGGGTCGAGAGTGGATGTTGATTTTGTCATAAATCAGCCACATCGCCTAAACGAGACCCACCTCCCCTCGGATCGTCGGTGGGAGCTGAGAAACCCCTCTCACAGATGTGAACCACTGGCAGCAGAACATGCATGCTCACGATGCATCTAGCAATGGCAAGCATTGGTCCGGTGCATATGAAAATACACAGATTAATTCTCCGGTCCGTCATATTTGGGGGAACATCAGCGCCGTTGCCACATGTGGAAAACCCGCACATCTACTCGTATAGTTCGCCAGCAAGCAAGAGGGGCTGGAGATCAACATGCATAGACCTCGACTGATAGGCCACCTCTAACCCCATTAAATCATACCTGAGAATACAGATCTCCCCCGTGTCGTCACTAGCACTATGTGTGATACGGGTTTGGGGGTCTATCCACCCGCTAGACGAAATGGATCGAAAACACCTTTAAACAGTGCGACCCCCACTGAGTAGGTTAAATTTAAATTTATTTCATTCTCCCAGCCAGATCAAACATAATGGCCCCTACCCCCTTCGAAGAATATGCGGCGCTCATGAAGCCCTATGGCGACGGGCATTACCTGTACAAACCCCAGCCGTATTCCAAGGTCCACCCCGGTGTGATCGGCTTCTTCGACAAACAAGGAAGCTGGACAACCATCACCGACTTGTCGATTCCTGGCCAATCCGAAAAAGACGGGTATACCAAACTCGGTGTCGAATGGAACAGTGATGAACCCGAGCTCGCAAAGTGGAACTCCCGAGCTTCATCCCAGGAAGCAGCGCACAGCTTCGGCGTGGACGCAGGTGTCTCGGGTCTCGCCGCTGGTGGCCCTGTCGATGTTTCGGCCGAGGCAAAGAACAAATGGGGTCAGACTGGAAAGGCGGCGCTCTTCGCCAACGACTCCGTGATCAACCAGAAGTACAGTGGAGCTTGGAAATCCCCGATCGCGGACTGGGTCAAGGTTAATGCTAAGGCTCTTGTGAACTCCCCCTGGAAGGGAGATCTTAAAGAACATGGCCTTTGGGCTATCAAGAAGACCTGGTCGACCCAGGAGTGTAAGATCACCCTGGACAGCGCTCATCATCGGGATACCAGTGGTGGCTTCAAGGTTGGGGCGACTGGTGTCGCCGAGGGTGGACTCAGCGGTTCGTCGGCCGTCAAGGGTGACAGCGCAGGATGGACGACCTTCACAGCATCAGATGTAAGTGCTTGCAACCTTCGATCATATGTATCAGATGCTGATTCCATGCAGAAGGACCAAGGACTTGTCGTCTCCTATGGCGGTAGTGCCTTCAGAGTATCGGCTTTCACCAAGCTGTTCACCCATGCGGTAAGTGTGCTGCCTATAGATGATCAAGCTCATGATCTGACCGAATATGAATCTAGCTCCTCAAGCAAGTGGAGAGCAGAGCCGCCCCCGAGGAAGTCTTGAAACCCGTCTTTGACGCCGACGGAAATCAAATCGGGACTGTGCGAGCTAGGGTCGTGTATGACAACGATGGGAACCAAAGACTGGAAGAGATCGACGAAGAAGCCGAGAGGAAGGAGAAGGAAGCGAAGGACCGGAAACTGATTGAAGAGGGTGACGCCGAAGAAGTCGTGGATATTGAAATCGATGAGGATGTTGGAGAAACTGAAGAGGACCTGGAACTGGAAAAGCAGTATCAAGCTTCCAAAGAGACAGAACTGAAGGAGCGGAATGAGAAGATCGCCGCGCTCCAGGCTGCGGACTTGCCTGCTGATGTCAAGGCAGCTGAGTTGAAGAAACTATTCAACGTTACCGAAGAGGTGACGGTCATTTAATCTGACGGCACATACCAGGGAAAATACAAGTCTTTGGAGTCGTGTTGCTCATAACCTCCAGGCCTACTATCCTATCTACTGCAATGAGAACATGTCACACAACCCACTTCAACGTTTCAGTAACATTACATGTATTTCATGGGTAGCTACGCAGGATCAGATATAGGTTTCGGGATCTCTCCCTACCGCCTCACCTGCTCGCCGACTCGCATGAGACTGGGAGGTTTGATCTTGACCACAAGCACTCGAACCCTTTGGCCAAGGATCCAAGTGCGGGTGTCTGTGACCCGCGATGGAAGGGAGACTACGGCCGACCAAAGGAGGATTTGTTGGGGAGAGAGAGAAGAGAAGAAGAGAAAGGGAGGGGAGGAGGGTATTTATACCCAAGAGTTGGAGAGGTGGTTTCCTAATTGGGAAGGACAAACAATCCAATTCGAGTTCCCACTCACATCACCTGATTCAATTGAACATGACTACAATCCACTGCAATATGAGTGAAAGGAGAAGACAAAAATGTGAGCCGTTCGATTTCATTATTAACTAATACAAGAGACCATGAAGAAATCCAACCCATTGAGATTTTCCCCTATCTGTCATCACTTCTCCCGTCTTGGTGGCAGATCACCATCCCATTGAATCTTCATCGTCATGGGGAAAGGAGAGAAGCTGCTGTGATTGGCGTCCATGTACATGGCGATGCCTCCCAATCCATGAAGCGTCTTCAGCTGGCCCTGGGGACCAGGGGCACGACGCACGTTATCCAACCGTCCAAGGACCTTGAGCATAGTTGATAGTGCAATGGGACACATCTTGACACCTAGGCATTGATGAGGACCAAAGCCAAAGTGTGTGTATAGGTCCATATCACGGTCAAGGCGGACCTTGTCGGGGTCGGGGAATGCAACGGTATCCCTTCCAGCGACAACCTTTAATTTGCATGTTGATTAGTGCTGCACAGTGTAAACTCCAGATGGATCACGGATGAAGCTTACCAAATTGCAGATGATCTCCTGGCCAGCCTTCAGAGCGACCTTCTCGCCGTTATCTTCAATGACGGTTGGCTTAGTGACAAATCGTGGGAGAGCCACAGAGCATCGGAGTCTCGCTCCTTCCATGAAGCTAGAAAGTGTTAGTCTATGCCCCTCGCCTCAACGAAAAAAAAAAAAAAAAAAAAAAAAAAAAAAAAAAACCAAAAAAAAAAAAAAAAAAAAAAAAAAAAAAAAAAAAAAAAAAAAAAAAAAAAAAAAAAAAAAAAAAAAAAAAAAAAACTCACTATCGAACTAGAAGCTCATCTGCTTCAGGAGTGTCCTCCCTAGACAACCGTTGGATCTCGACTAGATGCTCCGCCGCCTCTTCCGAAAGATAGTAGTCAAGACATTGGGAGAAGAGTTGACCCTGGTTGGCGACTAATGCACCGGCTGTGGGGAGAATGTGGGACCAAACGACATCCTTGACCGGCAACCCGCTATCGAGCAAGCGTTGAATCATGTGGACACCATAGTCACTCAGAATGTCATGTCGATGAAGGCGGTTCACAATATTGGCAATAAACCCAGACTTAGAGACAAGCTCAACGTTGGCTAATGTCAGCTCACCCAAAGATTGGGCAACCTTGCGAGCTGTCTGGCATAATTGGAAAGATTTCGACACATCAACATCATAGAAGATGCAAGCGAAGATCACAGCAAGAATCTGATACAACTCTTGCTCGCTAAAAACCCCTCGTGGGTTTGAGTCTGTCTTCAGAGACAGAGAAAAGACGCTTGCGCAGAAGTGCACTTGAGCGAGATTGGCGATATCGCGAACGATGTCAACTTGGTTGACACCTGCGACCTTATACGAGTTTCGCTCGAGCAGTTTCAGTGTAATGTCTTCATAGAAGGCTTTCACTTCGGACTCCCACTTATCGCGGTGCAGAGCAGCACCGATCATTTTCCGGGAACCTGCGTTGGCAGGAAGATCACCCGATAGAGCAAAGTCACGGCCATAAGGACGTCCGCTGTTTTCCATCAAGAATTGAATTTTCTCGCCCCAGAGCACCTTGAAGTTGGCCTGGTCTTTGAGTATGGCTGCGCAGGCAGTGTGGGAGTTGATGAAGAGAGGAGGAGCTGTGTAGAAGGGACGGTCGAAACTGTAAGTCTTGACATGGCCAAGGCTTGTCAGGATCTTTTTGTTCTCATCAGGCACAACCATGGGCAAGTGGGCATAAACCGAATCACCCCGGAAATGATTGGGGAAAGCCTTCAAAGCCAGTTTGTAGAAAACTTGACCGCCGTCAATAGATACATCGTTGTTAATCTCATTGAAGGCCCAGTTGGTGAGATGCTTCGGTGTGAAGTCAACAGTATAGAAGCGATCGCCACGAACCAAGGCGACTGCATCCGAAAGAATGGCCCTGGAGGTTGTGAAGTTGGTGCAAAGACCACTGCCAGGGGTCATGGGTTGCTTTGCCTCTTCGACGATAAGACCAGGGTATAGCTCGACGAGATCTGGGTGGTCATAGAAGTGCTTCAACTGATTGGCGATGTATGGATCCGGGTTAATTTCCTCAAAGGTTTGATAAGGAGCCAAGTTGAAATACTGGCGGAATTCGTTCAGGGTGGCCAGATTCCAAGAACGTGCCTGCTTAATGCCAAGCACCTCGATATTTTTAAACACGTCTGGTACATTCAAGGCACCGAAAGCGCCAGCAGGGTCTTCAACACTCTCTTGGAAGATTTTCACCAGATCATTGTCATCGAATCTACCATCCGCTTGGCGTTGAAGCTTGGCGAAAGGACGTTCTTGGGGGTCTGCTGGAAGTTTTGCCTCCCACTGACCAAGACCCCGCATGAACTGTTGAAGATTGATCTGACCTGAATCTTGTCCAGCAAACAACTCTTGGTACAGGTCTTGCGACCATTTTTCGTCTCTGGCCGAGACACAAGAGTGCCAGCGGTAAACAAGATTGAACTCGGCTGATGACTGGTTTCCAGTCGCTTGTGCGGGAGCTTCTCCAAGCAAGCTGTCCTTGATTTCTGCGCGCGGATCCAAGCTCCATGTGCTGTCGGTTCGGTTGACATTCAGGATTGTGCGGACGTAGTCCTTCAGAATGATATTGACATAAAGACCACAAGTGACCAGTCGCGCAGTCTGGAAGAGATCATTATCCCAGGTGGCATAGGCCTCAGCGTTGGCCTCATCTGGCTTTGTGAAGCGGCCGCATTCGTTAATAGCTGCCAACTGTGTGACAATGGAGTTGTGGAAACGATTGAACATGATAAGGAGGACACCGACACCTGGAGGGAAGCCTAGAATTCGCTTGGTAGAGAAACAGTCGGGCTTGAGCTTTCCTTCTTTGAAAGTTCTCACTGAATCCTGCTCCTTCTGATTGTTTCCATAAAGAGGAGACAGATCCAAATATGAAGAAGTCAATGATTTTGTTTGATCGCGGGGATCCGTCTGGAACAAATCTGTAGGGTGTTAGTCTGATTTCTCCTGTATATCGCCAACAAAATATGATCACTCACCATGAATGATAATGGAAGCAAGGTAGAACAGCACACTCGAGATCTTGTTCGGGTGCTCCTTGAATTCCTTCCGAGCCAAGAGACTATCAAACAGAGCCTCTGGTTCTGGGAGAGAAGCAGACTGCATAGTCTTCGGTCGGACAGATCGTGCATACGGAGTACTAGCAGCTCCAATTTGAGGCCAGAAGTAGTTCTATCCCCAAGTTAGCCCTTGCTTCAAATACTAGCAGGTGTTGTTAGTTATTTGAGGGTTGATCATACATTTCCTGATCCATCAGCCTTCCGATACGCTGCATCACGTCCAAGGTAGCTGCAGCAAGTTAGGCACGTAGCAAAAACCAAGTGCGGCCTGTTCAACGACTTACGAGACAGGCGGGTGCTCCAGGTCACCCCATAATTGACCGAGGAAAGTGTTGGTCAACTCCTTGCCATTCCGCGATGTCGATGGCAGGCCAGCAGCAAGCTGTTGAATGAGTGTTCAGTGCCATCTTCAAGCACTGCATTTCGATCGGACCTACCTGAATCACACGCTCCATAATATAGTCTCTGTCGTTCATGGCCTCGCCGGTCACGGCGGTTTTCGCAACCTCAGCCAATGTTTTGGCATCCTTCAGATCAAAATGGAGCAGATCCTTAGCAAGGCCGGTCACATTCGGGGTCTGGACATAGCTGCCATCACCAGTCTGCGTGGGCAAGGGTCGCAAGGCAGCAGTGACAACTTGCTCCACTTGGGCAATCTTGCCGTTGACGTTGATTCTTTCGGTCATTGTTAAATAAGATAATTTTATACAAGCAGGAAGTGATCCAAAGGGTAGACTATTCATCGCGAGTTAGTCCACAAATGCATTATGCCATTGAAATTTGCGCGGTGGGTAATTGCAGCATTCGAATATTGAAATTCGAGGGGAAACCTCGAACCCCGGGGCTGCGAAGGATGACGCTCACGACACGTGATACAAATGAATGAAAGAAGAAGATGGGATTGTCGTTTTTTTTTTGGGTCTCAAGAAAGGGGGTGAATCAAGTAGGAATTGAAATCTTACCAGTTGTGTTGTAGTGTTCAAGGTTATAGTGCAGAGGTAGGTCAACCGTGCAAGGGACCCTCCGTGGCGAGCAAGTATATAGGAAAACCACAGCAAAGAAACAAGATCACAAACAACGATGCCAGGAGGTATGAAAGGAAGTAAATCATCAGGCGACTCAGCCGGCGGAAATGGGATAGGATATACTTATATGCGTGGGAATCACGGAGGAAAGGGCCATCAGCCGAGCACAGCGTACGGCTGAAGTGCAGCACTATCCAGTCTACTACGGTCATTCCTAGCGCGTCTTCGGTGGTATCTGGAGAAAGACACCCCCCACCGTGAGCAATCGAATGTCTTTGATTCGTGCATGCTAGGCCCCCTGTCAGTAATCATGGCTCGAGACGGATGACCCGAAATACGAACGCCGAACAATTGGCACTTTCAACTGGACAATCTCAACATGAGTATGAATGGTTTGCTAACACCATGATTGGGGCAGTGACAGAATAACGAAGATCTACACTGCGCTCAGACTTTGCATCCCGTCTGCAGAGCATAAATTTTTTTCCTTTCCTGACAGTTAGCCAGAACCCCATTGGAGGCTCCGTAGCTTCCTCTCGCGGGGCGTTTGATTGGCGATGTCGGCCGGGCTAACCGTTTGAGAACGGAGCTGAGATGGCAGGATCCAATTCTGTGCGATATGCTGATTCGGCTGTTTTCTCTCTCTCAGCTGTCCACAACATGGCACAGCCTTACTTTCTGCATTCGCGCCCCGCTATAATGTGCCTCGCACGTTAGTCGGCTTTTAGTTTCCACCGGGCTCCAGCTGACCGGGTGGCATGTACTCGTATGGTACTCAAAATTATGTTATATTCAAATCTCAAACCTTGGACGTCTCCATCTGGAATATCACATCGAGTCGCCATGCATTGTACGACAACAAATGACCGGCATCCTCCTTGTCTGCGGGGACCACAGGTCTGAGGGAAGTTTGCGGGAGTCAGCTGCCAAGACCCACCTGGGGTGTTGATATTGGCCTCAGGCATTTACACGTGACTCAAACCGAGGCCCGATTATTGGGAGTTGTTGGGACTGCTCAATTCTCAGTCAATTGCAATCTCAACGACCTCTCTTGCGTCAAATCACTGCCTGAACGCTGCGAGACACTGACATTCATCATGGCGGCAGGTAATATTACGCTCATTGTCGAGCCAAGAGGTACGTTACACCTGTTGGATTTCTCAAAGCTCTCGGAGAAACTACAACCACAGTGCATACTCGGGCATCCTTCTAACCCTAGCACAGGCAAGCCCATCCGCAAGCTTCCCAAGGAAGTCGAAATCGCTCTCGATGCCAGTAGCGAGGAATTGTACACTGCGTTCTCCGCGGCATCCGGCCACTCAGTCCACCGGTTGAGAATCACCAAGGGTAGCGACCGCAGCGTGGTCCCCAACTCGAGTGCCACCATCGATTCCACCGGTCTACGGAACTCGAGCGTGATTCATGTGAAAGATCTCGGTACGTCCATCTTCCGCAGCCACCCTCCTACAACAACAACCAGAACCTAACCCACACACTAGGTCCCCAAATCGCCTGGCGCACAGTCTTCATCATCGAATATCTCGGTCCCCTCCTCATCCCCGCGCTATTCCTGTTCCCCCTCCGACCCCTCCTCTACTTCAACTTCGACACGATCCCCGCTCCCTCCGACATCCAGCTCCTAGTCTGCGCCCTGTTGACCTTGCACTTCCTGAAGCGCGAGTTCGAAACCATCTTCGTGCACCGCTTCAGTAGCGCAACCATGCCCGCCAGCAACATCGTCAAGAACAGTGCCCACTACTGGGTTCTGGCCGGTTTCAACATCGCTTACTGGGTCTTCCGCCCTGATGCTGCTGCCGCGACGAGCACTCCCAACGAGGGTCTTGTGTACCTTGGTCTCGCGATCTTTGTCTTTGGTGAGCTGGCGAACCTGAACGCACATTATGTCCTGCGTGGTCTGCGTCGCGCTGGTACTACCGAGCGTGGCATTCCATCTGGATTTGGTTTCAGTTTGGTTACCTGCCCCAACTACTTCTTCGAGATTCTGGCTTGGTTGGGTATCTTCTTGATCAGCCAACTGAGCTGGAGTGTGCTGTTCTTCACTTTCGTGGGAGGTGCGCAGATGTGGAGCTGGGCTTGGAAGAAGGAGAAGCGTTACCGCAAGGAGTTCGGCGATAAGTACAAGAAGAAGAGGGCTGTCATCTTCCCTGGCCTCGCTTAAAGTAGGCAAAATGCTGGACTGGCATCTGGTGGCCTTGACTGTCATGGCACTAGCTAGATGCGAGAATAAAGCGAGGAAGATCAGGTCTTGCCATTGAAATCTTTCGGTCAACATATCGAAAGCCCTGGAGAGTCAAGTGGCAGACTTGTTACCGCATGATTATATGTACAATACTAATTTCCGATCTTATCAGGTGAAATCTTTAGATTTAATTGGGAATTGGACATAGAAAAAAAAAACCAATGAATATCGTGTCTCTGTTACAGCAATGTACGCTAATGTAAAATCAATGATGCCCCATATTTCGAGGTCTCCATAACTAAACGCCACACCCGACTCAGAACATTATACGAAGTACATGAGAGAAACAGAGCAAAAACGCCAACCTCACATCTGAACACACGCCTACCTACAAGTAGGTTGGCGTAAAAGTTAAGGATGGAAGGCCGCAAAACAGCTAGTCGCGCTGGGGTATCCCAAGCCATATCTTATAATATGGCTCCAGCTCTCGCTCGCAGTCTCGGCCCTCCACCTCCTCACACCCGCGGAACTGAATCACCAGGTCACCGTCCTTGTATGTGCCCTCTGGAGAAGCTCGCAGGGAGTCTTTGCTATATGAGCTGATGCTGCGCTGGGGTACCAAGGCGGTCCGCGCAAGGACAGTCGGATGCCACTGTAGGATGTGGTCCTAAACCAATCGATGTCAATGCCTATACTTAAAACGAACAAGAAATGGAATTTGCATCCTTACCAGTCCATGTGTCTCCGCTTTAGCAAAGTTATAACTGCGGTATAGAGGGTCGAACCACATATCAAGGAAGAAACGGGCAAATTCCCCGCTTTTCAGAATGAAGCTTCCAGGATTTAGGTCTTCCGTGTCTTGCGTGATGATCAATTCGATGTCCTTCTCGTTCTGATGTGCGAAAGTCTTGATTATACTGTCCGGTGGAACAATCGAAGCATCCTTCATCACCATTTCTTCCAGCTTGTTTTTCTCAAGGATGTGTGAGTTCAGAGACTTGGTCGGATTCATGATAAGCGAGTGGGGACTGAGGTGGAAGAAATAAGCCGTTTGAGGATATTTGGCCATGGCATGGCGAACGGCCGGGGCGATAGCCCAAGTCCTGGGCGCATCACCAATCGCATCGGCATAGTCGGCCACGCTTGCAAAGAAGTTTGTATACCCTGTTCGTGTTCGGCGATTAGATTCAACTCGAATGTAAATCAAATGCGACAAAAAGGTCTTACCATGACGTTTCGCATAGTCTTCCCTATTCGTGACAATCTTTTTGACGTAGCTCTCACTTAGTCGTTGGCGGTCCAGTAGTGTGACGATCACAACACCCGAAGGAACCGCTGCTGCAAGCGAAGGCGAACCTAATGAATAGATGTGATGAACGATGAAGAGGAGCGAAAATATTGCGAATGCGAGCACAGCGATCGATTTAAATTGTTTCCTGCGATAGATCGGCATGCGCGAGGACCGGGCGATGGGCAGAGGGCTGCGTCGTGGAGGCACTGCGAATTGCATTTTATCCCTGGTACTGTGAGACAGGACAAGGGAGGTGGAATAAGAGAGATCAAGTCATAGTGAGACGTAGGAACAAAAGCATGGAGTAGAGGGAAGAACAAAGTTGTGAAGATCGACGCGGGTGTGAAGATCAACCCAAATCCGGCCCCTTCTGCACGCCCCGAGCTTCTAGATCAGGTACCCGCACTATGGATGTTTAGATCGCACTGGTTTGGTCTTAATATGAGAGCAGAATAATAGTTCATGCGTTTTGAATTTAACTGGCGATATTTCTGTCCGCTTTCTCTGTTTCTTCCATTTCTTTTTTTTTTACACAAAAAAAGGTTGAATGGCGGTTTGAGCTGGCAGTGTACGGAGTGTGCACGGGTGTATCACAGGTGCACGCACAGAACATATGGAGTCATAATTTAGACCAACGTTCTTCGGAACTAAGCTTTTTGAAGAGAAATATTTTGATGGATCTGTGACAAAAAAAAGAATGGTCACCTTTTATTTACTTGAGTTTGCGGGCTGGCAGCGCCCGTGCTAATGTTAACAATTACATACAGCCTTAGAGCCGCACACAATTCTGTACTAATCCTAGGCGAGTGACACAATAACCTCTTCAGAATGGAGGAGGGTTGAGATCCAGTCCTTCAACTGTCAACTGGAATGCGTCGTTCCTGGAATAGCTTCCCGCAACATCCATGTCAAGTCTGCCACGCTCACAGTCCTCCAAATCGATCTCGGAAATCACAAGTCCGTTGTCAATGCTGGATCCATCCGCTGAATCGTCAGTGCTGACTTCCCAAATTGGTTCAGCCACGACTTCACCAAGAGGTCCGACGATACAAGATCCACCACGCGAGATGTAGCGGTCCGAGGCTTCTGTATGAGGTCAATTATTGGAATCGATTGAAGGCACTCTGTTATAGAGAAAGGAAAGAATGGATTCCCATAGCCTCGTACCTTCTGAAGAGTTGTTTTGCTCAGTGATCCAGGATGGCAGTTCGTTGTATCGAACGCATTGGTTACATGAGAGCACAAACGTGCGGCCTTCGCCGCCAACAGTACGCATGAGAGGTAGCCAAGTGTCACGGCTGTCAGCCGTCGGAGCAAGATAGATATTCACATTTTGCGAATAAAGGCTCTGACGAAGCAAAGGCATGAAGCTCTCCCAGCAAATAGCAGCTGCGATAGTGAGCTTGACCCCATTGAGCTCGGTGGTGATGGCCTTGAGGGTAGATGGGGATCCTTGTGCCCAAACCAAACGCTCTGAGCCAGTCTGTTCAATCAATTGAGAGTCAGATCATCTTTCAAATCTCCCTTTTTTTGAATGGCAGAAGCCATTGGGCTTGTGTATGCAAATTGGATGGGAACATACCGGCATCACCTTGCGTCTCTTCCCCAGGATACCCCGCAACGGATCGACATAGAGAGCGGAACAATACAGACTGCCCCCGGCCTTCTCGATCAATCCGGTTGCGATGAAAACTCCCGTTTCTCGGGATACTTGCTCCAAGAATTCTCTTGTTCCATCACCACGGTGGTCCCGGCCCTTAGCATTGGGAAGCTTACGCTCTACCCAGTCGTCGCCGGCCCCAGCGGGTGTGTCCCCCAGATCGACCGCTGCGCGGAAGTATTCCAGAAATTGATCACGGCCGTAAGGAGCCCGAGCCCCAACGGCAGTTCCAAAGTCACAGGTGCGAGGATAACCTCCTAGATAGGCCTCTGGAAACAAGAGAAGATGAACACCCTTTGACGCTGCGTGTTGGGTAATCTCCTTAAGAGCTCCGAGAGTCGCTTCAAGAGTCGAAAGCGTACGGGCTTGCGCCACTGCAACAGTAATTTTCTGAGGCATGATATGGATATCTCTTGCAAAGCGAATTGTTACAGAGAGAAAGAGGGGTTGAAATAAATTGTGACGTTGAGCCAGTACTCAATTCGGACTCTGTTCGCCTTTTCGGCGACTGTAGCCCCGACGGACTTTCAACTACCGATGCTCTCGGCATTGCATAACGTGCTAATAGGACTCAAAACAGTCAATGTTCTACATCATTTAGACTGCCCAGGTGAATCTACAAATCCTATGCGAGAATGAGGATTTTCTACTTGAAAAATAGAAAAAGAGCACTTTTAGAGTCGGTCACGTGGATCGAAAATATCAATCCATCGGACTTTTGGGTCCGATGCACTACGGACCTGCAGATGCCGAATCCGAATGGATAGAAGTAGATCATTGCCACCCAGGCGCAAAGTGTTGGCTTGTCAAAGATGTCGATCGCGGAAGCAAAAAGTAGGCTTTTTCTATGTTGTCTACCTTGGGCTGCGACTAACCAGTGCTAGTGTACCGATACTAGACCGTGTGGCAATTGCACGGCTGTTGGAACGGGCAAGTAACCAATGTGACCAAAAATCAAAAGAGTCAAAAGAGACCCCGGGGTTTATTTTCTGACACCAATCAGAATGTGTATCAACTGAGCCAGTGAGCCGAAAGGCCCGCGCCAGTCCCGAGTTAGTTGAATCGGCATCCAGGACTGTTCGCAACTATGTCGCTAACTCTGGTCTCAGATACACCCGGGCTCTTGAGGAAAGAATAAAAAGTCTCGAGTCTCAAATTCCAGAGGAGCGAGTGGAACATTTACCAACCAGCTGGCGAGCTACACAGCAAGATTCGGCGCAAAGGGGCGATGGAACATTGTCAAGGAAAAGGCCGTTCGAACAAACCGTCCTAGAGCATGCTTCAACTCCTGTGTCTCATGATTCCTCTACACCGAGGCAAACGATGATTTACAGAGAGCCAGACGAAGATTCGTCGTGTCTACGTCGAGCATCGCGTCCCGCTACGTCGACATACTCAGATACACGGCCGTCAGTACCCTCGTCATTTCCCCAAACCACAGAGGACTCGACAGATTCACGGAGACTTTCTGGCCACTCCAGCTTATTGATTGGTATAATAGCCACTCTTGCAAGAGGTGCCGGTGAATCCACCTCAGAGCTGTCCAATGGCTCTAAAGATTCCGTTTTATCTATGTTGACCGATCAGTCATTTCCTCTGGACCGTTCATTACGAATTTCAGATGAGGCATCTGATCGACTGGTCCGTATTTATCTTGAAAGAGTTAACCCACGCTATCCGTTTCTTCATCTGAAAACTTTCCTTGGCTGGTATGAATCTTGGAAGGCCAGGTCCCACATGAATACGACCAAGGACCAGCATTGCCTATGGCAAGACTTCTTTGTGACCATGGTGAGGAGGGATGCTCCGGTTTTCTTTCTTTCTTTATTTTTTTACAAACTAAAGCTAATTCATTACACAAGGTGCATGCTGTTGCTCTGCTTCTGACACCCCAGGTCTCTGCTGGTGACATTGCCACTTCCCAGGCGAGTACATGCTGACCAGAAACTATCATTGGGTCATATTTTAACACAAATAACTAGACCTTATATAACAAGGCGATGGAATATCTTGCCCATGTTTTCGCACAGCCGGACCCTGTCTTACATGCTCAGGCATATCTTCTCCTGACGCTACACGCGCTTCATTCTCCATCGTCGCAAATGATTGTCACAATTGTGTCTGCAATGATGAGATATTGTGTCATGGAAGAGCTTCATTTGGCTGAGAGTGAGCCGAGAGCATCAAATCCAGCTTTCTCTCTGGAAGTCCAGACTCGCCGCCGAGTCTTTTGGTCGGCTTATGCGTTGGATCGATTCATTAGCTGGATTTACCACATTCCCAACAATATCATTGACGAACACATCAGCGTGCCGGTATGTCACTTCACTTAATTGGCTTGTATTACATTTGTTTAAACTTGAACTCCAAATGCTAATCTTGCTAGCTCTTCTCGAACGTTGGTGACGCTGATCTTCGCGGCGCAGAATCGATTGATGACAACATTAGGATCGAAACTCCATCACAGCAGACGCATGTGTCACCAGCTCTTCATTTGTTTCGATGTCGACGTATTCAGTCCAGAATTATCAGTACTATGATGCGGTCTGATTTCGAGAATATCGACACCACAACGACATGGCGAGAGCACATGTTAGGGGAGCTAGATTCGTGGAGATCCCAGCTCAGCTCGTTGAGTGATGTGGCATCTAAAAGCTACACAAGCGATCGATGGGTTGGCATGGCCTACAATTACACCATTCTTCTCTTACATCAACCAACAAGGGACAATGTCTGCCATGGCTTCGGAGACCGCTCGGTCCCGGCTTGTGTCCAGATTGCCTTGACGTTTAGGACTTTCCAGAAAGACCGTCAAACGGCACAATTATGGCCAGGAGTATGTGTGTTCTAAACAAACTTGGTCACCCGTTGCTAACTAAAATTGACCACTAGCTTTTAAGTCAAGTCTCCGTCGGTATCACCTTGCTTTACTGCTTCTGGGCAACACCCGCTCAACACCAGACCCCAGCATATCGTTCAAGAGAAGTCCCAGAAGCGTTGCGGGCCTGTTCAATCTCCCTTGCCATTCTTGCCGAGCGGTGGGTTCAAGCCGAGCCTCTGCGCGATGTCTTTGATGTTCTCGCAAAAGAAGTACCTCTCCACGGCGCGACTGACCCTACTCCGCGACGTATCTCAGCAGAGTCTGTCTCTTACGTTCAGTCCCAACTTCCTCTTCTTACTTCAATCATCATGCACAGGGGTGTTTTGCGCATGATACGTGAGATGATCACGGAGGATTTTCCCAGAAGCTTAAGTGAGAGTTATGAGCATGCATTGCCGCCACATGACGGGAGTATACTTCGGAGCTTGGATGGTCACCTGTGTAGTCCCGAATGTCCATTTTTCCGCAAGTCGGACCAGTCTGAATCTGTGGCCGCCATTGATTCCCGAATGTATCCTCCGCTTGATGGAGAGGGAATGGGTGGTGACTTTGGGATTGATGACGACACGCTCGTCTTTCCACTCCTCTTTGGCTCTGCGGAATTTTGATCTGAGTGGACCTCTCAACATGCTATCACGGTCTGAGGCGGAGCTGGAGGCAAACGGCATGGGAGTGGAATGCGATGCAAGGTGAACAAAATATAAAATTGGAGTATAAGTACATAGAAGGCCCAATATGCAAATTCAGAAAGAAATGTATCCAGCTGACAAGATAAACATCGCCCTATTCATCTTCAATGGATACACCATAGCTTGCAGAAGGCACAGAATTTGTGGTATCCAAAAACGACCACCGCTCTTTAGGATAGTGATACAGGTGCCTGTCGGTTCTCCTTGACATGCAAAGCTTGAAACAAATTGGAGATAAAAAACACAAAGACAAAAACGCACTGAACTTCTCTAGTTCATGGTAGCATATCTCTTACCCTGCGGCTTCGTGCGGCGAGGCTTGGTCAATGCGTCGATGTCGATGTCCTGAATCTTCTGCTCCAATTCCTGCTTCTTGCTCGCCATGTATTGATCCATGGTCAAAGGCTTGGGGACACCAAGTTGGGCGCGTTGCTTCGCATACGCAGCTTGGTATGTTGGTGAATTCATGACTTGGTATCGAAGGTTCCAGCCGAATGGGCCCAATTCCTTGATGCGAGTCGGGCGATCAGACGTCAGGTATTTGTCGAGACCACCAGCGTTGTTGATTGAACGCAATGCACGGCGAGTGACCTTGATAAACAATTCTTGGCCAAGAGCCTCGCTCTCAATCTTCTTTCGGCGCACATTGGGCTTCCAGCTTCGTCGTGTCTTGCCTTCGTTGCGACCTTTGGAGATCTTGTTACCGAATTGGATTGTGGCGCCTCCGTAAAGACCGCTGTCCTGCTGCTTGTACCATTGGCTTTCTCCGTAAGGGTAGACTGGGGCCGTTGAAGGGAGTCTTGGAACTTGTTTGGAAGCAGATTTGATTGTCGGAGTCTTGGACGAGTCTGCCGGGGTCGTGGAGAAGGTTGCCGGGGTGGTAGAGAAGGAGCGCTTAGGTGCCGCGATAGAAAGGCTTCGGAAGGCGGCGGTCAAAGAGAAGGGGGCGCCCATGACCGATTTGGTGCGTAGGCCAGCCATTGTGGATGACAAGTGTTGTATCCTTGTGGAGCATCAATAACACAGCAAATCGACGGTTGATGGCAGCGGAGGCCAAACGAAGAATTACCAAAGGCGGTGAGGAGAGCACCTCCAATTGGCGATCCCTTGCCGCGATTTTCGGCCAGTTACCTCACATTTCTATCAGGCCTGTCTGTTTGAAGCTTTCTTTTCTATTGAGACCTCCGTTCATTTTATTCTCCTTGATACCTGTGGCTCTACCTGGCCACATTTCTTCCCATCATGGTCCAGATCAGCGAAGTGAAGGGCAACTCGCGCGAGAACAGAACCGCGGCGCATACACACATCCGGGGTCTTGGTCTGCGCTCTGACGGTACTCCCGAAACTACTGCTGATGGTTTCGTCGGGCAAGGAGCTGCTCGTGAGGTGAGAAGAACCTAACAGAGGCTCTACGCACACAAATCGCTAACATTCAATCGACGAACAGGCATGCGGCGTTGTGGTGGACTTGATCAAGGCAAAGAAGATGGCCGGACGCGCCGTGCTCCTCGCTGGTGGCCCTGGTACCGGAAAGACTGCTCTGGCGCTTGCTGTGTCTCAGGAGCTGGGAACTAAAGTTCCTTTCTGCCCCATCGTTGGCAGCGAAATCTACTCTGCTGAGGTCAAGAAGACCGAAGCGTTGATGGAAAACTTCCGCAGAGCTATCGGTACGCAATGCGACACGGAAATAAAGCAGGACAATTTTCATTAACACATGTCACAGGCCTTCGTGTTCGGGAAACAAAGGAAGTGTATGAGGGTGAAGTCACAGAACTTACTCCCGAGGAGACTGAGAATCCTCTCGGTGGGTACGGGCGCACAATCAGCCATCTTATTATCGGATTGAAGTCCGCCAAGGGTACCAAGAAGCTGCGCTTGGACCCCAGCATCTACGAAGCTATTCAGAAGGAGCGCGTCACGGTTGGAGACGTTATCTACATCGAAGCAAACACCGGAGCGTGCAAGCGAGTTGGCCGATCCGACGCCTACGCGACTGAATTCGATCTTGAGGCCGAGGAGTATGTGCCCGTCCCCAAGGGCGAGGTCCACAAGAAGAAGGAGATCGTACAAGATGTGACCCTCCACGATTTGGATATGGCCAACGCGCGGCCGCAGGGTGGTCAAGATGTTATGAGCATGATGGGCCAGTTGATGAAGCCCAAGAAGACCGAAATTACGGACAAGCTGCGCCAGGAGATCAACAAGGTTGTCAACCGCTACATCGACCAGGGTGTCGCCGAACTGGTGCCCGGTGTTCTGTTCATTGATGAGGTACGTCAGCAAATTTACATTGGGGAACCATGTGGCTAACACAATTCTCCATTTAGGTTCACATGCTCGACATTGAGTGCTTCACATATCTGAACCGTGCTCTCGAATCGACCATTTCCCCCATTGTCATCCTCGCCTCCAACCGCGGCCACACGGTTATCCGTGGCACCGACGATATCACCGCTGCTCACGGCATCCCCCCTGACCTGCTCGCCCGTCTTCTTATTATCCCCACCCAACCCTATGCCCCCGAAGAAATCAAGACCATTATTCGCTTGCGCGCCAAGGTCGAGAGTCTCAGCATCACAGAACCTGCTTTGAACAAGGTCGCCGAGCACGGCAGCAAGGTCAGCTTGCGGTACGCCTTGCAGTTGTTGACCCCCGCCAGTATCCTTGCGCGCGTCAATGGCCGCCCCGCTGGAATTGAGGAGGCCGACGTCGCCGAATGCGAGGATCTCTTCCTTGATGCGAAGCGAAGTGCCATCATCGTTGGTCAGGATAGCGACAAGTTCTTGTCATAGATTGGGACATTTAAGAGCTCCATGATTTTTGTATACCAAAGGGTCATCTTGGTTGTTTATTGAAAAGGCGAATTATTTTGTGTGGGCCAGGTTTTACGTTAATGCTATGTATCAAATTCGACTTTTTGCGAGACGAGATCTAAGGGTTGTTCTAAAGTTTTGAAAGGGGTTTTTTTTGAAGATCTTTTGAAAGTCCATTGGAACTCTGATCATCTACAACCCCAGCTTCGTATCACGTGTAACTCGGCCGTTCCTGTCCTTATCCCCGTTGACCGAACCCGCCACTCAGCACTCTTGAAACAACCACCCCCGATAAAGGTGGAGCCTCGCTCGTACATCACATCACCGCAGACAACTTGACTTCTTCCAAAACTCCATAACTACAACACTCACAGCCACCATGTCAACTCCACTAGATACCGATGCCGGCTCGGAGATGTTCGCCAGCTACGAGAATGAGCTCAAACTAGTGCAGGCCAATCTGAACCAGAAGCTGGACCAGATCGCCGAGGCAAGCGGCGAGCAGCGGAAATCCGCAATCAGCCTCGCAAACTCAGTACTTGAGGAAGCGACGGAACTAGTGAGTGCGAGATCCAATCGAGATCGCAAGCAGAGTCGACCGCAGGAAACTAACCGATTCCCTTCCAGCTTGACCAAATGCGCATGGAGAAGCAAAACATCCCCTCAGCCACACGTTCAAAAGTGAACATTCGCTTCCGCAACTATTCAACCGACATCGATGAAATTAAGCGCAAGCTCAAGTCCCTTTCCGATGATCGCCAGGCCCTCTTTGGTGACCGGTACACCGACGAGCCGCAGGATGAGCACCTCGAACAACGACAGCAGTTGCTGTCAGGCACAGACAGGCTAGAGCGCAGCTCTGCCAGGCTACAGCAAAGTCAGCGCATGGCTCTGGACACGGAAGATATCGCCCGCGGGACGCTTGGTACTCTCTATGAGCAACGGGAGCAGATCTCCAATGCCAGGAATAACTTGCAGCAGAGTGAGGGTTATGTTGATACCAGTATCAAGACTTTGAGGGGCATGGCCCGTAGGTACTGAGTCCCTTTTGCTCGAACTTCTGGAGTCTTGGCTAACCCAGTTGCTTTAGGATGGCTACCAATCGGATGATCACTATTGCTATCATTACGGTTCTAGTCCTTTTGATTTTCGCGGTTATTTACGGAAAGTTCCATTAGCGAAGGTTGCAGCGGCGTTTGTATACTTGGTTATGTTCATGTTTCTCTATTGCTCTTTACTCCGTACTATGCAAGGCACTTCTGCATTTCCCGCATTCTGTGCGACAATGGCAAGTCCTGATACAAGGCACATATGCCCCAAGCCCCTAATTGAAGGTGTTGCAATATGAATATTGATTCCATTCTATCATGAAAAGCTCGAGTTGGGGGTATCACAAAAACAAGACATCAAAAACCCTCGAACGCTACCCCATAATCCTCATCGCCCCAAATGCTGCATTCACTGCAACGCCTATAGAAATAGCAACCCCCTTCCTCCAACTCCAAACCCCCTCCTCCCTCCTCAACCACATGGCACAACCAATAGGCCAGAAGAACCCCATCACAGCCCCCCACAGCATATCATCCATAGCTCCCTGTGACCCAGATCCAATGCCCCCATTATCATCCCCCTCAACCACCTGCACGGCCGTAGACCCTTCATCCATCCACCGATCCTCAAGTTCCCTCAACTGTTCCCCACTAGGCATGGTATCCCGCGTCCGAGAAACAGACTGCATAGCCAAGAACTGCGAGCGCAAGGCCGTAACCTCCGTGGCCGTAAATCCAGCCGCGAGAAGGCGATCAAAGCCCCGCGGTGCAGGGGTTGTCTGTGGCTCATGGGACACGAGTGGTGAACGCTCATCTGCTTCATCGATCGGTGTGGCTGTGCTCTTTCGTTGCAGCGTTGATGACACGCTTGCTTCGTTGGCTAGGTCTGTTTCTGAGAGTGCGATGTCTCCGATTGAGCAGTGGATGTAGATACGTGGACGGTCATCGTGCACTGCCTGCTTGCCTTTTCCATTGTCTTCCGGTGCGGGGGAGCTTCGAGGCGGGGTGGGGAGCTTGAGTGAGACAGTTAAAGCGGCTGTGTCCTCTAAGCCGCGGCCGGCATAGATGAGACGCAGACGGTGAGTTGAGAGGTCTTTGGGGAGCTCGGCGCGGATTAGTTGTTTGAGGCCTGCGCCTGTTGTGGTCTCGGGTTCTGGGACATCCAGTCGGAGGTCGGGGATTGAGGCGGAGAAGCGCACGGCGATGAGGAGTGGGTATCCTTGCTCGCTTGTATATGAAGCGAAGTGTGAGGACATGGTGGGTGTGTTTCCATGCAGGGATGGTGTGTCTGTACAATGGACGGAGTATTAACTTTAGAATGTTGGAGACGGCTTACCCCATGCTTCCGCGGCCTCGGACCACCTCAAACAATAGCGTCATGTGATGAAGTCTAGACCTTTAGATCCTGTTTTCTATCTATTGCAATTGATGATATCAATCTGATTGTAGTGTGATCGACAAGATTGGAGACTTGGGGCATTTTACAGGCTTTTGCGGGAGTTTTCTGAATATGTCATGTATTATCATCATAGTCAATGTCCATTGGACTGACTGATCTGTACAAGTAGATATCACATAGACTGATCTCTCAAGGCCTCAGGAAATCCCCGAGGGATAGGAAAAACAGTCATCCGGCGAAGCTTCTAGCCTGTCTCTATGACAAGGCTTAACCTGTAAATCCAATATGCCCGATAGCCATCAGATGCAGGATGTCCGAAGCAAAGAAAAAAGAGGAGAAAGGGTTATCAACTGGATATCAAGCGTATGTACGAAAACAAAGCAAAACAAAAGAGTGGTGGAAAGACCAAGCCCTTGAAAACGCCATCCAATGCACCGGTAAAAATGACGCCGAGAGGTCTGTACAGGGAACAAAAGAAATTAACATCCAAGCGTGAGCTTAGACCATGAAAGATTCTCCGCAGCCACATTCTTCCTCTGTGAGAAAAAAAAAGTCAGTCACTGAATTTGAAAAAAAAAAAAAAAAAAGAATATCCGGTGTGAGATTGCACGGGCCACTTACTGATGTTGGGGTTGCGGAAAACAAATCGTCTGCTCAGCTTGTCCTCATGCCAGTCCATTTCACTGCCAATGATACTGAAGAGTGCCTTGCTGTCGATCAAAACCTTGACACCATCTTGTTCGACGACCTCGTCGAACTTTCCCGGTTGTTCCACGTATTCGAGGTGGTAAGCAAGGCCGGAGCAGCCACGGTTCTTCACACCGACCCGAATGAATTTCGGTTCAGGCTGAGCCATCAATTTCCGGAGTTGCTCGGTGGCCACGGCGGACAATTTCATGGCTGCCTTCCTTGGCCGAAGTGGCCGACGGGGCTTCGGGGAAGTCTTGGGGGCGGCCGGAGAAGCGGAAAAGCTCGTTTTCGACTTTTGCGCTTCCCCTTCCCGTACACTCAGACTAGGTGTGTTTTGTGATGTTCGCTGGGTGGGCTGTGATTCGGGAAGAGGGAATTCTGCTGAGATTGAGGTGTCGGCGCCACCGCTGCTTCGAGGCGGCGGGAAAGAGGAAGGAAGTGTGTGTGGGCGGTAGGCTGTGGCAGTTTGCATGTCCCGCTTCGAGGAAAGGGCGTTGCCGTATGATGAGAAGGTACGCAGAGGTCCAACCGAGGGCTTTGCCCGAAGGAGGAGGGTGGCGGATGATGTCACAGGACGCATTGTGTAGAAACTCATTGTCGAGGAGCGATCAGATAATCAAGTGAACCTCGACTATAATTGCTATTGACTCATAGAAAGAAAGTGTGTGAGTTGTGAGAAGGTGGGATTGGAATGAAGAAGAATGACTTTGAGGATTCTCCGGGGCCCTTGGGGGATTAAGTAAGTCAGTTGCATGACGCAGAGCCAGCCAATCAGGATTGAGTTGTTTCTACACACAGTGGCGCCATTTCAGGCACCGCATTTGCGCTGAGAACTTTTGTTTTTGTTTTTGTTTTGATCTTTGTCTTATTGACTCTCACTGCTGTTTTACTCTTTCAGCTCATCTTGTATTCTCCAGCATAGTATGCATCTTACACATGTATGATGCAGGTTGTGTGCGCTTTTCGGAGGCTGATGTAATCAAGCATCGGGCTGATTCCGTTCTTCGGAGAGCAGAGCTCCCCTCTCCCCATGGGAACTTGGAGGGGATAGGCTCCAAATCTAGTTAAGAGTCATTTAGTTTGTAGATCCACTTAGTATAAGAGAAAATCTTTATTTCTGACGTACTAAGCCTAGTAAGCCTACAACTGTACTATACGAGTACGGAGATCGGAATATGCCAAGTCGAGGACATGTGGCTGGACCCGCTGACCAACATCAATTGAACATTGTCCCTTTTTCAGCAATTGAACATTGAACTTGAGATCAACCTCATTTGAGTACCTTGTTTTGCTCTCCAAACAATGCTGCCGGTCTAGCCTGTCTAACATCATGGACATTTCACCCCTGACCCAGCAAAGTAGACCCGACTCCTTTCAGCCCAAAATCGTGCAGCTCTATGAGAACCTGTTCAAGGTAAACCGACTACTATCATAACATTACCCCCCCCCCCCCCGATCATGGCTAATTAGGAACAGGCAGCCGATGATGTAGATCCCTCTGAGGGGTTCTGGCGGGAATTCTTTTTGCTGCCCCCGGACCGGAAACAACTGCACGCGATTCTGGATAACTTGAGCCCAGATGACACTCTCAGTCTCCAGGTAAGTCGTAGCGAGGGGGGGAAAGCTCTCCAGATTGTGACCAGAATACTCACCTCACGCCAGGCTCAAACTCAGCGTTTCTTTGTGCGTGCCATTCGGGAGGCGGCAGCGGGACTCGCCCCGGCAGCCTCGTACGCATTAGATGTGAATATCCCAAATCCCCATGTTTGGAATGGTTGCTCACCTCACCCACAGACTTTGACTATCTTTTTGACTAGCGTGCTGAGCAAAAGGTACACCAATCCAAGCTCGGATGTCATTGCTGTTCTCGCTGGACTCGATGAAGTAGACCATGTCATCCCTGAGTTTGTGGCGGTCCTGGACAGGACGATTCGCAACGGAAGTTCCCGTGGGTATTTTCTGCTCCATTGCATAACTAGGTCGCTGATTTGATCCTTTCCAGTTGATATGCGACTCAAGGCCATCAAAACGGCCATTGCCATGACTAGTGGGGCATACAAAACCAGCTTGGTCTCTTATTTTACACACAGAGACCTTTTCCCATCGCTAATGAAGGTATGTTTGGGTTGAATCAGTCTTGCGCAATTACCAATTGATGACCATCCACAGTATGTGTCCGATTCGGAGACTTCGCTGCAAGTGTTTGACCCATTTCTCCTTCTGGGGCTGTTGGCAAACTACAACAAATTTGAATTCCAAAACCCCTATCAGCTCCGACTAGATGATTTCGTCAACGAGTCCAGCATTCAAAAGGTCGTCAAGGGCGTAGGACTCGCCTGCGGTGGTCTACGCAATGGCTATGTTGCTGTGCAAGATGACATCCCAGAGGGCTGGAATTTGGCCAATACATTGATATTCTTTGGTCTCCGTGCCCTCGCCCCGGGGGCCAAGGACAAAACGACCCCGCCTACGGCGGAGGAGGCGAAGGCTCTGTTTGCCGATCTGTAAGTTGCTACATGAGCGAAATGGTGGCAAATACTCACAGTCATTACAGTCCTGCACAAGAGGCTTCGATTCTCTTGGCTACATATGACTTCACGAACGCCAATAAGCTGTTCGGCTACCATCTTGTCCATTCAAAACCAGAGAACCACGAGGAAGAATCACCATTCTCGAGTTTCCTCTCATTGACTTCCTATCTTCTGCAACATGCATACCGATCTGCGCGTGTCGGTCATTACGCCGAGCTGAGCCTTTTCACACTTCGAATCCTAGTCGAGGACTCCACAATCTGTAAACACATCTGCGCCGATGATGGCAAGCGAAAAGTCCGTATCTGCCGGCAGAAACAGCCCTATCTGCCTCTTGTCAGTGGAGACCGGGTTCTTGCAACCGTCATTTTTGACATCGTGATTGATACCATCACTCACAACCTCCGTCGCCGACTCGATGTCAATATATACAGGTATGATCAATGCCTGCCAGAGTCTGCAGCAACTCGCTAATAACCCCAGTCACACCATCGCCATTACTCTTCGCCTCCTAACCTATCTTTCCAAAAACAAAATCCGCCTCACATACCACTGGTCTGAGCTCTGGCGAACTCTACTCTCCCTGATGCGCTTCCTCACAACCTACGCCTCGGACCTAACGAGTACCCCAAGGATCCAAACCCTGACAACAAGCCTAGCAGACCTGATCGCCTTTTGCGTTTCAGGCGGCGACACGTTCCTCCCAGACCCAGCCTCCTACGACGACCTTTTCTACAAGCTTGTCGAAACGGGTCCCGTCATCTCTAAATTCCGCGACGCCTTCTCCAAAACCAACGAGCAAGCTGCCATTGACACCCTTCAATCTGTGTCCACACACTTCTACACACTACTTTTCCATGAGGGCGGGGAGACTGCTGCCGTTGCCACCCCCAAGCCCGATGAACCGGCCCCAGTGGTTCTACCTTCCATCAAAAAGAAGAATCTTAGCCCCAAGGAGGTCCATCGCATCATTAAACAGGGCTATGACACCCTGAGCATCCAGCCGCCTGAAGGTCTTAGTGCATGGGTTAAGTGGCGAGAGTCGGAGTGGAAGAGTGAGCTGAAGCGTGCGGCGAGGCAGGCTGTTGATGATGCGAGGCAGTTGGTAGCTTAGGTCTGTGATTGCAACCTAGACATAACACCTAATAGGAGCTGATATCGAAAGGGGTAGTTCATATTGTGCTACTGTGCCCTGTGTTGAAACATACGTTTAGAAGATCTCTATTTCATTAAGCAGGTTTTCGCCGAGCTTCACCCCCAACGTAGAAAATCAAGGTCAATTTGATATCATACAGGGAACAGAGCAAACGGAGCAATGTATTTTGATTTCCCGCCGGCGCTTCTCAAAACAAAATTACGACACCAGGTGCCTTTCAATATCAGATAGTATGGTGGCCGTCACCACCTGGAAACAGGAACAAACTTTAGAAGCACTGGAAAGACTGAGAAAAAAGCATAAATCAACACTCATTGAATGCTTTCTGCAACAACATAGCTAGTCGCAAAGTACTTCTCCGAGTTCTTGCTCAACCACATAGAAAGCTTGGAAATCTCCTCACGTAGCCGGTTCGTAGCCTGCATATCCATATTTGTCTGAGCAATCAGCTCGGGCATGGTGCCTGCAAAAGAATTAGCAAACGGAATCAAAGCAATAGTAGAGTTCCAAACATACTGAACAATCGAATCAGATGTTCGGCGCCATAAACATCAATTGGTCCCTTGTCCGCCAGCTCACCGGTAGCAGCCTCGAACTTCTTACGCAGACCGCGGTATTGATGCCGCTCGTGGCGGTAGAGCAGGATTTTGTCGAGACACTTATCAAAGTATTCCTGGAGACCGGCCACAACTTCTTCCAGGACATCTTCATCAGCGGAGGAACCGGAGCGCTTAGTCTCCTCCTCCTCGTGCCAGTCTTTGAGAATTTGGCGCACGGAAATCTTTGCAGGCAACGCGACGACACATTGGTTTTTGGTAACTTGTTCCCAGTCATCGACAAGCAGGGATTTCAGATTATCCGGCATCACAATGCGGACTGAGGGGCGGGTGTTGAAGCTCTCTTCCTGTGTAATTGCTTAGCCCATATTCGAGATTTTAGTTTGAAGATATATCTTCAGATTTGTTCCCACTCTTATATGGTTTGGGATTTGATAGTAACGTACCTTTTCGATATCATTGTCACGGGCTCTCTTTGTGCCACGTCCGGGCACGGAGGCTCCACGCTCCTCGCTATCCCGCACAGAGTCACGATCGGAACCGCCACGCTTCTTTGCGGAGGCTTTGGTGTTCTTAAGGCGGTACGAAGCTTCGGCTTCGCGGCGAAGGTTGTTCGCTAATTCGCGATTATCTTCGGTGTGCTTGCGAAGACGGTCCTCAAGCACCCAGTCATCCCAGCTGGGTCAGTTAGCAAAATGCACACATTAAATTGGCATGGTGTTCCATGGGGTTCGTTAAGTCAAAAGAGGCAATGGAAGTCCGGTCACCCTTAACACAACACACAAATCTGTGTCATTCGGAATGACCCGAATACCAGACGGTCAATCTGGCCAGAAGAATAGACATGACAAAGATCAAATGGATAGAAAAGAAGCAAGACCACTTACGTATTCTTCCAGCCCTTGTAGTGAACTTGGTACTCGAAGGGACTCTTCTTGTCGTTGGCGTCCTTATGACGAACATCCAGGATCTTGGCATCGTAAAGGATGTCGTGGTGGAAGCAAAGGACCTTCTCGTCCTTGCTATACATGGATGGAGCCATTATTCGTTGAAATTGCAGCGCAAAGGCGACTCTGCTGGTTTGAAGTTATGGGAGACTTCAAGCGTTCAACCTGTGTGCTCCGAGGTGTAGAAAGGATATTTTCAGGCTTCCAGGGAAACAGATGTTCAAAACTAGAACGAAATGCCCGTAATCTTGAAGAAGAAGCTTTGGCAGGCTGTAGATGCAGTTTGTAAAAGCAATTTATGCAGTCTGAGCCGGTGAAAAAGGCAATTGGCAAGAAGCGCCCGGGACGTAGTACAAGCTGTTGCAGCAAACTTGATGCCGCGAGCTTCGTTAAAAAGACAGAAATCAAAGGGAATTCTTTTCCAGAACCGTTTGAAAGGGTTAATCAAGAGACAAAGGAGAACGGTGGTGAGGAAACAGAGAACGAGGCTATTCAGACGTAGGGGGAAAAGAGGAAAAGCGCGCTGAGTGGCCCCTTGAAGAATTAGGCGCGGGAAGAATCAATGGGCAATCCATACACCATTCACTATTCACTATTCACCTTCGCCTTTTCATTGACCTCGCAGTTCAATATCAATATTAACTGCCCTCACAGTCTATTGTTCATTGGTTTATCGCGTGAATTCATCTAGGCCAACCTATTCACGCGCCGGAAACGCGTCGGGAGAGCTCGCAATTGCCTCCGTTCCACTCCGTTCAGAAACCATCATGGCACCCACAGAGGAGTCGATTCTGGAGAATTTTCTCCTCGCTCCAGCCCCTCTGCCGACAGTAATGTCATTGCAAAAGTTTACGGAAATGTTTCCCAAGCGCCTGAGATCTCATCCTCATATCAGGACTCTATATCGGGAACTTCAACAGGTCCGAGAACAGGACATGGACCGAGTGAACGAAAATATTGACTCTGAGATCAAGCAAGGCGAGCAACAAAGAGCTGAACTGCGAAAAGCCACTCAAGCCCCAGGCGTGGAAGCTTCAAACGCCGAAGAGCAGCGCGAAATGGACCTGGATGTGCATCTTTTTGGTCAGGCCCCTACAGCCCCGGGGGACTATCACTCAGTCGCTAGTCTATTGGCTGAAATGGAGGCTGCTGGTGCAATTATTGAGCATGAAATTGCTAGCATTGATGAGGAGGCAGCGAGCATCCTGGAAAAGCTCCAGACGACTGTCGGTGACATGAGTGATCTTCGATACGGCAAATTGCAAGGCCCTGCAGGAACTGCGGAAGATATGGCCAGTCAGGCTATCCAGGGCTTGCAGAACCTGGAAGACGTTTGCTACAGGAAGAGCACTTCATGAATATGAGTTATGGACCTGGACATTGGCTTTGCCAATGTCTGCTTTTGCCCTCCGGTGCCCACCACGCCACAAATTGGTGTCAACCCGGCGCCCATATCTCAAGATTGGGACGACTCTACGATGTTAAATCGAAACCACCTGCAATATGAGTCAGTGCCCTGATGACTTCCCATGATGTATGGATCCTCCCCAAGCCCAGTGTACCTGCAAAACTGGCAGCTGTGCATTTCACGAAGAGAATGACTATAGGTCACTTGTATCTACATGATGAATTCCAATGAATCCTACACGAAGCTATCTACTCATCTATGTATCGCTTATTGATGTCCTCTCTATAAACTTGAATGTCTTTTGTCTCAATTTCCCCCAAATAGGAAATGTGGGTCACCGAACGCGACCGCCAGCGCGACCGCGACCGCGTCCGCCTTCTCACTACTCCGTAAACCCAATCAACTACTTCGTGCATTGAGAACACAAGGCCTTAAATCCACAATGCCTTCTGTCAAGTTACATCCCCGGCCCTCGATTCAAGCCAACAAAGCGACCGCTACCGCTCCCTCAAATCCAGCCCACAACCCTCTCCCAACACTGCTTCAAACACCCTCCGGTCTAGCCCTCCTTGAGCTCCAGGGCACAATCAATGTTCCCTCGGGGAATGAAGATGAGGACAAAGAAGAGGCCTCCGGGAAGATCGACCCCGCAGCCGCTTTTGAAACCCCGATCGGAAAGCTCATGTTCCCAGACTACTCGACCCTCAATCCAGACGACACCAAATGGATGAAGCGTGCTTACCTGTACGTCGGCCGCTACCAACGAATGACTGGAGAGGTGAAAAAGCTTTCACGTCCGATTGCTATCTTGCAGAAACACCCGTCGGAAGGCGAGGAACTGGAGGTTGTGGACATTGTGCGATATAAGATCTTCTTCAAGAATCGGCCTGAGCCCGTCAACAATGTCTGAGCCGACCTTGTCTGAACCTGAACATATCAACTGGACATAAGAGCGGGGAGTCTTCTGGGACTGGCCTCAGATGCAGTGCATATCCTTGGTGTAAGATACAACCGGGGGCTTTGGCATCGCCGTATCACACTTCATTCCTGGGGAAGCGACCTCAATGCATTGGACATGCGCTTTGTGCGCAAAATGACCGCAGCTCCTGTGGAGGGGCCTATGGAGGGATATGCATGCCTGAGTCTGGTCATACAATGACCAACAAAGGACCGATCGCGAGCGCTACTTCGAGCGCAAATTTTCGTTCACAAAGCGTCGCCAAAAAAGCATGGCCGATGTAAATGCATGTATGACTTCAACATTGCCTCATGTGTTATTCTAGATATTGACCCGACGCGGCCTGGGAATGTCACGTCTGGACAAGGGCCCCCCTCGTCCCAAATTCTATTTTTTTACCTTGTTCTGAGACAGCCGTTTTGGTAATCGCCCATAAATAATCGTCAGGTCATTCCGGCTGACAGCCGCTGGATGGTTTAGATGCCTCTCTCTACATACAACAGCAATCATGACGGTCTCGCCAACTGAAGATATCTTCCCCTCGAAAATGGGCCCTGCATACGTGGGCTTCGACCATATCCACTGGTTCGTCGGGAACCCCAAACAATCCGCTTCATACTGGATCACTCGCATGGGCTTCCGGCCCATCGCATACCGCGGTCCAGAGACCGGCTCCCCCTACCTCGTTAGCTACATCGTAGCCAACGGTGGGGCTACTTTTATTCTGACGGGGCCGGTTTGCGGTCCGCCAGAAGGTGGTCCCGAAGGTCTTCTGTGCCGTGCCTCAGATCAGGAGCGCACTACGCTAGCTGAAATCCATGCACATCTGACCGTCCACGGGGACGGAGTGAAGGATGTCGCCTTTCGGATTGTGGGTGATATCCAAGCAGTGTGGAAACGAGCTATTGAAAACGGCGCCCGTGCTATTGCTGAGCCGCGGACTGTTGCAGTTGACGGACATGGGATGCTTGTTTCGGCGACCATTGGAACGTTCGGGGACACTGTCCACTCCTTGGTCAATAGGGAGGAGTATTCAGACGATGCGCCCTTCTTGCCGGGATATCAAGTGATCACTGCTGAAGATCCAATCGCACAACTTTTGCCGAAAGTTGACTTTCTCGAGATTGATCACTGCGTTGGGAATCAGTCGTGGGGAGGGGTGGATAGTATCGTTCAGTAGTAAGAACCCTGGCCGAGTCCCTGGCAGTCGCAGCTCTAATGCACAATCTCTAGCTATGAGGAATGTCTCGATTTCCATCGCTACTGGACCGTCGATGATAAGGACATGTGCAGCGAATACTCGGCAATGCGATCTATTGTCATTGCGTCACCCAATGAAACCATCAAAATGCCCATGAACGAGCCTGCCATTGGCAAAAAGCAATCACAGATTGAAGAGTGCGTACTTGTATACTACCTTGTATGATCATCGTCACTAACACTTCTAGATTCGTAAATTATTACCACGGTGCCGGAGTCCAACACATTGCCTTCCGCACCAACGATATCGTTACCGCCGTGTCCCAACTCAAGGCTCGAGGCGTCCAATTCCTCAATGTTCCCGCCGCATACTACGCTGATCTCCGACAGCGCCTCTCACAGGTCTCGTGGGCTCTCAACGCCGACGTAGACGTGCTCGAGCGGCTGAATATTCTCGTGGATTTCGATGAACGTGGATACCTGCTGCAGATCTTCTCGAAGCATGTTGGGGATCGCCCAACGGTGTTTACGGAGGTCATCCAGCGTAACTCATTCAATGGGTTCGGAGCAGGGAATTTCAAGAGTCTTTTCGAGGCTTTCGAAAGGGAACAGGCGCTGCGCGGCAACCTTTAATATGAGTCTATGTAGCTACCAAGGTAGATAGCAGCTCATCGCCATTTTGCATCTCAGTGCCGACAGGTTTTCCATACCAAATGGCATCAATTCCGCACCTGGAACTAAAACTGATCTTCGGAACGGAATTTAACCGCGCATCAATAAACTACTCCAATGGTTTCGAACCTTCGAGGTCAAGTAGTGTGCCAATTCAAGTATAGAATTGATAAGACTTGCAGAAGACGCAAACTAAGCTCCAAATGACAGAATCAACCTCGAAAGGTGATCGAGATTGAATTATAAATCGACATCCGAGTCCCCGGAATACGGCGGTCTACAGCGGCCCGACCTCATTTATCAATTTTATCACACTAGACTGCTGTCGCTTTACTCGTTATCTACACACAGTACTTCTAGACTAAGGGTAGTATGTGGAAATTTCCATGTATTGATCATAGAAGTTGCCTAAAGTAGTAAAATTCGAGAAAGAGTCAACTCGGTAACGTAGTATAGTTCAAAAGGGAAACTGGGCCGCTGTACACAGCCGTACCCCGGAGGTTTACCCCGGAGGTTATCCGACGGAACAATATGCGACGCAGCTGAATTCCCCCGCCATTAGCCTGGATATAAAACACCCCCCATGGCCCTTCGATCAATTACCTCTCTCAACCTCCGAACAGCAAAAGCAATGGCCCCCATCGAACGTATCACCTTATTTAAGATCCCCAATGAGGCGGATCGAGACCGCGTGCTCGAGCAGTACAAGGTTCTCGCAAAGACTGCCACCAAGGTAAGAGGTCCTGATGCCTCACACCCGGGCTCTCTCTTTGCCCTCTCTCACTCTCTCTCCTTCTCACTCTAAAGGCTGTTGTCTTCTAAATCCAACGCTTATGGGCGGATAATTCCGGACCGAAAAACGGCTACTAACGGCTTACAGGATGGCAAGCCCTACATCGTCGCTGCGGCTGTTGGCATTTCAATCCCAGACCCCAGGAACAAGGGATATAACATCTCTGTTAAGACGACATTCGCTTCACTAGATGATATGAAGTACTACGATACCGACTGCGAGGCGCACAAGGCATTGAAGGCCATCGCGGGTCCAGCCAAGGAGGATGTCTTGACGACTTATTATGAGAACATTCTATGATTCGAAGTGTGAGGGTTTACTATCACAGTACATACACAGCGGCCCAGCCTCATCTCTCAATTTTATTATACTAGACCTTCGTCGCTTTACTCGTCTACACACAATAATTCTAGATTCAAGGGCACATCTAGAAATCTTGGTCATAGAGTTTGCCTGTGGAAAAGAATATTCAAGAGACAAAGAAAAAGAGAAGAAACAAGAGTTCACAGAGAGATATGAAACTATGCAAGGTCATTTACTAGAAACTAGTAAAGTTCGAGAAAGATTCCACGCCTGAAGTCTGTAAAGGAGTAGAATTCAACCTTGGAAACAGGAGGTTGGGCCGCTGTGTAAGTACTGTCCGGAGGCTCAGCATGTTTGCTTGTTTGGAGCATCTACTATATTAGATGCTCCCCACCTCCATAGCTCTTCTTCTTCGACCCGTATTGAATATCCTCCAGGGTTCGTGTCTTCTACCTCTCCCTAGACCTAGACGTAGAGCTTTGCCTACCGTCACACAAAAGCCACAGGCACTGTGAATTCAGGATTCGAGAGTTGGATCAAAGAATACAGAATCCATTCATGATGTACACATACGTCTAGCGTAGACTTCAGGACAGAACAAAGCAAAACACCGATGCCTTCCAAAAATTGGCATGCTAGAGACGATCATAAGGGCAAATCATATCATTGGCTCAATAAAAGCAAAGAGTCCGGCCCATAAGAATGGTCCCGAATGCGCAGAGGATCCCAGATCGCTGCCCGCGCATTCCAAATATACAACCCCGGCAGGTCCGGGTAAGGTTCCGTGATAGATGGTTAGTCGAGGGCGCGACGAAGGTCGCTCCACTTTTGGCGGAGGGTCTCATGATTTTCGGACATCTGGCGATCGTTAGTCATAGATGCATAGAATGATTAGGTGCACCTTACCTCTGCCCACTTCATCTTAGTGGCAACCAGCTCCTTTTCCATCTCGAACATGGAGTCCTCCATCGCACGGTTCTCGTTTTGTACTTCGATATTGCGCTTCATGATGCGTTCCATTTCCAGTCGGAGCTTTTCCTCAACTTCCGCAGGTTGCTTGTCGACTACGTTCTTGAGCTCGTCAACTTGCAGCTTCATTGCGTCGTTGATGTCACGGAGCTCCTCGTTTTCCACTTTGACGTGCACCAGCTCGGAGGCTAGTTGCACATGTTCCTTATCTGATGCTTCGGCGCGCTCTTCAAGGAGCCGGACCCGCGCACCCTGAATGCCAACGGTATGCCGCAGATGTTCCAGCTCGTGCTCACGCTCCTTCTCGGTGCGAGTCTTCTCCTCCCATTCGGCAGTGTAGGTGGCAAGCATTTCAGATGTGAGAGGGACGGCGCAGGCGTCCTGCACCAGAATATCAGATCGATAGATCTCTTTGTCTGAAGCACCGGAGCTACCAAAGAAGCCAGACTCCAGGATCGACGAAGTGGATGGCTGCTTGTCTATGTAGGCATCAAATAAGCGCTCTTTCAAGAAAGTAGTGAGAGCGCTCATGTCCTTCATTTCAAGAAGCGCCTCGGAATTTCTTCGCATGATCGCAACCCCGAATTTGAGGATGGTGGTCTCCAGTCCTTCCTCAAAGATCAAGTCATAGATGCGCAGTACTAGCTGTAGCGGGAATCGGTAGGCAAACAGCGTCAAGAACCACTGAGTCGCGTAGAGCTGGGGAGGTACACCACGACGCCGCAGATGACAGTAAAGAGCAGGTTCGAGGTCTTCCAGTAATCGCTCGTACTGGTACAAGCTCCGGTGAAGACCCGGCATATCCTGGATGAACATATCTCGAAGCGAATACTTGTTCATCAGCTTGACAAGCATAGCGAATGCGTCGACCTCATCCATCTTAATGAAAAGTCAGCTAAGCTCAGCTCATTTCGGGTTGGGGGGATGTACTTACGTTGAACAGCAAAGGCATTGCAATAAAGTTCATGCCTTGGGCATAGCCAACTCCCTCATCGTACAATGCGTATGCTTTGCAAAGACCAAACAGGCCCTCTTGGCTTCCTTGGGAGACAAAGTACTTGGCGTAGCTGGTGCGAGCACCTAGGTCTCGTCTGATGGCCTTCTCTAACTTTGTGAGAGCCACCGCGTCAGTCTTTGCCTTCTTCGCACGATCAGCCTCGCTGATCGATTGTTCCTTTGCCTTATCCTCCCCTTCAACTGAAGGGCTAGGGGTCTGGCTGCGTGAGCGTGAAACAGATCCTGAGTGGTGTGAGCGAACGGAAGAGCGCGAGGACGTAGTTTCGGCACCGTTTGCTGGTCGTCCGTCTTTGTCATGTGTGGTACCACGAGCCACAAGCTCGCGGTAGGTATCCTCCAGTTCGGCAGTGTGGCAATCTGCTAAGATCTGCCAGATCACTCCTCGGATAGTCTGTGGGATGCCGCGCTTGATCGCAGCGTTCAGCTCCTCCGAGCTTGCCAGGGCTTGCGGTCCGTTGTTTACAAGCTGCTGCCACATCTCCCAATCCACAGGGGCAGTGTCGGTTACTGATCCACTCCTCGTACCAGGGTGAGTCGCTTCGGAAGAAGGGGTTGGTGGTGCAACCAGAATGGGCTCCTCTCCCTCTTCCGGGATGATAGGCGGACTAGCCCCAGACTGGCTAATGCTGGCTTGCCCTGAGCGGGCGCTCGTTTGATCGGCCTCTGGTGCCAAGCTCTCCTCCCGCAGTCGCAACATCTTAAACTGATCCTTGAGACTGTTGCGTCTTGGCTTCTTGGAGCCAATGCTTGAGATGTCGTCGCCATCGCGATGTTCCGGGTTGCTTGCGAGGGTGGATACGGATGTGGCAGTGTTGCGCCGGCTGGCTGTAAGGGACGGTGATTTGGTGTCTTTAGCGGTCGAGGTTGAACTGCGAGAGAACCACGCGAATGGACCACTTGGCTTTCGAGCAGGGGGTGGCGTGGGTGTGGGAGCGGGCGGGGGGTTCTTGTTGACCGGGGGTGCTCCCCATGGCATTGAGGGAAGACTGCCCGACAGACCCATCAACCCAGAGCTCGCTGGAGCTTCATCCTTCGGAGGCAACGGAGGGGCTTCCATCTTCTCCGGGCGGGGCGTCGTATCCGCCGGATCCTCTTGGTTGCTGTTTACCAGATTCACCTCAGCGAGTGATGAGCCCGTTGATAGACGATGGGATGTGAGCAAAGGAGATTTTGTTTCTTTCTCATTGTGTTCCTCTGTGGCCGTTTCTTCTGTCTGCGTAACCTCAGGCCCTTGTTCCGACTTGTCACTCTCATTGGGCTCGTCGGTCGTGGGTTTCACCTCATCGGTGTCGTAGATAACTTCGTCATTTGTTTCATTTCCATCACCCTCCTTACTTCCCTCTTTATTGGCCTGTTTTTTTGCCTCTTTCTTCGCCTCCCTCTTCTTCTTCTTGCTTGTGTTTTTGGGTTGCTCCCCTTCACCCTCGTCATCTTTATCCTCTGTGTCGGTGGTCTCGTGCTTCTTCTCGGCCGGCGATACAGAAGGCAGCGGAGGTCTCTCCGTGGTTTCCGGGGACTGGATTGAGCCGATTGGGGGACTATCGGTCAAGGATCGGGTGGAGGTAGACTGGGGGACGGTCACATTGAGGTTCTCCTGGATCTCGGCAGTTTCACGGGCATCGTCAAAGGACTCCTATTCACACGATAAGCTCTTGCCAAGACAGCCATCGCAGGTTACACTCTGGGCATCCATGACTTACCCCTTCGTATACGGGACTATGCTGGTTCGTAGACATCATGGGGTTGAGATAGCGACCTCACAACAATCTAGAGAGAGGACCATGCAACGGCGGATCGCAAGAGTGCCGAGGACAAGTGTTTGAGAATTCCAGGGGATCGGTATTTGCGGCAATTGGTTGTCTTTAGTCAAAGAGAGAGAGAGAGAGGAATGATCGAAGGAATTTGGGGGAGTCTCAACTGATCGAGACAGGTACACAAGACGCTGATTGGCTCCCCAGATATGCGGAATCGACGTGTCGATCAGAACAACGGCAGTCCACAGCGGCCTAATGTCCCTTGTCTTCTCTATAAACGTCTTTTCGCTGTCTTTTCTTTTCTAAATATGGAAATATTCTAGTTGAACTCTTGACCTAGAATAATAATAGGTAAGAGTAGTAAAGCAGTGAAACCCACTCCGTAGTACTCCAAAAAGTGTAACTACGAGTAGTAAAATTGATAAAAAGAGGTTAGGCCGCTGTAAACTGCTGCATAGAGCGTTATGTGGAATGCATTTCCTGTCACTAGTCCTACATGTACATATTCCTCATAGCGCAGTTTGTGCTCTCGGCTATTTTTAATATCCTCAGCGCTAAGCAGTTTATGTGATACGCGGTGGTTCCCCTCTAATGAAAGGGGCGGGGCCCGGGTGAACAAGGGAGAAAAAATAATAATAATTTAGTGGAAGCTCAGAGAGTCTTCTCGAGGTCAATCCACCTTTCGCGTCGCAAGGGATCTAACTTCTTCAACTCTGAGAGCCAGCTCAGGATTTGCTCTCGATCCTCTGTCGAGAGACTCCCTTCTACCTTGGAGGCGAGAAGGGTGTACTCGATCAATGCCTGGTAGATGTACTTGCAATCCTCCGCCCCGTCAAGCATTTCTTGGATCTCTTCAATTTCACTCCGAATATATTCCAATCTTTCGGATGAGCTTAAATGAGGGGTCATAGTACGATGGGCCATTGCTGGATCAAAGGCACCCATCAGGTTTTGGTGGTAAAACCAGAGTGACTGATCATATGGATCAATAAATGCCTGGTGGATAAGTGATAATTCTAGTTTTCGTTAGTACAACACAATTCTTTTTTTTTTTTGAAGAAACACATCAGACACACCATCATCTAACATTTTCCTCCGCTCGTCATCGGTGGCCGATTGCTCATCCAAAAGCGATTGGATCAGCTTGGTTCGGTAATGCCATGCGGAAAAGTTCGATAGATTGGCGCCGATCATCTTCTTTGCATATTCGAACTCAGTCTGCGTCATGCCTTTTGCTGCTTCGGTGGTGCCAAGCTCTTTCAAGGTCTCAACCACGAAGCGCCGGTAACCCCACCCGTGGAAATTGCGGCTATCCAGGGTCAACATCTTGCCCACAAGGGCAAGTTCTTGCTGCCACATTTGCTGTGCCTCTTCAAATGGCAACAGGCGGCGGGCTTCATCCAGCAGCCACAGGCGATAGTTCCAGATCCAGTAGCACTTGGGGAAGCTTTTGAGAAGAGGAATTAGAAACTGGAGGTCACTCGAGATTAATTGAAGAATCGGTCCAGTATCTCCGTCCGAATCTCCTGCCTGTGAGAACTGGTACCGCAGCACCCGCCGGCGGTAGTTCCAGGCTGTGTAGTACTCGGGATTCTTAGACAACAACTCTGAGATCCTGTTCAGAGTGTCGAGTGTATATTCATGCTCAGTCACCTGTCTATGTCAGAATTTGTTCAAATGGGGGTCTCAAGGAAGACAACCTTTGTGGAAACCAAGCGCTCAAGATCGCGATATGTATCAATCTTTTGTTGCTCTTGCTTTCGTGCCTCCGCGGATTTCTCGACGGGTTTGTAACGTGGCACACCATGCTAACAAAGACATCAACATAGAACATACAGTGATGGCAGTTGGATCAAACTCACGCTCGGCATTTTCGATGATGCTGTGAACAATACGTAAGTGTGTTGGACACCGATATGCGGGATATGATGAGTTGACACCTCAGGCGAGAAAATACACATGAACCAATCATAGGCCGCAGTCACTTTGTATGGTCTCACGTGACCAGATGTACTCTTGCTATTCTGGGAACTGAGGTTTCTTTCTGTGCTTTGTCCCTCTCGGTCAATCTGCTGGTATCAAGCAGAGGTCCTCATACATTCCTTTCATTGCTTAGGTGGCCCCAGAGTTATATTCACCGAAGCCCATCCATTTCATACAGAAGTATGGTAGATGCCAGTTGTCATTCCTTCGAGGAAGCCTCTCCAGCAGAAAATCCCAGGACTCCTTCATTTGTTCCCCATTCTCCATTCTCTAGCGAGAGTGGATCTATTCGAATTACTGATTTTGCAACTGTCAATTTGCCATTCTTTGAGTCTCCTGTTCCAAAGTCCAGAGCCAAACCCTACATTGCTCACTCAAAAGACAACCGAGGTTCCTCTCCAGAAAGATGGCGATATCGATTGAGAGCCGTTACTGGCCCACCAGCAGGCAGAAGCCCTATTCTTAGGATCGTCTCCCCTGATCGATTCATCCCAAGACGGGACTTTACCGAGCCAAAGTCGGCAACCTTTCGTGTAGCCAAACCCTCACAGCAACTTTCGCCGCGGGAAAGACTATTCCGCCGAATTCCACCTGGATATGACCCATTCCTACCAGCAAACTTATCCAGGACCTCTCCTGGTGTCCAGCCCATTGGCTTTCAGCGGATCCCAAGTCGTACACCGCATTTGGTCACTGATTTCAACAACTTCTCGCATGAGAGCTCGGTACAAAACAGTCTCTCTACAATTTGGAATCTCAGTGGAGCTTCTGAATCACGGGGTGTTGTCCCCATTATGCCTTATAGTGGCTCGCCAAGTGCTCCGGGTAATCGAAGAACTGCTCCAAACTTTGTGGCTCGCTTCTTACCCAAAAACTCAAAATACAACGAGGATGTCATCCATGAGTCGAGACTTGCGCTTGCTCTAGGTATTGACCTAACAAATAGATTGCTCGAGAATTCTATACCATGTCCTGATGCTCCTCTCGATCCCACATCCCCGGATTTCGAGCGCCTTTCGCCATTCGTCTGGAAAGACAGTGCATGGAAAAAGGTCGAAAGAGAGCATTGTGAGTATAGCTACTAACCTATGATTATATTTACCATCTACAGAAGCATATACTACAGCTATTAGGCCATGGTTAGAGGAACCGTCCGCTGTTCTCTAGCACGGAACTGACTGGTGTCTCCAGGGCCCAAGCCTCGCGCCAAAATGGAACCTGTCCCATCGAAGCCATTTCGGATTCTGGATGCCCCTTTCCTGAAGGATGATTTCTACTGCAGTACACTTGCATATTCGCCTATATCTGGAATATTGGCAGTTGGCCTCTGTCATCAAGTATACCTCTGGTCTGAAAGCCGTGGGGTGGATTCTCCGCCGTTCGGGGATGTGCACCCATCAAATTATGTGACTTCATTGTCATTCTCGTCTGAGGATGGAGAGAGAAGTATACTTGCAGTGGCCCGTCGGTCTGGTCAATTAACGCTGTGGAGCACATTCGAGCAGCAGGTCCGATTCGAGATCAGCCATCCCAATAGCATCACCTGCGTGGCATGGAAGCCCAAGACATCCCGACGATTTTCTGAAAGATTGACTCACGTTGAAGTGGACGTTGAAGAACTTGTCGCAGGTGATGAACTTGGAACCATTTGGTACTACTCGGTCGAGTGGAGTAGCGATGAAGATCGAGCAGAATGGAAATGGAATGGATCCATGACGCTGCTTGCCAAAATCTGCGCACACACTGAGCAAATTTGTGGACTGACATGGTCGCCTGATTTGAAGTATCTTGCTACAGGGGGAAACGACAACGCTTGTCTTCTGTTCGATATGGGCAAGATCGTTCCCCCGCAGTCGACAATCCCGCCCATCACGGTAGATTTCCCAACGAGTTTCAGCCTAGGGGCGTTCCCCTACCACGCTCTAGGTACTGTGACCAGACGACTGTTTCAACGGCGACCCGGCGCAGGACGAAATCTCCCATCATGGGTTGGTCGCCCTTCAATTACACCGTCTTTGATCCCACTCCTAAGTCACGCGGGAACCCTGATTTCCGGCGGTGGGCGAACGATTCTAGTTCCATTCGGGCGTCAAAAGTACCGCCTGTACCACTCCGCAGCAGTGAAAGCAATTGCATTCGCACCATGGCAATCGTCTCTCCTTGCCACTGGAGGTGGCTCCAATGACCGAGCCATCCACTTCTTTCATACGCGCACCGGCGCATGCCTCGCAACCATCAATGTGTTTGCCCAGGTGACCAGCCTGATTTGGAGTCAGACCCGGCGTGAGATCGTAGCTACTTTTGGCTACGCACAGCCGGACCATCCATTCCGCATTGCTGTATTTGCTTGGCCTAGTTGCGCCCAGATTGCTGTTGTCCCTTGGGGGCCATACGGGGCTAGTTGGGATGGCACAGATACTCACACCAACTTCGACTGCGGACGAGCTCTGTGTGCAATAAGGTATCCGGGAAAACTCCATCGCTCTTTGGTCTCTACCTCTCACAAACCGGAACCGGAACAGTCCCGTGAATCTTCGATTCGGACGCGTGCGAGGGCTAGGACTTCGCCGGAACGTGGAACTGGCACCGTGCGAAGAGTCCGTCCAAAGATGTCAAAACCCAAGGAGAAAGAGGGCGGGATGTGGTGTGCCAGAACTGTGGAAGAGGGTTGCATCATTGTTGCCTCGAGCGATCAGACTGTGAAATTCCATGAGGTGTGGACAGGGCGAAGGACAAGTACCGGGTCTGCCTGTGGACTTTTGGGTGGCAGCGACATCCTTGAGGGGCTGGAAGGTATTGAGAAGTGCGGTGGTGAAGTCATTCGCTGATTTTCTCGAGAGGGTTTCTATTATTGTTAGCATTATATTATTACCTAGTAGATAGCTGCAATTCGCGTTATTCTTGAGTATTTTATGTGCACCTACATACTACTGTGGTGTATTGCTCCCGGCTTGGAAGATTCTCCGTGGAATTCCACTAACCAAGAAGCGTATATCATCTGCAAGTCCATAATCAAGTCCATTATGTACTCCGTACTCCGTACATTAGTGCGTCCCTTAGTTCGTCTGACGAACGCCGATCCCTCTCCACTTCCCATCGCTAAGCTCTTGAATCGGAGCTAACATTTCAGCTCTCCCCTGTGCCGATTCATGATTCTTTTTGTTTTCTTTGGACTTTGTTTCCAGCGTTCCTCTCATCCCTCAAAATGCGATTGTCATTCCTAGCCCAGGTCCTTTTGACCTCAACAACCTTCGCCCTGGATGAATCGCTCGGCTCCACCCTGAACGTGACGGTGCTCGGTGCAAGCCACAATCGCTCCACACTGGAGTGTTGGGCTCTCAAGTCTGGCTGGCAGACCTCTGCCGAACCCGGTACATCCGGTTCGTCAGTTCTGGACCTGGGTGCGATCACTGGTAATGCGACATTTACCACTTTGCCAGCCGGCTTTGATGGTGGCAGACATAACGCGCCGGCTTTGCAGTAGGTTTTTGTTGATGGATATCGCTCATCCATAGTGAGGGGGTATATGGAATTGGATTCACGGCTGACTGCAACAGGTGGGTGGTGTTCCTATCTGGACTGGCGCATATCACACTACCCAACTCGACAACCGAAGCTCGGGTAGAGGGTGGTAAGAACGGGGCTATTCTGGCGCTTGACACTGCCGATGTCAGTGCCTTGGGTCACTACACCACTTATCCCTCGCAGGAGCGGACGGTCGCTCTGGAGATCCCCCTCCCCAAGGGAGAGGTGCCTGGTCATCGGGTTCTGCACACAGGGCCCTGTCAGGGAGATGAGCTACTTGTGTAGATGGAAGACAAGATCCCAAGACTTGAAAGACATCAGATTTAATTGTTATAGACGCAGGGCGCTCGGTAGGCGCACAAGATATCGAAAGTAAATAAAAACAAGAGATGCAGATCAGTCGAATGCATCCAGAAATATGTTCTTTTATAGACCGTAGCCTCCTAATTCGTACACAGGACCTCATTTCCGTCCACCCTTGCCCTTCTTGACAGTCTTGCTCTTCTTTGATGGCGGGGGCTGCTGTTGAGCACCATCGTCAGACTCATCTTCCGTGTCAGCAATGAAGTCGACCATTGAGCCGTCACTTTCGGCCTCGTCGTCATCATCATCTTCATTCTCCTCCAGTGACTCCTCGGCATCGGAAGAGCCAACGGATTCAGCGGCCTCGATGTCCAGAATAGGCTCCTCATCGGCATCCTCGTCATCGCTGTCATCCTCGTCCTCGGACTCACCAACACCAATCAGCATTGACTCATCCTCATCGTACGCCTGGTCGCGTATTGACTTCCGGGGTGTCTTAGCCTCAGTCTCACTATCCTCGAGGTCATCCTGGCCCTCGACGTAGATAACATTCTCCTCGTCTTCGCTGTCCATGTCCTGGTCACCACCACGGACGGATTGGCGCAGGCTCAACTGGGCGTCGAGCATGTCGAGCTTGCCCTTGAGGAGCAGGAGGGAAGGCAAGCTGGAAGAGCGCTGGTCCATCACCTTGTAAAGAGAAGCCATGCGCTTGAGAAGATCGGGGTGACCGGCCAAGGCACCGCCGTGGGCAACGCAGGTCCACTGCACCCAAACGAGGAGGTGGCCGTAGCGAGCAGGGCGGGAAGCGAGACGCTCAGCGAGCTTCTGAAGCAGGGTCGCGGCCAGGGAGGAATCAAGACGCTGAATGGTAGTGCGGATAATTGAAAGATCACCGGTGTGGAAGCATGACTCGAGCATACCGCTGTCGTTGGTCTTAAGGGATTGTGTGAGGACAGTGGCGAGGGAAACGCCAGTGGGGATTTGTTGAACAGCAGCCTGGGGCTTGCCAGGAACCAATGCACCCATCAGAACATCATCGTCAAGCTCAGCCTCTACGTCGACTTCTGCGTTGGCGCGCATGAGCTCGCCAAATGAGGGCTCAGCGCCCTCTTCCTCCTCTTCCTCCTCTGATTCGGAAGCATTTTGCATTTCAACATCAGCATTCACCGCGGCCTTGGCGGGCTTGGTTTTCTTTTCGGCAGACGGTGCCTTTTGCTTGTTGTCCTCGTCGTCGGAATCCTCCTCGCTGTCAGAGTCAGAGACAGCTTTTGAGTCCTCCATCTCCACATCATCGTCAGCCAAGTTTCCCTGCTCCACATTCATGTGAGACTCGTTGACACGGGTTTCTCCCGCGGATTTAGCTCCGCTTGTTGTGGCAGCAGCAAGTGCTGAGCTAGACTTGGTCTTCACCACAGTCTTGGTGCCAGTGAAAGAGATTTCGTCGGTCTTGTCTTCAAGGAGTGGGACGCGCTCGAAGACAGGAACCACACCACCTTCAGTGTATGCGACCACAATGTTCGGGCCTTGGAAAGAGACAGCCGCAACTGGGACGCAGGCGTTGGAGAACTCATTATGCGTGATTTTGAGGGCTGCGTGTGCCTTTTGGGTCATTTGTTTGCGGAGGGTCTTGGCAGTAGCTCCTGGGGCAGCCTGGGGCTGAACAAATGGCTTGGTGAAAAGTTCGATAGTACCATCTTCAGTAATCGCGGCAAGGATTGTGCCACTGTACGCGACTGTAGAAACCTCCTGCTCGGTGACAAGGTTGCGAACGAGTTTCTGTGTAGCGGCATCGAAGACGTTGATGAAACGATCACCATCAGAGGCGAGGAATGCACCCACGCCAGCAGATTCGGTTGAGGACGAAATGACAGTGTGGATAGGGTTGCGCATGGCCGGGAATTGCACAGGCTCGTCAGCCTTCTCGGTATCTATTAAGAACGGTGTCTGAGAGGCGCAAATCAGAGGGGTGTTCGAAGGAACAGGGCGAGAGAGCGTAGTGAAAACGGAGGATGCGGGGAGGTGAATGATCCTGCAAAGTTAGCGAAGTCGTCGAAAGCCAAGATTGATATCTTACTGGATGCTCTTTCCGGTGCGCAGGTCCCACTGGATGAGCTTGTTGTCACCACCAACACTCCAAGCCTCTTCGGCGGGCCGAGCGGCCGTGAACTTGAAATCCTTGATTCCCTTCTCATGCGCGCCGCTCAGGGTTCCGACAACCTTGTCTTCGGAGGGCGAGTACATGCGGATGTCCGATGTGTTAGTGCCGAATGCGACCACGATGTCACCTTGGTCCAAACCATCAGGGGCCCCGTTGACGTCGGAGCCACGCTTGCGCTTCTTCTTCGACTGATCGCGACCCTTGCCCGAGTTGTTGTAGTATCCCCAGTCCAGCGAGGTGACTGTTTCCTTCGGCGCCAAGACATGCTCACACTGTAGACGTCCGGTGTTGGTGTCGTGAACTCGGATGTGTTGGCCATCAAGACCTTGGATGACGGACGCAAACAGAGCCAATTGGTATTCCGATGGAGAGAATGCAGCTCGCAGGATGGAAGACTTGCTGCCCGCTTGAGCCAGACTAGAAGACGCGGCGGCAGCCGAGCTGACCTTGGTCGATGGGCGAGCTGACTTCTTTCCCATCTTGGCTGTAACTTTTTTTTAACCTCGTTTTTCTCTCGTGAGGTTTCTGCTTGTTGCAAGTAGGATATATGTGAATGGACCGGTTGAAGAGAGGAATGTCGGATTCTCCAAGAGACTCTCTTTTTTTCCACCCCTAAGGAAACAATTCGGGGCTTTGGACGGTAGTTTCGCAGTTGCTGCGGACAGGAAAAAAAATGTTCTGTAGAGCCTTGATGCACTAGTCCCGAAGTGGTTAGATAGACACCCATGTCTTATCTAATCATCCCGTGATCCAACCTCGATTTACTGCTTACATCTTTGTGTCCTTACTTCCTTGTTTTCGGACAATTCTTGGACTTAGATGGCAATTCTATTGTCATCTAATCTCTGTATACCACGATAATCCACAATTCATGGACAAAGTAACTTGGCGAGGCCACTCATCTGCTATCACACCCTTTTTTATTGATCTAGTTACCGGGAATATACTACTTAAGTATGGGGATTGATGCATCGACACCCTCGCGGATAATATGACGCCCTTGGTGCCTGAGTTTGGCATGATTCTAATATCGATGCCCTTCATAGTAGGCATCAACATTTCTGCCAGTAAAGCAAGCAATTGAAGCACTAAGCTGAACAGTATAAACAGAGTGGGTATTTTTTATAGATGCGGCAGTTGGCTTTCTAGACTACGAGGATGCTAGTTATAGAAAGTGGAACGGAAAATGGAGTACAACTTTAGAAAACGGAATAGAAAATGCGATGAAAAGAGGAAATGTTCAAGGTGTCGCATTATCCAAAGGAGTGTCATACTATCCGCGAGGGTGTCGATGCATCAATCCCCTATACTATTGTTCAATGACATGTGCTTTGAATACTTTGAATATTCCCCTTGAATTGCCATCCAACCTCACGGGGGACAATTCGCTCCTAGTGGAAGGGGAAATGATACCCAGATAGGGAACGGCGTGGAAGAATTTAGACAAGGTGTAATGGTTAGCAAAATCGACAACCATTGAAGCCGATTTGACAGGTTTAAAACTGTAGATAGGTAACGATGGGGCAGAGAGGGGTATATGAAACACCCCGGGGTTGCCCTGCTCAGCTGCACCTTGAGACCACATCTCCAGGGCTTAGAAATGGGGTAGCGTGAGTTAATTCTCTTGCATGTGTTTTCCTTATTACTTGGTGATGAATCCGAATCAACCTTGGAACGAGATACTAAAATTTAGGAGGTACTCAGAATTACAATCGACGAGGTAACTCTAGAGTTCTTGATCTAAAGATGTAGAAAGATGTCCAAGTGGATTGTGGCGACGGACCTTGTATACTCCGCACACGTCTGTGTATCAGATCTAGATTTTCCCCTTCCATTTTCTCTCGAGTGAAGCGTCATGGTGCGATAAAGAAGACTCAACAAACTCCTGAAGTTGAGGTGGGTACCTAGGTATCATCACACACGGGATATATAGGCGAGCAGCTCTATAGGGTATCTTGTATCCTTTCAAGTCCGATGTTGCTGTGTACGCTCACATGGGCATCCATGGATATTTCTGAGGCAGCCCTGGCGATAACTTTACCTAGGTAGAATAAATCATCGGAGATGAACACCTAGAATTTTCAAATGGAACTTTAGAATTTTTACTTAAGTACTTGCTCCATACCCGGCAAGTAACTTTTAATGTAGCACTTGGGTACTTTGGGATGGCTGACGCAGTTTACACCTGGGCAGCATTGAAACTTAGAAACAACGCATTGAGACTTGAATTTACATTTTTCTGTCAGCCCTGGAGTGTATCCATAGATTCTTCCAGGATTATCTTCCATCCTCGGAGTACACTTAGAAATTTCCAAGGTTCTCAAGTTAGAACCTTTTGAACATATATATTCCCATACCTCTGCCCGACAGTATCTGACAGAAGTACTTAAGTATACAACAAACAGCGAACCACAACTTTAGAACTGCCTGGGTATTTCCACACACTTACAATATGTAACGAGTAACTGTAGAACTTCTGCGAGGAGGTGTTGAGTCAGATTTAATTCCAGAAGTATATCAGGGCAAGATCTCAATCTGATTGGACAGATCTCTGAATTTTTTTTTTTAAAAAAAAGAAAAACACAATCATGTGATCTCTACCCAATCTGTAAGGGTCTAGGTGCAGGCCCGCAGTGCAAAGTACCGATTGGTAATTCACCAGAAGAGGTGCACCCTAGCATGTTTCAAACATCTATGACATGTACAATGCCAGTGCCCTTGCGGAATCCAATACAACGAAGAACGACAATGAAGTTCAATCTATGGAGGACATTGGCACAGGTCACGTGGATGCAATTGAGTGGTGACGTCGGGACCTCCTAGCCCGCATTCGGCCAGAGCCCTAGGGTTCTGAGTCATCTTTGCACCTGAACACTCCCATCACGCAAGCAGACAAGTAGGGTGAAAAATGAAAAGCAGAGTAACTTGAGAGTGATGTTTGCCGTAGTGTTAGTGAAGAGCTTTATATATTTTCTGCTCTTTCATCAAGGGTGTGAAGGAAAGAAAATAAAAGAAGAAAAAAGCCGATTCCATCAGGGGATGGGAATGGAAAGAACCAATCAACAAGGGGGAAAGGTAGGAGAATCCGGACTAGTGTGGCTGGTGGAACTGGCAACAGGAGAGGTGAAGGCGGCCGTTTGTACTTAAGGATTCTGGCATCCCCTCCGAGGATTTTTCTGCTTCTGTCCTGGTTCTCCTATTTTTATTCCTCTGACCGCCCCCCCTTACACTAAACACAACAAACGCGTCTCGCGTTCCCTCTTTTAACCGCCTCCCCCCCTCTTCTTTTTTATTTTATTTTTTTATTTTTTTTATTATTGATTTTTTATTTTGCCTTTAATTGTTTGCCCACATTTCTGCCCCAGGCACTGCGTCCCCACCTTAGCTCTCTACCTTCTGTCTATACTCTAGACGGGTCTACTCTCACGTGACTAGCCATACCGCCTTCTTGGCAGTATAAATTACATCGTCTCCGATCGCATTCTCCACTCTTCCTATCTCCCGACCTCTGACCTCACCATTTCCAGGTCGCGTTCATCCGCCACGTTTGAATTATTTCGAACGTTGCGAGGTCTCGAACGCGCCAGAAATTAATCAGACGCGTTTTTCAATCGCGATCATCGACTGGAGGTCCATTTCACCAACTCACGACACCTTCCTCTTCACTTCCAACTGATGGCGACCCCGCCTCCCGAGGCCCCTCCCGCCATGAAGGAGGACAAGCCTCAGCTGCCCCCGTCCCCGACTGGTCCATCTGCCCCGGACATTCCGGAGACCAGGTAAGCTGAACCTTAGTCACCTCTAATACCAGAATTCGTAATCTTACCAGCGCGCAGTGTGCAAGCTACCACCGATTCCAAAAACCAATCCTCTGGCGATGCTGAGGTCAAATCACCCGCGTTGAACGGTCACGGTCCAATTGCGCCCTCAACCACCAACGGCACAACCACAACAAACTCTCCCCCAAAGTCTCCTGCGCCGGCACCCGCTCTACCCGAGCAACCCGCCCAAGAGACAGCGCAAGTTGCAGAGACACAGGAACCAGCTAAATCCAACGAAGCATCTCTCACTCCCGCACCCAACAACACCGAGAGCGCGACCTCAGTTCCAGCTCCAGCTCCATCTTCAGTTGCTACTGAGCTTCCTACCGCTCCGGCATCTGCCGAGAGCACTACACCGGCTCCAGCTCCAGCTCCGACTCCGGCTTCAGTTCCAGCTTCAGTTCCATCTTCAGTTCCTGCTTCAGTTCCTGCTCCTACTGCAGCCCCAACTCACATTCCCACCACTTCTGCTGGCCCCGACACCGACGCAATGGCCATCGATACTCAGGACAGTCCGGCTGCCGTGAAAACCGAACTTCCTCACCACCCAACTACTGCCCCCACCTCACTCTCCCTTCAACCCAATGACCAAGAAATGAAGGACGCCCCGGAACCCCCGCTCTCACCTTCCAAGGTTCCCCGACAAAGAGATGCCGATCTCAGCGAAGAGCCAGCTGCCAAGCGGACCAAGGTTGAGGGCGATGATTCTGCCCCCGCGGGATTCAAACCACAAGAAATCCCAGCTCCGGCTCCATCCCCTCCAAAGCCCTCACCCAGCCGGACAAGCAATGGACCGGGCCTCACCAAATTGCAACACAAGTTCATTTCCAAGTCGCTGAGTTCTCTCAAGCGGATGCACGATGCACGCTTCTACAAGGAGCCAGTCGATCCTATCAAGCTTAACATCCCGCAATACCACACCATCGTCACCCAACCCATGGACCTAGGAACCATGGAGAGGAAGCTGAAGACTAACCAGTATGCCTCACCTCAAGAGGTCTCCGATGACTTCGCTCTCATGGTCAACAACACCACCATCTTTAATGGTGTGGACCACTTGGTCACCCAGGAAGGTATCAAGTTGAAGGCCACGTTTGAAAAGCAGATGCTCAGCCTTCCCAAGGCCTCGGAAGTGGAACCCTCAAAGCCGAAAAAGTCAACCGAGAAGACATCAGCTGCGCGTCGTGAGCCCCGAACTTCTCTCCCCAGTCAGCCCAAGGCGGCTTCCCCACAAAACCAGACCTTTGCACTGGGACCAGAGGGAGTGCCCGTCATTCGTCGTGATTCCACCAACCCCGATGGCCGCCCAAAGCGATCCATCCACCCTCCCAAGCGTGATTTACCTTACTCAGTTAAGCCGAAGAAGAAGAAGTACCAGTGGGAATTGCGTTTCTGCCAGGAGGTGCTGGAAGAAATGCACAAGAACAAGCATTACAACTTTGTCATGCCTTTCTATTTCCCTGTCGACCCCATCGCTTTGAACATCCCTACCTACCACAAGGTGATCAAAGAGCCGATGGATTTGTCTACAATCCAATCCAAAATCAAGACCGGTCAGTACGAGAATGCCAAGGAGTTCGAACACGATGTCCGCATGATCTTCAAGAACTGCTTCCGCTTCAACATTCCGGGTGACCCCACTTACATCTGTGGGCAACGCGCGGAAGAGATCTTCAACCAGAAGTGGTCCCAGAAATCGGAGTATCTCGATGCCCATGAGCCTCACCCTGAGCAGAACTCCGATTATTCCGACGAGGATAGTGACGAGGAAGCCGAAGAAAGCGAGGAGGACGACCAGAAGCTCACTCTTCTTCAAAAGCAAATCGCCGAGATGTCACGCCAGGTCGAGGCTATCACCAACAAGAAAAAGAAGACACCTCCTTCTTCCAAGAAGGTCGGCAAGGCGAAGCCAGCCCCAAGCAAGAAGGTCAGCTCTGGCAAGAAAGATAAGAAGAGCAAGAGCTCTAAGAGCGGCAAGGAGCGCGCTATCACATACAACGAAAAGCAAATTATTTCGAACGGCATCAGTAGCCTTCCAGACAAGAAGATGCAGCAAGCTCTTCAGATCATCCAGAGCAATGTTCCGGCTCTCAAGGTAAGCAGAATACAAGGGTTTCTCCCTACTTTCTTTTTGCATAACCTAACTTGTTGTTCAGGGCACCGACGAAGCTGAAATTGAGCTGGACATTGACGAGCTCCCCAACGACGTTTTGCTTCTGTTGCTTAACTTCGTGAAGAAGAATGTCCCTCATCTCACGGATGACGAGGAGGATGCTCCCGCTAGCAGCGTTGCCCCTCCCAAGCCGAAGAAGAACAAGCCGATGAGCAAGTTCGAGCAAGAGGCGCAGATTAACATGCTCCAGAGCAACCTTTCCCGCTTCCAGGGTGGTGGCGCCCTCTCCCCAGAGCCCGTGGCTTCCGTCGAACGAAACGATAGCAGTGATGAGTCGGATTCATCCGAGGAGGAGAGCGAGGAGGAGTAACTTCGCCTCGTACAAGATGGCCCTTTATCCTGACTTGCGTTCTAAGCGTCGACTTTTCTTTTCTCTTTGGTCAGTTTTCTCATTATCTCTTTTCACGTCACTCCTGCGGTTCCGAATCTGTGATCCCCGCCAGCAACGTCTGTACATATTTGATGTCAAATACCCTTCCGAGGTCGGCAAGGCCCGCTGATGTGCCTCGTACCGGCGTTGTCCTTTGGGTCTTTTCTCTGTGTACACTTTCCTCCCGCTTTATTCTCTTCTAGGATGGGTGGACGAGGTTGCTTTTTATTCTTTTGATTTTGCGTGGCGGGAACTGGGAGTTGATCGGAAGCACTGCTTCAACTTGTACGATTACGAGAGAAACGCGGCAATGCAAAATGAACATGTACTTTTACTCGTAAATCTAGTCCTGTAGTGCCCTGTAGAACAGTAAGTAGCCTGGAGCCTGTACGGAGTAGTGCGAATCCCCACTTTCTATATCTCTTATCGGCACTCCAGCTTTCGGCGGTGAACTTCCCTCATCAACAATGTTCCCACCATGCGATCCCTCCATTCTCGAGCACAACCCTCAATTCAAACGATTGTATGAGAGCCTCACAACCTCCCTTCTCACCTCCGATGCCTCGACCCGCACTCAACCCAGAAGCTCGGCCCCCGCAGTCGTGGAAGTAAGTAAATGCGCCGCCCACGCGTTCAGAGCTAACCATACACAAGGACCTGAAGCAATGCCAGACCCAGCATGCCAAAAAGCGAGTCAAAGAGCAATTACTCGAGGAAATTGCCTTTGTCCCCGATACAGCCCTATCAGCAGACGTGAGGAACCCAGCCTCTCAGATGAACACACTCTCTGACATCTCCCAGCACCACGATAACCTAGCAATAATAACACTGTTCCTCTCATCGCCCCCAGGGGCCCTAACCCTGGGCCAAGACAACGACACCCTATCTCTACTAAGCCCGGACATCCAGACATTCACATCAAATCTCCCAACTCTAGTCCAACCCCTCTCAAGCCTCCTCAGCAAATCGATATACGACCTCCGCGCCCTCTCAACCCAACAACAAGCCCCAGAGCCCGAGCTCCCCAGTCACCATGCGCGCGCACGCGCCCGCGACCGCCGCGCCCGCACCTCCATGGCCCCCATCCCTCTTCTATCAGACGAGCTGAGCTCCCGCGTCCGCAACCTCCGCCAGGCCCAGCTTGTCGAAGTACCCGCCGCCCGCCGCAAGATGGCCGTCACGGCAGCAGAGGTCATCGCATTGCAAACACACATTCTTGAGCGGACGGTTGTGATCCTCGAGAGGGCGAAGTATGGGGCTCTTGCGCGAGCGACAAGGGCCAAAGCAGACCATTTGGCCATTGTTGCTCAGGGCGTGGAGGGAAAATTGGAGTATGTATCCCATAGCTGATTTGTTGGGGCTATGCTAATATGTGCAGGGTTACGAAATTGGAAATTGGGGCCATGATATACTCCCCCGAGACTGTCGCTGCTCTTTCAAGGTATAAAATGCATTTGGTAGAGACGGCGGAACGTTTAGAAGAGCTGAGGAAGGCTGCTACTGCGGACTTGAAGGCTCTTGGGGACCCTGACCTCTGTGGTTTGGATGGAGGGGCTCTTGACGATATCAAGAGCCGGTATGGCACCTTGGCCAGGGAGGTTGAGTTGGTTAAGGCGGAAATTGCTCAGCTACGGGAATGACAGCCCCGGGGCTTTCACTACCACCAGGGCTACGTGCATAGGTAGGCAATGATAGGGCCTAGTCGTTTTGATATCTACTCTGACCTTGCACACCTAGGCATCTTCCGGCGGTTTGTATAAACCATGTACATGTCCAGTTCTCCATCAGAAGTTTATGTCCAAATGAGTTGACGTCAAGACGTGAAGATGTATATCTAAACCTGCCCACGCTATTGTGAACATCCTAAATCCGAACAGGTTCCTGACTTAACCCCGGGAGTCACATGACCGTGCCAAACTTTTCTAGTCTACAGAGTAACCAAATCGACTCATTCGCCACAACTGCGTTCAAACCAAAATCTTCAAAATGGCCGACGACGGACTCAATATCTATGACGAGATTGAGATCGAGGACATGACCTTCGACCCAGCTGTCCAGATCTACACATACCCCTGCCCATGCGGCGACCGCTTTGAGATCGCAATCGACGACTTGCGCGACGGCGAAGAAATCGCCGTGTGTCCCAGTTGCAGCCTAATGATACGCGTGATTTTTGACGTGGTACGATGTCCTCCAAGCGGTTCATTTGTGTTCATGTACTAACGATTTGCCCTGCGGGGTACTCTTAGGCCGATCTTCCCAAAGCATGAGCGCAAATCAGAAAACAAGCATAAAATGGGCGTGTCGCAGAACGAGCTACTCTTGAGACCCGATCTGGAAATCGGATTCTGCGCCAATCTGGAGTGTCTGGGTTGAGGGCGACCGTTTCAAGGGCTGTCACCCCCACCTTGATCATGACCGGTCTCGCTGCGCAAAATTCACGCCACATTTGGAGGGTGAAAAACTGCCACATGGCTGCGCGCTGATGCTGGATTAGTATCTACCATATCAGATGAAGGGGCACTTGCCAATGGGCTTGTAGGTCTATGGATCCACTGGGACTTGGGCTCGGTCTCTCTTCTTTTTGACGGCTTCGCCTCAGGAGAATCTCTACATCTTTGGCAATGTGTCGCATCCCGAGTCAAGATGATTTTAAACACATGGCTTGTAATGCTCACGCATTTTTTCTTCTCATAGCACGCCTGAGTCGATGATATCGCTCATTGAAGTGTTTTGCTTTTTCTCACCCATTCATATTGATTGCACCAAACACGATACCCAAAAGAAATTCAAGTTTCCGGCTCACTACAAACTGCGTTGAGGGCCTTTACAATACAATGTGACGAGCCCAATGTTATATATCGATATCCATGCATTACATTGTACACCATATGTGACAAATCAACAAGACTCTAATGGTTCCCCATTCTCATCTATAACAGACAAGAATATTACTCAACAATCTCACTGTAGATATCCTGGGGTAGACGCAAAGTCAACTCCGAGTTCAGCAGATCGGTCAAGTTAGTTCCATCACGCAGGTAAATCCACTGCCCATTGACGAAAGGTCGCGAATCCTGCTTCTCATGCATGTAGTCGCCCTCGACAATCCAGTCGAATCGCTTGGGCCCAGAGATAGGTGAGCTGAGCCAGATTTGCTTGTTGGGTGGTTGCTTGTTGAGCACGAAGGTGCCAATTGCGGGAACGGAAACGTTAAGAACGCCAGCCTATTGCGTAAACATGTTAGGACCGAGCTTTGGAATAGGTAACCATGGAGATTGTGACAGGAATGAAGATGCAGAAAGGCAAGATGGAAAACATACACTGTACTCTCCTTCAACATCGGCACCCTCCTCTTGCGCCGACTCAAGGTGAGCTAGCAGCACATTGAAATAGTGCTCCGAATACTCGTAGTACTCCTCTGCTGACAATGGCGAAGGCTCGGTGATGTGACTAGCAGCTCCAGCCACTGGTGCAGACTGTGGGTTTGGAGCCGGGGGGTCCGCGGACTCTGGGTGGATTCCCTTGCGAATTGCTGGGGAGGACTGGAAGCCGCGAGTGAATTGCGACGCCGCAGGGCGGATGGCACTGGCTCGAGGGATCGATGAACGGACAGATGGCCGAATGGAGGCGAAAAGTGCCCGGGATGCTGTACGAGGAATCATTTTGTGGATGTATAGAGTGTCAAAAAGCGGCGCGGATGGAGGCGTGATGATGCGGAGAGAGATAATTTACATCATTGCTCCTCACCGCCTACTATTTTTGTATAGCTCGAGTAATCATATTTGATTGGATGAGAATTTCCTCGATGAGGCATCGTGTTTATTGTGAGAGAAGTATAGACTTGGAATGATCGTCATAATAACCACATGTACATGGTACATGGTACATGGTGAGCACATTTGAGCCCGTCAATTGAGCAGAATCTTTCAATTTGAACACTGGAAGATCGCGAGCAAGGAAGTATAGTCCGTTCTAATTCAATGCAGAAACAGCAATCTGAGTCGCGAAAGTCATGCTGAATCCTGCAAATGAGAGAGAGAAAGAGAATATGGCCATCTGTGCAGGCGGAGCTGAGCACTGGGAGCGAAGCTTCCAACAGAACCATGGCGTCCTTGCAGGGCCTTCCTCTTCTCACGCGTGTGAGTGCGACTCTCACATTATCCTGAGCGAACATCACGACATCTGTTACTGGAGAGTCCTCCATGAATGGCACAACTGGGTACCTCCTTCGACGGGGGTTTTAGCCATGCTTGCCGCCAGACCCCCCGAAAAAGACATGATGATGCTCGAGGAGCCGAGAATAAGCAGATTCTCCAACAAGTCATCGAGACTGCCATGGTCGCTGACCACTACACGCCGGGCCTCGTGGAAGACGTACTGATCATTGTCTTGCGTACTTCAACGTTAGTGCAATGGGACCTGACATATTGTACTTAGCCATGCCATGGATGCCAGGTAAGGCCAGAATGGAATGAATGTCTTCAAAGACAAGGTACTGCGTAATTGGCCCTAGGTCACGATGAGCTAGGAGTCCCGAGGCAAAATCACCTTAGCCGATCAAGCCAACTGCCCATCGGTTCCCAGCGACCGTTGGGAACAAGTTGTGTAGACACATCGGGTCTGTCCGGCGAACGAAAAACGCCATGAGTTTCCCTCAAGCAAGACCGCGCGTCGCCAATCTAAAGATGGTTCTTCCAAGTCAGTACTCGTACTTTGTGTTTGAGGTTCGCGGACTAGTCCAATTTAGCAGAAAGATTAGGCACTGCAGTTTCAAAGCCATCTCCGGACTCCCCGAGAGAGTTGAAGGTGTGTACGAGTACTCCGTACGTTGTACCCCGTACCTCCCAGACCCATCTCGTATTGAGGTGCAGCGAGAGACGATGACGTGGGCATGGCGCTAGCGGGGCCCAGCCTAGAAGCGAGACTCAGCAGCTCAGTACGACAAGCCACCGCAACGAAGAACCACCCGAGGTTCGGAAATTGTATCATGAATTGATAGTCCGAATAGACCGGAGTATGTAATTGTTGTTGACTATCCACGTGGTCAGGATTGCAAAGAGGTCCGAATAGAGTCTGTTTCAGATGGAACTGCGGTCACCTCGAGATGCATGCACAGTTGCCGGGAAGTTTGGCCGTCGGTCTTGGCTGCAGTGACTGCAGTGACTGCAGTGACTGCAGTGTGATCTCATTGCGATCTCGCAAGTGGCGACCATGCGAAAACCACACTACGTGGGGAAGGGGAAAGAGACCAGTCAGTCACATCCATAGGGTACACCTGAAACCTTAATGAAGAAAAACTCCGAATCTGCTTGGCGCCTAAGTCCATGTAGTACATACCTAGGTACATAGGCCGTGTCCATACACAGAACGGAGTAAAAGTGGACGGCCTCGTACTTCGCGGTACTTCGTTGGTACGGGGTATACTTGAGTACACCGAACAGCCTATGGGAGCGCCTGGAGTGAGTGCATCCATTCAGGTGCAGGGGCCCCCCAAGACTTGAGGGAATTACTAATGGGTGGCACAACGTAACCTCCAAAAATCGGCAAAAAAAAGGAAATCGAATTGCCACGAGAACTCGAACACTAAAGAACATGCAGAACGGGGCAGAATGGGGCTCAACGGGGCGCACGCAAGCCATCGCGCGATGTACCGGAACGTAACACCGGCGTGTAGTCCGGCAAGGCTTGTCATGGCTTTCGATCGGCAGGGGCATCAGAGGGGAGGTTTCACCCCTCTTCTTTTTTAGCCCTAGAAAAACGTCAGTCGACCCATCTGGATGGAGCAAGGAGGGCTACGATAATATTGGACAAAAAGGGAGACCACAAAGGCCTGGATCTGTAGGTGAAACATGTCGATCCGCATGGAAGATCAATATGAGTGGCCGAGTGCATTGTGTGGCGCCAATGGTACGTATATTTTTGTCGGTGTGTCATATCTGCTGGCAATAGGACCGACAAGTATTTTGTCTGTACCTCTTTTCGTAGAGTAAAAGCCAAGGGGAGAGAGTCTTCCAATTTACTCCGTGTGATTCTTTCCCTCAACGGGGTTTGTTTGTTTCATTAATCGTACCTGGGATGAAGTTCGGGCAGACTGTGATGTGATTGGATGCTCGGGGGCTCATCCAAAGATGTACATCCATGGACACCAATCAGCGAATGTCCCCTGGCCGGGTACCAGGGAACCGCCCGGTGTGACTGCATGGCCATTGGGAACACGCACTTGAATCCGTGGTTTGTCAAGTTGACGCTCTCCACTCCACACTTCGCATGTGAAGTGGAATAATATCGTCTCTGCTAGGGATGATCGAGTGATTATTGACTATTGATTCTATTTTGATCGATCTGAACCCTGATTATCGCACTTGATCGCCCTCTTGGGCTATCAAATCTCCCAATTTCAAGGCCCTGGACGGAGTAGTATTCCGTATTGCCTGCGGGCTCAAAATCAATTGTGATAGACCTTCATCGCAGTCCAGGCCATAGTGGAGTCCAATATGATTCTGGACTGTGGAGTACAACCCGATTATCTTTTTCCAAATCTTTTCGCTCGACGACAAGTAGGGCCACGGCCGATTCTCATTGGAGTGTAAATGAGAAACGCTCGGTTCAAGCCAATCACCATGGTTCCTGTTCCTGTCAACGGGGAGGCGCCTCCGATCCATCCATCGCCTCCCCCTGCTCCCTGGCGCCAATGAAATCGAGAGTTGATTTTTGCCCTGGCGAGAGACATGGTTCTAATGTAGAACCACTTCGTTGGCGTGAGAGCATCCAATTAGGATTTTCACCGGTGATCCACAGACATGAAGAAATGATGTGGCTCAGGTACGGCCCAGCCAAGTGGTTTGGGTGGTAACTTTGGCACCCATTGTGTGCCTGGGAGATTTAAAGCCCTCCTCATCCTCCTCCTCCTTCTCCCTTGATCATCTTTTGCATCATTACACACTCCTTCCTTTGCTTTATCTAGTCCTGTGCCGTGCACGGTCTGAGACTCACTCTCTTTTAAGCCACTTGCTTTATATACACTCCTTCTGTGCAAAGATTGAGAACCGGTTTCTCTCTTGTCTATCATTTAGTCCATTCTTCTGTGACTTATCGAATCTATATACACAATGGTTTGCTTCACCAAGCTTTTCACTGCTGGCATCGTTGCCACTGCAGCCATCGCCGCTCCCGTCGAAGTCAAGCGCACTACTTCCAGCAAGCGTGGTGCCGCCTACAATGACATCTCTACTGTCTCCACGCTGAGCAACAGCGGTGTCATCTCTTGGGCCTACAACTGGGGTGGCTCCATCTACGGAGGAGACATGCCCACCAATGTGGAGTTCATCCCCATGCTCTGGGGAGCCAAGGACTTCGGCGGCTGGATCACCACCGTGGAGACCATCCTTGCCAAGGGCAGCAACTACATTCTCGGCTTCAACGAGCCCGACATGTCCTCGCAGGCCAACATGAGCCCCTCCGACGCTGCCGGCTACTACAAGCAGTACATCACCCCGTTCTCCGGAAAGGCCAAGCTCATCTCTCCTGCTGTGACCTCCTCCACCGACTCTGGACTCGGTCTGAGCTGGTTCGAGTCTTTCATCGGTTCTTGCAGCGATTGCAAGATCTCCGGCCTGGCTGTCCACTGGTACGGTAACAATGCCGATGAGTTCAAGTCCTTCGTTACCAAGGCCATTGACACTGCCAACACTCACAACCTGTCTGAGGTCTGGATCACCGAGTTCGCTCTCAGCGCCGATGCCAACGGCTCCTCTGACTTCGCTACCACTACTGCCTTCCTCAAGGAGGTCGTTCCTTGGTTGGACTCCCAGTCCGGTGTCACTCGTTACTCTTACTTCATGTGCGCCGAGAAGTACCTTCTCACCGACAAGGCTCTCAACGAGGCCGGCCATGCTTACACTTCCTCTTAAGAGGTGTTTGATTTCGGTAAACGATTGTGACGAATAGTAGATAGCAGCTGTACAGCCATCCTGTTTGTCATTTTTGTGAGATGTGCTAGCGAATCGTCTTTGTCATTTACATATTTTGGGAGTTACATACAAAAATATCCAATTTGATTTTCCTTCGTTTGAAATTTTGAGATCTTAGTCCTGTTGAGTACTACTTCAATCGTGATCATATAATTGTTCTTTTTCGTCCGTAACATCATGCTCCAGTATTATGCATAGCTGATCATAATGTTGTTCTTTCCCGTCCATAAAGTCATACTTAAATATCATGCACAGCTAGCTTAGGCATAATTATAGACATGTAATCAAGAATTTCAAGAGCAAGTAAAGGGCTTGCTCACAGAGCCCGACTGGAACTTGTGAATCTGCCATTCACGGTTAGCATTGCGTAACCCGGGGGAGAGAATGAGGCAGCCTTACCAACTCTGCGATGCTAGAATATGTGCCACATCCGAAGATAATCATGCCAACGATGAAAACGACACCATTCAAGATCGCCGGTTTCAGATTATGCTTTTCGTACCAGGCGCCCTCTTTCAAAAGCACAAACCACATGATTGGTGGGATATAGAAGGACAGACCCGACACAAACAAAGCCGAGATGATCGAAAGCAGCTCAGAAAAGATCGGAATTGCCTCTGCAATGATCCAAGCCAGAATCGTGACGACGAACACAAGGCCGAGCCAGGTCATCCAGCCCTTTTTTGTGTTCACGTAGCGGACAATTGAGTCTTGGTATACCTTGCCGTGAATGTATCGGCAGACAACGGTCGTGTTGATTGATCCCGAGATAAAGATGACGGGAAGTGCGATTCCAAACACGACTCTGGAAATAACTGGACCTGCTGATAGCAAGGCGGGAGACTGAACTTCCTGTCCCACAAAGGCGTAGATGATTGAGCCGGTGAGGGTGTAAATGACGATTTGAATTCCTCCCAGCCACCAGAGTGTTTTGGTATAGTCTTCGGGAGTGTGCATGTCCTCCATAAACGATGGCAGACATCCAGCGAATGAAAACGCGAACACGATATTGTTAGCGGCCACGATGGCCGCCGAAAATGTAAGTCCAGGCTTTGGCCAGGCTGACCAAGGAGTGTGGTCGACGAAGGTGCCGGTGCCACTCGAACTTTGGATCCCGGTCGCGATCATAGTGACGCCAATAGCGATGATGATCGAGGCGAAATCAATATAGCCCAGTATAGCCACTTCTGCAAATGAAGGGGGAATAGCGAGAAGAAGTAGAATCACAGCCGACACAACACTGAAAATGATCGAGCATTCGCTGCTTTGGGTGATTGTCTGGAACGCGATCGCTCCGGTCAGGCAGTGGGATCCGATGACGAAGACGAGGAGGGCGACAAAGCTGCCGAGGAAAATCTTCGAGCCAACATTTCCTAGCAGAAGTTGACCGACGTCTGCATAGTGTCCGACCTGTGGGTATCGAAGCTTGGTTTCGCCGATACTGTACCCTGCATACACGGCCACAAAACCGAGGCCAACAGTCAAGATAACACCGGCTACCATGCCAAGGGAAGCGAATGCAGAAGGCAATCCTAGACTTCCCAAGGCAATGGCTTCGACAATTGTGATGATGGTCAATCGCTTCCAGCCTAGTCGACGAAATCGCGCCTCGCCTTCCAGAATTCCCTGGATCTCAGGATCAGAGAACTGATCCTTTGGAAGTCCTTCGCTAGCCATTGTAGAGAGTCAAGACCAGACCGTTGTAGGGGAAGAGGTAAAAAGGAAAAAGGAAACGTTGTGATCAAAGTGCGGATCAGATAAGATCAAAAGGGTTATATGGGCCAGGATACCGCGCTTGACAAGTGGAGTTGTGCCGGGTCATTGGAAGTATTTTGCTAGGGCTGATTTAGAAAGATACTACTGATTCGTGGAGTTTCAGACGCCAAGGTTATCTTAACTGAATTCTGCAGGTCGAAGCCAAGTAGCGTCGGGCTAAGCCGAAGTTGCAGTCCATTCTCTGCACCGCTAGGCTTATACTGGATAAGCACCCCGACCCTTGACGATGGTTAATTTAATAAACGTAATTTCACTCCGTAAAATCATCGTCGGTTACTGTCAATGTCTTGGCGTAAAAAACAATCATACGAATATAAGCTCATGTGAAGAATGGATCAGAAGTTGATATTAAGATTATTGCGTGGAGGCAGTCAGAACTGTTGCAGTGACAGCAAACCAAGGGAAATAGCAAAGATACAGTACGTCGTGTTTCACATGAAAAAGAATGAATCGTGCGCCAAATGAAAGCTGAACCCAGACGCCGCGTTCATGCTCCATCACTAGAGTGAGTATGTGAAGATCGGTTGCAGCTCCTTAAAGAAAGCATGCTGGGCTTTTCTCATATCCGCCTCATCTTCAAAGTCCCGAAGAAGCTTACACTTCGAAAAGTCAAGGAAACACATCTCGATGCGGAACTCAGGCTCATCCCCCAACTTCACAATGATTTTGTCAGGGGTCAGTGCGTTGGGAACGACTCCAAGATCCATGATCTTACACAAAGTCCGAGTAGTCTGGTCAGTGATGGCCGGCCACAGTTTCATCGGCGCATGGCGCGGGAACTCCGCAAGTGGGAATCCATCGTGATACTGAAAAAGCAAACCAGGTATCTCCAAACATTGTGGGTTGGTAGGACGCGGAAACTCCGGTTTCTCTATCACCGTGACCTTTGAGATGAGTCGAGGAACCTCCGTGCCCTGTAGAGATTGAAGCAGGGAGTACGCCTCAACCTCTGTGTCGAATAGATTGCGCATTTTCCCACAGAAAGCAACTTCGCAAAAAACCTGGAAGGTATTCTCATGCGCGACCCGATCCCTGGGGCGAAGGTCCTCGCTGTAAGTTGTCAGTTGATTGTCTCGGTGAATTAGCGTATTGGACTTCAACTGACGGGTTATTGTCAAAGGCCTTGAGCCTTTTGATGAGATGTGCCTGGACCACGGCTGGGGTACCGTCCATGATCATGCGAGCATATCGAGTCTCCAACGCAGATGACCAAGGGATAGCCCCAGAGGCGCGACGCAGTCCGGCTGCATGTCTCCGATCAAAGAGTTTCAAGACGACTTTCCCTTGTATACCGACGCAGGAAAGATCACTGTCAAACAGTAAATTCATTGTGCAGGAAGAATTGAAGGGCTCGTAGATATGGAGGATCGTCGCTCTGGCAGAGAAGGTGTCGTCGATCATCAGGCTGATCTTTTTGCTGACTCCGTACGGGTATCTAGACATGTTAGATCGAGATATTTTTCATCAAGGAGCGTGTCTCACGTGTGTGGTGGTTCCATAATTCTTGCAGTTGGATTTGGGAAGAGTTGGGTTGAGGTGGAAGTGGGAGTAGAGTAAGATGAGAAGTAAAATGCGACAGCAAGCACAGCGCGAAAAGGTATGAGGGGATTGGCTTGCCAAATTCTCCAGGCTTTCTTCCTGAAGAGATGTGCAGAGACACATTTTCTGGAGACCAGACGTCTCTCCCTTTCCTCTACCACCTGGGGTGTTTACTAGAAGAACAATTACTTTCGGCATATGATCGAGCTCTTATCGCAATCGAAGATCCAAAAAGAGGGACCCTTTCTTTTCTCCATTGAAACGCAGTTAGTCATAGCAAAGAGTATCTCAGTCTTTGACAATGCCGAGGATGAATCTGCTGGGGGTTATGCTCACATCCAGTCCGGCTTGTCGACCACCTACATGTCATAATCTGGGATAACTGTATCACAAATTGTCTTCTTGAAACCCATGCATATCATGAGCTCAATCCATCACCGCGGAAATTGATCTAATAACCCGAGGGTCAAATTTCGTGAAAGAGCTTGACGGCGGTGATGCTATGGCCTGGGTTTACAGGCCAAAAGGCGAGTATTTTCTGGCAATGATTGTGCGTCTGATGAGGATCTTGATTTGAGGCATGTAATTGAAGGTCTTGGGAATGGACTTCTCGGGAATCGACAATTGACTTGGTGGATGGAGTGTAATTCTCGCGAAGAGCCGCAAAAATTGCGACAGAAACTCAATCATCAGCTTTCGATGGCCTGGGATGCCAGGGTGTTCGGTATATGGGCCCAGAGTGCGAAGCACAACGTTAGGCCGACCATATGCATGGGTGTCTAAGCCATGCGTTTGGCAACAAAATTCCGGTCAAATTCAAGCCCGTCCAGGATCACCATTGAAAACATCTGCCGACCCAAATATTCCGTGACTCTAGTGCGCAATAGAAAAAAGTACCAATCACGTTCATTCAAAGGCCACAGCGGGATCCAAGTGTACCTTTCCGACGTTGAAAGTGGTAGATGTCCGACTTATTCGCCCTTACCTGAGCGATGATCATGTCCATGAGCACATGAGCACGTATTTCGCTGTACCCAACCATTAACCTGGGCGCCTGGTCTATCCCTAGAGGAAAATCCCATCGGAGCGGTTCTGTTCGTAACAGAGATTGCTTGATTGGCCTCAAGCTAGCTATTGGCCGTCGTGATTGTTGGGAATTTCCTGCGCGTCTCGATTTTGGTCGGAATATCAACAAGACTTGGCTAATTTCTCCGCATGATGATAAAGGCCCCCCGTTTTTGATCAATACCGAGGTCGATTTGTGCCGCTCCAACCGATGTTGGGGGTTCGTGGTCAGGGGTGGGGGTATCCTGAAGAGGGATTGGGATCAGAGGCTGGTCGGCTTCTTCCGATTTGTCAAACGTGCAGCGATGACGAAGTTATCACGGTGTTCAGTTCAGATGGATTCCTTACTGCAGCCGAGCAGTACCACTGTAACCTGGACGCATTGCAGTTGGGTGGCAACACAAACGTACAGGGATCCTTCTGATCACACTTTGTCTTTTGAACATACTCGAAAAAAGAAAATGTTATCGTGTGCCGTACGTCGAGAGTGGATTTGGTGATGCGAAGAACAAAAGGCCCCAAGTAGGGACGGTAGGCTGGATCGCCTCAGGCCGTTTATGCGCGAACAACACCACTTGACGGCATTTAAGCCAATAAGCCCACCTTTGGAATCTGATTTGACCTTTCAGTCTGGAGATACACCAAGCTTGCAGATCATCTGCAGAAATGCCACTCTGTGTGGTCGATGTTTTCACCTGGGCGCGAGCACTGAGACATCTATAAGGCGAGTCTCGTTTGTCGAATAAAAAAAAGAAGAAGAAAGACATTCCTCTCCATTTTAATCGATCTTTTCATTTAATTTCTCTCTTTGTTCTTTTTTCAATTAGTATTCTCCAGCTAAATGGCATTGCTTGGTATCCTTCTTTCACCTTGGCTGGCCGTGGCTATCCCCATCTGGTTGTCGCTGTACTATATAGTCCCCTATTTTACAACATATCGACACTTGAGTCGGATCCCAGGGCCCTGGTCTGCCAAATTCAGCAACATTTGGGTCGGACTGGGTGCTCGTCGAGGTCAAAAATATGCAGCGGTCGACTCAGCCCATCGCAAATATGGCAATGTTGTTCGCATCGGTTTCAACCACGTATCTATTGCCGACGAGCGAGCTTTGAATGTTGTTTATGGACACGGAAATGGATTTTTGAAAGAGCATGTGAGATGAATCCGAAAATTGACCTGTCCTGACCGCAGATCAGTCACTATTACGAAGCGTTCGTGGCCCGGACGCCAGGCATGTTCAATGTGCGCGACCGTGCAGAACATACACGCAAACGCAAGATCATCTCCCATGCTTTCTCGCCCAAGTCGGTTGCTGCATTCGAACCGCTCATGGCGGAGAATCTACAGCGATGGACGGCCCAGCTGGATCGGATCGCGGCTTCTGAGCCCCAGCAAAACGAAAAACACTTCGTTCGATTCAATGCGATGCCTTGGCTCAGTTATCTTGCCTTTGATATTATTGGTGATCTGGCGTTTGGGTCTCCGTTTGGTATGGTCAACAAGGGGAAAGATGAAGTTGAAACACAGCTGGTACCGGGTGGCCCCATCTCATACACTCCGGCAGTTGAAGTCCTCAATCGACGGGGTGAGGTCTCTTCAACAATGGGTCTTCTTCCTTCACTCCGTCCATGGGCCAGATACCTCCCAGATCCATTTTTTACCAAGGGTATAGCGGCGGTGGAAAATCTGACAGGAATTGCTGTTGCGGCTGTTGCATCTAGACTGGATGCAGCGGAGAAGGGGACAGCCGAGTCCCGCAACGATATCCTGGCGCGTTTGCTACAAGCAAGGGATGCAGATGGTCAGCCGATGGGACAAGATGAACTCATAGCAGAAGCGCTCACCCAGCTGATTGCTGGTTCAGACACTATATCCAACACGGCATGTGGTATTTTCTATTGGATTCTGCACGGAGAACGCAGCGCCCCAGGCACGATTGTTTCCCGGCTACAAGAAGAGCTAGACCAGGCCATTGACCAAAAGTCAGAGATTGCATCTTACTCCGAAGTCAGAGATCTTCCATTCCTGAGAAGATGTATTGACGAAGCGATGCGACTTCATTCCACGTCGGCTCTTGGCCTACCACGTTTGGTCGCTAATAATGGGGCAGGTATCAGGTTTGATGATTACTATTTCCCACCTGGAACTGTACTCTCGGTACCATCTTATACGATACACCATATGCAAGAAATCTGGGGACATGATGTCGAAGAGATGAGGCCTGATCGCTGGCTGGATTTGTCGGCTCGACAGAAGGCTGCCTTCAACCCATTTTCCTATGGCCCCCGTGCATGTGTCGGGCAGAATGTCGCTATTATGGAGCTGCAGCTGATTATTGGGACCCTCTTCCACCGGTATGAGTTCGTTCTGTATCAGCCGACTATTCAGTCGCATGAAGGGTTTTCGAAAAAGCCGGCGGAGTGCCATGCAGGCATTCGATTGAGGAACCGAGCATAGGAAGCCCCATGGCTTGCTGGTGCATATGGGTACCGAGTATCCCTGTTGAGTATAATGTCAGTTCTAGAGGGGTTGGTCTCATAGACTCAATTATCGATTTCACATATTGACTCCGAGGTCCCCCTTTCAACCTACTTCACATGAAGCAAATAGTCCTATCATTCCAGCACCGTTTGTTAATGCTAGACTTTAGCTGAGATATCGCATTACATTATTCACCAAGGAACATGATGTAATGAAAGCCTGATTCTCGGCAGTATGCAAAACCCAGACTAGGATGTTGCTTTTTGAGGCATATCCGCAGTCTCCTTGCTCGACTAAGGAGTTTCTATCAGTCAGAAGTATCCAAGCAATCTGGAACTCCAGTGAAAACATGGAATAATCCGGAGGAACTGCAACTTTATTGTAAAGCGCCATTCCAAGCTGAATTCCAACCCCTTGACACTCGGCCAATCGGAGATAACCTGACCTCAATGTTGGATTCGATTTTAAACCTCGTAAGGCTTTGCTTATTTGGTTTACTTTGGGTCGGCCCGGGTAGGTTCTACTGTTGAGCCTAAAGGTTACATTCACTTCAAATTTTGGAAGATGCATGCCATCTTGGAATCTTGATCTGACCTTACTCACGGAAACATATCATGCTGTAGGTATCGATTTTCAAAAGAAATATTAGAATGAAGAGCACAGGATCAGAAAAGGAGGTCCTCAGCCTACTGAGTAAAGCTATAGCTTTGGTCCAGGTGCCTCCAGGGCTAGACCCATTCAACCAGCTCTAGAGCGTCCTCCGGGGGCTTTTCAAACCGAGGTCTTGCCCCTTGCATCGGCTGTTGGAAATAGCTCACTCCGCACTTCTGGGGTCTCTGCAGGAATCTGTCTGGACTAGGCTCTTTTCTTTTTTACCTCATCTCTCGTCTCCATCTCCGCATTCTTGGGTACTTAGTACCATCACAAGGGCGAACCATACTGGGGCTCCCTGCATCCTTCGAGTATGCTCGTGACAGAGCCCGTGGCTCTGGATCTTGTTGACAGAAGGAAATCCAGGGGCTTTGCATGTGCCATCATTGAACGTGTGGCTGCATCTTGCTATCGTGGGCCCAGATCGAAGAGACCATGCTACGGACAAGAATGCAGACCCCAAGCCTTTGTGCAAATAGGCCGAGCTACCCGGACTCGAGTATCCTCGATTTCTATATAAATCAGTGATATCAATGCTAACAGCGATCTGGTAGTTTGAATCCAACACCAAGCTTCCTCGACGTGCGGATCATTGTCGATCACGCCGATCTTTTGATTTTATATTCCTCTGAGATCTACGCCGGTAGATCTTCACCCAGACTTGCTTATGGCTCGCTTCTTTGGCCTTCGAGGCAATAGCCTCAATATAATGGCAATACTGGGTGTGTTGATGCCTGGTATTCTTACAACTGGCTACAACGCATCCTCCTTGGGGGGCGTCTTGGAACTCAGGAACTTCGAAGACCAATTCCCTGAGCTCGATATCTCTGCCTCCCTCAATAAATCTCATGCATCAACAATACAGGGCATTGTCGTGTCGGCCTATGCTATCGGTGTTTTCTTTGGAACGCTGTCTTGCATATGGCTAGGGGATAAATTCGGCCGCCGACGAACAATCATGGCCGGTGCGTCAACGCAGATCATCGGATCTGTCCTGATGGCAAGTGCATGCTTCCTTAGCATGCTTATCACCTCACGTGTGATACTTGGTTTTGGTACTGGTGTGCTACTAGCCACCATCCCGCTCTGGCAGTCAGAGATCTCTCCTGCCAACAAGCGTGGAGCCCATGTTGGCATGAAAGGGATCTTCAGCGGCCTTGGGTGTGCTCTATCCCTGTTCCTTGACTTTGGGATGTCCTTCACAAAAGGCAGTGTCTCTTGGAGATTTCCATTTGCCTTTGTGGTGCTGCTTTCACTCGCTGTGTTGGTGTTCATAGTCTACTTGCCGGAATCCCCTCGCTGGTTGATCCGACAAGGGCGCATCTCCGAAGCCAGTGAGGTTCTGGCCGCTCTTGACAATACATCTGTCAATGACGAAGCCGTACACGCGCAAGTCAAAGACGTTCAGATGTCATTGGACATGGCTGGAAAAAGGTCTCTTGGACAGTTCTTCCACATGGGCCCACAGAGAACATTTCATCGGGCTATGCTTGCTTTGACAGCTATGCTGTTCATGCAGCTCACTGGATCAACGGTCATTACATTCTACAGTATGTACGAGATTAACCAGGGTTTTTTTGTACGATGATCTGACCGAACTTCTCAACTAGCGACTAGCATCTTCGAGCAGAACCTCCACCTCGGAAACTCAACATCCACAGTCCTGGCAGCTGTCTACCAACTAGCCGGTCCACTTGGTGGACTATTCTGTGTGCTAAAAATTGAAGGGCTCGGCAGACGTGTACTGTTGCTGGGTAGCGCGATTGGGAACACCATATGTCTAGCCCTTGTCGCTGGACTCGGAACCCAATCCCAAAACCCCCTAGCAATGCGCGGTGCCGTGTTCTTCATCTTCTTGTTCCACTTCAGCTACATTATCGGTTTCGGTGCGATACCGTATATCTACGCCACGGAGATTGCGCCTCTCCATCTGCGAACAACAATCAACAGCTTCAGCATAAGCTGCTCCTGGGCCATCAACATCTTGATCACCCTTGTCACTCCAATCGCATTCACCAAAATGGGACAGACCTACTTTGTCATATTTGCAGGCTGTAACGCGGCAATGGTGCCGTTCATCTATTACTTCTTCCCCGAGACTGCGGGTCGGAGTCTTGAGGAGATGGACAAGATATTTGCTCTCTCCAAGGGCCTTCGCGACTCTGTGAAAGTTGCACATCTTCTTCCTCACGGCCAAACTCCCGATTTCTCTGAGAAAGAGCTTGGTCCGGGTCTCAAATGCCCTGAGCTTCAACTTCGCGAGGTGCACTCGCCATGATCGGTTCAATGTTCGAGATGTTGGTCGAAAATCCATGTATAATTTGTGACGAGAAAAAGAAACTTGACGAAATTGAGAAATATTCAACCGATCTTGGTCTTCGAGCGTTTGGAAGGAGATGGAAGATAGCATACTGTAAAGAGAGAAACTTGGAAGAATATAAATCAATTCAGCTTTATAAAACAAGGACTGGGTGATGTTGATGCCTGAAATGATGCCTGAATATGTTGCCTGGGTGCCTGACTGCCTTCCTAACCGGGACTAGCATACTGGCTGTGGTGGTCTTGGGTCTTTTCATACTTCGTGTCAAACAAGTGCTTCTCTATTTTTTAGACCGAACTATCAAAATTGATATGAAAAAAAAAAAATATACAAACCGAAACATCTCGGGTACTTGCAACATTGAAAACATGAAGCGTAAATCATGGCTTATTCAGTTGCTCCTTGCGGAAGAACATGAAGAAGCCTATTGGAATCGCCAACTGGCAGCCCAATGCAATCCAAAACCACGGTTTGGAGATACCCTCCATGATTCCCGCCGAAAAATCCGGGAACACATCTCCAGGTCCGTCACGATTTGGCGCAGTGGCACGGGCGACCAAAGTTGTCACTGTGCCAATCAACTGCGCGGCACATAGCGAGGCGGCGATATGAATACGGGTAAGGGTCTGTAATAGAATCATGCCAAAGCCAACACCCTGGATAGAATCCAAGACACCAAGCCATAGCCAAACTGCCCGGGCACCGATCGCATAACCCTGGGGCCCGCCAACCATCCACGGCACCCACCACCCGATCCCAGACGTGCTCCAGAGCATTTGAGCCCACCGAGGAGCACCAAGACCGATGGCGAAAATGGGCACGATCCATGAGTGAGTCTTGGATCGCCAGGCAAGGATTGCGAGTAGGATGTACCAGACTCCAATGAAGAAAAGCACAGCGAGCAAGAACACTCCCCAGCGCGGGACATATTTGGATGCCCAGAAGTAGTTCCAATTCCGTTGGTAAGGCATGCTGAGGAAGTAATTTTGCAAAACGATCGATACTGAGAACCAAATGATGATCTTGCGCCGAAGAATGCTCTTGTAGAAGGCCGGGATCTTGCCTGGAGTCTGACGGTAGTAACTCGGCAATCCTAAAAACAGTGCCACTGCCACAGCAATCAACAATGCCCCAATTGGCATCGTGATAGCTGCAGCAGTTCCTGCGGACTCGACGATCCCGTTGCCATTTCCTGCGGCCATTTCAGCGCCCCAGAAGAAAAGTGCAGCGATGTAAAGGTTCTGTGTGCCTTGGATAATGCAGGCGCGATAAACCCAGGACTCAATCTTCGAACCACCTATCTCAAGGTTAGTAGATAATCGAAATGACTGGAGGTGGGATACGTACCATCGTCTCCAAAATTGAGGGAAAAGAACAAATAGCCACTAGAAGAGCCGATGATATAGAGCGCAGTGGCGACATGATAGGCCCAATTTTGACCGGTACCAACCGGAACGAAAGCTGCAATTCCAATAACAAAGAATGCGAAGCCGTACAAGATGAAAGGAAGGGAAAGTAGATAGACCGAAGGGACGCGCCGGAATGCAAGCCACAACACACAAGTTGAGACAATGTATATGCTCCCCATAACGTATAGAATGACTGGGCTTTGACCTGCCCCTGATGTGAGGAGTGTAATTTGAGAGGAGTTGGCTGCCATAATTTGACCCAAGGCTAGAAGTATCGAGTAGACTGGCCAGTCAAACACGCGAGCTAGCAGCCAGCGTTGAATTAAAGACGGTCGCCGGGATGTTTCCGGTCGCAAAAGCTCCTGTGTCGACAAGTCCTCCCAGTCAGATGCATGGTCGAGATCACCGTCCGCTTGATCGGTAAGAGATGGCGAGCTTCGCGATCCGGCATAAGGAGATGGACTGCGGCTGGACCTAGGACCTAGCTTGATCTGGCGTTGGTTGTCAGACCATTCCTTCTCGCTATTGACGATATAATCCTCGATGCAAAGCTCGCTCTCTGAGTTCTTGCCTGTCAACCGCTGCAGCATGCCTTGGAAGTAGCGTGCATATTTCCCGGTTTCGTCTTTGAAGGTTGGGTCTGCGTTCTCCAAGGAGAAGCTTTGACGCGTTCCCTTAATTTGATCCACGCTTAGGACCGAAGATGATCTCAGCCTGCCTCTTCTCGACGTTGAATGGGCAATATCGATTCCTAGGCCTGCTGCTGTTGGGGGTTGAGCCAAAGTTCCAGATAGAGAACGTCCTCGTCGAGCCTCCTCCGAATTATCATGTGGAGATGACGAAAGAGCTCGCATCTCTTGCTCCACAATCGCTTCAGCCTCTTCCGGCGATATGGGCTGCTCATCCGGATCGGCAATTTCCTCTAACCTGGGAGTCAAGGCAGTGCCCTCGTGTAAAACAGTTCGTCTCGGTTGATGGCCTGGGCCAGAACGCACACCGAGCGAGAACGAGCGATTCAAGCCCTCATCTGGAATGTGAGGCTGGGAAGACCTTGACATAGGGTTTATGTCCAGGCTGGGACTTGGAACCGGGACCGAGGAAAGTGAAATCTGGCTGAAGTTCCTGGTATGCAAGATACTTGATCGTTTCTTTCGAGAGGGATCATTCTCTTGCTCATGCATGCGAATCGAGCGTAGTTGTAAGTGATCAAGATCTTCGACCCATCGAGCCACGGGGAATCGTTGCTTGGCTGAACTTGCCCGCATCAGGGCCCTGTCTTTCTGTTTCGAAGATATCGCGCTTTCGATTGCCGATTTGAATTGCTTCTGGAGATGCTTCACTGTCATAGACTCAACAGGGAACCACCAGCCTGGCATCTGTCCGAGTCCACCGACCAAAGCCCCGACACCGAGGGCTCCTTTTCGACCGAACTCAACTGCCACTAGACCAAACGGTTCATCACGAGAGGGAATCAGAGCAAATTCAGCACCTGTGAAGATGAACGGAGGCAAGGCAGTAAACTCTGGCTTAGAGAATACCCGCTTCGGGTAGACAGTCATCATTTCCTGCAACTTTAGAGCAGCGAACTTTCCGTACATGTCAATCACTGGACCGATGCAGATCAACTGCACATTGGAATGTCGCTCCATAATCGCAGGGAAGACGTCGGCGATGAGGTCAACGCCTTTCTGTACTGACCATCGGCCGACGAAGACAAACAACTCAGCGGTGGGGTCAACTTTGAGTCCTGCCCACTGCTGTGCTTGACGACGGTCCTCACCACGAGAGCTTTCATAGGCCTGATCAACTTCAATTACCTGCCGTGCTTCTGCCTCGGGGTCCCAGGGCTCTGTGTCAGACGGGTCCGGGTTAGGAAGCTTGCCGATTTCCTTCAATCCCCAGAAAATTGGGTATCTTGCGTAAGACCGATCGCCATATTTGTTGGATACCCCAACCGCACCAAAGCCGCGCTGGTGAACACGGAGATAGCTGGCTCCAGCATGAAGAAGATTGAAAACCTCGCCAAACTGTACGTATTTGCGAATGATGGCGACATCGAGGTTGAAAACCTTGCTTATTTCCTCCATCTCTTTGTCATCACGAAGCGGCCACAGGCCTTGGAACTCTGCATTATGCAAGGATAGACAGCATGGGATGGTCCCTGGAAGTAGGTAGAGCGGTGCCACTGCGCCGTGATAGTCGTTGATGTGATAGATGTCGATGGTTCCTGAGAATCGCTTGATTGTCTCAGCTATACAGCTATTCCAGGCACTGTAGTAGATTGCACTCTCAAGATCATCCATGCGAGGAGGATAAGGGTCTGACTTTGTTTGCTGGCGGAATATAGGGGCATCCAGCAATACATAAGTGATGTTTCGCAACTTGTGGTATTGCACCTGGACTTCGTAGACAGTGTCGACGATCGTGATGGACATGGGCTCCGCTAGTGTATCGATTGGATAGTCGACTCCGCCGACACAGGGTACCACCCAGATCAAGTCGTGGTGGGGAAGATTGTTCCCCATCAGTTGTGCCATGACACCGAGTCCGCCGATTTTGATTTTGATCTTCCAATCTTCGATGTCATACTCCATGGTTGCCAAGAGGACTGTCCGCTTTTTCTTAGTCGCTCCAGCGACAGCCAAAGGGATGACACCTGCAGCGTTCGACAATTTCATTTCGGTCATGGCATTCCCGCCATAATCTTCACCACTGATCTTCTCAAACCCTTGGCGGGGTCGCAGAAAAGCAGGAAGGAAATGTAGCGGTAGACTGACGCCGGTACGGTTGAAGCTGACATGGTAAAATGCACCCATGTAAACCCAAACGCTGAGTCCGGCAGTGAGAACCGGGACTATCCATAGCAATATGTACAGAACTTGCTGATGGAGCCGGAGGCCGGCAGGAACAAGTTCAAAGCGCATGTTTCCATCGTTCAATTCCATGCGGTAGGCCATATAGGGTGCTGGTGGGAACTGGGAGAAGTTGACCACATTTTCAGCAACCGAGAGTGAGTCCGGCTGCAAGCGATTCAGTCGACTGCTGTTCAAAGTGTCCCCAAACACGAATGTGCGATCAATTTCCTTGTCAGGGTTGACTCCCCAGACATTCACCTGGAATGTAGATGGCCACTCAGCTGACAGGTGAAACTTCCAAGTGCCGGTGCGGTCATTGGAAAAAACATTTTTGAGCCCAATGTCCTTGCCAAAGCGATTGAAGTCGCCAAATGCAAACATGTGCGGGAATCGCCTCTGAGCCTTGTCGGACTTGCGAGTATCCATGTGTTGAATGTGCTGGCCACTTCCAGCTGCTTTGCTCCAGTACTGCAGAATGACATGGTCTCCATCCCATTCTTGTTTCTTGGTCCCAGACCAAGGGAGGTTGTCTATTTCACTCGACCCGCCCTGGTAAGCTCTCCAAGAACTCCAAGAGCTCCCCCAATTGGTTGTGTATCGCCACTTATCCGCACCAGGAGCTTTGTGCTTCACCAAAAAGCCACCTTTGTTGGTGAACTTGGTCAATCCAGTGTCCGTGTAGTTTGCTGACATCGGGAATACCATGGGATTGTCTTTGCGCCCGATGCGGAACACCAGCCGATCAACAGAGTTTGTGAAACGGGATTTCGTTGCCGTCGAGGCATTTTTGACGGTAAGAACATGGATCCCGTGAGTAACGTTGTCGAGAGTTGCTTTCCAGGACCATGCCGATGGGATTTGCCCAGTGTATTTTGTCTTCTCGGCTTCGATCAATTCACAAGACGCGCTTTCTGCGTTCAAGTTCACCGCTGTGCCACTTTGTGTTGTCGATGATATCGTCAGGCTCTTGGACACCGCGTCACAGTCGAGTTTCTCCGAGAATCGCATTTCAATCTCAACACTCTGTTCATCTGTAGCTGTCGTATTTGACTCAATTCTAGCGTCATGGCCGGGGATGAATCCAGTCATCACCACTGGGGGAGGAATCCATTGTGTTTTCGGCACATAGACTCTGAATTCAAAGGCTTGCAACGTAGTTTGATTTAGGCAGCCATTGGTATCCTGGGAGCCATGGATTCCTAGCTTGACCTGACTCGGCTCCAAGGTAAGCTCGTCGAAGGGTGCCAGCAAATTCTTGACTTGGGTTCCGCTCTTGTAGGGTGCGAGGAAGCTCTTCACCGGCGATGTGCAGTCGAAGTCATATGTGACTGTGCTATTTTCGTTGTGATAAACAAGCCAAACCGCAGTCTTGTTAGACGGGTCAAGCTCATTCACCTCAGGGTACTGATCGCGTAGGACACTCCATATTCCCAACTCGGTTTCTGTGCCACCAGACCCTGGGAGTGTGACATTGTGGATTTTTCTCGACAAGCTTTGAAGATAATACCCATCTTTCAGCGCAGGGAACTTCTCGCGAAGGTAGTAGAATGCCTTAATGATGTTGCGCACTGGGTGTGTGGGGTCGCGGTGATCCTTGCTGACCTCATCGTCTTGGCATCCCGTCAACGCAGCTTCAAGTGGAAAGTCCCGATATTGACTCGAGCCCAATCCATAGCAACCTTGTGTCTGCCAGGATGGTGCAGAGGTCATTGGCTGTCGACCAAAAAGGCCGAGTGGACTTGTACTGTCAAGGATATAGAACGCCTGCTCTTCACCCCAAAGCAAGACTGGAATTCCAGGCATATGGATCGACGTGATGAATTGCCCAAGAAGCATCTTCTCTGTGCCTTGCTTAAGAGACGGCCAACGAAATGTGTCTTGATTGGCAGTTCCCATCATGTGTCTCGGATCAAACTTCCCAGTGTTGGCATTGATCAGATCGTTCGTGATCAGCATGTCGTTCCACGCGTCGACGAAGTTGACACTCAAGTCGTCCGGTGCCGTGAAGTTTCCATCCATGCCCAGGAATCTGGCCAGAGCACGATAGATGCTGTAGTGGAACACTGCTGCATCTGCACCGTGCTTCTCGGGCTCTCGGAGGAAATACCGATCGCTTGAAGCATTGGTGAGAGAAATACCCTCTTTCTGGCTCTGAGGCCTCATACCCGGCTCACGCCCACGTCCCAAATAGATTGACGCATATGAGTTGCTTGCTGTCAACTCACCTCCGATGAAGAAGTTGTCCTTGCCCAGGCTAGCTGCACATTCGCGAATAGCTTGAGAGCTGCTGACAAAAGCATCCACGGTGACCTGACCTGCCTTGTCAAACCGGAGTGCGTCGATGTCCAACGATGTTATCAACATGCAGGTGAAATGCTCAATCTTCTTCCTCACAGAAGGGATCCATTCTCGTAGCCGGTCTTGCACCAAGCCTGCTTTGGTCAAAGACTTATGCCAGTCCGGGGTGAGGCTCACAGAGTCGATCGCGCCGTACTGGTGATCGATTAGTCTCGCTCGAACGTGGTTTTTTCTGTACTCACCTGATCAAATTCACTATCATAGCAGCCCTTGAATTGCGCCAGAAGGGGGTCAGACGTGTTCGAGATGGGAAATCCCAGTTCGCCGTAAAACGTGGGGTACTTGCATTGCTCCTTGTAAGTATTGCTGGGAGCAAAGTCTGAATATCTCTCGTCTCCTTTCCAGACGGTTCTGTATTCAAGTGGGTTCAAGGGGGCGCTGCTGTTCAGGAAACCTTCAAACCCAAGCAAATCTGCCATACTGGTCGCGTGTCAGGTCAAAAATCTGTCGTCTGTGTAAGGCAGTATCACTTACGTGCCATAGGTGCTGTCTATCATCACGAACATCCCGCGCCGGTGAATCTCGTCGATCGCCGATCTCCATTGTTGAATGGTGCCATAATGTTTGTCCAGCAAGCTGAAATCGAGGGGCTTGTTTTGATTATTAGAATGAATCGCACAACACGCACAAGTTCATGAACAGATCCACCTACCGAGTAGCTATCCGACTTCCAAGGAAAGTTTTCAAATGGAGTGCCGGCGATATAGACTCCCTATCGAAGGGATTGTCAGTTACCGACCCAAAATCAGCAGCGGTAACCCGTTTACCTTGATCCCGATGCCCTGTATGTAATCCAGATTCTCCTCCAGACCGGCCAGATCTCCACCGAATCGAAGTTGATTTGAGAACGTGTCGGTCTCGAAAACAGTGCCATTTATATCATTGTTCTCGGGGTCGCCGTCGGCAAATCGATCGAGGAATAGCGTGTAAAACGGAAACCTCCAATTTGAAGGCGAAGGGTTGTATGTGTGTCCGGGCCATTTGCCTGAGTAATCAAGTACTTCTGTTGCGGTCTTGTTCTCGTTGATATTGTAGTCGGTCAACTTTGCATCGTACCGTAGACCAGACACCAACTGGCCAAAGAGAAGGAATATTAAGAAAAGGATATCCATGGCTACGTCGGCCATTTCTTCCAGTTCTAGCCCAAAGAAAGGTCCTTTTCTATCACTTGAAAATATTCTCCCGCGGGAAGTAGTGATTTATCTAAGTCTAAATTCCAAATTCCATCGTAAATTTTTTCTACATTGTCATCACCGAGTAAGCACCTGGGCAGTGCGCCTTGAGCGCCACTATTTGCAATGCCTCAGATCAAATAACATTGAGGAGCAAGGCTGAGGCTCAAATCAACCCAAGAAATTTGGAATCTTGGCTACTTGGGTTGGCCAGCCTCACCTGAACTGTAAAACCTTCCGATGTTAGGGTCCTAAAAGTTACTGTGTCACTAGAATCAAGACGCCTGATTCTTTGAGTGACAGCAATAAGTCAGTTCATTTGTTTCTGTTTATCCGTGATTTTCATATATCTGGGGTTTGCTGGCAGTTTACTGCAGGCCACCCCATCAGTGTCTCACGGACAGTACGTGAAACTAGTTTGCATTAGCAGTGACATTTTGTCCAACCTATACACGGAGAACTCCGCACTTTTTCCCCGCAGAATTGTCATCGCTGGCAGTAGCCAATATGCACTCCAGCCTTGGAATATTCCAAATGTCTATTATGTGATCAGGCCACCCAATCTCGTCTCCTAAATCTTAATATACTTTAAAATACTCGCGGTACTTCGTTGGTCTAGACCTTGCTTGGCAAATCTTACATCTGCCCGGGTGCATGGAGTATATTGATACTCTGACCGTCATGCTCTAATGCAAATTGTATACGAGCGGAGGGTCTTGGCGTGCATGAAGGTGGTTCAGCACTTCTAAGTTGAGGCTCCTGGGTCAGCCTTAGTGTAGACCCCATTCTTGAAATGCGAGATTTTGTTTTCTATGTGCTATGTGGCTTATCTCTAGAGCTTGGTTCAGTCGAGTTCATGGAGTGGGATGTCCTTTTTTTTTTTTTTAACTCGATTTAACGTCAGTCTAGCGACTTGATAGACTTGGTCTGAGGCGGATAGGTACTTCGCACGAAGCCCCAAGGTACCTTAAACTTCTCAAGTCACACTGACTATATGAGCCGTCAAAATGCAACAGGCATGACGCCACACATTTGTCATTGGTCTCGGATTGGGGCTGGGCAGACTTGCATCATTGGTGTTGCAGAGCTGAGAATATCCCGGCTCCGCCCAAGGTGGCTCATGCAATACCTCGTACCGCGTTATGTACTTGAGTATTTGTGGACAGCCTTGAGGACCAGAGTGGGCTTGTTCGAACCTTGCAAGCAAAAACATAGAGTCTGAAGATTAGAAAATGGTGCATATTATTCGGTATCGGAATCTAAGAAAGAACCACAAGTATAAGCCCCAAGACGCATTCTTCATTCTCTAACCAAAGCGCAGGGGCTATTCAAGGATGATACTAGTAGAAACCCCAAGAGTTGCTTTCAGGTTCTGTAGGCCCCATCGTCTGTTTTTGTGTGGTCAGCTTTGAGATCATTCTATCCTTTCCAAGGTTGTGCTGCCTATTAGGCTCCCCAACGTGCCTGGTATGATCCCTGTATCTAGCTTAACGAAGTTATGATTTGTTTGGATCTCTAACCGCCCGCTCGTTAGAAGTATAACCTTACCTTTTCCCATTTCCATGGAGTGGGCGGCGCCTTTCAAGCATGAAATAGACAAGAAAGCCGATAATAATGATTGGTGCTCCGGAGCACACTCTAATCCCTAATTCCACATTGACATAGCTGGGTCGATGATTTGAGCCACAGGAGCCTCCGACTGTGATGGTCTCCGGGGTCCTCCTGAAGTCTGACTGCTGATGTCGACGAGTCTGTCAAACCAGGCAACGAAGACTCGAGCGAAAGATTCGTCGTGCTCAAGATAAAACTTCTTAAGCTTTTTGATTTCTTTAGATTCAAGGTAACTCGTATCTTCGTGATTCAAATGAAGATGTCGGCTATCTTGACGAATTTGGGAGCCCTCGTACTTTTTACAGGAAGCAGATTCATCACAATTGTTATAGATACTCAATGCGGTCATGAAGGTTCTCATAGCGCCCTACTCGTGAGTCAAGATTGAGAGTACGAGTCGACAAAATCTATAGATGAACACAAGACATGACAGATCTGCACCATTTGATTGAGTCGGGATTTGTTCGGTGATTTCGACCACTTACCTGCCCAGGTAGGAGCCCTTAGTTACAGAAAAACGAAGCAAAAGTTAAACTGATATTCAATGAATCTTTTGCTATTTCATGCTCAAGAACGAAGGGACTTGTATGTATACATTCGTAAATATCGATACGACTACGAGTAAGCGCAAAGGACCCACACTGTCAAAGACGATTCGCCCCAAAGCTGGAGGCGGATCATTACCTACTTGGGAAGTTCGGCCCCGGACTGCTTATTTCGAGTTGATTTGCTGGAAAATGCGGATCTCAGCCTCAGTCGCGTGGTTTGGACAAGGGTTCCGTGAAATCCTCGTCATTAGCAAACATACGTCATACGAAAAAGCCCTGGTCGGCTATTGACGTGTGTATTGAAAAGAGCTACAAATCTAGACCCGGTGATCACTGATCGTCGTTTGGTACTTGTAATATTGGGCCATTGGTTGGATGAGAGAATAGTCGGAACGATCTACGAGTAATACTACTGTGAAGATTGGACGAATTGAATGAAACAGCCGCGAAGGCATAGTCGACTCAAATTGCGAATTGCAGATTGTAAGACAACATAGGTGCAACGCCTATGCTAGGCTATCGTGAACGCATGGAAGCACAACCTCTGACCATCCAGGCCATAAGACATACCAAATAACATGGCAAAAAGCCTGATAGAGAAGTCCAGCCACACTGGCAGACTCCAGGCCGATCAAAGACGCTCGAAAAACATAGCGGAAAAAAATTACCCTTATTCAGGGTTGAAGAATCCAAATAGGCCTCTCACCTGGGATAGATCCCATGAGAAAACACCTCAAGCGCCAAAGGCCTAATATAACATAAGACCACGACAATATGAAATAGAATAATAGGAGACGCAAGCAAATAAACAAACGAGAACACAAGAATAGCATTGCGCGCGCTGGGTATCGGTGATAATCAATCTTCGTGATTCCGTTTTCAGCCTGTCCCGGATGAAAAGAGAAATCAGGCATGAAATGATTGGATTTGGACTTGGAGTTGTCCGCGCTCGACGCTCAGGGCACCAACAAGCTTTGATAGGCCCTTTTGTTGAGTCGTCGGCGATCAAAGAGAAACAGAGGTTGAGCGTAGGAGATATCGTACAGTACGTGAGAGACGCAAGTGACGAGGTCGTGAAGAGTAATAATACAAAGAGTGGCAGGGGAAAACCACTGTTTTGATAGGCCGCCGTGAGAGCGCTCTAGCGGCCAAATTGACCCCAGACAGTACTCAACCAGCCGGCAGGTATGCCGATTTCCGAGGGTGCGAGCATGGACAGCTGGGACCATTCGCACCCATCTAGGAAGGCGAGGACATCATCGCCGCCAAGACTGGTTGAGAGCATGCTTGGGTCTGGGCCCTCCGTTGAGGTCAGAGGTGGAGAGGGCGCAAGCTGAGCGACGTTGCCGGGTGGCGGGAGGACGGGAATGGCGTGTGGTGTGGCCGCGGTGATAGGAGGAAGAGATTGGGAATATGGAGGAGGAGGGGCCTGAGGCCGGGTAGGGAGCCAGGAGTTGATGGGATTCAAGCGATGGCTTGTTGCCGTCAAGTACTGGGAGGGAGATTGAGTTGTCGCAGATAACGATGGAAGGCTGGGGGAGGAGGTGGTGTAGATAGGACCATCTGGATGGTGTTGCTGGAGAGAGGGAAGGGAGTAAGGAGACCCAGATGGCATAGGACGGCTGTTTGGTAGTGGCAGACTGGGTCGGCGATCACCTTCATGTCCAGAAAGTGGCATACCGGGGCTGTTGACCGGGACCCATGACTCACGACGACCACCGGCGCCGTCAAGCATTTGGTCACTGGGATCACCGGTTTCACTGCGAACGGCATTGCTCCCAGCGTCGCTGAGGTTGCGCTCGTACATTGGCTCGCCAGCTGCTGCCACGGCAATGCCGTCATCGTCCATGCCAGGCTCTGTCAATTGATCCTCGATGCTTCCGAAGTCGAGGAAGAGTTTCTCAAGCAATTTGAACTCTTCAAGACCGCCGCCAACTCCACCTTCACGGAGAGAACGGATCCCATTGGGTGGGTGCTCGGAAGCATCTGACATGCTGTCCAGTCGGTTTCGGGAAACCCGGCGGAAATCACGTTTGATTTTGGAGAAGTAAGTGTGAAGCCGGTTGAGAGTACGGAACCAACCAACAGCCATCCTCAGGCGAGGTCGCATCTCCCGCATGATGTCCAGAGCCTTGCGAGCTTGTACAGAGCCGAGCTGGTGACTATCGTGGCTTGCTGGAGGTGGCTTGGCGCCCATGAGCCCATCGGGATCCATGTGGGCGAAGTGATTGCCATATACACCAATGAAGGCGGCATTATAGATAGCAAATCCGACCAATGAGTTTTCAACAAGGGCGCCACGAGATTGGCAGGTAGCGACGAGGTCGATCATCTGCCGCGCAGCCTTGAAAAGCTCACGAGCACTGTCACGCCAAAACCCATCTGGCGCGCCGCTGGACTTTTCATTAGGGAACAATGGCTCATCCAACGGTCCAACGGGCTCATTGCAGCGCAGCGGCAAGAATGGGATATAAGCACGGTGGAGAACAATGACAGAGAGGAAGTAGACAACATGCATCACAGTATATGAGGCCAATGTGGTCTTGTACATGATATGAGTGTCAGTGTTTCGCAGGGAATATTGCAGATTGCGAGAAAGGCTATCTTGGAACTCGGTCAACTGTTGACGGAGGGAAGAGAAGCGAGACTCCGGGTGCCATGGGGGGTACTGCTCGATCCGACGACCACCAGCGCAAGACCATTTGGCAATGCTTCCCCAAATTCGGGTGATTCGAATGACACGGCTGAGTACGGACTCTTCTGCGCCAACTTCCCATCTATCGACTTCTTCCTCACTCGAGTCCTTGCGACGCGAGATAGGTGACCAGGGCTTGTTGTCGGGGGTGCTGTTAGGACCAGGTAGCTTTTCATCACCGAATCCTCCAATGCTTTGACGGATACTAGGAATCTGCATGCTTTGGGAGCCGAAGCTCTGTGGCCGCCGCACGGCCGGCTCCGTGAGTCGGGCCGTTCGTACCCGCTCGCCGAAAGCAAAAGCATTATCACTCGGAAGCTGAATTCCGAGGTCTTTTACTCGGACCATCCGGGGCCGATACTTCCCACTGCTGAGGCATCGATCGAGGATGAAACAGGCCCAGAAGGTCCGGCGCTTGGTTTCTTGTGCGATGATATCGTCTGAGGTAGGTTCCCTGGGCTCGACCCGTCTCGGCAAACCGAAGTGATCTACCTCGGCCTTGAAACCGGGGGATGAGCGGGAAGGATCTCGGGCTGGGAACTCGTTCTCAAGCTCGAAAGACAGGCCCATGGCCTGTGCCAATCTTATAGCCATGCCCACGTAGACCCAGGCGCTCTTGCCGCGGCACATGCCCCATTCGTGCAAAGCAAGCATTAAAAGTGCCTGCACACGCGCCAGATCGGGTTGAGCGAGGCTGATACCATCCAAGCCGGCCAGCCGGCTACGGAGGGCAGCCGCATAGTATTCAGATGCAGCTAGGGGATTTGAAGGATGACCGGGCGAGGCTGGTGAATGGGCCGCCGCTAGCGGCGCATGAAAGCGGGCCGTCAGGGCGAGGACACCCAAAGGAATCAGCGAAGAAGATGGGTCGGTTTTTGGTGCGGAAATGCGTGGATCTTGACCGTCGAGAGTTGCGGGTGGAGCCGGAGATGAAAGTTGTCGGATTTGGCCGAGAAAGGTCGCGGGATGTAGGAACGGCAGAAGGGTCGCGAAATGCGACTGGAAGAGGTCAAAGACAGCCTCCCAAACTTTGGTGGTAAGTATTGAAGAATCTAGCGCATCCACGCCCACTTTGGAACCCGCTGAGCCAGAGATGCCCACCACCTTGCGGGAACGATGTCGTTTTGGACCATCCCAGTCCCCATTTCGATCCTCACCCTCTGCCAGGGCCGCCAAGTCTCGTTTGGCGCCGCTCACTCCTATTGCCGGTGTTGGGTAGACACATTCGCGGTTGGATGTATCGCAGGCACGACATACGGTGTCGATGCCGGAATTGACGCACTTAATCTTGCTGCGCCGGCATCGTGCGCAAGCGATACTAGACCGCATGGTGTATTGAGCAGACGCGAGGTCTGCGGAAATGCGGCGACTCGATTTGGATCAGTCGCGTTTCACCCATTTACTGTGGGGTTGAGAAGTGTCGGGTTCCTGTTTCTTTTGCGGGGGTGAAAGAAAATTTGGGGGACAATAGGCGCAGTGGCAGTGATGGGGGGCTTTGAATAGTCAGCATTAGTATTGCATATGCAGAAACCCACGGGGGCAGAAGGTGTGGCATGGAGGCTTACAGAATGCGCAGTATGAAGGGTAGAGAGGTACGAGGTAGGGTAGGGTAGAGCAAAGTAAGTATCCAAGGGAGAAAAGAGAAGAGGCGGAGTGTGGGGGAAAATAAAGTCGGGACCGGTAAGAGACACACACAAGTCGGGAGGGAACGGGGAACTGTCCGGGAAAAACGAATGACATGAAAAAAATGGAAAAAAGCCGAATCAGAGCTGGGGAATTTGGCGAAATTGCGGAGAGTCGAAATGCAAGGTCGCGCTTTTTCCTGGAGTTTGTGGAGCCCCCAGTTTCCGGCTGCCGATTGCCTTTGATTACCGATGACAATACCAATACGAATATCAACCATATATTACAGTCTCGGGTTACGGGTCTACTTCTCTCTGGACACACACTACTTGGACTTACTCCGTACGCCGGACTACTTTAGCTCCGGCGACCTAGGTTACTTCTCTCTTCTATGAAGTCTCATACCGAGGTCAACTTATGTATCATATTTTACCATGGGCCTGAGAGCAAACTAAATAGGGAACCCCTACCCTCTCACCATGATCTCATGATCGTCATCGCGCATCTGTACCCGATCAAGTCAGGCTCAGAAGAAAGAGGGATTGAAAAAAAAGGGATTGCAAAAGAAAAAAAAAAGGGAGGAAAAAAGCAATGGGTAGGACAGTGTCTTTTTCTACTCCGTAGTTGGTCCAGATTCAGATACAAACCACCCAGACTGGCTGGAATAACAATTCCCGTCCGGCCGATTGTCGTCCGGCCACACTCCGAATCGATATTATTTCCGTCTTTTCCAAGCCTCGAATCCGGGGGAATCGGTGGGTTTAGCTCTGGGTTACTGTAGGTCGTAAAGCGACTCAAGGGAACCCCGTTACCCCGTGTTGGCAGCTGATGTCGGATCGGCATTTGTCTGGAACCAAGCCATTCACCGTCTCTTCCCGCGTCGGGAACGCCAGAAAAGGCAAGCGGGACGAGCGCAAATGTTCAAGGGCATTTTCGGAGAGTAAAGCGACAAAATAAAATAAAATGGTGGATCGGACCATAAGGCTTTTTGGAGATTATTTTTCTGCTTTTTTTGTTTTTTCTCCCTCTTTTCCCCTTTTGAATGTTTTTCCACATGGTCTTTTTCCCAAGAGGGGTATCTCGGGCCATTGGGATCCCTCGGGTAGGATTTTAGACATGGATGTACCTGCCCGCATAGCCTGTTGGAGATCAATCTGGGGCGCCGCATCCAATCGACGACCAGCGGTCGGGGCTCCCCGCAGAGAAGCGAGATCCTAGATCCTCACGGGAGTTACATTGTCGCTTACCCATATGCCGTTGGAGATTGGTGGGGATTGAGATTCCACGGCGGGCTCCGTGTGACGTTTCCTCTTTGAATGGGCTGTAGCCTCCGTCGTTTTGCCACCCGTCACTGGGGTCGGGGAAACCAATGTCGGCAGAACGTCGAATGAAACTTCACCATCACTCACGGGACAGTTGGCCATTCTGTTCCAGGCTTTCCGTGCTGGTCGCAAACAACCCGAGGCCGACTGCATCGGCGATCCGTGATCCATGTCGAGATACAAAGTACCACATTAGGATGTGACAGCGCAGCTTGAGAACTCCCGAGGTCTCTACACATGCTCGGAAAAGTCATACACCGAGACTTGTTCATGTTTCGGCTCCGTCCGATGCGACGATTGGACCGTGGGCTCCGAGGTGCCAATGGACCCCGGATAACCCCGCATTTCTTTTTTGTGTTAGGTAAGTGGTTTTTGTTTTTTTCCCTTTCCTTTCCATCTCTTGGGGCAACTTTGGGACGGTTCTGGGAGAGTTCCGGGTATTTCTGGGGGGAAATTCTCGAAAGAGAGGGGCTCTGCCCCGGTGGTATTGCGGTTGACTCGTGTATGGAGTAAGGGCACCAATAGTCATGTGCCCAATGGCTCAACCTCCAGTTTAATCTTCTCTTGGCACGTTTTCTGGCAGTGGGGAAGCTTAAAAGGGAAGTTCAACCAGCATGGTTCTAATGACACCCTTGTCCCCGAAGTAACACCTTAATACGGAGTACTCCGTACTCGTACTCCATACACTGGATATTGTACTCGTACTCTGGAGAGGCTGTACTCCGTGCAAGCCAGTTCCGAGTCCCTTCATTCCAATTGCTTGGCTCATCCACTTTCGGGATCCTCAGCCCTCTCAGCTGACAACATTAATAAAAGAAATTCCCACAGCCAATCCCCGGCTGCTGGTTCCTTGTTTACCCTGATGGCGCCCCCTTTTCCGTGATATTATCCGAACGGGCAACCCGTGTCTCCGACCCCCATTTAAGAGGCGTGGGATGACCTGTTACCTGCGGTATTCACTACCCTTTTGAGCAGGCGAGTTCAGAGCCTCTCTCTAGCCGTCAGTCTTGGCCCTTCGCGACGCGGAGCCGTTGCCGACACGACTTGGGTAACCGGTCTGACTTTAACCGATCATCCGGGAACTCCGGATTCTAGAACACCTCAGGCTGCCCACGTTCTCTGCCAGTTAGCATAGTGTGTCAATTTTGAGGGATTCGGGCATAATTCCAGAAGGCTAAACGCTCAGCCCAATGGTCGCCCCCACGAAAAAAACCGGGGGTGAAAAGAAATTCAAAGGAACAGACCAGGAACATCCCCACATCGGCTCGGTTAGAACACCGGTGAGATCCCGAGTCGAGCCTCCGACGCCGAATGTGGTCATCGAACCGTGCATGAGCGTTTAGCCCTCGGGATTATTCCGTGGCTAAAGTACAGTAGTACTGTGCATTCCGGTTATGCTAGAAGCATTTATGCTAAAGCGCTTAGGGCTCAAGAGTACTCTCAAGCCTTTCTAAGTCTCTATCAAGCTCTTCGGCGCGTTCCAAATGCTAGGTCCATGGGGGTCCACGGCCCGGTGCTTGTTGAACATTATATAAGCGTATTTTTGGTCGTTTTTGTCGCCCGGGCCGGGGCCACCTGCCTTCATCTCAAGCTCAACCTCGGGAGGAACTTACCGATAGCGTATATAAGCGTCGCATATCGATTGCCGTCGATCGGCTTCGGAGAATTAGGAACTTTGAGAACAGGACGGCCCGAAGATACCGAAGTTAGCCCGAGGCAACTTCGCACCGAAGATCCATGGGGCAATAGACCCAGAAGGCCATGTGGAAAACTCGTTCTTATGAAGCGTTTAAGACCCACATAAAACAGTCACTAGTTACAGGGTCTACTCGTACTGAGTATGTCACTTGAAGTTGTTTCATCGTCTTGTAATGATAGTAATTATGTCTGGTTCTTGCTTGTCATCCATATATGTATTAGACTAGATGAAACTCTATTAACAAAACAAAATGCAACCCAAAACTCCTTTCCTTCTATATGATATCGCCAAAATGAGGTACAATGGGGTGAATTACTAATTCAAAAGCAAAGTGTTGCTTTAAGGTCGGTTGAGCTGCTCGCGACGGTAGAACAGGAGGAAACCAAAGCTGCAATCACAGTTAGTACAATGTAAGACAAATCGAAGAGGGAATAAGAACTAACCTGGCCAAAAGCTGGAAGAACAGCGCAATCCAGAACCAAGCGTTGGCGACAGCGTCGACCGACGAACCAACCGGTGGGGAGATACCTCCCGGTCCAGTCTTGTTAGGCGCGAAGCCTCGAGCACAAATTGTGGCAATGGAACCGAGACATTGCGCGGCCAACAGGACAAAGCAGACGTGAACTCGTGTCAAGGTCTGGAGAAGGATCATTCCTAGACCAACGGACTGAATCTCATCGAGGACACCAAGCCAGAGCCACAAGCAGCGGGATGCAAGTGCACCGGAAGTGAGACCTCCACACCATGGGAGATAGTATCCGATGTTGGATGTTCCCCACCAGGTTTGTGCCCATCGTGGGGCTCCAATGCTCAGACCGAAGACCGGGAGAATCCAACTATGCTCCTTGGACAGGTAGCGGAAGAGGACCATGATGGCGACCCAGAGAACAACAAAGAAGAAGAGGATCAAGAGTGTGACTTCCCATGCCTTGGTGTGTTGGGAAGTCCAGAGGAAGGACCAGTTTCGGCCGAATGCCGCAGAAAGGAACCAATTCTGAACGATGACCATGAAGAAGAACCAGAGGACGATTCGGCGACGGAGCAGAGAACCATAGAAGTTGAGGATCTTTCCAGGTGCTTGGCGGTAGTACTTGGGCAGACCGAGAGCAAGAAGCACACCGATGACCAGACAAACTGCGGCAATGGGCATCACCACAGCTGTGAGCTTCCATGAGTTCAAAGCAGCAGTCGAAACACCTCCGACCTCCACGGCAGTGACTCTGGCACTCCAATACCACAAAGCGACAGTGTAAAGCTGTGAGATTCCTTGAATCAAACTTGCGCGGAACATCCAATCTTTCACGGGGACAGCACCTTGGTCACCGAAGTTGAGGGCAAAGAACAAGGAACCACTGGAAGATGCAGCGGCATAGATACCAGCAGCACAGTTCTGAGCCCAGGTTTGACCGAGAGTCGAAAGTGCGTATGGGGATACACCAATGGTAATGAATGCCATAGCGTAGATGAACCAGGGAAGAGTGAGCACGAACACAGACGGCAGGGCGTAGTAGAGGAACCACCAGCAAATGGACGAAACACAGTAGATTGCGGCAATGACGTAGAGCTTGACAGCAGTCTCACCAATCTGTCCAGTCAAGAGGGTGATTTGTGCCGAGTTTGTTGCAATGATCTGCCCAAGACCCAAGAACAGAGCGTACACGGGCCAGTTACCGACACGCCATCTCATGAAACGCTGGATGGCCATGGGTCTCTTGTATCCCAGACGAGCGAGCCAAATGTCAATTTCATCGGTGTCGTTTGTATCAGATTCTTCGCCGCCCTCGGTGACAAGGTTGTATGGGGTGTTCTCGACAGTCTGGTCCAGGCCAGCGCCGGTCAAAGGACGTTCTTTGGGCTGTTTCTTCAACTGCGCGTCATTGTACATGTAGAAGAACTTGCGCTCACTCTTCATAAGATAGAGCTCGATACAGTAATCCGAGATCGAGTTCTTCTTGTTCAAATTAGTGAGTTGCTGCTCGAAGTGTCTGGTGAAGGTTCCCATGCTATCGGTGAAAGTCGGGTCGACCTTTTGCAGATTGAAACTGGGTGAATCGTGGTCTTGAACAACCGAATGCAGAGAGAGAACAGACATGTTGTTGGCGTGGGCGAAAGGTGTGCTCGGATCAGAATGGTCGCGAGAGATCCTCACAGGAGAGGAGTCTCTGGAAATGAAGCGTGAGCCTTCCGATGCCGATGAGGAGGAATCTTCACGAGAGTGTCCCATATTGCGAGGGTGTGTGGCGATATCCTGGGTACCGAGAGCCGAATTGACAGCTGCCAGGGCCTCCTCTTGGGAAATGAAGTTCTCTTGTTGCGGGGTAGAAGTGCCCTCGTCGTCAGCGTCGGTGGTGTCACCGTCGACAGGCGGCTCGAGCATCTGACTCTCGCGAAGGGACCTCTTGACGAGTCGCTTTCTGCCCTGTCCAGGTCCGGAACGACGACCAAGCGACAACTGGCGACCCAACATGCTGCTTCGGTTGCTTTCGGCTTGCATTTCTTGGGCTTCGGCTGCCTGGAGTTGAAGGAGAGATGGCTGGGCAGGTTGCCTGGACGCTTCCAAAGCACCTGAGAGGGATACGGTTGAACCGGGACGAGTCATCATTGTGTCCCGCAAGCCGGGTGTTTCCCAGTAGATCTGAGACTCTCGAGACGGGCCAGACACTGTGAGTGAGTTCTTCTGGTGGTGGATGTTGATAGATGTTCTCTGCAAGACTTCAAGCTTCTGGACCCACTCAAGGACGGGGAAGCGCTGCTTAGCAGAGTTTGCACGCATCTCTGATCGGGTCTCCTGAGATGAGTCCAAGGCAGACTTAATAGCGGTCCTGAGTTGATGCAAGAGATGGCGAGCGGAGTCGGATTCGACTGTGTACCACCAACCAGGCATCTGACCTAAACCACCAATGCGAGATCCAATTCCAAGCGCACCCTTACGACCGAACTCAACGGCGATCAGGCCGAAGGGCTCGTCTCGGGACGGAATGAGAGCGAAGTCTGCACCAGAGAACACGAAAGGAGGCAGGACGGTGAACTCGGGCTTAGAGAACACACGGCCTGGGAACATTTCCATAATGCGTGCCAGCTTGATCGCAGCCAGTTTACCATAGAGATCGATGAGAGGACCGATACAGATCAGCTGGACGTTAGGTCTAGCAGATAGGACGGCAGGCATGACATCGGCAATCAAGTCGACTCCCTTCTGCTTCGACCATCTACCCACGAAGACCAACAAATCAGCCTCGGGGTCCTTTTTCAAGCCAGCCCACTTCTGGGCCTGGAGCTTGTCGTTGATCGATTCATCGGCAGACTGGACAGTGACTTCCACATTGGGGTCTTTCTTCAAAGCAGCGGTGTCAGAGGGATCAGGGTTAGGAAGACTACCAATCTTTCCAAGACTCCAGAAGATAGGGTAACGAGCCCACGAACGCTTTCCGTATTTCTCAGAAACACCAACTGCACCAAATCCGCGTTGGTGGAAACGAAGGTAACTAGCACCGGTGTGCAGAAGATTGAAGACGTTACCGAATTGACAGTATTTGGTTGCCACTTCGATCGGAAGGTTGAAAACGGAGCAGACTTCCTTCTTCTCCTGTGCGGTCCTAAGGGCCCAAAGACCTTGGAACTCGGCGTTGTGCAGAGACAAGCAAACTGGGATGGTTCGAGACGGAAGAAGGTAGAGAGGAGCGACACAACCGTGGAAATCGTTGATGTGGTACAGGTCGATCGAGGGAGTTCGTTTGATCGCCTCTGCGATACACTGGTTCCAGGCGGAATAGTAGATAGCACTGTCAAGGTCGTCCATACGTGGAGGGTAAGGCTCTGCCTTGGTCTGCTGTCGGAAAACGGGAGCATCAAGCAGCACGTAGGTAATGTTATCCACGACGTGGTACTGCACGTTCACTGAGTAAGGCTTGTCAAGAATAGTCACCACGAAAGGTTCAGCGGGTGTGTCCTCGGGGTAGTCAATATCACCGACACATGGCACCACCCAGATGAGGTTCTGATGCTTCAGGTTCTGGGACATAAGCTGTGCCATCACTCCCAAGCCACCAATCTTGACCTTGACCTTCCAGTCCTGAATATCATACTCCATAGTGGCAATCATTACCGTGCGGCGTTGATCGCTCGCTGCGGCCAAAGCCATAGCTCCTGGCACTCCCTTTTCTTCCATCTGGATCACTTCGTCATCTTTACCGAAAGTGTTCTTAACTCTGCCCCAGAGGGCCACGGGAAGACTTGCGGCTTTAACGACATTGCCATCCTTGTTAAGTTTGACGCGGTAGAAGTTTCTGATGAAAATGAGAACACCAGCACAGCCCATGAGAATAGGCACAACCCAGAGCAAGATGAAAAGGGCCAACTGAGCCCATCCCGATCCGATAGGGATTAATTCATATCGCAAGTTGGCATCGTTGAGAGAGATTTTCCAACCAAGATGGGGGAATGGGGGAAGCGCGGTGATGTTGATAACGTTCGATGATAGATAGGAGGGAGGAAGCTTTTGGACCGAAGATGAGTTTCCGACATCTCCGTAGACCTCTGAAGTATCAGGGTCACCCTCGCTGTCCGCTCCCCAAACATTCAGCTGACCAATAGCGGGCCATTCATAGACAAAATCGTAGTTCCAGCGAGATGTCTTGGAATCGTAGTTCATCTTGCTATCCAGTCCTGCGTCGTATCCATATTGGTTGTATGGACCATTCCACCACAAGTGGGGGAATCTTCGACCCGAATCACTGTTGTAATCACCCTCTTGGATGTAATCACTGCTTCCAGTGAGCCTGGAGAAGTACTGCACACGAATGTGAGTTCCCTCCCATTTCCGTGACTTAGGCCCAGTGAAAGCTGGGATGTCAAGGGTAGTGTTTCCGCCCTCATAAGTCGTCCAGTTGTTCCAGCTGCGGCCGAAATCAGATGAGTATCGGAAAAGGTCGGCACCGGCAGCGTTGTGTTGGACATAGTAGTTGTCGTTGGACTTGTGGACGAGGGTGGAAGAGTAGTTGGAAAGCGGTGAGATCAGAGGGTTATCATGAGCACCTAGACGGATCAGGAACTTGTCGGTCGCATTGGTGTAAAGTCCAGCAGAGGAAACATTCTTCACTGTGAGTTGATGGATTCCATGATGAACATTCTTCAGACTTGCAGACCATGTCCAAACAGTGGGGATTTCTCCGACAAGGTTATGGCTCGTGGTTCTGGCGGCAATACTGGTACAGTTGATGCTAGATGTATCAAGCTCGGCGGTGATGTTCTTTTCTGTGGTGGAGTTCAGGTAGATTGACTTCGTGATACTGTCACAGTCCATCTCGGTGGAATAACCAAGCTGGATGGGCATCGTCTCGCCCGTGTCCTCCGAGGAGATCATTCGAGCATCATGGCCAGGGTAGAAGTCAGTGACGGTAGGGCCGGGCTTCACGAAGTTTGCGGTCTTGACATAGGCGCGGTATTCCCATGGGAGCAACTTCACGTTGCGAGCACATCCGTAGGAGTTTTCGTCGCCTGCAGGTCCGTCTTCCAGCGTAATGTTATCGTAAGGGTAGAAGAGGTTTGTCAACTTGGTTCCCGAGTCGAATGGAGCCAACAGAGACGCATTCTTAGAGGTGCAATTGGTGCCGTATGTCTTTGTCTCGTTTCCATTGTGGTACACGAGCCACAGGGTCTCGTTCGCCAGGATTGCCTTTTTCTGAACGCCGGGGTAATAGCTTCGCAGCACTGACCAAAGACCAGTGACGGTGGGAGTAGTAGAAGAACCGGGGAGGTAGATATCCTTCGTCAGCTGAGAGATCGTTTCGAGGTACAGACCATCTTGGGCGACGGGGTAGTGCTCTCGAATCTGGAACATGCGCTTCATGATGTTGCGAATCGGGTGGGCAGGGTTTCGCTGATCGTACGTGACAGTGATATCATTGCAACCGTTGCGACCCTTGTCAATGGGGAAATCGTAGAACTTGGAGGTGTTCAGGTTGAAACAGCCTTGTGTCCACCACGCAGTCTGGTATGTCATAGGCTGCCGACCGAACATGTAGTTCGATGCAGTGGCATCGAACACGTACATGTCTTGCTCTTCTCCCCACAGGATGAGAGGGACTCCAGGAAGTTCCAGTGAGACAATGTATAGACCCAGCATATACTTGTCGGTGCCGTTCTCGACTGCAGGCCAACGGAAGTTGTCCTGGTTGGAGACACCATACATATGTCTGGGGTCCAATTCTCCGGTGAAGGCATTGATGAAATCGTTGTTTCGGAGCATCGCGTTCCAAGCTTGAATGAAATCGACAGGCAAATCATATCCGGCAACCAGGTTACCGTCCATTCCAAGGAATCGAGTCATCGAGCGGTAAATGGTGTAGTGGAATGCAGAAGCATCCAGTGCCTGGAGTCCGTCCTCTCGAAGGAAGTTCGAATCCGAGTTGTTCGTCAACTTGACAGCCTCACCCACAGTTTCCGGGCGCTGATTGGGCTGGCGTCCACGGCCGAGGTAGAGACTGCCGAAGTCATCTCCAGACGTAATTTCACCTGGCAGGAAGAAGTTCTTCTTGCCGTATTTCTGTGCACATTCACGGTAGACAGCAAGCATCTCACTCAGGGGTTCGATAGTAGATTGTACACTTTTATCGAAGCGGAATCCATCGATATCGAGACTCGCGATCTGAAGGCAAGAATGACGAATGATAACATCTCGAACGGGCTTGTGCCATTCACGCAGACGATCTTGCACGGAGGCGAACTTTGTGAGCTGACGCTGCCAGTCAGGGAAGTTACCGAACGCCTCAAGCTCTCCGTATTGGTCGAAATCACTGTCGTAACAACCGTTCAGATCTTGGACGCCCTGGTCGGTCAGGGGATAACCTGTCTCGTCCCAGAATTTGGGATAGTTGCAAGACTCGTTATACACATTGCTGAAATTGAAATCGGCGTATTGTCGATCAGTGACCCATTGAACTTCATACTCGGATGCCTTGAAATCGGCAGAGTCGTTCAGGTGGCCCTTGAATCCAATCAGGTTGCTCAGCCTACGTCATGGTGAGCTTATTATCATCTCAAATGCCCAAATAATTGACTTACGTTGCGAGTGTGTTATCCATCAGAACATACATGTCCCTTTTGTGGATCTCTTCGATGGCTCGTCTCCAATCCTCCAGGGTTCCGTAGTGCATATCGAGGAGGGTGGTATCGACCGGCGAGTACCCATCGTAGGCCCAGGGCAAGTTCATCAAGTAGGTTCCGGCAAAGTAGATAACCTTGAGGAGGTTCCAAAGTTAGCGATAGAACCATAATGGAGTTTGAGTTACCAACCTTGAATCCCATTCCCTGGATATAGTCCAACGTATCTACCAAGCCGTCCAGATCGCCACCATGGCGCATCTGATTAGAGTTGACCACATGTTCGAATGCGGTGCCGTTGATATCGTCATTTCTAGGATCGCCGTTGGATATCCGGTCCAAGAAGATTGTATATGTGGGCATGCGCCAGTTGTCAGGCGATGGATGGTATTCATGGTCCGGCCATTCTCCCCAATAATCGATGGGACCGTCGGCGGTCTTGTTTTCGTTTAAATTATATTTAGCGAGTGGTTGATCATAAGGCCAGCAAAGGGCATGGACGCTCAATAACGACAGTATGAGGAATGTTGAGCGCTGCATGTTCCCGTATATTTTGCTGCTATCAGCAGGAGCCTGCCGGAAAGATGCGCGGCTCAAAAACGAATGAAACGAGACAGGTTGGCAAACAAAAAGCGCGGGTGAGATGAGTGAAAGAAAGATAGAAACCAATAACGATTTACTACAGATTTTACGGACTTTACAAAATTTACAGCGCTGCATTTTTACTATGGAGAACATACCCTTATCGGGCCGAGCGGATGGTTAGAGTCCAACTAACAGGGACAGAAGACCCACAAAACCCACTCGGTCAGATTTTATCGATCCACTTGCCTTTCGCCGCTGGGTGGCTGCGTTTTAGCCTGGTGTCTCAGACAGATCCAAAGGATTTCTGCGACGGAGAGTCCTTGTGATGGCTTATACACAAAGTACATCATGTTGTGTCATGATCATATTACTCTATATCTCATATAGTTACACACGAGTACGGAGTACTTAAGTATATTAAACAATTTGTAAGGTCTTACAGAGTACGAGTATCCGAGTTGGGTCTAGGCATGCAGTGGATTGCTTAGCCATACTACCACACACTCGTATCTGCATGAACAAACCGGTGTGCCACATACGTGCGGCAAAAGCAGATTTTTAATCAATTAGGTCCAAGCACAACTCTGGGGTCTTTTCCATCCCGCTCCTTTTGGGAGTTCATAATGCTGATACAACCAATGATCTTCCCGGCTTATCTTTCGCCTTCCGATGGTTTGGGAGAGAATCCCGATGTACGAGTACAAAAATAAATGTGCGGAGCAGACACCGCAATGGCAGTTTTTCCCTGATTCTACCGAGGACTGGTACTCGTACAACTGCCTGCTATACTCGCTTTGTTGGGTGTGGTGGGTTTTGCAATTTTTTATTTTTTGTCGCCTTCGGCACTGTCCGCCTCCGACGTCACAGCTAATGTTTCAAGCCTCTCCATTATTCAACAATGTGAATCAGGGTGAAAACCACCCTATATTGGGACTTGAATTTACTTGTTTGTCCAGGTACGGGCGTACGCGTCCAAGTCCTCGTAGCAATGGAATATTCGAAATTCTGTAGACTATTCTCCCGCCTCTGGGAGTCCGGAACATTCCAGGCCTGGTACACCGATTGATTCCCTTGCTCCAATTGGTGCGGATTTGATCTCTCATATCTGAGATGTGACCAAACAAGCCCACTGTACATGCGAGCGCATGTACCTAAGAATAACCCGTCACCCGCTTCAATGTATGAGAACCCCGGGATCTTTTCCTACCCGAGTGATATCGTGCTAGTAATCTACGAGTAATGACGGGAATCGCGCGATATTACTAGTCATGTTGGAGGTTGGCCCCGGGGGCGGGATGAGTTTCAGTTTGGTTTCTCTGTTGCTTCTTCTTGTCTACACATCAGCATCCGTGGATTGGTAGCATAAAGTGTATGACTCGGAATTTTACGCCAGGTGCATGAGTTCAACGCCCGTGCCGCATTCCTGGAATCTTGAGGGCAGCGTGGCTGAAGCTTGTTTCGTATGCTAGTTCTACGTGGTGATATTAAGCGAGCGCCGCTTTTTCGATGGCCCCCTGTAAGGGTATTGTATCGATAAGAGTTTGTTTAGATAAATTTAGTCGGGCTAAATATAGTCGCAGATTGTAAGCAAACCATTGGTTCCTGCGCCCCATATGATAGCTGTCTAGTGTAGGATGCCCCATGCAAAGTGGATTGGATTTTGTTTCGCTCAAATCAGAGCAATTTACTTAACAGCCTCGAAGCCTATCCAGAAACAAGCTAGAGCAGATCCGAGATGGTCTGTTTCGGATACATTCAGGGTATGGTAACAAAATGCCTTGCTACTCGTACACGGGAGCCTACAGAAGGGCGTTTGACACCGTTTGGGTAGCAGCACAATCCTGTACTTGTACTCCGTGCTTCCAAGGAAGCAAACCGAGCTCGAATACCCAACATTTTTCATGAAACTTGTTTCTATGTGTCAACGAAATGGAGACGACAAACAGGAATTTCGACCTCTTTACGGAGTACTCACAAGTGCTTTGCCAGTTCATTGCACATAAAACGCACTTGCCACGTACTCCCTACAATGCCTCGAGTTCTCCGCATATCACGAGATAGCAAAGCCCTTGAAAGGTATTAATCCGTACTCCGTACTGCGATCGCAGTACGAAGTACATTCCCTGTGAAATCTTGACTGTACAAGTACCTAGCATTTTCAAGATCATAATTCATTTCGACCTGGGGATGTACTGTCCGGCCACATATGTGATGGGCTCACTATCTAGCCCGGGAGGCGTACAACAACATCCGATGGAGGCGACTAAATAGGCAAATGGCTTATCGTAAGCACGTTGTAACCTAGTCAAGCCACAAACGTGTCTCCAAAAATTCTGGGGTGATAGAGATCTTTACAATTTAGCCTACTTAAGTAAGTGCTCTTTTTATTCGTCGCTTAAATTCGATCTCTGGACAGCACGGTATATGCCTCATGATGTCTAGTGATTCCACATGTGATAATAATCATGACACTCATCCTAACAAAGCCAAAGCCCCTACATGAAGGGGAAAAAAACTTTAGTGGGGGAAAAAAAGCCTTGCTCTGCATGAAAAACTCAGTCTGGTATAGCTTGTTCGAATTATTTGAATCAAATAATCGAACATCACCAACAAAAATGGTGTACTCTTTACAACCTTATACATACTGCTTCACTTCAATGTTGTCGGGTGTAGACTTCCGGTGGGCAGTCGCCGACCGCTCAATAGCCGACCACAACACCAAGCCCGACATATTCAAAAGCATCCATCGTAGAGCAATAGAAAGCAAATCCATTATGGACATATGCAAAGAGCAACCCCATATTGAGGAGTGGCACCTGATTGGCCTTCTCTCATCCTTCCCCGACATCAGCCAAGACAATGAACGCTGTCATGTCTTACCTGCGTGCAAGACCCTGAGCGTTCCTAATGCCAAATCGGCACAATCCAGGAATCGCTTATCAGATCTGAATGATCAGGTGCTCGTGTTCAAATATAAAGGATTCTTGCACGCCATCGATAACGCATGTTGTGTGCCCCTCTCTCTTGGCTGTAAGCTTACCGTCGCTAGCAATGTCCGCACTCGTCGTTCCCTCTAAAACAGGGTAATTTGTTTGATATCGAGGATATTGGAACGCCACATGGTGCTGGAATTCGATGTTTTAGGCATGGTTGGAAGTTTGACCTCTTCACTGGGAAGGGGGATAGTGGGCCTCACAAGCTAAATTTGTGGGATATTGAGCTGCGGGATAGCGAAGCATCTGCGGGTGCTGACAAGGAGGTTTGGGTCAGGAGACCACCCCAAGCCCCGAATTAGAGAGGCAAAGCGAGTTTTCGAGGGCATGAAAAAATCGTTGTCACGATACATCTACACAAAGCCAGTGTGAAATTGACGTAAAGATGAATTTTGAGATTCAGGACAGTATCACAAAGAAAGCGCTGTCGAAGAGGGTATATTATGAAACATCATAATAGATTCCGAAAAGGATCCAAGAGAACATAGTACAAGAGAAGGTATAAACCAGAACCAAAATCAAGGAATTATAAAATTAGAGATCAGTGTCATCAATGACTTCCCCGGTGCCGGGGTTTAGACGAAGAACCTAAACAAAGTTAGTGGCTGTTACTTGGCAATGCAGAACGAACACATACCAAGCCGCAATGGCGATGATCAAGTACATCATCATCAACAAGACACCCTCAAGCCAGTGAGACTTGCCATCACCGATGAGGTAGTTCACCTAAAAAGAATGGTCAGTACAGTTGTAAAACTTATCCAAAGATGCAGTTCACATACCAAAAGAACAGACATGAAAAGCACAATGACTTGGAACCCGTCGAAGTTGAGTGTCTGCCATGGTTAGGATTCATCTTTGATTCGATCGGAAGATCCAATAATTAAACATACCATGTCTTCAACACCAATAATCCATCCAAGAACAATGATCAACGGCAACACAAGCAGCGCAATCTGCATACTCGAGCCAACAGCAACACCAATGGCAAGATCCATCTTGTCTTTACAAGCCACCGTCACGGCAGTAGCATGCTCAGCAGCATTACCAACAATAGGTAGAAGGATCAATCCAACAAATGTCTCGCCAATGTTACCAGTGTGAGTCAGAGCATCGATGGAGTCAACCATGAACTCGGCACACGCAGCCACAAACGCAGTTGAGATGAGGAGCGTGAGCATAGCAGTGACAATGGAGAGCTGGGGCTGCTCAGGCTCATCCTCTGCATCCTCCATTTGCATGTGGTCTGGGTTCTGGCCGACCAATGGGGCGGCGGTCATCTTGCCGATCTGGGCAATTCCACGACTGGCGTCTCCTTCACTGACGCGGGCTCGTCGCCGTTCAACTTTCGGGCTGGGGCGGTTGTACATGTCTGCGTGAGACTTGAGTTGGAAGAAGAGGTAGCATGCGTAGACAATTAAGAGAAGGACACTGGTTCCTGTTTGAGTTTGGTTAGATGTGATTATGGTTTGATGCGATGGACCAGGCCTAACTTACCTCGAGACAAAGCGGCAGTTCCATCGCCGTGGGTGGCTATCATGTGGTGTTAGCCTATCGTTCAAGGTTGAGTGATAGATAAAGAATAGAACTGACTATCAGACCACCGGTGATACGCGGTGGGAATGATCAAACTGCTAACAGCCAAGGCCAACATACTCGCGGCAGTTTGGGCAACTGTCACGTTGAAGTGCTGTTCCATACGGTCGATTCCACCGAAGAAGAAGCACATGCCCATAACCAACAGCAAGTTTGACAACATACTGCCAATGAGGGATGTCTGTACAATAAGAGTCTTGTGCTTGACCAAAGCGATGATTGCAACGATCAGTTCAACGGCATTACTGTACATATGGTTAGAGGTTTGATCAAAGTTCCGAAATTGGAAAGCAAAATGGAAGAAGCATACCCGAACGAAGCATTCAGCAGACCGCCAATAGTTTCACCGGTACTGTAAGATGTTAATATACATGGGACAGTATCTAGCGATCCGGGGACATACCGAAGGGCGATTTCTTCAGTCGCAAAACTCAGCATAGCAGCCAAGGGACTAGACACTGGGTTAGTGATACTATGCTTGCCAAGTTATTTGAGGTTGAAGCACTTACATGATAGCAATGAAGTTAACGACGAAAACAGCAATGGGGTTGGCCTCCACGGCGTATAGAGCAACTGCGCAATGTTAGCAAATGATATCCACACATGCATCGACAAGATTGATAGGATGAGAAATGCATACTTCCGACTGGCGCAGCAATTAAAAGAACATTGATCCACGAGTTCAGGATAGTGGCTCTTAGCTGCGAGGCGAATGTGAACTTCTGCGGCTCAGAGAGCGATTTCTTATCCTCATCCAAACTATCCTCGCCACGACTGAGCTTGCCCAGGAACCCGCCCTTTCTCTGGCGTGGAACCCCAGAGTCAGCAGACTCCTCAAGCCCGCGCGAGACATTGATGGGATCATGGCTCTCCACTGAGGGCTCAGGTGGAGATCGGTGGGGGGTTGGGGTGTCCAAGTCGCTTCCAGCCGACTCTGGCGGAAAACTGCCAGAGTAGTTCGGGCCCGTAAGGTCGTGGTTCATGTCCTGTCTTCGGCGGTGATCTTCTGACAGATCACCCAGGCTGCGGGACTGGAGACCGCTTTCAAGCTGCATGGAGTTTGAGCGTCGGGGGTGTTGCTGGCGGCGGAATTTCTTGAATGGATTATGCGATGAAGCTTCGCCTTCTTCATCGTACCAGGCTAGGTTGCGGGCCTGACGGCGGTAGATATCTGAGAATATCAGCATGGTTGAGAAACTGTGCTGGTGTGTCGAACTTACGCATGATGGCGGGTAGGCTTTAAACGTCTGGAGAAACTCGATTGTGAGTATATTTGTACCAGGGATAAGAGAAGGAATTAAATAGCAATAGATATTGGGATTGGATGAGGCAACAATGGACTATGGTTTCCAATGGAGCCACGCCACAGCGCGTGGCTTAGACGCCCAACGACGATGCCTATAGGGGTGGACTAAGAGAACACGTACTCAGTGTTTATTTCAGGTTGCGCGTTTCAGCACAGTCGAGGGCTGAGGCGTATAGAAGTTGGACTAAGCGCTGAACTGGGGTGAGCCGCAAGTGACAGCCACAATTGAAGGATGAATGGCGGACCCGCGATGTTCAAAAAGTTGCAACCCAAAATTGACACGGCCACAGACAGGGGCTGATTCAGAGGATCGCGCCGAGGTAAGGGGTAGGCTGAAGATCAACAAATAAGTAACGAATGGATATTCTCACACAGCGGAAAATAAGAAAAAGCAAAGGGAAAAAAAAAAAAGAACGAGCGAGAAATGAAGGGATAGAATTTGGCTGGTACCAATTTGCAAGATTTGCTGAGAGACTGGCTTCGAGAAGAGGTTTGAGGTGCACAGCCACACTAGTGCAGGACGATCGCGATAGCGCGGGTTAGTGTAAATTGAATGAGCTTGGCACTTGGGACACACAAGACAAGCAAACTTCGATTGCACTGGAAAAGATGGTAAGTTTGGCTATAGAAAGTTGCTTGAAGTGCTGTTGGGCTCTGTGACATTCTGGCAACCTGCGTCAGACCTCGCTATGATGCTCGATGCGCTGGCTGGGAACACGAAACACGAAGACGCCACTCCAAACCTTGGAACGGAAAGCTTTGTTTTGCTTGGTGTGCTTGGTTGACTTGGTCTTCTTGGCGATCAACCCCAACCTATTAGAAAATTGTCACACCGCATCACTGGCTCTGGAGATCATAAAGACTTGTGCAGACATTGACGTAGCAGCACCTGCAGCCCTTGAACATGAGGCCGTCATTGGGAGGAAGCAAGATCCCAAAGTGATAGTGTGACCCACTCTTGGCAGGAGTTCAAGCAATCAGGGGCTGTGGAATGGGAGTTGGGACGCCACAGCGCCCCTTTCTCATTTCTGTGGCTATCGTGGGTCACGTGCGGTGAAGCTGGTACGGGAGTAGGCGCCCTTGGTGTTGGTGACCAAATCTGGTGTGAATCACTCAGCTTGTGTTGTCACATATATAGACAACATTCGAAACTGGTTGATGAAACTGTAGTAAGAAGGTTTGGGGAATGGAGCGTCGGTGGCTTGGACTCTTTGACCCCTCAAATTGTCGGTCTTCATTCACAGATGTGCAGAGCGCTCGCTGCAGCAGACAGAAAACGGTGTCACTCATGTGCTCTCCAGCTCTTCCAACGCTCAGTTCTCTGGTTCTGTTGGTTTCGTGCATCTTGTTGATCCTGTTGATCCTGTTGATCATGGTCTGCTTGGCCCTGTCTGTTAGTTGAGATGGCAAACCCCCTGATCGAATCAAAGCTGGTGAATGAAACCAGTGGCTCTTGTGAGCCCTGGAGAGGTGATAAAATATCAAGAGGAGGAAAGGGACTAAAGTATCGAAGAGAAAACTCAGCCCTATGGGACGGGGCACCTGGCCCACAAGGCTACGGCTAATGGCTGTTGCCTACTGTCACTAGCGCCCCTTGGAATGTTGCTTGGGCTCCCTAGATCCCATTCGATCTGCACCACTCTCTGGTCTCAAGGCAGGTTCATTACAAAGTTCGGAATAAACAGAAGCCTTTGCGTTGCTTTACCTCCCGTGTTATTACGCTGGCAGGCGCTTCCACATCAGAGACTTTAGGAATACTCCAACACGGGGTATCCCTTAGGCACTACTCAAGACAGATTTGATATCGCGAACCCCGAAGCGCCCAAGGACAACATACAGCCCCGAACCACTAACCTACATTTGATTCGTATAATTTTATTCCAATGTTGTTGTACGTGCTTCATATATACCAAACTCGGAAGGATCAATGCGATGCATATTCGGTGTGCCCACAGCCCAGGTAAAGGCGCTGCATAACAAACTATTAGCCGCCATTCACATCTTCAGTATATATTATCAGGGCACCCATCCATCTGTGGATGGATGGAGCTTTTTCCGGCCAGACTCATCTCTGGTATACTTCTAAACTTTGTAAATACGCTCTGTTAAATTAACGCAATGTTTTATTAAAAAAATATCCATGAATACTATGCTCCGAGACTACCGTGCCCTGGGGGTACCCCAATGCCGCCTCCCGGGCTTTGAGAAGCGTGAAAGGCCCAGGCGTGTTCTAAAGTTCTAAAGTCGGTCACAGATGCGGAATTCCTGAAGCCAGGAGTACAGAGTAGGTAGTTACGCATATTCGAAGGCTGTGAACATGTCCGAGCTTGAAACTAAAAAGAAATTTCCAACCCTGGACGTTGGATTTGGTGTACAGAGTACATTGTCTGGAGTCTTCCGTGATTTATCGTAGTCTCAACTCGAGTCCTGGGGGTCCAAGCTATATGGACTACGTAAAAATGGAGAGAGCGGTAATGGGGGTGGTCGCACAACTGGGAGCGACAAGGTCTGTTTCAAGATAGATCTAACTGTATTACATGCGAAGGGGTATAGCGGCCAGTGTTGGATACGATGCATTTAGTTATCAGTACCTGGATTAACCTAATTCTATGCTAGTAAAAAGCTTCAATACCTGAATTCCTATAACACATCTTCCAAGGTTCTAATAAGCAAACCTTGGAAGTACTCAAGCGATTCCGCCTTTCAAACATGAAGCTATTCAAAGTCTGGTCGATCCTGAAGTCTAAAGCACCTACTTAGCAACGTCGTTAAACCCTACACTCTTTTCCCCCCTCTCTTTCTAAAGTCTCATATACCTACCTAGTTAGTGCTTTTGTGTACTCCAAATTGATGCTTACTTGAGTAGATTCCGATACCTACCTAGGTATTTGAAGATACATCCTTCCAAGGTCAACCCAGATACCACAAAGTCCTCTAGTTATTCCTGATCAGGATGTCGCAGAACAATACGATGCAATGTGCCGGGCGTTGCGACCAGAGGAAGCTTAGCTGTATGTAGCGGAGCTTAGTACGAGTGCGAGTAGGCGGGGGAAGAATCATGTTCTTCCAAGGTTGTTTCGAATCTGGCAAAACCCCTTTTCTCCCATTGACCAATGATTGAGGGTGAGAAGATCTCATGCGTACATACTGTATCGAACAATCACAAAGGTTGAACAAATAAGATGGCTCTCAGTTTCTCCGACGCCGAAGGATGGGGACCCGCATCTGACGTGATAGGTGATAGACAGGGGTAATCGCCGTGCGTAGGATCTACAGAACAGCGTACCCGTCCCTTGTACGGAGTACAAAGTACACAAGGGTACAAAGTAGACTATTCTCCTCGTACTTGAAAAGAGTACGGAGTGCGGAATAAAATGCACCTCTATTATGATTGATACATACGAGTAGTACGGAAGGCCCGTACGCGTGTTTGGCGTATACAAGGTCTCTCCCGTGGGCGGGTAAAGATGAAACCGTTTAGAGTGTGACATTGTGCCGTCTGATCGTCCGTGCAAATCTACTCGTACAATGTACAGAGTACGAGTGCAATGGTTGTAAAGATCTTAAGCTTTGAAGACCAACATTTCAGACCCGTTTCTCGGGATGTAGGCAGCACTTTTAAGCAGAAATGCCGCAGTAAAAATAGCCGGATAATCTTGCAGTGCTCGTACTCCGTACGAATAAAGCGGACCAGAGACATTAATCAAGAGGCGTTTTCACTAGGAACAAATAGACGAGAATGATATTTGAGACATTGTCGGGGGAGGATCGCACGGAGACATCTCTGAGCCAAGACTGCCCAGCCTGCCCAGCCTGCCGAAGCGATTTTGGAAACTCTTGATAGCCATCGCAAGCATTGATCATCCTTGGCAACAAGAGACAAGCTTTTCAAACTGACGCACTTCCGGATGTTTGATAGTATCCATCATGTCGTGTTCTAGAGTTTGAATGGAAGAATATTACCGTACGCCAGAAGCCACCGAAATGAAGAGGAAATGAAGAGGAGATGAAGACCAAAGTCCCCACTTTTCCCTCCAGTCAGGGTCCTTCCAGGGTCTCTGAGAGGGTCTTTTTGAGGGTCTCTGAGAGCCCGAGAGTCCGGCTGTCCGCGGGTTTACTAGTGCGTACAGTGGTTTCAGGGGCCGAGTGGCAAAGAGCAGAAAGGGAAGAGGCCCAAGTGGTCGGGGGCCAGAAGAAAAAAGGACAAAAAAAGGGATAGTGGAGTGAGAAAAGGCCAATGACGTCGGAATATTGACTTCATTCTGGACTGGACTGGCCAATCAGTCGATGCAATTGAGAGGCCCCAGAAAACAAACAGTACAGAATGTCCCATTGATGTGCACACATGCGCGTCGAGAACCCCCTTGGTCCACCATCGGGACACCCCCCTTCACACCTTTTCTCCTCCCTCGTCCTTCTTTCTGTTTCTTTTTTTCTTTTTTCCTCTCATCTACATTCGTTATAACTAGACGGTGGTGTGTACCCGTTTTCATAAACTAGATCGTTCTTTCTATACACAATGAAGGCCTCCATCATCGCCGGTCTCTCCATCCTTGGAGCGGCCGTGGCTGCCGACGTGCCCAACATCGAGATCAAGGGCAAGAAGTTCTTCTACGCCAACAACGGTACTGAGTTCTTCATCCGTGGTGTCGCTTACCAGCCCGATTACACCGCCGGCAACGGCGGTGATACCGAGACTTCCTACACCGACCCCATCGCCGATGTGGACTCTTGCAAGCGTGATATCCCCTACCTCACCCAATTGCGCACCAACGTCGTCCGTACCTACGCCGTTGACCCCTCGAAGGATCACGATGAGTGCATGCAGGCACTCGCCGATGCCGGTATCTACCTGATTACCGATCTGTCGTCGCCTTCCGAGTCTATTGTCTCTAACGACCCCACCTGGAACTCCGACCTCTTCACTCGCTACTCCCAGGTCGTCGATGCCTTCGCCAAGTACCCCAACGTCATCGGTTTCTTCGCCGGTAACGAGGTCGCCAACAAGGTCAACAACACCGACTCCATGGCCTACGTGAAAGCCGCCGTCCGTGACATGAAGTCCTACATCAAGCAGAAGAACTACCGTAGCTCCCTTGCCGTGGGTTACGCTACCGATGACGACCAGACCGTCCGTGAGGCCGTCTCCAACTACCTGGTCTGCGATGATGTCTCTGACTCCATCGACTTCTTCGGTTACAACATCTACGAATGGTGCGGTGACTCTTCCTTCACCAAGTCCGGCTACTCCGAGCGCACCAAGGAGTTCGCCGACTACCCCGTCCCCGCCTTCTTCTCCGAGTATGGCTGCAACGACGTTCGTCCCCGCAAGTTCACCGATGTCCCCGTCCTCTTCAGTGACAAGATGACCGACGTCTGGTCCGGTGGTATCGTCTACATGTACTACGAGGAGACCAACAAGTACGGTCTTGTCTCCGCCTCCGGCGACAAGGTCAGCACCCTGCCCGACTTCAGCAACCTCTCCAAGCAGATGGCCTCCGCCACCCCCTCCGGTGTCGAGTCCAGCAAGTACTCCGTGACCACCACCGCTGGCCGCAGCTGCCCCACTGTCGGCTCCGACTGGAACGCCGCCAGCAAGCTGCCTCCTTCCCCCAACGCTGACCTTTGCGAGTGCATGTACAACTCCCTCGAGTGTGTCCCTGTCTCCGACATCTCCAACAAGAAGATCGGCTCCACCTTCTCCTACCTCGGTGGTGAGGACGGTGTCATGGACGGTGTCAACTCCAACGCCACCTCCGGCAAGTACGGTGCTTACTCCATGTGCTCTGCCAAGCAGCGTCTTGCCTGGGCCATGAACCAGTACTACCAGAACAACAAGGGCAAGGCCGGTGCTTCCGCCTGTGGCTTCAGCGGTGCCGCCTCCACCAAGAAGGCCACCTCCGCCTCCGGCTCTTGCGCTACCCAGATGAGCTCCATTGGCTCCAAGGGTACCAACGCCGTCTCTGCTGGTCTCGCTGCCAGCACTGGCGCTGCCGCCTCCGGCACCGCTGGCTCCAGCGGTGCTACCTCTTCCGGTATCGCTGTTGGCACCGTTCCCCAGTCTGTTCACATCGGTTCCTTGCAGGCCGGCGCCTACGCCGTTGCTGCCATTGCTTCCGGTGTTTTCATGATCATGCTGTAAGCGGGTCCATTGACTTTATATACCCATAGACTGCCCCCACATTTTGGTATCATGGGTGCTCTTTTTGTAACAACTCGCGTACATAATTCTTTCAAAACTGCCAGCTGGTGTTCTTTTTTTTAGATACTTTATAACCTTCTTACACGATATCCCTATTCAATTTACATAGTAGCTCACATTCTAAACTTTGGAAGTTATTGCCAACATCGACAGACCTCGGTACTCTCCGCTTCAGCAGGTTCTCACTATCAAGTTCGTACTCCTCGAGGTCCATTCCCGATGCATGGATTGAAAGTATGTCACTAACATAGTGGGTTGAAATACACTTCGGAGACAGTATCTGGCTCCAAATAATTAGAATAATTCCGTCACTTGAGCATGGATGAATGTAGTAGTCGATGATTCCGGTGACCCTGTATAACTTGGTTGTACATATCTTACTTAGTAGCCACACATCCCCAGTCTTGTGCCTGCGGCTCAATTGAGAAAAGTCCTTACTGCCTGAGGCCGGAATAGTGATCCCCCACAACTTTGCATCTGACACACGTCCCATACAAGTGACGAAAAAAAAGGAGATACAGAATCCCCTATTTACGAGCGAGATGGGGATAAATACCTAGGTATCTACTTAAATACCCGTAGGTAGATCAAGATGAAGACAGAAAGAGAAAGAGGAAAGAACAAAGTGTTTGATGTGAGCAGTCCCAATTAGGAAGTCGCCTGCTCCCCGGGGTATATAAACCCCCCTCTTCCCCTTTCTCTTCTTCTCTTTCTCTCTTCTCCTCACAGACTTCTGCACTCGGATCCCTCGGTCGGGGGGTTCGTGGGCTTGTTGTCTATATCAAATCCCACTCTTGTGCGAGTCGGCGAGCAGGTGAAAGTAGTACGGAGACGTCCCGAACCCCGAATACTGATCTTGCGCTGCTATCCACAAGACACATGTGTGTGCTTGTAATATTGTGTCTAGTCTATAGTCTGTAGCAACCGTGAAGCTATTCCCATCTGTCTGTATTCTATGCCCTGTAGCTGTCATTGCTTTGGCGCGTCTTGTTTTCTGTTGTTTACCTTGCTTTGATACGGGGCCGGTGATAGGACTGGAAACTCGAAGCTCACTTGAGCAAGTCTTCGTGTTTACATCCGAGGGGGTTACAAGTGTTGGCGCGAGGATCTCAAGGTCTCTGACTCAAATATCTGGGCTTTCAAAACCTGCAGTTCTCTAGACTAGCTATACCATGAGTCAAAGTAGGTGGGAATAGCCCTGGAGTTACGTCCTTTGCCTGGGCGAGTAGGAAGAATACATGGTTGCTTGTTGAGTCCGACTCTATCAATCTGGTACTCTCACTCCCATATCTCGCAGCTTGCAGCTTGCAGCTTGCAACTTGCAACCTGCACTCTTCTTCTCTCTTCGTTTCTCTGTTTCTCTACTTCTCTGTTTCTCTGTTTCTCTTCATCTGTTCATCTGTTCATCTCTGTTCATCTCTGTTCATCTCTGTTCATCTCTGTTCATCTCTGTTCATCTCTGTTCATCTCTGTTCATCTCTGTTCATCTCTGTTCATCTCTGTTCATCTCTGTTCATCTCTGTTCATCTCTGTTCATCTCTGTTCATCTCTGTTCATCTCTGTTCATCTCTGTCCATCTCTCTTCATCTCATTTCAATCCACCATGGAGGCCATCAAGCGAGCCTTCGCGTTGAGCAAGGCTCAAAATCGGACAGCACTGATCACTTATGTGACAGCCGGTTTTCCTTCACTGCACGAGACCGCCGGAATCATGCTTGCCATGCAAGCCGGTGGTGCTGGTACGCGTTTACAGCTCACATCTCGCATCAAGAATACATCCGACCACCAGTGACTGACCTGAATCTGCAAACAGACATAATCGAGCTCGGGATTCCCTTTACCGACCCAATGGTAGATGAGCCAGCAATCCAACGCTCCAATGCCCAAGCCCTCGAGAATGGCGTCCGAATTCCCACCATTCTTCAGATGGTCAAATCAGCCCGCCACCAGGGTCTGGCCGTCCCCGTTTTACTGATGGGCTACTGCAATATTGTCTACGAATATCCTTTTGGAGAAGAGAAGTTTCTGCGGGACTGCAAGGCTGCTGGGGTGGACGGTTTCATCATCGTCGACTTCCCAGAAGATGAAGCTGCGCGTTTCAGCCAGGCGTGTGAATCAAAAGGGTCAGTATGCCCATCTATGCAACCCAGGAATGCGGCTAATGCAAATTACAGATTATCGTACGTTCCTCTAATTGCTCCAACCACCTCTGATAGCCGCATGGAGAAGATTTGCAGCTCTGCCACCTCGTTTGTTCATGTCCTCTCCTGCGTGGCGCCGACCGGAGCTCAGGTGAACCTGGATGATGGGCTGGGCAACCTTCTGGATCGAGTTTACAGGTACACCAGAGACAGCATTCCAATAGCTGTTGGTTTCGGCATCAATACCCGTGATGACTTCCTAGAAGTCGCTCGTTTCGCCGAAGGAGTCGTGGTCGGCAGTCAAATTGTTTCGATTCTGGAAATGTCACCCCAGATCAGTCGAAAGGTGAAGGCGAAGGAATACTGTCTCGACGTTGCTGGAAGATCCGAAAGGAATATCATCATACCTGAGCGGCCTCGTGCTCGTCAACTCATGTCGTCCACCACCGTCTACCTTTCTGGCGAGGACGGGGCTAACGACATGGTCCTTGAGCCCGAACAGCCGAAGGAAGTCAACCTGCAGACCGACGCTCATACCCGTTTCGGCAACTTTGGAGGCCAATACATCCCCGAGGCGCTGCGAGAATGTCTCGCCGAGCTTGAAAAGGCCTGGGTGGCTGCAAAGGACGACCCAGCATTCTGGGCCGAGATCGAATCTCACGCCAGTTACATCAACAGGCCATCCTCTCTGCACCTAGCCTCTCGACTGACAGAGCACGTCGGCGGTGCCAACATCTGGCTCAAGCGTGAAGACCTCAATCATACAGGAAGCTACAAGATCAACAATGCACTTGGTCAGATTCTGCTCGCCCGCCGTCTCGGCAAGACTTCTATCATTGCTGAGACAGGTGCTGGCCAGCACGGTGTCGCCATCGCCAGTATTTGCGCACAGTTCGGCCTCAAGTGTACCATCTTCATGGGAACTGACGACGTTGAGCGCCAGAATCTCAATGTCTTCAGTATGCGTCTCCACGGCGCAACAGTTGTCCCTGTTGATGGTCCGCATGGTAAAGGACAACTCTTCAATGCCGTCAGTCAGGCATTCCGGGCCTGGATTGCCAATGTGGAAACTACCCATTACGCTGTCGGCTCTGTGCTCGGTCCGCACCCGTATCCAACGATTGTTCGCACTTTGCAATCGGTCATTGGCAATGAGACGCGGGCTCAATTCCAGTCCATGAATGGAAAGCTGCCTGATGCTGTCGTTGCCTGTGTGGGCGGGGGATCAAATGCCGCAGGTATGTTTCACGCTTTTTTGAAAGATTTAAATGTTCTCTTGGTTGGAGTTGAGGGAGGCGGGGTCGGAGAAATGGCTGGTGAGCACTCTGCTACGTTGACTCGAGGATCTGTTGGTGTTCTGCATGGTGTGCGAAGCTACGTGCTTCAGGACAAAGATGGTCAGATTCAGAACACGCATTCAATCTCTCCTGGTTTGAATTACCCTGGCGTGGGACCTGAGTTATCCAACTGGAAGGACTCTGGCCGGGCGAAGTTCTTTTCTGCGACCGATGAAGAGGTTCTGAGTGCTTTCACCTTGTTGTGTAAGCTGGAGGGCATCATGCCAGCGCTTGAGAGTTCTCATGCCATTGCTGGGGCTTTGAAAGTTGCTCGGGATGTTGGGGTCGGTGGCAATGTGATTGTTTGCCTGAGTGGAAGGGGTGAAAAGGACATCCAGACGGTTGTTGATTTTTTGCCTGCCCTAGGGCTGCGCGACTAAGTTGAATGGTTTCCAGGTGTCTACAGGGGGTCGTATCTAACTAGGTATTCTAACTTTTTAGGCCGTATCTTTACCAGGTGCGATTATTCACCACCTCGGAGGGTTTAATCAAGAATATGATTCAGATCAAGGAATTAATCCAATCAGAATAGCGTTGGCTAACATGTTGCTGTCAAGTGTTCTACTTTAATTCGAACGGTCTGTGTAGAAAAGAAGACTACCTAGGCTGTCTTGTCCCCCTATTTTGATTTTTGACATGACTTTCGATGACCAAAGGATCACAAGGCATCCTGCTCAGAATTATTCTCCCACCAGCCTTCTACCCTCCTCACTAGACCCAAGGCTCACGAACTGCATCTTGCGGATAACATGTCCTTTCCACATGAGCAACATAACAAACATGAAAGAAAAAACGGCAAAGAACGCCATCATACCATAGACCCACCCGACATCAACAGCTTCAACCCAAGGGTTGATGTAGAAGCTGATCGTTAATCCGTAAACAATACGATAAGCGCCGATCACAATACCTGCCTCCGCCGGATACTTTGTAAAGCACTCGACAACGTAGTTGACTGTGACAGGGACACTGGCAAGCGAGCCAATTGTAACAATGAACACTGCAAGTGCCAAAACCATGTAGTGCAGGTGATACTGCAGAGCAGCACCAAAGATACCCAAGCCGATTGGGTTGAGAATAAGACTAGGAAGCCACAGTACATGTAGACGATATTCGGGCTTCCAAACACCGCCATTGTATCGCCGTGCCAGTGCAAGCGGGAGCTTGTCGTTTAACCAGTGGCCGTAGAACTGAACAAAGATAATGCCAATCCAATGACAAAAGGTAAAGGCGGCATTTTGCTCCAGCGAGAAGCCATAACCACCTGCTGACACGGGCTTTTGAAGCCATACTGGGGTGAGGGCGTTGACACCCACGTAAAACCCGAAAGAGATGAGGGTAAAGATACCCATGATGATGGTGACTGGACAAATTCCAATCAGGAAAGGTGTAACCGCCACCTTGGCCTAGAGCTACGTCAGTATTGAGCATAAGAGTGGCAGCGAATTGTTACTTACCGTTTCCCTCCAGGTAGTCGGCAACACAACCCTCTGACCAAAGAAGAACGTTGCGATTCTATTTGCCACAATTCCACTTTGAACTTCAGGGTTACGGTCCAGGGACTCGCGATCAAACCCAGTCTCCTCAAGAAAACAGAAGCAACAAACAAGCGTGAAGCCCAACAAGCCAACTGTCCACCAAAACTCCACGGGAAAGAAAGAGTGCGCCGAGACGAAACCCGAGAACGTTGGACCGGCAATGGTTCCGAAAAGGAACGCCATGTGCAGGACAGTGAATGCACGGCCTCGCTGATGCAAGAAGAACATATCGATGACGATGCGAGGGCCAAGCACAGTAGGCACAGCACCGAAGAAGCCGGCGAAAAGACGGGAGATAATAAATGGGATATAATCATCTGCACCGGTCATGACGGCGCCCCAGATCTGACAAACTAACGTGCAAAGTACACACCAGAAGATCGTGGAGCTGCGCCCGAACACATACGAGACCGGCGCGAAAAAGAATGGACCGGCTGCCATACCGGCCAGGGCAGCAGAGTTCTGAGCTTGTCAGCGTGTGATGCTGGAAATTGGATATAATTTGAGACTGTCGTCATCATCGAGCACATACGGCATATGTCTCCTCTAGTTTAGACTTGTGGTACAATTTCTCCTGATCAGCCAAGTTCAGTTGTCCCGAAAGGGGCGCAATAGCACCAGAGAACGAGGCAAGACATAGCACAGACAGAACTATATACTTGCGGCTTAAACTCCAGTTCTGCAGGGCATTGTTAGCGCGTATGCACATAAGATATTAGGATATCGCGTCATACTAGAGGATCCCGAGGATGGGTACTTGGTTGAGGAATCAACACGACGGAATCTGTGCCCTGCTTGTCCGCGCTCTGCTTCTCCACGCTGGGGTTATCGTGCATTCTTGATTAGAGCTGTCAGGAGCCTTGCCCAGGTGATTTTGGGAGTTTCTGGAATAACACCCCTTGAAGCTCTGAGATGTATTTCAGCCCGGGACGCTAGATGTCTTGGCAGGCCCGTTCGAAAGCTTTACTTGCGCCAAGCTCCTTTGCCGAGCTCTTCGAGTGCTACGAGTAAAATTTCGCGTGGGGACGCGTCAGCTTGGACATTTCGCTAACAGGCCAGGCCAGCTATTATATCGTGAGGCATGGGGTGTATAAGGGTCGTAGAGTGGTGCGGCACTTCGAAAACTTGGGGAGATCACTCCATTCAAGCCAACGCGTCCGAACGCAGCAGCCAATCCATTTGAAGGTCGTGCAGATCACATAGCCGAAGGGGCAAGGCGTTGCGGTTGAAATGGCGCCTGGATTTCCAGGCAACATCAACGGATCAACTCTGACTTTCGAACATTGAACTCTTCTGACATTCAACCTCACAATGAATCTCACAACAGCCTTCGGGTGACTGCTCCGAGAATGGGCAGACCTTACTCAATAATCGGGCACTGTACAGTGTATGCCGATCGCGGCCGCAGGATCCACATCGGAGAGAAATTCTTCAAAAACGGACGTCGGCGACAGCTCCAACATGCCGAAGGCCTTTGATACAAAACATTCCTGGCAACTCCTGGACATTACTCGCCCCTAAGCCTCGGAGACATGAGCTCTTTGATCAATTTGTTTTTTTTTAATTGCATAAACTTAATCTCTAATCATGGAAAAGGAAGACGTGGAGTCTCAAAAGCCAACCCCGCAGGTTGACCCGCACGATTCGGAGGATGACTTGGCTCTGAAGCCTCAGCAGTCCAACGCCTATGGTATTCCAACATGGCGCAAATCTCTTATTCTGTTTATTGTCAGCTGGATGACCCTGGCCGTCACGTTTTCCAGTACCTCTTTGCTACCAGCCACGCCCGAGATCGCTACAGAGTTCTCGACGACAACGGAGATTCTCAATGTCACTAATGCCGGCGTGCTACTTGCCATGGGATTTTCCTGCCTCATCTGGGGTCCCATGGTCAACATCTTTGGGCGTCGAAATGCCTACAATGCCGCCATACTGGTGCTTTGCGCATGCTCGGCCGGCACTGCCGTCGCAACGACCTTGCAGATATTTATTGCAATGCGCATTTTGAGTGGATTTACTGGAACTTTTTTCATGGTCGCTGGACAGACCATAATTGCAGATATCTTTGAGCCGGTATGTCAAAATTGAGTTTGTTTCGAGCAGTGACTAACCCTGACTAGACTGTGCGTGGAACGGCTGTGGGATGTTTCATGGTTGGATCAGTCAGTGGTCCTGCTATTGGTATGTCGCAATTTATATGCCTGAGCAAGTTGCAGGCCACGGAATAGAAACTGATGACATCTAGGTCCCTGCATAGGTGGAATTATTGTCACATTTGCACAATGGCGCATAATCTACTGGTTACAGTTCGGAATGACCTTACTTGGACTCATTCTGTCTCTCCTTTTCGTTCCAAGTGTACAGGAAAAGAACCTAGTCATTGGCTCTGGCCAGCCTTGGAAACTTTCCACTGTTCTGAAGATGTTTAACCCTTTGCGCATCTTCCGCCAGTTCATTTTCCCGAACGTGTTTCTTGCGGTGAGAATGCGAATGATACATCCATATTTACAAACCTATGCTGACTAGCACCAGTGCCTTACCTGCGGTCTTCTCTCAACATTCCAATATGCCATCTTGACTTCAGCCCGTTCCATTTTCAACCCTCAATTCAATCTCACAACCCCTCTCGTCAGCGGTCTCTTTTATCTATCTCCAGGGATAGGATTCCTCGTTGGCAGCGTCGTTGGCGGCAAGCTATCTGATCGCGCCGTGAAGAAATGGATTATCAAAAGAGACGGCGTCCGATTACCTCAAGACCGACTGAACAGTGGTCTCGCCACCCTCTTTGGAGTATTACCAGCCGCTACCCTGATCTACGGCTGGACCCTGGAGGAGAAAGTGGGCGGTATGGTAGTCCCAATCATTGCTGCTTTCTTCGCAGGCGTGGGGCTCATGGGTGCTTTCAATGCCCTTAACACATATTCAGCCGGTGAGACCTACTAGTGGATCAACTCGAATAGCTCATAGCTGACCACCCAGCAGAGGCTATGCCTAAGGCTCGTTCAGAAACCATTGGCTGCAAGTATATTGTGCAGTATATCTTCTCTGCTGCGGCTACAGCAGCCGTTGAGCCGCTGATTGGTGCCATTGGAGTAGGATGGACCTTTACCATTTGTGAGTAGGCGTCCTCTATTTTTCCAAGAATCGTCGATCTGACTATATGCTTAGGTGTTTTCTTTGCAATCATCGGTGGCTTCCTTGTTCTCGCCATCATTAGGTGGAGTTCTGAGATGCAAACATGGGCCGAAAAGACCTTCGGTCTCAACAAAGAGCCTCAGGCTTGATGATGTGATATTTTGCGCTTGCAATTCCATTTTTGCATACTTGGCGACACGAGATACCTGCATACTAGACTTTTTACATATATACACGCTGGACGACGGATACCATCATGCATCGAGGGGTTTTAGCGATACAGATTATACAAAAATGCCACTTTATTAGAATTCTTAGCATTGACATCTCTGCATACTAAGGTCATTTTCTGCCTCAGGCTGCAACAGATGAGTCAGGTCCAGGCTCGGCATTCCGCGTATTCTCGCCGAAGCCTCGGCAAAGTCTCCATACTTCCGACCGCATTCGGACGTCATTTCTCCTCACCTTACAGAAATACAGAAATCTAAGAACCGCCCTGAAACAGGGGCAATATTCGCTCATATGACGAGAAAAAGGCGTGAGCCTACATCAGACCTAGAACAGGATGGTCGCGAGTCTCAAAAAAGGAAATTTGTCGCGTGCGTTCCAGATATCCCCCACAGGAAGTGCTACAGGGCTGACACTCCACAGCTGTCAACGATGTCATTCACATAAGATTAAATGTTCCGGAGATTTGCCATGCACCAAATGCCGCTCGGTAGGCTGTGCCGATGAATGCGCGTATGCCACTCGGGATCGCCAGGTGAAAGTTAGCGAGAAGTATGTGAGCAAGCCCATGGCCTTCCATCAAACTAAGCTTTGCAAAGCTGCGCAAAAGCTTCCCGCACGGATCGGCTCGGACACTAATTTGATCTTCATCGATTAGCTACTTAGATCAGATCCTTGCAGAAAATCAGCGGCTGAGGGAACAGTCGACAACCTCGGCGCAAGCTGCCGAGATACACGACCCGCAAAGGTAAAGCACGATCTCTTTTGCGGTCCCAACACAACTAAGAGATCATTAGGGCAATTTCTCGGCCCGCAGATGCTCCAGATGGGACGGGGATCCAGAATCCCCTGATTGGAGACCGAGCCTGGTTTCATCGATATGACCCATCCTCGCCGCCCATCTACATCGGCGAGGCGGCTTGTTCGGCATTTGCAACTCGATTTCGTCGCTTCTTGACGGGAAACAGTGCAATGCCACATATTGCACGAACGCAGTATGAGCGGGAAGAAAAGATCGCGGCAGCGAACGAAGCTGATATCCAGTGGCCAAGTCTCCACCATGCTCGGCTGCTGGTCAGGATAGCAATTCACCAAATCGGGCACCTGTATCACCTCATGATGCGCAAGTCGACATTGGACAAACTGGAAGAGATATACCAGACCCAAGACTTTGACTGCAGATCTAGCAAGTGCAAGTTTTTTGCTCTGTTTGCCTTCGGGCAGGCATACTCTATCCGGTCCGAGCCATACTCTGGTTCGAGAGTACCTGGGACATCATATTTTGCCCGAGCTATGGGCTTGGTTCAGATCCTTCCGGAGAGAACGAGCGTGACACATTTGGAAACATTGTTGCTACTGGTGAGTAAATTGGGAGGTGTATTCTGTCTTTTTGGCTTCCCAAGACTAACATCATACTAAGTCTTTATTTTCGTACTATCTCAACCGCCGCCATTCGGCATACATTCTGATTGGGAATGCCATGCGAATGGGCTTGACAATCGGTCTCAACCACAATATCCCCGAGTCCCAGCTCATCGACCCCGTTGAACGCCAGCACCGTATCCAAATATGGTGGACAATCTACATCTTTGACCGGATGTGGGGATCCAAAATGGGACTCCCAATGCAAATTCTCGATGAAGACATCCACGTCGACATGCCCTCAACTATATCCCCTCGCTGGCGCCACGAGGAAGAACTATCCGACAGTGAATATATGACAGCCAACATCAAACTGGCCCGAATAGTCGGCGAGACAATCACAAAGCTTTACAGCCGACGAAAGTACCAAGAAACGTTTCTCCAACGCGTCCAAAAGCTTCTCAAAGCCCTGAAACACTGGGTAGAAACACTTCCGGAGTCATTGCGACTCAACATGGACGATCTGGAATCCAGCAAGAAACCCATCGTCTCCCTCCACATGGCATTCAACCAATGTGTGATCCTATCCACGCGCCCAACACTGCTCCACCTCTTGATGACATTAAGCCAAACAAAAGCGGCAACAGACAGGAGCGAAACCGAGACCGATACCGAACCCGATAGCGTCTCTGTATCACAACCAGTCCTGACGCTAAGCGAGGCATGCATCCATGCAGCACGGCATTCACATTCCATGATCCTGACACGGTGGATCAACGGGTCAATGCCGACCTTCGGATATTTCCACGCACACTACTTGTTTTCCTCGGCATTAATCTTGGCAATGTCGAGCTTCGTCCCGATCGGGAATCCATCCGACATGACCGGCTTTGACTCTGCACTAGACTTGCTACGCTCGATGACCGAGAACGGGAATCTAGCAGCAGCAGAGTTCTACAAAAACCTGGAGCAGGTGAAAATCTGCCTGGACTCTTATCGCGGATTGAAGGTTGGTCGGAGTGAAAGGAGTGCCGAGGTTGCTAGTGCCACCAACGTTCAAGCTGATACAGGCTCTGCGCCTGGGTTTACTGGGTTATCGACCTTGGCGAATGTGACAGCTAATTCCTCCATGCATGCTTTGCCTTCTAATATGTCCAACTCTGCAACTGCATCAGCGGCGCCGTTGGTGCCGACGCATGAACCAGCCACTTCTGCACCTACTGGCCTGCCAATTCAACAAGGGATTGATGCATATTCATTCCCAGTTCGTGATACCATCAGCGGGTACACGACTGAGATGGCATTCTTGGAGCCGACTATGCAGGATTTCCTGGCGCAGTCAGATATTGACCTTGGTTTGTTACACCCTGTTGATGCGTTTTTTAACGAAGCAGAAAATCTTTATACGTGCCATGAGCTATGATGCAGCTATCCAGGGGTGACAAGATAAATGCCCAAAATTGTTCGAAATCGCGACTTCAATGCCTCGGGTAGCATGGTGGCGCTGTCTGCCCATACATACTGTAAGCAGGTTTATAACATATGGCATGTCAAAACAATTTGCGACCAGCTCAGTTGACAAAAGCATTATTCAAAGATTGACTGATATAAGCCCAACATATGGTATCAACCCAATGATACAACAACTTTTTTTCCCGTATTCACCAAAAGAAAAATGGGCACTCGTTCGATTTATTCGAGTGGAAAAAGCATGAATGAAGTAGGGGTACCAAAAGAAACAAATAATGCCGATTGCGGATCGCTGAATATATGTCCCCCCCCCCCCCCCCCCAAATGATCAAGTCCGGGTATAGAAGTGCCAAAGTAGTATGCAATTGAAACGGACAGAAAAGCCCATGCATAATAACTAGACGAAGTCGAGCTCAAACTTCGACCCATGACGCGAGAGAATCTCAGTGCAGATGACCCAGGCGCAGCGCGAGGCTTCCTCTTTGGCAGACATTGCATGTAGCCATTCAATGGCTTTCTTTAGCTTAGAAGCCACGTTAGAAGCCTGAGCGGTATGTGGAATTGTGCGGGTCAAAAGCTCAGTCAACAAAATGCTTGTGGCCTGCATGATATTGTGCAGGATGCACCACCAAGGGGCGACACCGTAAAGCGAATCTGTGTTTCCAATTTCAGGTAACAGGTCAATCATTTGGCCGGCTGACTGGACACAAATTGCAGCCAGGTTGTCACACACTGTTCCCGGGGTACTTGCTTCCAAAGGCATTTGTACAAGGCGGCGAATGCAAGGTTGCAGAATGATCATTTTGGCGGCATAGAACCGGCACGCCAGGCCGACACGCTGTTCCAGGAATTCCTGGACCGGGTATGAGGAAGTAGGTTGAAATTGCACCGGGAGACGAGAAAGCCAGTTATCGACATGGCCATTGAAAGTGGAAATTGCTGCTTCAACCTCGTACCATGATTGCCGCGTCAAACTAGGGACATGAATGGCAGCAACAGCCCTTTGCAAGAGGTGAGCTAGATCCACTGCATATAGAAAGTATAGAGAGGCATTCGGCGTCAAAATATCAAGGCCTAACTGGCCAGACTTTTCTTCGGGTTGTTTTTGATTATCCCTGTTTCGCAGCTGTCCGGGGCCTTCTTTGGATAATAGAACGGGAGGATCTGACAGCAAGGATGAGAGAAAGGCGCTTCGTGCCCCTAGACTGGAGACCAGCTGCAAAACACGCTCATCCTCGATATCCTCCTCAAGAAATGGGATCGGGAGTGGTGTCGTGCAAAAAGCGTGCCCTGTGCTGGGCGGACGACCCGTAACCTCACATAATACCGTATCCAGCAGAATCAACGCCCACCAAACTCGATACCGGAGCTCTCGCGAAGAATGTGTGATGCTTTCAGTTTCACTCCGAAGATTTAATCCCATTGCCATCGCTGAGCGGATCGCAATCCCAGTGAATCGCCACGACCTAGATAAAAGTCCCATAAGTCAAATGCTGAACATATAAAGTTGGGTTCAAAGGATAAGCCGCTCACCGGTTTATTTGCCCAATCGACAAGAGGTAAAATGCCGCAAGGCTCTCGACCTGTGTTTGTTGCAGGTTTGTATGATCGAGCAGTACATTGCTTCCACTTCCACCCAACTTCCAGGCTCGGGCAAAATACTCCGAGTGGTCCCCGTGGTCCACTTGGGGCTTGTTTGTGAGGAGCCCGTATCTGGTGGCAATGGCAAACACCATGTTCATGACAGCCAGCCAGCGCCTCCCAGGTCGGCGGCTCGGGTCCGAATAGAAAGATCGGTATTGATTTAGGAAAATGGCTTTCCCCAGGATGGGGAACAGGGGATGAACTGCATGGAAATAGTCTTCCACGAGCCTGTCAGCAATGTGTTGAGGTGGTCGGCGTGCAAGGTCGAGGTTGTTGTGGACAGGGATTTCGGCGTCGTCTTGGAAGTAGTTCACGGATGACATAGCAGGAGGTTCAGGGGGCTCTTTGGTTGGCAAGGAAGTGTCATGATCGAGGTCGCGTTTGAGTCTGTACAACCATGCGATCTCTGAATAATCGCCCACAAATCCCATCGCCTGTGCATTTTCATCACGATTGAAGTCCTCCTCGGTGTAGTCTACCACCCCAGGTGGAGTGACCACCGGGCAAGCGATTACATCGGAGAGAAGTGGTTGGGATATTGCAAGGGTGGAAGTGGGAAGAAGAGGAGTGCGTAGGTTTAGATCTTCCAGGCATTGATCGACTTGGTGTGCTGACGAAGCATCGAGTGTATGGTAAATGTCACGCAGCAAGGCCTGGAGAGATCCCACTTTGATGGACAGATCGTTCAACTGTCTTGCATGGAGGGTTAGAGGGACTTTCCCTTGGACTTTTGGCACGAATGAAACAACCGCAGAACCCACTTCACCGTCTTCTCCTTTTTCCGGTCGCCATACGAACACTGCACCCCGGCATCCTGGCATCGATGGCAAACCGGGCGATGGCCACTACATTTGGCCTTTTGTTCCCGGCAATTTTCACATGCTCGACTAGTCCGACCACTGGCAGTTAAATTACTCGAAGGTGCGTTGCGAGGGATGGCTACCTTGGCATTAACGCGATCGGTTCGGAGTTCCAGACAGGGAAAGTCGGAAGGTGGATAATCAGGAATCCAATCATCTGTATTATTGTCCGGATACTCGGGTAAGGGAAATCTCCCACTCATTGTTTGAAGGATACAGAATGACGAAGATTCATGAAGACTTTGTCGACGGGCACTAGGTGATGTGCGTTGATTAGAACTCCCGAGCCTTGATAACCTATGCAGTGCCAGTGCAGCCAGGTATACCCGCAAATGGAGAAACGAATCAAAACAAAAACAAAATAAAAACAAAATTTCCCAAGAATATTCAAGGTTCAATTTGGTGGATACCTCACAATTCCCGGGAATCGAAGCTTATGGTTTGCCGGAGCATTTTACCGAATGTTTTGCCACTCAAATACTTGGAGTGTGCGTTGACAATGGACCGGGGGAAGAGCTGCTTATATGGTGGGAGCATATACATAGCAGATTTGCTCAACTCCTGTCATGGCTTCTGGTCATTTGCGTAGCCTGGTTGTAAGTCCACTGGAAACGGTGCACGGCTGTTCGTGTCAGGGCTGTTCGTGTCAGGGCTGTTCGTGTCAGGGCTGTTCGTGTCAGAGACCCAGTACATACTTCATAGTAGTGTCGAAACACTGCACGGTCTCTTTGCAATCTTGTTTGTAAAGCGTACAATAGAAAAATCCAGGAATACCTGACTTCGCTAGTAGTGGTCTGCGGATACGGTCTCTGCGGCGTTGCACGTTCCGAGTCGTCTTCCTGTTTCTGGGAGTTTGAGCGCGGAGCTTCAATTCGTAGGCTTTTGCTCTACCATCATCGCAGGCTCCGTCTCCCCAAGGCGCAGAAATGCCCGAACAAACGTGGACCGGAGCCAAGTAGCATTCTTGTGTGGTCACTTCAGGCTGTGTGGCACCCAGGTAAGGCTGATACCCAGGCTTCTTCTTTCTTCGTCACCCTTGAACATTCGTAAGAGAACAGACGCACAGTTAGGGGTTCTAGAGGGAGCAATAGGGATGTGAGTTCTTTCGAGGTCAGTTTCCCAGATATTCATCCTGATCACCGTGTATTCCTCCCGATCTAACTGGTTGCATGGTCACTCGCCAGAAATCGAAGCTGCAGATACGAACCCCCTCCCTCTGCCATGCATTGCCGACGTGGGTTCGAACCCCAAGACGATTTTGTTGAACGCAGAACCGGTTTACTCAAGTGCAAAGAGCTGCAAAGCACCTTTCTTAAGAGGCTACACTCTGGTGATGTTTGGTCGGAGACGGTGAGTTCCTCTCGTTTAGGTGAACACAACCAGCCACGGCTTACCGCGTGTCATTGCTCGATGTCTCGCAGTCACAGTCATAATGTTAGCATGATATGGTGAATTCGGTGAGTTCTTCATTTGCACAGCTGGCAATTCAGGCCATTTTGTCAGCGTCGATGAACAAAAACGCGAGGGGTCAGAGACATCGTTAATCCGGGTTGTGGTGAGTGAGTCGATCACGCCAAAACCGACTACCTTCTGGCACTGACAAATAAGTCTCATAGGACAATGTCTTTGTGTCTGTCATCTTTGTTGAAAGGTCATGTGCCTTGCTGGGATGCAATCCCCTCGACAAGGAAGCAGCACACATACCCCAACCCTCCCGAGCCGCACGCTTCACCAAACAGACTCTTCTCGCGATTCCCGAAGCGCATCCCCATGAGGCATTATGCTTTGTGGCCCGACAACCCTTCCATGCCGTGACCGTCCATCCTTTCAAGTCTCAGTCGCACAAGGCGAAAGCGCGTGGATTGGCACAATTGGTGTTGAGATCTACACATCTCGGGATACACGGGCTGCAAGCACAGTATCTAGTCTCGCCAGCGGTCGTGACGAGCGTCGTCGCATCCGGCCACCTGCAGCATATCGAAGCTGCACAGCCTGGATCTAATGTTCAGATCGGGCCAGGCGATGTTGATACAAGTCTCAAATTGGGCGTTGCTGTTCCCGGAGACTTTGGGTGTGAGATGACGGTGCATTTCAAAAGGGCCGGCTGTGAATAGCCTTAAATTCACCATCTGCTTTGTTCTGACCCCCGTGCATTCAGAGCTCAACACGATCGTTGCCTGTCATGGGCATAAGCTTCCATTCTCCGGTAGCCTCATCTACACTGCGAGTAGGAGGTCTGCGAGAGGATCGGAAACGATGACAGATATGGCACGAATACAATCAAAAGTCCGGGTTGTGGCTTGAGTGCCGAGGTGGTAATTTGGCGACAGGTACCGGAGTGAGAGCCACACGGCACCCAATTCTGATTTCGTGTGTACCTCTGAGCTGACCACCAGAACACACGCAAACCCCCTTTGAGCCCTGTCATGCTGCAATTTTGCTTCGTTGGCAGAAAAGGAACCCCAAGACCCAAGCTATTGTCGTTGGGGTCAAAAACTAGCCTGTGCGATCTTGTTGGGAAAATCAAAGGCTGGCATTCTACGTTATGCCTCGAGAGAGTTTACACTGCAACATACCGATGATTAGCAGGATGCTTTGGAAGAAGAATAAGCGAGGAACATTGGGGTTTTACCATATCTGGTACCTGGGAAGTATCTGAACCTCATTCTGGCGGTTTTCGTCGGTTGTGAGGCGCTTAGCTCTAGCCACCATGGTTTCACGGCGTTGCTAGCCCCGTGACTGGAAAACTTGAGCTCATCTTTTTAGATTCCATTCCTCAAGGTTGACGAAGACTGGCTCAAGATAATACTCGAGGGCACTGGGTGAAGTCAAGGGGATGAGAAGGGAAAAGGAAACATTCAATCTGCGACCGTCGAAGGTGGTTGCCATTTTTGCTTCAACGAATGATTTGGAAGGAACAATTCACTTTGACCAAACTAATCTGGCCGAGCGTTGACACCGAGACAAGTGAATTCCCCTTCAACGCGAAGACATGTCGTCCATATTTGGTTCAAGCGAACGCGCTTCGAGTGTCCGGAAAACTATTCCGTTCAGCCCAGGGCCTATCATAAGGTGGGAATGCAGCCCCCGGTTCCCTGCACGGTGTACGGCGAGAAATATGGACCCGTGCATCCTCTGCCTATCAAATGTCTTTCCGAGGAATCGAAAAGAAAGGAGCAAGCCTGGCGATTTTAACAATTTCGACCCGAGGCCGAGATCACCCTCTTGGAACAGGACAGCACGGTAGGAAAGTGAATTTGGCCTTCTTTTCATTGTTGATGACCTTCTCTGGCACCCCCGTAAGGACATCTGTACCGATTATCCTGTTCGACCCAAATGATTTACGCTCACAAGGGGTAACGATCAGTGGTTCCCGGGATTTGGTGACATGGAAATCTGTTCTGGCTTTGTTGGATACTACAGAGAAAAAGTCTGGTCTTCTACTTTCAATCGACGAAAGATGTCAATTGTCATCGCATTGAGACGCAGAAGAGATTTGCCTTGAATGCACTGGGTTTCTTGGCAACATCCAACAGTCAACAGCGTCTTGAGGCCGACAGACTACCATTGCGCTATGCTCCACCCCGGCGAAAGCGCCCAGGGGTTCTCGGGCAGATTCAAAGGGCCATTTTCACACTGGGATGTGAGGCTAAGAAATTATGAAAGGAAGAGATCTGAAATCTCGAAAAAGCAAATAACCAATGCCTGCATACGGAGTACCGCGTAGCGTACTCGTACTGTGTTGTTTGCTATGCCTACTTGTCTCCAGGGCTACAGAGGCCTCTCTCGATAACACGTCATGAACTCGCATTCTCTCCTTCTAAAATTCTAGCCACTTTTCTTCTAACTTGTACGGTCTACTTTGACTTCAAACCCCCCTAGGCAAAGAATAAGTATACTCTAGCCATTTCATTTTCTTAAAATGTCTATCACAATTACCTAAATGTAATTATTCAAGTGAAATTCTTCATTTTCCACCTGAAGGACTTTTTCTGAGCCATTGGAGAAACCCAGTTGTGGATAATCAACCCAAAATACTTCGAGATCTTGAAGGTCGCTGTCGTGATGTCTAGATAGTGGGTTTCATGCCTGAGGCACGAATGAGGATCATCATGTGACTATCATGTGACTGCGATACTATCTCCCCTTAGGTTTATCTCCTGCTCCTGCTTTCGAAGGTTGCTTCAATGGGATTGCTGATAGATACATCATGTCAGTGCGTGGGCCGATGCGGCGGTCGCATTTGAGGCAAGTGAGTGCGGCAAGCTTGGAGAGCACCTCCTCCGCCCACTCACAAGAGGCCCAACATGACCAGACCACAGATGATAGGACAGTGAGACTTTCGTCCACAAGTTGGACACGGCACCAATGTGCAATGTGGGTGCACGATGAGATGTTTTCGCGCGAAGAGATTTTGTTGAACCCGTCGGCTTTCGGCGAAACTGATGTGCAGATTGGGGATGTTGTGGAGATTTTGCCCATGCGGGTAGCTGGGGATACCGGCTATTCCAATTTAAAACCAGAGGCAGCTTCGAAGTCGGGCCGTGAGGCTCACGTTGAGAAGAACCCGACCTCTCAGTCGGATGCTACCTCCAAATTCAAAACACCACTGCAGAACCGATGTCTTTTTGTGGTGAAAGCCCTCCCGCCAGAAATCAAGGCGCGACACCCCCAACTGGAAATCTCGGTGACTAACAACGTCGCGAATATCTTTGGCTTCAAGAACAGGACGCAGGTCCTATTGTCAATTGTGGATCGAGACCAATGTGGAGCATCTCATGTCGATATCGCGTTCCGCGATCAGTACATGGTCCGTTCCGATATGTGGAGATTGGTCATGTCGGAGCTGGTGGACAAGATTATCTACAAAGGACAAAAGATCATGTTCATGGGAAGCATCAAGGCGACAGTCAAGAACATCTTTATTAGGGAAAAAAAGTGCCTCTCGGGGTACTTTTCACCGCGAACGATCCCAATTTTTCGCAGCGAGTCTGCCAAGTATGTGCTTTTCATCCAGATGTCAAAAGAGATGTGGGACTTCGATTCCGAAGGGACTGGGGATATTCTTTTCAGTCGCGTCATCAATGGCTTCCTGCCGGAGCTTTTCAAGAGATGGCTCAATTCCGACGCAAAGCACTTGGTGACAATCGTTCTCTTCACTCGTGTTGAATATGATACGGCTGTGAACCTGACTCAACCCAATATTAGTGCTGGTAACTTCAACAGCACCACAGGGCCAAACAAAGTTCCGACCCGAGATTTCTATCGTGTGGTCGTGAATGATATGGCGAGTGGTCATTGGACGACCATCCTTGATGAATTGAAAAGGGAATTCAGATGCTTTTTGCGAGATGTCTCAATACTCAAGAGCGATGACATTGATGCTGCATCCGGCAGTGGTATCAAGATCCCTTCCAAGCCACACATGGCTACAATTGCTGGACGGCCTAGCTCAGCTTTACGGGGAAACATCTTAGAGGCCATCCATCTCGCCTCGGCTCACCTGGCTTTTGACCACATTGATCGAGATATGGTTCACACTGGTACCTCGATTATTGTCATCACCCCCGGTAGTGGTGTCTTTGAAGTCTCTTATGAGTCTTTGGCCTCTACAACAGAAGCACTGGCGAATCGGGGCATAGCAATTGACCTGGTTTGCTTGAGCCCAATGCCTCTCCACTCTGTGCCTCTGTTCAAGTACCAAGAACCCGTCGATCGACAGTCTGGTGCTGGTGGACCCGGCGAATCTCGCATGAACAGAGTCTCTCCTGAGATACACCACTCTCTGTCGAGTGTTGTGAGCAGATCCTCATATCTTTCCCCCAGCTCATATCTGTCGGCGACCAGGATAAGGGAACGCACCAGTCCTCAATCCAAGGAGTGGAGCTATGGTATACCCCACTGGCTCGATATTTCTTATTGGAACCCTGAAACGTATCGCGAGGCCCGGCGTATCTTGAAAAAAGATCCAAATGCACCAATATCTTCCACTGTCACTCGACCATCTAAAGCGTTCACACCGCGCGTTCGCATGTATGAGATTCAAATGATGGGAGTTATGGAGAGTGAACAGTCGAACATCTCCATTCCTTATCTCACCGAAGGCCGCGGTGGAGCAAGAGCTCGTGGCTCATGGCCTGGATACAATTCAACTAACCGTGCGCCTCCTGCAACACGTTCCGCAAATCCATCGTCTTTAAAGGCACAACTCAGCGATAGTTTGCGCCCAGGATCTTTCATACAAAACGCCTCAGACTATAATGGATCACACCCTCAGAATGCTCCGACTTCACGAAAGTCCGTGATGGCCTGGATGGATCAATACGACGAGGGTCTGTTTGCTGTCTCCCCGAAACGACACCAGACTCGCCGAACTTCGAAGCCAAAGCGTCCCAGTGAAACCGAAGTCCAAGCTGCTGGTGCCGGCGTACACGAGCGACTGTCCGCACGCTCAATAATGCGTCTCCGCGACCATGAAACGAACCCAGCTGAGGGAAATGACTCTTTCCACCATGGGCCACGAAGGATTGATTCAAATATGATGACACCCAAAATCCAAGGCCCGACGAAGAGTGCTTCGCCTGTCAAGCCAGCATTGAAAAAGGCGCCGGCTCCAATGTCGTCTCGAATATCTAGGACCATCAGTTTTGCACTTCGAGGCTTGAGTGCCACGCCAACTAAAGCCCTGGCAAGTACGGGAGTCAATGTGGAGCACGCAAGTGCTTTGCCTATGACAAACCAGACAACTCCAGTTGGTTCCACTTCCGACGCCAAAAGCATCGCTTCTTTGAGCCCCTCAGAGTCAACGTCAATTGTTACTGCGCTCGAGCTACCGTCGACACCTTCCACGCCCACCAAATCTCAAACTGCATCGAAGCCGATATCTATCAAAATTCCCCCAAAGAACCCCCCAAAGGAATCAGAGCAACCAGAGCGCACAGGAGAGCGTGGATCATTGTCTTCCTCTGCGGTAGAGACAACAGCACGCGGAGGGGCTCGGCATCAGGACGCTGGGCGTGCAAATGATCATAAAATCGAAATCACACTCAACCATAGCCCACACGAGCCGCTTTCACGGGATTCCCCAAGCAAAGCATTGTCTCCGTGGGTTCGATCAGTGAACCCATGTAACACTCCTAAAGATGTCCTGCGAGACACCAGTTGGTTTGGCCGCTGGCAGCACGCTTATCCTCGACCTCCACATGTGGCTGTGGTCAAATGGAAAAGTTTGAAGTCGCCGGCCGTGCTTCCATTGACAACCGAAGAAATCCCGACTGCTAGTGTGCTTGCTTCGGATTACTTGCAGACACCGTATCGGGTCTTTCCGAATGAGGATATGGAAGGAATCGAGGCTCCCAAAACACGAGGCGTCCTTCTACGAGAAATGATATCCTTGCGGCTTTCTCATGGCTTCCAAATCATCGTTGGAAAACGCGTGGCTGAGGTTTCAGCACAGCCTGCTCTCGAATCGCTGAATGTCTTTGATTTCCGTGGGCTTGATCGTGATGGAATCACCGTATTCCTGTCCAAAGGCAACACTATTCATCGACTAATGTGCGTAGTAGGAGGAGAGGTTGAAGTGACACGCTTTACGCATCAGAATTCTGCGATGCCCACCTATCCGACCAAGTCTAGCTTCACTCTTTACCAACCAGCCATGAAGACGATCCTGAGCCGGGAGTATGAAATCAAAGACATCAAATTGGATCCCACTTCTGAGGAGTACAATTGGAATTATGCCGACAACTATGTGGCTGGTCACCGAGATTATCTCCAAAACCCGGCACAGCAGTTGCATTTCTGGCGAGTCCGTTACGTCTTGATCCCACTTCAGCTTCATCCCAGTTCTCGGCCTCATCTACACTCTTTCAGTGAGGACAACGAAGAAGAAATTCATCTGCTGGGGATCAGCCAGTTGACCCATATTTGGCAACGCTACAAATACGTCTCGCCTGAAGAGAAGCTCTTTGAGACATCAAACCCGAAGAGAGATCAGAACCCATTGAACATAATGTACCAAACACGCAACCCTTCGGAGATTGTTACAGCAGAACTAGACCGTTTGCTACTCACTGATCCAGGGCTTGACAATGCACCTGCTCAGCTCTTGCCCGAGTCTGAACTGTTGGACAGATCCAACATTAGCCTCTCCTCATTGGCACAGACCATCCAAGGCGAAAAGGGAGTTCGGATGATGGACAGAAGATGGCATTGGCGACTGCACTATAACTGCTTCATCGGGTTTGAATTCACAACTTGGCTGATGCAGAACTTCCGAGACATTGACACTCGTGAAGAAGCGGTAAAATTCGGCAATGAGTTGATGATGAAGCATGGCCTGTTCCAACACGTTGAGAAGAGACACAATTTCCGCGATGGAAACTACTTCTACCAGGTCTGTGCCGAGTATCGAGTCACGCGCCCAGAATCGCGAGGAAGCTGGTTCCCCCAACTCAGACCGGATAAGTCGATGCCATCTACACCCGCCATCGGAACTTCAAAGGAGTCACCTGCTAGTATGAAGGCTCGATCAGACAGCATTGACGATCGCACCCCGCAGACTCCCAATACTCCTTCCAAGGCCAAGAACAAGGTTGCTATCATGCTGTCAAAGACAATGAAGTATGATGTGGATCCACGCAAGCGATCAAACCGACCGGAAGTGATAGACCTTCACTATGACCGGCTCCACAACCCCGAGAATTGTTTCCACATTGAGCTCAGCTGGATGAGTACAACTCCGAAGTTGATTGAAGATGCTGTCCTTTCATGGGCATCCACTGCGGAGAAGTTCGGCTTGAAATTGGTACAGGTACCTATCTCCGAGGGCTGCGCAATTGACAAGACTCAACCATTCCGCAAGCCATACAAAATCAAGCTCAAAGTGCCCCCTCCAAAGGGGCCACTCCACACTGTGTTCAACAATGCGTCATTCGCACAACCAGGTCCACCCGATCACCTCTATTATCAGAAGGCTTTGCTACGGAAGTTCGACTTTGTGCTCGACTTTGAAGCCTGCTCTGCCTTCCCAGCAGACGTAGAGGTCTCTTACTCCTGGGGCAAGCCTGATTATCTATATCCACAATTTATCCACCGGAGCGGTAGTCTTCTCGCCCAGATCACGGATGAAGGCGACTTCCTCCTCCTTGCCAACCGACTCGTGAGCACTCGCAGCACCGCAAGTCGATCGGATTTCCGGGGGCGCACGGGTAATCACGATGGGATTGATCGTGATCGCATCTCGCCTCGACTGTCTCCGCTTACCCGGCCGGTTCACGACATCGGTAGCCCAATGACCTCATCCACTTCCTCCAACATCGACTCGGCCAACCTCTACCGCGCCCCCGAGCACATTCTCAACGGTCTTCAGGAGTTCTGCAGCGATGCTGCTCAGTTGGAACAATTTTATTCGGAATCCCACGCCCGACCAAGATCCACAAAGGTGGAGCCCTCCACCACGAACTTGATGGATGCCTCGATTCCATCTCTTGAGCTCCCTGCCAGTGTAGTCAGTCATATCTCGCCGCCGCCGGGTCTACCGTCACGAATCACCCATGAAACCCAAGGATTGGTGTCGCCAGAACTCACGCGAGCCAGAGCTCGAGGGGAAAGTCTCAGCTACAATGCGAGCCCCAGAAGCGGCAGCCTACGACCCTTGATATAATTTGAAGATACCCATTGATGCTCTGATGATTTTGTACCGATGAGAAGCGATAAACTGCCATATATGTCCTGTGATTATTTCTGTTTATCTGCAAGCATAGCCCTAGTTCCAATGAAGCACGCTACTTGAGCCAAGCCCCCAGCTGAAAACCCCCGGTCGGCATCGCCAGTGGGCAGACCTCTTGGATCTCATATCCGCCATCTAGAAGCACTAACCCAAGCTACCAGCTATTCAGCCGGGATGTCTCCAATTCAGCCGAATTCCCAACGCACCCTGGTTGGTGGATATTTGCTTCGGTACAAAAGTCCCGAGCATCGTGCCCCTCATGTGTTCCTCCAAGCTCCAACGCCCAACTAGCGGAGCTGCGGCATGCACTATTCGAAATCAGGCGACGGACAGTGCTCCGTGTCGCATTGTACAGTCCAATGCTCAAGGCTAAGAGACAACCTCGCCCTCCATTTGTCTTTTTCTTTGTCTTCCACTTGATTCTGATCCCACGAAGTCTCAAGTAACCATACATCAATTTGTTTCTATAAACAGCTCGGATATACTTTGGCTTGTCTTACAGCAATCGACGAGATTGCCTTTTTGCCAGGATGAAGTTCACCGCGGGGATGTGGTGTCTCCAGGTATGATCATTCTGGGGGTCTCTACTGTGACCGGCCACTAATTCATTATCACAATACAGGAGGGCGTCAATATCGAGTGGATGAGCAACGTGGAACGGTTCACAATTGAGGGCGAGGCTGTCAATTTATTGCTGAACAAGTACCAGAGACACCGCGGAGACACTCTCAACTCACGTATGCTCAGCCCTAGTTAACCAGGAACCTCGGTAGCTGACTCCATATCACAGCAACCGTCTCAGCTCGAGTGACCTCGCCATCGGAAGGAATTATTGGCGTGAAACTGGTGCATTGGTCAGTTCGGTGTTCAATTCCAAAAATCATTTGTTTCTAACTCGTAACAGGGCAGGTCAGAACGACAATGGTCCTCACTACCAAGTGAACCAGAGTACCGGACATACGAGCATTCAACATAACAAAGAAGACAACACCCTCAAGTACACCAGCGGTCCACTCGATCTAGATTTGAACACCGCGGCCAACGATCTCGACCTGACCTTCCGCTCTCCAGCCGGCAAGAAGCTGACAGGTCAATCATTCCGCTCGATTGGCTATGTGCGTGACCAGCGAACCGAGAAGCACCGTTACGAAGACGGTATCTACGCTGAACGCCAAGGGTACATGCTAGCGGGGCTAGATCTGGGTGTTGGCGAAAAAGTCTACGGGCTCGGAGAACGATTCGGGCCTCTAGCCAAGAATGGACAGACAGTCGATATCTGGAACGAAGACGGCGGTACTTCTTCTGAGCTTGCATACAAGAATATCCCTTTCTATATCAGCTCCAAGGGGTATGGTGTTTTTGTCAACCATCCTGGTAAGGTCAGTTTGGAAGTACAGTCTGAGCGAACGACGAGGGTCAATATCTCTGTTCCCGGTGAGGAGATTGAATACTTTGTTGTCTATGGTGCTACCCCGAAGGATATCCTCAATCGTTATACTACCTTGACCGGAAGGCCGGCTCTGGTTCCCTCGTGGAGTTACAATCTGTGGCTGACAACCAGTGAGTTTTGGTTCTCAGGTGCTCCCCAGGATAAGCTAATGCTAGTTTACAGGCTTCACAACCAACTACGATGAGGCTACTGTCACTGGGTTCCTTGATGGATTCCGGGATCGTGACATTCCTCTCGGAGTCTTCCACTTTGACTGTTTCTGGATGAAGTCCTATCATTGGTGCGACTTTGACTTCGATTCGGACATGTTCCCAGATGCCGTGGGCTATCTCAAACGCCTGAAAGAGCGCGGTCTCAAGATCAGCGTGTGGATCAACCCGTATGTCGGGCAAGCATCGCCACTATTCGAAGAGGGTAAGAAGAACGGGTATTTTATCAAGGTATGTTTTTGAGAATGGTTTGGACAAACAAGAAAATGAAATGGGGATCCTAACACAATGCGCAGCGCACCGACGGTTCCGTCTGGCAGTGGGACTTCTGGCAAGCGGGAATGGCCGTGGTTGATTTCACAAACCCTGCCGCGTGCAAATGGTACAACAGCCACCTGGAACGACTCATGGAGATGGGTGTCGACAGCTTCAAAACCGACTTTGCCGAACGTATCCCGGTCAGGGGCATTAAATACCATAACGGCGCAGATCCAGAGCGCATGCACAACTATTATGCCTTGCTTTATAACAAGATAGTCTATGAGACTCTCAGTGTCCGCGTCGGACGCAACCAGGGCCTCCTCTTCGCGCGCAGCACAGCGCCAGGCGGACAGGCATATCCCGTGCACTGGGGTGGTGACTGCGAAAGCACATTTGAGGCGATGGCAGAGTCGCTCCGCGGCGGATTGAGCCTGATGCTATCTGGATATCTTTTCTGGGCATCTGATATTGGTGGATTTGAAGGAGCTCCACCACCGGCGCTTTACAAGCGATGGGTGCAATTTGGCCTGCTGTCTTCGCATTCACGACTACACGGATCGTCTTCGTTCCGAGTGCCGTGGATCTATGGCGAGGACTGCTCCGATGTGTTGCGGGACTGTGTGAAGCGAAAGATATTGCTCACCCCATACATCCTGCAAGAGGCATTGAGGGGTCATGGGAATGGAACACCACTGATGAGGCCGCTCTTCTTGGAATTCCCTGAGGATCTGAATACGTACGCCGTTGACACGCAATACATGTTCGGGTCAAACTTGCTGGTTGCACCTGTGTTTTCCGAAGAGGGCGAGGTCACTTTCTACGTGCCTCAAACTCCCAATGATGAAGATGGAAAGTGGGTTTCGTGGTTTGATCACTCCAAGTCTTATGAGCCTGGTCGGTGGTATACCGAGACCCATGGATTTGATACACTGCCCATCTTGATCCGGCCGGGGTCGGTGACTGTGATCAACCCGACCATCAAGGCCCCTGAGGATGATGCATTGTCCGGAGTGGAATTGTTGGTCAACGGTCGCCCAAGGGACGAGACAGTCATCGAGATTGTCAATTCGGCTCAGACAGGTGAGATTTTAAAGACTGTCCGGCTTTCTCCCAGCGCAGATGGAAAGATGGAAGCAACCGGGCATCCAGTTAAGATTGTCTATGTTGCATAGTGTGTGAATAGAGAGTCAAGATATGTTACAGAATTTCCATAAATTGTCAGATTGTTCAATAGTCAAATTAGAAGATCGGGGGCTCTTCCCCCACAAGCATAACTAGACTTCAGTATGAAGTGGGTGGGTATCATAGTCGAAAACATGTCGCAATGCAAGCGGCAAAGCCATGAAGGCAAAGGCAAACGAAATAGGGACAAAAGGCAAGGCAATACGCAAGAGCAAAAAAATGCAAAGATGAAGAGAAGTAAGAAGTAGGAAGGAGGAGGAATGTGGGAGGGAAAGATAAGAATCCCAGGTCAAGTGGCACGGTAACAAGACGTAACCACCTGAGCGAAAATGATAGCAGGATTGCCAACATAAATGAATATTCAAGGTGAAGCGAGCAAGAGCTCACCAGGCTTCTTCGACGTCAAGAAGCCATTTTCGGATTCCTTCACGCAATGTATTATCAGCGCCTGAGAGAGCTCTTTTGCGCTCGCGATCAGCAAGGCCAGCAGCACTTTCCACGTCTTCGCGGCAGTGTTCAGCGGTGACGATACGGACAACTTCTTCAAGTGCTCCGAGGACCATCTTACGGCATTCACCGCGCGGCACTTCGGGGGGAGATAGTACCTCGTCTGGCCGGGCAGGATGACTCTTGTCTTTGTCCTCGGCTTTGCGTGCACGGTTTGGAGAAGGGGCACGCGACTGTACGAGCGACGAGTAACCGCTTTGTCCTAGGACACGTTCGACTGCATCAACTAGAACCCCATCAAGGTCCATTACAGGCTCCTCGGTGAATCGCTCTTCAACAAAGCTTTGACCATGTTCGGTGGAAGTAGTGCCACCGGGGGATTTGTCGTGTCCTGAAAAGAAGCTGGTGAATTGCGAGACAGAAGCACTCCCCGTGGATTGGCGAGACTTGCCATTGGCAGGTGAGGTAGGTGAGTGGGTTGTCCCAGATTCGTGACCCATTGTGATTTTGCGTCGTAGGCGGAGGCGCTTTACCGTAGAGGCTCGTGTGTCGGCAATCAAAGTCGTCGCAACATCCACCCATTTTTCTGAGCCATCCACACCGGGCGTGAATGGGATGTATGGAGAGGGTTCGGCCCGCATTGCTCGCTTTATTTCGGCTTCAAGGGAAGCATAAGGGCGGACGGCCTGGAGTGAGAAATCTTCGTGGAATGACTTCAACCACCCGGCCACATGGGCGGACGGACTATCGTTATCTTTCATAGTGCCGGGGAATCCAGAGCCACTGCTGTGGGTTGAAGCAACCGCATCCATACTAGTAATGGACGTTCTTGTTTTCTTTGGCGATGCAATGGTCGAGTCGCCAGACGAGGAAAGTGACATGAAGCCAGGGAGGGGTAGATCAACATCTACCACGCCCTCTTGTGCCCGGACAGATAGCTTCAGCGGTGATTCACGGGGTTGGCTACTGAGAGATGAGGGTTCTGGTGAGGCAGCCGGGATGGAAATGTTCCCACTGGGAGCAGTTTCAGGCCGATGCTCAGCTTCAAGTTCTGCCACTTCCTTGACCATTCGGCTTAGAGCGGTAGATCCACGTCTAGCTGGGCCAGCAATTGTGGATACAGATGTCTTGCGACTGTCGGTCGGGGGGAATGGCTCACTTCCCTCGGTCGAAGATTCTTGGCGGGAGCTCCAAAGACCTGAGAAAATGCCACCCCAGCGACCAGAGGCATTGTCATTGGTGCTCAAGGCGGAGCTATCGCTGCGCTGAAGGCTTTTCAATAGGGTCTCTGATGCCAGGCTATCATTGCCTTCCGCTGCATCACTGTGAGCTCGCGCCTGGTTAGAGTTGCTTGGTTGCGAAGTAAAGTGTGGGACTGGAACGGTGCTGCTCTGGGTTGTCATGGAAGTAGTCGCCCCACTCGTGTTCACAGATCGAACATCCTTTGGGTTGATGTTTGCACTGAGCGTTTTGATTGAACGAGCGTCAGACCCCCTGCGGGCCGCAGCAGTAGAGTAATCGGGGGGCGGCGTTGTGACTTCAGGCCCATGGGTAGTATCCTGCGAGGAAACACTGACCGAACGCTGATGGTGATCATTATCGCCCGTGTTCATTCGCTGAGCACGAGCTCGTCGCTCAATCGCCCTCCGCAGAGACTCCTGGCGGAGTACAGGAACAGTAGGTGGGCTTTGGGAGATTGCACGCATCGACGCCGACGTACCAGGTCTAAGTGGCGAAGGCAAGGGCTCCATGCGCTGTTTAGAAGGCAAGAAAGCAGCAAGTAAGAACACGAGACGGCGAGCGGTCATCTTATCGGGACAAACGATGACCGTTCTGTTCACAAGGAGGGGTTCTCCGTCCTGCTTAGCCTTCTGTTGCTGATTGTGACGGCGACGATACCATTCTGGGCCAAGGCTATTGAGCCATTCCGTATGATTCCCCAGGAAAGCGGTCAATACGACCAAGAAGAAAAAGTTTTGCTCCTTGTCGCCAAGTCCACGAACAATTGAGCGGCCTTCTTCCCGCCAGACACCCCAGCGACTCTGTCCGGTGACTACATACGGAGTTTGAAGGGCCAAGCTTATTCGGCGAGAGCTACGGATAGCCTCTTCCTTGAGCTTTGAATTGACCGATAGGATGTTGGCGGGCAAATGCACAATGGTCTGATTGGTGCGTTGCATATTGGGTGGTTTGACAGGCTTGGGGTGAGGTCCAGAGAGAGAGTCAACTTTCTTCAAAAGGAAGAGAATTTCGTTGCGAGCAAGTCTTTCGAGATGAGAGAGACTACGTGTGATCACATCCCAGTGGTCAACAAGTATGTCCAGACGCTCATCCAAGCTAGCGGGTGGAGACGCTGAAGACAAGCTGTCATCGAAGAACCCACCAGGCCAACGGTGATCAGAATCAAGGGAGCTTGAAAAGCGTGTTCTAGGAGTGTCCGGGCCGAGGGTGCTGAACCTTGATGCAGGCCGACCAGAATTGCGCGGCAAGAGAGGAATCTGTATCGTGATTGCAACTGCATACATTGGAGTCTTCTTCTCTTTGATCTTCTTGCGCTTGTTGATATCTGGGAATGGGAATTCCATCTCAGGCAATGACTCCTGGTACAGTGCGCTGGCATAATCATGCTTTTCGGCCGAAGCTTCAGCGCCTTCTGGGAGATTCACACTGAACATGCGAGTCAAGAGGACTGTGACTTTGGAAGGTGGCTTTTCATCTGCTCCTCGGGCTGCACCCATGGGACCCAAGGGACTGCCTGTGGTATAGGCTCGGGAGAGGGGGCTACGAGCAGCCGGGGATGCACTGACCCCAATCCCAGTTCCGGAGTCCTCGTCAGCAGAGATGACGTGCATTTTGGTAGATGAGCCTCGGTAGCTGAAGGAACTGCTGCCGAAGATGCAGTTAAGAAGCCCGGTAGCATTGGAGTCGGAGGAGTGACGAGACTGGCCCGGGTCGTGCCATGTTCCTGCCGGAGCCAATGTAGAGCTACGGCCACGGGCTCGGGAAAATGCGCTAGGGCTGGCCGGTGATGCTCTGCGTGCATCTGCAGCAGTAGAGATGGGACTTGGTTCGACGAGGGAGGATTGGACAATGAAATTGCGGCGTGTCCCACGAGAGAGACTGGAGACCGCCCGAGTGTGTCTGGGACCAGACTGATCATGGTTCTGTGGGTCGATTCCGAGGCCGGCGGGGGGTGAATCAGAAGCACGGGTGTCAAGTAGGACACATGCATCACGGTCACCCAATGCATTTTGTGCAACAATCACGCGGAAATCCTTGATGTGATCCAATTCCATCCCCCCACGATCATCATATGCACCCGCGGTCGAGGCATTCGGGGAATTGAAACTTGTCTGTAGTGGGTATGCGTGGGCATGGGAACGTCGGAGGAGGCTGGCATCGGGGAATAGAAGACCGGAGGTGTGTTCCTCTTCAGTTACAGATTCAAGAGGGGTGCCGTTAGCTCGTGAGGAATATGCCGCCGGATTTAAGGTCGAGGCGGCGGTGCTGAGGAGTCGGCCCAGCATGGTGAATGTAGCGGGTCAACCCACGAAGAGCAACGGTTCGAGATGCAGGGAAAAAGATAACGGGCCGGTCGAATAACGCGGTGTAACGATGGGTATCAGACAGCTAGGGATCACTAGGCTGCATCCACCCATAGCTTAATTGGATTGAGCAGGAATCATCATCAAACGATGAGGGAATTGAGAAATGTCCGGAATGGAGAGAGGGGAGAAAGGTGGGATGGGCTGCATGCAGTGGGGCTCGAGATCAGCAATTGAGGGATTGCCGCTTCACCAACGAGGACTCCACACTCTGATTATTGTGTCGCAACCCAGAAGATCAAATGAAATTATCCCAGAGCTTTTAAGAGACCCAGTCACTCGAATCGACAGGCCGTTCCGGGGGGAGTGGAGAGCGAAGGTGAAAGGGCGGTGAGGAAAGTCACCTGATATCAGCCTCATCTACGGTAGCGGATAGCGACCAGGGGGGCCTCATTGTCTACAGATCAAAGCATCATGGGATCGATTCAGCAAGGATGGGCCGGCTATCGGCAGGGAAATATCTGCAGGAAGAGAGTTCATTCAAGGCTTAGGTAGGAGGACATCAGTCACGTTCCATGCAAAGCCACCCCAATCATTACTGGCGTCTCTGTCGCTATTCTTCACCGTCATTGTGTCACCGTATAGGTCGGCTTTGCAAGGAATCGTGTCACTCCAAGGCGCTGGTTTCTGTGTGATTAGAAGATTGTACCTCGGATTGGAGGAAAATCACCGATCTCCCAAATCGTTACGCATGGAGGGCGCATGCTATCTTTACACCGTCAATCACACCTCGTGTAAGACAGGCATTATGCCTGCAACTGCAACCGTGTTGGCGGAACCCTGATGTGGTCGTTATGCGCCGACAGGAAAACACCCTGGGCTTATTCTACTAGCCACGTGTTGAGGGTTCAGCCGGGGTTGTTCCTTGATTCCTGGATGTGCGTTGTAGATCCTTGCCTATGTGTAGCTCTGCGTTTATCTACATCGGACACCGGAATATATATTGACTGTTCTGACCAAATCCATTGGCTGTAAATGTACATTAATTTTTGAAATCGTTACATTCCACATTCTTGTAATCTTAGTGAGAGCGTTTGACCTTGTCCACCAGTCGCTTCAATTCCTCGGAGTTGGACTCCTTGGAGGCCTTCTTCTGCTTCTTCTTGCTGTCCCGACGTTCAACGGGTGCCTCCGTTTCAGCCTCATCGCCAGTCCGTCGGCGCTTACGGCCTTCGTCCAGAAGAGCCTTCATGCCGGAAGTTGACTTGAATCGGGGGTTGGTAGGATCAATGGCAAAGTCGTGGCTGTCGTACAAACGTGAGAAACGAGGATCGCTGACGTTGACATTGAAGTCGTCCGCAGGGGCAGCCTCTAGCTTCTTGCCCTTCTTGCCCTTGCCCTTCTTGCGGGCCTGCTTCTCGGCCTTTTCAATCTCGTTCATATCGAAGTGTTTGATGTAGGCCTTCTCATCATCCACCATGAGAAGTTCCAGTTCAGCCCGCTGAGCAGCTGATGCAGCTTCCTCGGCAGCACGTTCCTCACGCTTCTTGCGCCTTTCCTCCTTGCGCCGAGAGGCAGCTGTGGCCTTTCCATCAGGGTCCTCGAAGAAGGGATCGTTGAATCCAGCATCTTCTTCCTCTTGCGGCGGCGCCTCGGTTGGACCGGCGTCGCTTTCCGCTTCGTCTTCTTTGTCGGACAGATCCTCTTCACCACGCTTGGAGGCCTTGAGCTTTTCCTTGCGGCGCTTCTTGCGCTCGCGCTCCTTACGCACGTATTTTTCGACAGTGGTTTCTTCAATCTCTGGTTCGTTCTCAAAGATGCTGTCCTTGCCGTGGCCACCAGCCAAGCCCGATGTGAATGTGACCTCCATCTCACCGACAGGGGCATCCGGCTTGGAGCGCGTAGGCTCGGCGCTCAATCCGAGCAGTGCTCGCATGCGTTGTCTCTCGGCTTCTTTCTTGGACATTTTTGTGGTCGACGGTTCTCCTCCAGTGGTGTCGATGACTTCAACTCCTCCTTCCTCATCATCTTCGCTCTCATTATCGGAGCTATCGCTGCCGATGTAGGCTTTCAGATCGTTCTCATCAATGTCTGCATGTGAGCCTCGGAAAGCACGGGCTTGAGCCTCTTTCCTTGATTTGTCGTCCGCGTCCCATGTCAACTTGACTTTGCTGTGTTGCAGAGCATCGGTGACAAATTCGGTGGGCTTATAGTCATCGGGAATGCGGGAGCACTCGTCCCGAGGCTTGTCATCGGAGAAATCCGTATCATCGGGAACAAAGCGGAGATCAAAGAAGTTGGCACTGGAAAGGTATTCGGCGCCGTCAATGAGGTCGTAAACATGCTTGGCGACGTCCTTCGATGAGAATTCGACGATGGCATAGAAGTAACGTAGACGATCAAGTTGGTAGCGTCGTAGTTGCGTAGAGTTGAACTCCTCGCCATCATCGCCCTTCAATATAGACTTTTTGATCTCTTCTTCTTCCTCGTCAGAGTCAAGTTCCTCATCTTCGAAGCCATCCTTGTTTTTCTTGCTCTTCTTGCCGCCTGCAAAGATTTCCCTTGGAGGGCCTTCCACCTCTTCCCGCTCCATGCGCTCCCTGCCAAATTCGCTGGGGTAGACTGTGACGTTCAACACTCGCCCAGCAGGTGGAAGGAAGCTGGAAACAACTGTCATCAGGTCCTCCGCGCGAATGTTATCCCAATCGAGATTGACCACTGCTATGCGGTTTGTCACTTCTCCGCTTGGCACATCGGATTGCTGCTTGTCGGGGAATTGTGCTTCTTCGTCTAGCTCGTCCTCTTCTTCCTCCTCTTCGTCACTGGAGCTCTCCTCAGATGAAGAAGACTCGAAACCACCATCACGTGCGGGGTCATAGGAGCTCTTGTTGATGCGTTTCAATTCCTTCTTGACCTCTTCGTCATCGTCGGCCTCGTCGTCTTCGTCGTCTTCGTCGTCTTCGTCTTCATCCACCTGGTAGAATTTCTTCAATTTCTCCTTAGTGTCGTCTTTGGCAAGCTTTCGTCCGTAGCGGTCGACAGCAGCGTTGCGAGAGAAGTCCTTATCGTCAAGCATGTGCTGGAAACGCTTATCGAGCTTGACATGAGTCTGGCGTTTGCTGGGAAGACGGTAGCGAGGATCGGTTTGGATATTCTCGAAACGAGAATCCGCTGTGAAGACACAATAAGTTAGCAACCATGCAGATTTCTCTTCAATATTTCAATTGTGCATACTGATCACTGGGCCCTTTTCGCCTTTGGGCTTGCCGCCTCTCTTCTTCTTGTCTGGGCCTGCCATGGTGGGCGCTGTGAAAATCACTAAGCACACCAAGTTTGTACAGGAAAAATTGCGTTGAAACGAATTCGCAGGAGGATCGTCAACTTTGACCAGCGGAAAGCGTCTTCGACAGCGGAGACCGATAAATTATTTCTTTTTTCTGCCGACCATAGCCAAAGCGGTCAGGCACGTGCCCTTCGGTATAGACTCATACTCCGGCGTTCTTAAACATATGGCAGAAGAGAAGGGTGCAAATTTCCATTTATATTGTTAAAATCATATTCTTGCTAAAATCACTCCTCAAAATGCAATATCTGGTCTGGAAACTATGTGATGAACAACGTATGTACTTGAGCAACTGAGAGATTAGCATCCGAAGTATCGCTTCTCTATCCAACGCGGCTCTCCCTCTTCCTCAATACGTCCAACAATCACATTGATCTTGGAGAATACGGCAACCAGCCGCTTGAGGCCCCTCTCACCAGCTGCACAGGTCACAAAGACGATCCGTTCTTGTGCTACTCCGTGGTCAAGCAAAACACGAACGGCCATCAATGCGGCACTTCCGCTGGACATCTGCGAGTCCATCAGAATGACTGTGGAGTGTTCCTCGATTTGTGATGGAAGCTTGAGGTAATGCAACTCAGGTTCCTCGTTGCTCTCGTTTGTCTGGATGAGCATGCGACCAGTGATGCAATCAGGGATAGATCGCTTGAGAGCTGTTTCCAGACAAGACCCTCCGCGCAGGATGGCTACAGCAGAGACTGCTCCAGTGGGATGCAGACCAAGGTACTCATTACCCTGTGGTGTTTCCACCTTTGTCGAGATGTACGATGTCATGTCCAAGGCTCTGTATGGTATTAGTACATCTGAGTTCCCGAAGGATGAAGGGGGAAAAAGGCGGCGATGGATAGATGGTAGTACCTTTCAATCAAGATAGAAGCCAGTCGATCAAAGTAGAAGACAAAGTCCTCTTGATCAGATTTCGGGTTCTGTAAGATGGTGTTCATACCAACAAATTGCGGCGTTGAAGGCAGCACGTGCACATTATCAGGTAGGTCTACCTTGGCTGCAATCAAGCCTAGTCTGTGGAGCTCTTCAGTATGATTTTCAGACTTCTCTTGAAGCTTGCGCTGGATGTGTTTGACAACCATATCTAAGTCCCATTAGCACTGAGTCCTTAACGGGTCATCAAGGTTACCTACCGATAGCGGTCCTGTTTTGAATACCACGCGGAATAATGATATCTGGAAGGCTAAGGTTAGATTCAGTCGATGGAGGGTGAGCAAAGGGTGGCACGAACCTGAAATAGACCGTTGAGGTTCCACAAATCTTGTGTAAGAGGGCTTAACGTAATCAAACCACTGCTTGACAATGCCTTCAATGTCACGTCCTCGCTCGCGAACATCACGCAGAACTACATATATACTTGTCAGCCAAAACCTGGATTGTTTGTCATTTGGTGAAACCCACTTCTGCGGCCCAAGCAGACATCCATATCAGCTTCGACGAAGATCTACATGGAAATTAGCTTTGATCAGGAAAGCGGCTCACTCCACAGTATACCTTCACATCCAGCATCTCCACAATTCTGGGATCATGCAGCGCCAGAATACCCTCTAGAATAATTACTCTAGGAGAGTAGAGGGTTGTTGTTTGAGGTTGGCGCTGGTGATCAGCAAAAGAGTACACCGGGATGTTGGCTTTCTTTCTGATATTGCATTCGAGTCAGATGGGAGCAAAGCAGGACCAGCATAAAGCACAGACTCACCCTTTCTTGAGATCCCGGAGAGTATGGACCAAAAGGTCAAAGTCGATCGAGTCTGGGCAGTCAAAATCATAATCATTCGCGTGAGCCCGGTGGTGTTCCTCGGGGGACAAGGTCTTGTAGAACGAGTCCTGGGTGGAAAAGATTAGACCAAAATTTACTCCAAACATTTAACATTGAATTGAAAAGCTGTACCATTACTAGAATCACCACCCAAGGCAAGTTCAAAGACCTGACAATCTCCATGGCCACAGAGGTCTTTCCAGAGCCGGAGCTACCAGCGATACCGATGATGCTCAAGTCCTGCCATGGTGGAGAGTATCGCACCTCGGTGGACATAGAGTAAAAGGGTGAGATCGACTCCATATCTACGGAGCACTTACAATCACAGTAGGTATCTTCGGACTTCACAACGAATTTTGAATCTGCGAGATCTTGACAAGGCCCACGATCATTACATAAGGAGGCCCGAAGGAGCTTAGTGGGCGGGCTGCAATATGATTGGACAGGAAAGACTGGGTCCTGGCTGAGTCAGACTCCCGGTTGGGATTAGCGTAGCACCTTCGCTTAAGCTACTTCTTCTGCCGCGAGCGGTTTTCTCTCTTTTCACTTCCGCATCCAACCCGGTCTTCTCCCACAAGCGATTTGCCTCTCCCCATGGCTGTCGTCTCTTGGGACTTCCAGTTTTACGGATAGCTTTGGACCAGATACCAGACTGGTTAGCTCATAATGTCGTCGGCTAATCTCGTATGCTTCTCGGGTTGAAAACCGTGGTCGCTGGGATTTAACACTGTGCAGATGTCTCGCACTTCCTCGACTGCGACTCCTACTTGGCATCACTTCGAGCGAAAGCTCGAAGAGGTCAAGCCATCAAAGACGTGAGTACAACTTTCTCCATCGGTCCCCTTTCCACCCCGTGACATGATGCTCTTGAAAATCAAGTTGGGAATCTCTCTGAAAACATGTGAGGAGAAACTATTGACTTGTCCTTCTGATTCACGTCACCAATGCAAAATTATCACTCAATCATTTCCCAACGTGGTTGCTAACGAAAATTTGCAGTGATATCAATTATCTGGTCATGGACTACCTTGTCACCAACGGATATCCGGCAGCTGCGAAGAAATTTTCAGCGGAAGCCAATATCCAGCTCACGACTGATCTTCAAGCTATTCAAGAGCGGGTTGATATTCGCACTGCCATTCATTCTGGTGATATCCAGGTGGCAGTGGAGAAAATCAACGAATTGAACCCTCAGGTAAGAAAAAATCTCATCGCACATCCTTCCCCTTGCAAGGCTTCTCGCCTTGTTCCCTTGCTATGATTAGACAGAGTTTCATGCACCACTCTTAAGACCCCTTCGGGGGCATTTGCAGAAAAACAAACATCTTCAGTCCTCAGTATGAGCAATTGCCAAACATTGGATTTCTTTACCAGCATACCACTCATTCATTGTGAAGTGCCAAGGCTAACAGAAAGTTCAATAGATCCTTGACGAAGATCCATCCCTGCATTTCGCCCTGCTGCGCTTGCAACTGGTCGAGTTGATTCGCGTCTCCATGGACACCCCTGGAAGCGACATCACCTCGGCCCTGGACTTTGCCACGTCTCAACTGGCTCCTCGCGCTCCCACAAACCCTCAGTTCCTTGCGGACCTCGAGCGGACCCTTGCCCTCCTTATTTTCCCAAGTGATAAACTGGACCCTGCGTTGGCGTCGCTCCTAGACCCTGCACTCCGTAAAGACATCGCAGCCCGAGTGAACGAGGCAATTCTGCAGAATCAGGGCGCTCGTAGAGAGGCCCGACTGCGCAATCTTGTGAAGCTCAGGGCTTTCGCTGAGCAAAAGGCTCGTGACTCCAAGAAAGACATCCCGGATACCCTGGACATCGGCTTGGTTGGCGATTCTCATAACACCAGTAACAGTAATGATCTCGCGACTAATGTTAGTGACACCTTGATGTCCAACAGCGACAACGATCAAATGATCTCTTGATCCATTTCGGGGATACCGTGGGTCTCGCGGGCCTGTATCCACCTTGACAGAGTTTTCTCTTGCTCTTTTTTGTCTTCGAGCTTCTAGCGTGGCGTCTGTGATCCACATTTTTCGGCGTTAAGTGGCTGTCTTGGACGTTCTCATTATTGGCGTTTCAAACTCGGGACACTACGAGTATGTATTCCAATTTCAATGATTCCCTGATTCTCATATCCACATCAACTTGCTTCTCCTGCCGAGCACTGCCGCGTACTGCAGTGCAGTTTGATCGAACTATACTGTACAAGTACGATTACTACTACTCCGTACAGTGGATCAGAAATATAGCAAGTCCTGGTGAAACACGAAGCTTCGAAAATTCTTTCAGTAAAAGCGCAATTCTAAATCACGCTGAGCTATTATCAAATGAGCAAGACCTAGAGAAGATCTATTGAATGTGTGGAAATAAACAAGGGCTGTTTCGCTCAGCAAAAATCAAAGCACCGAGCATGTCCAACTCCAAGTTAAGAAGGACCTTGGAATCGGCTTAGAAGCTCATGAGATCTGGAGTGAAGCAAGGTTAGTTACCATTGAGATATAGTGCCCAAAATGAGCCATGGGTGGGGATCATACCTCTTCCAAAGAGTGCTCTCTTAGCCCAATCCATAGCCAGCATACAGCGGGTGCGGAAGCTCACACTCTCGGCGAAGTAGATACTGCGCCAGAGATACATGGCAATGACACCACCGCTGAAGCTCATACCGCCGAAGTCAAAGATGGCGGCGTTACTGATGTATGCCAAGCTTCCAAGGTGTCTGTACTTGAAGGCCTTGTAAACGGCCTCGTCAAGGTCACCATAGTCGATCTCGTTAGCTTTGAGTCCAGGGAGAGCAGCCGCGATCTTGGTGAGCTTGCGGCCGAGGTAGACACCCTGCTGGTTAGCACGCTGAGCGGTGGCAGGCAGGGAAGTGAGCTTGGTATCGATTTGGTTTAGGAGTTCAGAAAGTTCGCCGTAGTCAAGAGTGCCGGAGTGGTCCTTGTCATACTGTTCGAAAAGCAGATCCAGGCGGCGGAGATGGTTCGAGGCTTGCGGGAAGCGTCGCTTTACGCGGCCGGCGAACTCTGTCCATTCTGGGAAGGTGAGGTGCACCTTCTCTGGATCGCGGCCCTTTTCCCAGGCGATCGTGCGGAGGAAACGGATGATGTTGTCTGCAATGTTGTTCTGAACCGTTGAGCAGTCACCGATGGCGTAGACGTCGCCGAGGGGAGCGCCAATCATGCGGAGATGAGAGTCTGTTTCGAGGGCATGCTTGTTGTTTTGTCCCTCCAATTTGTCAGAGAGGGTTTCGGAGATCTCGGCGCGAGCTGAAAAGATGTTGCATTAGAATGAAATCACGAGAAGCCAAATTGCAGCATGTACTTACCGACTCCAGTTGACCACAGACAGAAAGCGGTTGGGATCTCCTTAGTAACAGTCTTTCCATCTTCCACCTGGGAGAAAAGGACTCGATCGCCGCGGACTTCCTTGACACGGGCATTGGTCAATACCTCAACGCCGTCGCGTGTGAAACGACCCTGTTGTAGGTTAACATCAGAGCAATTTGATAAGTCGGATGAAATACTTAGAACTCACCTCAGCGTACTTGGAAAGAGCCTCGTCGTAAGTGTTCAAGATGTGGCTTCTGCTCTGAATGATGTGAACAGAAATCTCATTTCGAACAATGCGAGGGAAAGAACGGAGCAGATCTTCATTCAGAAGATCATACAGCTCAGCAGCGAATTCAACACCAGTAGGACCACCGCCACAAATCACGAATGATAGCAGACGTCTGCGCTCCTCGTCGCTAGTAGTGGGGAGACAGGCCAGCTCCATATTCTCCAGCACCTTGTTTTTAATCCGACGAGCATCGTCAATGGTTTTCAGGAAGTCACAGTGCTCAAGACCCTTGACTCCATGAGGGTTTGTGATGCAGCCTAGAAACATCAATTGGTCAGTATTCAGAGATATGAACTTTTTCACGCACATGAACGTACCAACGCCAACGACAAGCTTGTCATATGGTAAATAGAAATTCTTCCTGACACCATCATTATCAACCTGTGATACCTCGACCAATTTCGCAGAGAAGTCAACGTCGGTCGCGGAAGCCTTGAGGAAATGACCATTGACGCGCTCGATAATCCTCCGCACAGGTTCAACAAGAGACCGAAGACCCAGCGTGCCCACAGTAGCAGAGGGCAGCATGGGAGTAAACAAGAAGTAGTTGGTAGGCGAAACGACGGTAACATGGTAATCACCGGGATTCAAGTTCTTGAGTAGCGCAATGCTACCCCAGCCGGTGCCCAGAATAACCAGCCGGGGCTTATCCTTCTGCTCCAGCATAGACTCAGAGTCATAGTCGCCCACCAGCACGTCGGCGATAGGCAGGTTCTTCGGGCCTCCGCGGCGTGGGTTCAGAGCCAATTCCGAAACGGGAATATCGGCAGCCGTCGTACTTTCGTGGTAGGTACTAGCATCATAGATAAAGAAGGCCACCACGATAGCACCGCTAGAAACGATAAAAATACCACAGTATGTGAACAATTTGCCCAGCGCGCCTGCAATAGCGGATCGTCGGAGAGGTTGGACTTTGGCTGCGATCTCGGACTTGTCGGATTTAGACCGGATCGGCGTGGATGTCGGTGCCAAGGTGCGCCATTGGAGAATAGGTCGTCGGGGTGTATGTAAGGAACGTGCGGAAGATGGTCGACAGGTCATTGACACCTTTGAGGCATGGGCTCGAGCTGGTAATGATTCCATTGACCGAAGCGCGGAGCCGGTTGCCCGGCGGCGCAGCATCGCATTCAGCATTATGAGGTGCAAGGGGAGAAAGCTTGCGGAGGTATGTTCAATATACAGAGACGAAGCAGCTCATGGCCCGTCCCTGTGGACTCAAATAACGAATGGACTGGAAAACAATCTGGAACAAATGGAATGCTTGAGAAAAAAATTAAGGCCCAAATCGAAGAAGACAAGAAATGCCAGTACAGACCTGCATCGATCTGCGACGTCATCCGGAACGGTCACGTGGCCGAGACTCGGGATTCCGGCATCAGAACGAAGAACTCATACGACAAGGCGGCCATGATAAATTTTCACCGACAACTTGATCTAGATAAAACCGATCTTATCTTCGGTTTGCCGAGACTTTTTAGGGTATGGATTTTCTATTATATACTCATAGCTAACAGGTATCAGGGGTGTATGGACAAAAACAAAAAGCCACACCTTAGAAAGCAAAGATAGAAGGTCATTACCCATGAGACTGAGAGATAATTAAACGCCGACCTCGCTTTGACATGCAAATGTAAAGAAAAAAAAAAGATATCCCCTATGTATACGAAGGTGTGGGTACGCATCGTCAGTCCCAATCCAGAGCGTCGTCCGGTTCAGTACTGGATTTCTTCTTTCCGGATGAACTTTTCCGACTCTTAGATCGCTTGTTGTGGCCTGTGCTGGAAACCGAGCTCTTGCGCTTCATGTTTCGAGGAGCCACTGCTTCATCGGCATCGGCAGTGGCGTCTAAACTGTCCCCTTCTGCGTCCTCGTCCGGATCGACTCGGAACTCTTCGTCAATCGAGAGCAAGGTTGCAAACTCACGGCACTTCTGGTGCATTGCCTCTTCGCTGTCTAAAGCAGTCATGTTGCGAGTAATGGCTTCCCAAAACTTGTCACCAGTCACTCCGTGAACCTTGGTGGCAGCTTTGTTGAGGTCCTTGGCAACAGGTTTTCCCTCCTTGACCTTGCTGTGTGCATTCACCCCGTAAAGACGCCTTAGATGGGTACGGGCTTCCCAAAGCATGGATAGACACGCAGCTGCTGTGGCCAGCAACCTCAAGGTTGCAGGGTTGGCCTGTCGCGGCATGTTTATTGGTGGCATTTCAGGCGCAAACCCTGGCATCATGTTGCTGGCATCAAATTGAGGTGCACCAATCGGGGTTGGAGAAATTTCTGTTTCAATGGCATGTGCAACGATAGTACCAGTAGCAGACACAATGCGCTCGATGCAAGAAATAGTTGGCAGAAGTTCAGCCAGTTGACCATAGTCAAAATAGGCAAGGTTTTGAGAGATGAATCGCGAGAGTAGAAGATGTTCGGGAGGGTTGCAGGTCGAGTCCAATTTCTTCAGCTCAAAATTGACCTTAGAGCAGAGGTTGGACAGGAATTTCTTTTGATAACGGCTGTTGCTGATTTTGACAATCTCGAACAACGGGGCGAGTTTTGAGACATAGGGTCGAGGAGTAGCACCCTGTGAATCCCCAACGATGTCACGCTGGTAGTAGAATGCTTCCTGCACGGCTCGCATGTATTCTCGCTCAAACATGGATTCGTATTGCTGGTGCAGCATCTTGTGAGTCTCAAAGGCCACCTTGGCAATTGCCGGGACTGTAGAAGTTTCCAGCGAGACTAAAACACCAGCGCATTCCTTGGGATGTACCAAGCCTTGCCGGTTGATACTGGCAATAAGCTCAATGGCGGTCAAAGAGTAGGTGTCCTGGCGCGACTGCGCGACCTGAAGCATGTTCGAGAGGAAGTGTTGGGCAATCAATGCGGCCGCACCGTCATTGTCGCTCGCTTTCAAGGAGCCTCCCAGTCGGGTGGTATCTTCCTGGGCCACTGCTTCTACAGTTGGCATGACAGCCTTTTCCGACTTGCCCTCATGGATGGCGAAGAAGTCTGCGAACGATCGCAGAACTATGTTCTGCAGGGCAGGGGCATCTTCTTTGAAGGTCTGCGCAAATGTTTGCCGTGTGCGTTCTCTGCCAAACTGACCAGGCCAAGACTGGCATACAGATCCCAGGCTCTCAAGTGCCATGACCCTCAGATCAAAAGGCTGGTTCGATCCGGTGAAAGGTATGATAGAGTCAACCATCAATGCCGCCACTGAGCCACCGCTACCACCAGGCCAGGAAGTTTGGAACTCGCTCTTAAAATGGGATGCATACTTCTCGAGGTCGCAATGCCGCCCAACACATCCAGCAATTCGAATGTAACTTTTTGCGCGAGCCAGGATCGCTGCATGGGCAGTTGATGCGAGGTCCATACTCTTGTACTGTTGTAATGGCTTAAGTACAGAGACGGTCAATTTCACAAGTCTGTTGGTGTTTTGTAAAACGCCGTTGATGGTCCACAAACAAGCCATAACTTCGTTTAGTTCAGGACGAGAAAGCTTGGCGACACTCTTGAACAGATCGTTCTGAACTTCTTTGAGAAGGCTGTTGTGGGAAGAGGAGAGGAATGGTAGGACGCAGCGGTAGATCACCACTACCGAACGGAATATGAAGAGGTCATCAGCGGTTGAGAGGTTGCCAATGTAAGGGTGCAATGCCTCCAGCTGATCCGGACTGAACAGCTTCGCATTCGCCTTGGCGAAGACAGTGATTGTCTGCAGAAGAGCTTGCTGGAACTCCTTGCGAGACCCATCTGAATCCTCGACCAATCTCTGGAACATGGTCGCGACCATCGCCTTGCAGACCTTGAAGTTCAATGCCGCGGACTTGGATTTATCCGAAAGCACTGCACTGAGGCAAATGCTGAGGGAGTCCAAAGCAGTCTCACTGCGCTCGGCCAGACCCACAATGAGGGTAACCTGCTCCCCGAGAGCCATTTTGAGTTTAGGATCAGATGTCGAGTCAATGGAGTCGTGGAACGGAACGAGCCATATTTCCTCGAATGTTTGGCGAGCCAGAGCAGCCACGCTTTCCTCGTGGTCACCCGTGCGCTGTAAAAAGCTGTCCAGAATAGCCAGTTTGAGCTCTTTGCGCGAAGTCTTATGGTAGATCTCCTTCAGCAGACCAATGCAGCGTTTGCGGACACCGGCGGTCTGGTCGGCTGCGCAGGCCAGGATACTCCGACATCCTTCTTCCTCGAGTTTTGGCTTGAACCCGATGCACTGTCCGATAAGTTGTAACGCCGAGTCCCGGACCATAGGTGAAGCGTCTGTGGTGCATCGATGAATCACGCGCAGGACAGACGGGTCTCTGTCCAGAAGGTTTGGATCTTTCTCAAGCATGTAGATGACACTTTTGAGACTACGACTGCGAACCTTGGCTGAATCACCAAGAAATGAGGCTAGAAGAACTTTCAGAATAGTGTCGAACGCTTTCCCAAAGTTCGAGTTCAAAACAGTCAGGATGTAGGCGAACTTGCCGTGCACATGCGGCACACTGTCAAACTCTTGGTGCGTCTCCAACCAGCGTGGGTCAGATAGCGATTTGGACAGAAAGACGACCAACTCATCAGTCACATCATCGTGCACAATCTCCTCGTTGTCTTCGGAGTTGTAGTAAAGCGCAGACGCAGACTTGGCCCATTGGGCCAGATAGTAGCCCCGTGCACTGGTGAGTTGCCAATTGTCTGCATTCTTCTTGTCTTGCAAAAGGTGCTCCAGTGCAATTCGGTGTGGACCAGTAGGCGCGACAAGATCTTGCTGGTGAAGTGCTCCAGATGAGAACTCTTCGAACTGTTGCTTCAAGTAGTCGGTGAGTTCAGAGTCAGAGTTGTCTTCCAAGGCCGGGAGCATGTGCTGAGCAGTTGCTATTAAGTCCGAGATGGCAGATCCCATCCAACCCAGCAGTTCCAAAGCCATGCTTTTTGCGATTGCCGCACTCTTGTCTTGATCCGTGATCTGAATCATGCGTAGCGCCAGAATACGCAGCAATAGTTCGGCGGCCGGCCAATCCGCCAGTCCAAGCACATTGATCAGGTCTTGAGTGAAAAGGTCGAGGATGTTTCGGTATGGCTGATCACCGGTTTTCGTGGAGTTCATAGCACGCTGGACAATGAAGTTGACGATGTATTGCGCCGAACGCATTGCGTTGTCATATAAGCGATTAGCCTTGGTCGCCAATCGTTCCAGTGATTCCTCTGCCTCGTTGTCAGACTCATCATCAACGGGCTTGCCATCGCCCATAAGCTCGTCATCGTCATCGTCGGTCTGTGTCTTGGTTCGGTGTTTGGCTTTCGACCGCGACGGTGTTTCCAATGCAGTCGTTTGAACGAGCTGTAGCACCAACGCTGTGAGAAGTTGAATGCTCTTGCCATCTGCAACCTTGAACTGTCTAGCGTTTTGGCGTGTTGTTGGCAGTTTCTCCAATGAGACCAGAATCTCGTCGAGAATGAAGGGTCGTTGGTCGGGGTATTTGGAAAAGATTTTCGCAAGAACATCCATGGCCCCGCGTCTCGCGGGCTCATACTTCTGTTGACCTAAAGCAGAATCCTTGTCATGGTGTGCGTTTTCCACGAAGATGAGCTTGGCCGCGAAGAACTCCGTTGCTGTGATAGTTCCTTCTGATACATCGATGCGCGCCAAAAAGACTGCAAGCAAGGAAAGAGCCTTTTTACTCTGGTGGACAAGATTCCCAATGATCCGCTTTTGGGCCGAGAAAAACGGAAAGTGTTGGCCATCCTTACCACCCGGGCGCGATTCCACAGCTGGGATGATGCAGTGGTCAAAGACTTGATTGAGGACGGTTGGGATGGCCTCAATGAGATCTTCGGGGCAAAGCTCCCGTTCAGTTTGACGCCCAGACATGGTCTGCAATAATGTGCTAATTGCGACAAGTGCAATTGCAACATCATCAATCTTCCCAAGCCATTCCTGCAGTTCGAGCTCACTGCTGCTTGATGAATCTGGCAAGGCCAGACTTAAAGATTGTGCGGAAAGTATAGGCTTTTCGCACAGTTTCTGAATTCGAGTAAGGTAGTCGGAGGGTATGTCCTGAAGCCGGTCGAACCCTGCAACTTTTCGAAGGGCTTTCTGAAGACGAATGTGAGCATCAGCCGACAGCACCAGTCCATGGACCTCTAGTGATTGCGGGTTCACAAATATTGGGTTTGGCGTGTCAGTGGACTGATTTGAGCTGTCAGGGTCAATTTGATCCTCCGCTTCGAATATTTCGTGTAAAAGATCTTGTAACTTTTGCAAAGCCTCATCCGCTTCCGCTTTTTGATCCTTCAACCGCACTGCCATGGCAGTATCCCCGCTATCTTTCGGGTTCACATGGAAAACCGCTGGGGGCATTGGTTTGACTGGGATCACCACTGACAATTGGCTTGGTGTAGGGGTATTGGAGAACGAGGCCGGTTTCGATTTGTTCACTTGGTGTGCACGCTGATTGGGAGTCTTCGGTACGGGAACTGGGGTTTCTTGGGGTCTGGTTTTGGAGCCTGCTTCGGGGTCTTCAAGTTTGATTAGCCCGAGTTCAGTGTCTGTAATCTGGGGAAGCTTACATCGGAATGCGATGTCAGTAGAGTCGAGCATCATACGCGCGAAGGACCCAAGACTGTCGCGACCCGAGGGCACGCTTTGAGATTCATCTCTACTCAGCTGTTGACTGCGAGCTGGAAATCGAGGGAGCTTAAATTTACTAGGAAAGTCCGAATGAGCTGGGACATGAGCCCGGGGCAAGTTCAAAGGTTCCTTACAATTCTGTCAGGTTTTCTCCGAGCAGTAGCTGCTGGAGATATTCTCTGGATGTCTCCAGGCGATTCGACTCAACCCGTCCGGATTGTTGTATCTCCGCGTCAAGTTCGCCGAGTGTCTTACGGCCTTCTTGGAGGACATGATTTATGGAGGTAGTGTTCGAAGGTCGGCCAACGTCGGGGCGCAGAATGCAGTCTGCTATCGTCAGTCTCCAAAAAATCCTTTCAGGTGTGGTACGGGGTTCAACGGACCGAGGCCAAAGACAGGCGCGCTGGACATGGATGAATACTGCAGTGCTTCGTCCACAGACAGTGGCTGGGGCTGGCTTTGGTGATTCATGGCGCCATAAGGTCTTTGAGGATGGTCATGGCCGTTGATGACCACTTGGACGGCCGGGCGTCCATTCTGGTCCATTCTCGCGTTTATATAAGAGGAAGGCGCGGGTCACAATGTTGACATGCTCCTGGTAGAGACATGGCAAACAAGGCAAGGTTGCCTTAGGATATCTCCAGGTCTTTTTGGAACAATTAGCATATGAATTCTGAGACTGATGAGCTACAGATGAGTTCATGAATTCCGCTATAGGTGTTGGCCACTACTGCCGCGCGTGACCGCCCCCGCTGAGGCTCGTGCGTCTAAAAAAAAGTTGCTTCGATAGCACCGGGTTCATCCATACTCACTTTACAACAAACGAATTATGTCGGTCCTTGGTTCCTTGATCTTCTGCACAGATTGCGGTAATCTCTTGCGAGAGTCTACCGGCAATGCGAATGCGATCCTCCACTGTGATGTTTGCGGTACCCGGAACAAAGGTGGGACACCATAAAACTGCTTATATGCGCTTGACTGACTCTTGTCGCAGACACGATACCCCAGACCACCGTCTCCGAATCCAAGGCATCCTCATTCCCTTCATCATTGAGAGCCAAGCGATCCGCCGTCCAGACTCTTTCAGCAGAGGATCGGAAGACCGAGGCTGTCATTGATAAAACATGCCCTGATTGTGCCCGAACAGAGATGTTCTACACCACTGTACAGCTGCGCAGTGCTGATGAAGGAAGTACAGTCTTCTACAGATGTGTCTGTGGTTTCAAGTATGCGAATTCTGTCTTCCATGTCCGACTGGATGCTAATAATCAACAGGGAAACCTCCAACAATTAATGGAAGATGGGTGTACAAAAAGTGGAAAAAAAAGGGTCTATTTTTGAAGAAAGGCTGTATAAGTAGCAGGGCAAGAATATCACAATCACGACGTCACGAGACAATTTTTTATTTTTCCTTCACAGAATGTCCCTCATGCGGCAGCAACGGGGGCAGCGCTGTCTGGCATCAACGCATATTGGGTCTCGCCGTTCTTCTCGAACTCTGCCATGTCAAGAGCAACAATAACACTGTCCCGAACAACCTCATCGTGGTCATTCAAGAACTTCTTCAGCGTCTCCTCGACACCCTCCTCATCGCCGAGACTTCCCAGAGCCTCCGCCGCTTCGTGACGGACCATACCGGCCTCGGAGAGATCACTCAATGAGGCCGTAAGACTAGGGATCGAGGCGGGGTGGCAGAGCTGGCCGAACACAAAGGCGACCTCGTGACGGAAGAGCGCAGAAGGGTCCTTGAGACCCTTGGCCAGTGCATTGACAGCATCGACTGCGGTGGGAAGGTCTGGGGGCGATGCAAGGTCACGCAGACCGAACATCGCGCGGTATCTTTGGAACAGAGGGAGCTTAGTGTCGAGTAGTGTCTGCTCCAGGTCGGGGATGCAAGGCTCGCTGGATTTCAGGGGCATAGGAGGAGCAGGGTCGATAGAACCAAAGTCACTAAAAAACACTATGTCAGATCGCATGTCAGGCGCTTGTGTAAGGTTGCGCCGTACCTAGGCTTCAATTGTTCCGCCTTCTTGGCCTCTGAGTTCTCCCAGATAATACGGTCGACCGCGATGTCGCAAGTCTCCCTGATAATATCCAATTCCTTTTCATCATCTCTCAGGCGCTTCAGCAGGTCCAGGCTGTCTTCGTAGCCCAGGGCACCCAGGGCCTCAGCGGCCTCGTGGCGGCACATCGCATCCTCTTCTGTGTCGTTCACCACATGCTTGAGGTATGGGACAGACTCGATATTCTTGGTCTGACCCAGGCAGTAGGCCAGTTCGTGCTTGAGCAGGGCGGAGGGCGACGCGAAACCAGCGGCGATCGCTTCGATGGCGGGGAGGCTGTCTTCGGTGGGAGGCACCAGGCAGGCCACGTGCTTGAGGGAGAAGAGAGCGCGGAAACGGCGAGCAAGAGGCTCAGACTCTGAAGTCAGGACCTTACGGAGGACAGGCACGGTATCAGACATTTTGGCGGAATATGTATGGTGGGGATGGAAGGGAAAAAAAAAGTTCACTGATCTTCCCTTATCAGATAGATTTTTTGGAGTGCTCAGTGGGGCTCGCGCGGGGCATGCGGCGCTTGAGATTTCTGCCTCGTACGATGTATTTGTTTGGACCGTCAGAACTTGAGACATTGAATATTTAGTGAATTACTTAGGTACTTATGGTACAATTGCAGATCCAGATTGATTCAAGCCCATGTGAATAAATCCATAGATATCTACTTAAGTACACTCCCAACTTTAGAACACGTTTATAGAGTCTACAGGATCTTATATATAGGCAGAAATTTTGCCCTCTCTTGATACTTAGTGTAACAACCCCTGGTCTTGCGCATGTAAGTAAGCAGAATCCACGGCATTGGCTGAATTAGGGTAGAATTAGGGTATAATAGCTTTTTAACAAGTACGAATACAACTTGAAAATTTGCATTTGAGAAAACCAAACGAACTTAATGGGGTTCAAATCAGATAAGCGCGTAGGTTACTTTGGGATGTGGACTCTGATATTTAAACCAGCGCTGCGGTGCTGAAAAATACTCCTAGATCTTTAGTATTCTAAAAGGCTTTCTTTGAATATTTACTTAAGTAGAAAATATACTACAGAAAAACATTATTTTAAACTACGACCTCGGGGTGTACAGTGCTTTGATACCCATCAGCCTGGAGGCTTTGAGCATCCCAAATTGCAATCTATAGATGCTCTCGAAATGCAAACCGAACCTCAGGGAATAGTGGGCTTCCAACAGATCCTCGATTTTTTGAAGCAAGAGATGAGGGGGCGTCTAAAAAGTTGGCCGGGCTAGAAGAAGAAGACCCGAAACTAGGCCAGGGGCCCATGAACAACCATGGTGTTTCAGAGGCGATTGATCCTTAACCAAATCCCCAATTACAAGGGTCTGTCAGTCTGATCCAATCGCAAGAGTTGCACCCGGAGAGACCTTGAAACTGAATATGTATAACCAATCCAGGTAAATTGATATCATGTGACCAACCTACACCCTACTTTGACAATTGCCAGTGAGCACAGCCTCTTCACGCCTTTTACAAGCGTGGTGAGTTGAATCCCCAGTACTCCTAGCCAGCACACTGACTTCAGGAGCATAAAGCATTCATGTTTGGTACAGTGGAAAGGTCAACATTGGAACTTAGGCATCGAAATAATCGGATTGACCCGCTTTTGTTAGAAACAAGATATTAATAATAGGTGGCTAGAATACATATAGTCGACACATAGGGTATAAATCATACGTGCTCTCGCGTAGTCTTGGGCTCATTTTCGTAGGTGTCCGTAGTAGTTTGCGTGACTTCCGTAGTTCTGTGGATTCCCACATGTCGATCAAACGTTAACCTCTCCTCACTACTACTCGGACTCGAAGACTCAGCGTAAGTATCACCATCACGCTGGCTTTTGATTGTCGTCACAGTAACGGCAAGCTTATCCGGTCTCAGTCGAGATTGAGGAGTGTCGTCTATGGAACCGAGCGGAAATGCATGCTCATGTCCAGCCAGCTGGCGCGAGGCGGAGCGTGATCGTCCACCTGGAAACCCACTCGAGTAGTCTGGGTCAGTGCGGGAGCCTATGATGACGCGGAGGAGGGGCCGAAGGGTTGCGAGACTGCCGGCTGTGATGCCCAGGCCGGCTTCGATGTTGGACCAGATGGCGATTTGAATTGTGGCATCTGGAGGTTGTTAGTTATTTGAAATCTTATCTCAGAAACTTGATCGGAGGGGGAGCCGTACAAAGGAAATCAGTGTCGGCAAAGGTGCTGACGAAGGGAATACGGACGATGACCGCAGATGAAGCACTGAGGGACTCGAGTCAGTCGATTGATAGCCTTGGAGAGGGAATGATAAAACATACATGCAAGCCATACTCAAAATGCCCATCACAGCAATCTTGGTCTGGCGTTTCATGTGCAACTTGTGCACGAGGAAGATGGGCAATATACCCACGGTAAAATCACACAATGCGGCAAATGCGCTGTAGACGTAGGTCATGCTAATGATGATACCAATATCGATGCACCAACCTCCGTTGGGATCCGCTGCCCGCATCCAGAAATATTCCAATGGGTGGCACTGTAGGAGCATCAAGAACATGAAGACCAATCCAGCAAGAACGGTCAAGGCCATGACGATGTAAAGGGACCAAATATGAAGTCGTCGGATGGTGATGCGCATCAAGAAAATGCAGACGGAGATCTTGCATGCGATGGAAGAAAAGCAGTAGGCGATTTCGCACAGCCACCAGTATTTCATGGCAATAGCGGCGTTGATGGGATCAAGATGCGCAAACTTGTATCCTGTGCCGTATATGGTGCCTCCGATCATGCAGCCGCAGAACATGGCATAAAACAGCTGTTGTTGGATCGAGTCAGATTTCGAGTACTATTAACGGGCGGATGCTTGAAATCGATTCGATTCACGTACCAATGCCACCACCATCGCACCATCATCCCATCCAAAAGCCTTGACAATCCATCCACGCACATAGATGCGTAGCAACACACTAATGGTAGCGATCGGTAGAAAGACGGCGGCCACAGTCTGGACCGCCATCTTCCTGCTATGTTCATCGCTCATATTGTCACGGATGTTGTTGGTCGCTTGTCATAGTTGACCTTTCATGTGTGTCTCGCAGGTGTGGGGGGAAGGAATTTTTTAATATAACCCCTGTCAAAGACCTGCAGAAATCTTAAAACTTAGGGGGACAAAAGCAAAGAATACTTTGGTTCTTGGCTGATATGGGCGTTTTTAGTCGAGGGGTATGGAGTTTGACCACGCGGAGATCGACGGTACTGCTGACTCGATTTGGGTAAGGTAATTCATGCATAAGCACGATAGACTGGAGTCGGAGTTTAATTACCATCGATTCGGTAGCGAACAACAAATAGATCGGAGCGCCAATGTGGAACACCGGACATTGTCGACTCTGCCCGGAGGGAGAGCGTTGACAGACACAACTCCCGAAATGGGGGTGGGGATGTCGTTTTGACTGTGACAGGTGTCTTTGGCAATGACAGGTGTCTGAATATGTTTGAGTTCTCCGTCTTCGTAGCGTAATTGACTTTGCAGACTCTCAATATTCAGTGACGTTTCGGCGCTAGATGAAAGTATTTCAGTAGTAGCAGCGAGTAAGAAGACGGCGAACGCCTAGCTAGCGGTCCACTCTTAGGTCTAGCTGCGTTTGACCCTGTGCGGGATCCACCGTCGGCGCTGGAGACCAAAATGGAGACTACTTCCTAGGCAATAGTTTGGGTCAAATGGAGGTTGTCCGAAATTGTCAGAGGAATTGTGCGGTAGTCGTAGGATGTGCCCAGGTGGCGATCCTGATTCAGACGATCGGGGGCGTTCGTGCTAAGAGAGGTTCTGGAAACGATTTCCAAGGTTCCATATACGAGAACCCCGTACCCTAATTAGAGCCCAGACATTCTCTCAAAAAGTTGTAAGTTAGATGGTTTCAGGTATGTCTGTCAAGGTCTAGAGCAAGGGTGAACCAAGTGTCGGTGTTTGCGGCTTCATGTCAGGTGTTTGCACTGTTTGCAACAGGTTTTGAACGGAGCGGAGTTATTCGTCCGTAGTGCAGTTGTAGTACAGTTGTAGTACAGTCAACTAATTTGGAAAGCTGAGTGGAGAGTCTCATCTTTCAAGGCTCTATCTGACAAGTCAATATACATTGTACATGGTCCATTTAATCAAGATACAATATTAATGAGCTCCGCTTAAAGCGGACTGTATCGGCCCCCGCAGGTCCACGGGTAAACACCCCGCGATTTCAACTTCCCAAGCTTTTCAGGTCTTCAATCCTTCAATCCTTCCATTCTTCCATTCTCCACAATGGCCAACGTAGATGTACCAAACACGCAAAAGGCCTTCGTGCCTCTCGGTACCTTTCCCTCCCGCACCTACCAATCTCCAACTAACTTGGCCAGAAAACAACCCGGAGGTGATGTCACACCTGGTGCACCAACTCGGCCTACCCTCCAGCATAGGCTTCACAGATGTATTCTCAATCGACGAGCCTGAGCTCCTGGCCTTTGTCCCACGACCCTCTCACGCCCTCCTGCTCGTCTTCCCCGTCTCCAAAACATACGAAGAGTCTCGCGAAACCGAAGATGCCACCAAAGATGCCTACAAGGGCTCCGGTCCCAATGAGCCTGTCATGTGGTTCAAGCAAACCATCCGCAATGCATGTGGTCTGATTGGACTCTTGCACACAGTGTCCAACGGCGAGGCACGTCAACACATTCTCCCAGGCTCGGATCTGGATACCTTACTCAAGGAAGCCGAGGGCCTGGAACCAATCAAGCGGGCAGATCTACTATATGACAGCAAGGCACTTGAGAGTGCGCATGCCGATGCGGCGAAGCTGGGGGATACTGCTGCGCCGCAAGCCGAGGATAGTGTTGATTTGCACTTCGTGGCCTTTGTCCGTGGTGTGGATGGGACGCTGTGGGAATTGGATGGTCGACGCAAGGGACCACTAGCTAGAGGCATGTTGAACGAGGGAGAAGATGCTCTGAGTGAGGCTGCGCTTGATCTTGGTGTGCGGAGATTCTTGAAGCTCGAGGCGCAGGGCGGAAACCCGGACTTGCGATTCAGCCTGGTTAGCCTCGGTCCTCTGTTTGACTAGAGTGCTACTGTTCGGTGGCTCCTCTGGTTCAGACTTATCATCATGGATGGCGTTCTTGATTATTTTTTTTTTCGGCCATAAGCATGTTTAATTCCCGGCTTGTGCCCCTGCATTGGTTTGTTCTAGTCTTAACAAGCCCGAGGCAAAAAGATTGCCTGGAGCTATCCAATTGATTCCGTGCGAACATTATGGTGGTAATATGTATTATTACATCTATCCCCGGGGTTTTTATGAACATATGATACCCTTGTGGCACAGTTATCTCGTTAAGTAACACTGTAATACCAGTTACTTTTTTTCGGTCCCAGTGGTCTCCAAAATATGAGGACCCACAGAGTTATTAACACTTGCGATCGGGACATCTGCGAGGTCGGTAGTCGTTATGATCTCACCAGTCTTTTCGTCGTCAGGGACCAATTGATCATCTCGATCACTCTGGGGCTCCGCGTTTCCTTGGGTGCCGAGCTTTAAGAACGGCACCATGAACAAAGATATGCCTGCGGCTGCTGCCGCGAACCAATAAACAGCCAAATAAGGGTCGATTGCAGGCGAGGTACTCGTCATCCGATTGGAAATCGAAGAACTGACAGAAGTGGCTATACCAAGTCCCAGATTGTTGCATAGTTTGTTGACCGTGTTGAAGATGCCACCAGCAATGGATTGCTGCGATGGCGGGAGAGAAGACATCACGTACATCTGGGTGGTTTAGCATGTCTTCATGTAATTGAAAAGGAACACATACGTTTGTGACATTGAATTGGATATCGGCGCCAACAACAACAAGGACCAGTGCTGGAAAGACATATGCCCAGTAAGTCGCGTCTTCCTTCATGAAGCTCAGGATCAAAAAGGACGCCGTGTATGCCAGAGCTCCTATCCCGGTCAGCAGCTTGTTGCTTACGCGATGTAGCAGCAGACCACAGACGACGTTGACGAGCACGCCGCTGACAATCATGGGAAGTAGCCTGAGGGTGATCTCCAGGGCAGACAGGTGCTTGACCTCTTGGAAGTATAGGGAGAGATAGAAATTGACAGCAGTGAAGCCCATGAGGCCGAGACAGAGGGTTGCCATAAGCTAGTGAAGGTGTCAGTTTCTGATATTCATCGTTCACAACGCAGGGCACGAACAATGGAGAAGGTGCGGTCTTTCCACAACCCAAGAGGCATCAGAGGAGTCTCTGCAATAGACTGCCAGTACAAAAATGCGACGAGTAGGAAGAATCCCACAATGAAAAGAACAAGAACATAGACCGTCTTCCAACCGTGAGGTGCGTCACCAGCCAGACTATAAAGAACGTCAGTGAACATCCAGGTACTTTTAGACCGCACACATACGAGAGCGAACTCGAAAACAACGCAAACCCAACAACAATCAACACAGTCCCGAGAAGATCAAACTCCTTCAGCGCCTGCTTATTAAAAGGCTTCCTGTCAAATGCATCCGCCGGCACAGTCCACACAGTTAGCACCGTGAAGATGGCGTATACAACTGCATGTGCCCAGAACGAAGCCCGCCAGTTATAGAGATAGGACGCAACGCCTGAGATGATCATACCACCGACAAAACCCAGCGGGTTTCCGGCGCTGAAGCAGGCAAAAGCGAGATTCTTCCGCTTTGAGGGTTTCTCATATACCGCGCCCAGAGTCCCGACAGCTGGTGGAACAACAGCTGCTGCAAATAACCCCAGAATCCCAGAAAAGACGTCCATGTATATGGCGTTTGTTGCAAAGCCGGCGATCAGAAGGGAGATTGAAAATCCAGCCATGCCAATTATGAAGAGTATTTTGCGACCAAACATGTCAGCCAGTTTGCCAAAGGTCAAGAGGAATGCGCCACTGGTAAGACTGTTACATATTGTCAGAAAAGTTGCTTATCTTGGTGAATTTCCGTTCTAAATCCCAGAGTGATAACTCAACAGGAGTGCGAGGATCGGAGTAAAACGAGACAAAAAGATACTACTCACGAAGCACCGGCATTGATCCAGGTAATCTCGGCCGAGTTCATGTTCAGATCATTGCCAATTGATGCAGTGACTCCGACGATGCAACCTTGAAAGAACGTCTGTTGACCGATAGCCATGGTGGCAGTCAAGACGAACAGCACCTCCTGAAATGTGCTACTGAAGCACTTGGGTCGTTCGCCATTGCTGTTCTCCGTAACTGTTCCTGGATTATTCTTCTCCTGATCCCGTGGCATTTTAAAGACTAGTCCGGTGAAAATGCAGGAGACGTCCTTTTACAGACCGGACGGCGAAAATGTTTGCTTTGCGTACAACACAGGGAAGTTCAGGGGGCTGCGATAAATTGCGTGACGGGCCCTTCGATTGAAAGAACTGTTCACTCGAACACAAGTACTTAAGTACATCTTTATAATTCTCCCCTACAGTCCAGGGCTAGAGTCACCGCGATTTCAAAATCACGAAATTGCATTTTGTAAGCGGCGGAGGTGTTCCGCGCGACGTTTTTATGCGGGAACCCGATCCTTTGGACTCGTCAGACGCATCGACAACTCACTAGTCGCACAAGGTTGGTTAAGCTCCATCCTACACTGCATTCTTGGAAATAGTTCTGTATGTACGGAGCATAGATATTGAATGGCATGAGTCGCACAGAATTGATCTAGGTCAAGTACGGAGTATTTGTTCTTTTAATTCGTACCCTGACTCGCTAGGATCAACCCAGCAGTCACAAGCATTGAAGTTCAAAACCTCATTACCAGCAGCCCACCAGCCAGCCGTCAGATTGCGCGCAAAGACCTCAAGAGCAGAATACGACTGCGCGCAATGAGACTTGAAGAAAATCCGTTCAAACATGCCCTTCAAGTTTGGCTTGCGAGAATGCAAATCCGGGACTGCTGCGATAACCCGTCGAATAGTGACTCCGTCACTGATGGAAGCTAAGTCATCCATTCTGGGTAATGATCCATGCTCTTTCGAGGTCCGCACATCTGCGTCCCTGCGACCAATAACAAGAGTCTCGTACGGCTTTCGCCAGATACCATCCAAAGCCGAGATTGGTCGGCCGTCTATGGTGGTTTTGATCCAGATCCATTCCTCGCAGACGCGGAATCCAGATCCTACCAGTGCTTGGTAGGCTGCCTTGCGAGACTTCTCGGCATTGGTGATCCATATAGCAGCTAGTGACTGCTGGGCATGGGAGTCAGGGGGCCCTGTATATGGAGCTTGCGGTGTAACTTCTGTGTCGCAGGAGTGTGTCTGAAGAATGTCCCGTAACCCTTCCGCTAGAACCTCCATTTCGGAGTAGTGGTGGGTTTGGTAGTGAGCGCTGCGCCGGACAGAGCGATTTGGCCATGGTGGATCCATAAGGATGAGATTGAATTTCTGATCCGAAGATAGACCGGGGATGGGGTAGAGAAAAGATGAACGGTCATTTGCAGTCTCAAACAGAGGCAATGTGCAAAGTGTGAAACTTGACTCGGGAGGGACCCTATATGATGAAGGGCCCATATCGCCATTATAGGCTATGTTGATGATCGCTGATTCGGAAGATGGGTTCTTCACTACGTTCAACTCGCATGATGACTTGAACTCATTCGGCGAGCTAGATGATAGAATCAATGGTGGCTCATTGTTGAATATATGATCACAACTGATGCTTAGGGGGTCTTGATTTCGTCGCTTTCGCGAGACTCCATCTTGTGAGCCCGAGGAGGCCACTTTTTCCACCGGCACGACGCGGTCGAGCCCCCATTGAGTTGGGGATATTGCAGCTCGGATTGTTTCTAAAGCTTCTTCCACAAGAGGCATTATTCTTTCGGAGTGGTACCGTCTCTCAGACTCGGGAATTGTGCCGAGAACATTGGCACGAGCAGCGGGCTTTTTAGGCTCGGTAGATGGGTATGGCTCCTTCAAAGGCGAGCATGAAAGTAGGCGTCTTCGCTTGATGAACGGCAAATCTTTTGAACTTGACTGTTGATTGGCGGGTAATCTCCCTTGTGCCATGGTGATTGACCACGGAATATCGAGTAGGAACACCCTGTCCTCATGCTGGAAGATAATACCAGCATCGTCCTGGTGGTCCATTTGTTGATGCCAAGTGAGCTCCGGGTTGTTTGAGCGGGATGACATGATTTTCTCTCCGCCTTGCACGTCCACGGCCTTGGTCAATTGATGCACATCTCTACTCATACTTAAGTAGAGCCTTTCTTTGGCTTGTTGCGTGGCCCTGCATTTACCAGACCTGGGTTATTTTTGGTTGTAGTGCTTCTATTACTTACGAAGCCCGTTGAAGAGCCCGAAGCCAGTTTACAGTGACCACTAGAGTCTGCGAAATCGATTCATGCAGCCAACCCAATCTTAAAACAATAGACAGAAGGTAGATAGGGGTCCCATCCTTAGATCACAAGATACATGGTCATTCCAAACGCTCCAAGATACAAAAAAACAAGGTCTCCAGTAGAGACACAAGACTTTTTCACCACCAATATGCCCCGGTCCCCAGAGTCCCAATCTCCCCTGCCGGCGATCCAGCGTCCGATCAGGGCGAAGAGATATGGGACGGTGAAATCACACGTTAGATAAAAACCCCGGTCACCATGATATACTTCGAAAAGAAAGGAAAAAATAAGAAAGATGATCAAAGTTTGTACATATGGGAAGGCAGATCCATTAGAAGACAACGGGCCAGTTCACCGCTGCTAGGGCTGTCAGTGGGGGAGGACGAGGCGGTTTAGGGCCGGTCAGAGAATGAACTCACCCGTCCACGTCGACCTCCACCTTGCCCCTGCACCGGCTGTGCCTGTTGGTAATATTGTGGGGGATATTGATACATCTGGGCAGGGTTGACTACTGGGCTGAACTGTTGGTAGTTCTGACCTAGTATGGGGTTGGGGCCAATTTGGCCAGGTCCAGCAGAAAGGGGCGCGTTTTGCTGGGGTTGCAAGGAACGAAGGTTGTCTGCAGGCGAGGCGCCAGGGTATCCGTAGTTGACGTTTGGCATTCCTGGGTAGCCAGGAGAAACGCCACGGGCCTGAGCGGCGAGGTAGGCCTGGTACTGCAGCTGTTGCTGGCTCAAGGGTTCCTGACCATACCCAGGCCCGCCGGGCATGCCGTTGAGTGGGTTGTTTCCGAGACCGTTGGAGTAGGGATCAAGAGGTGAGGGGTTGTTCTGGTCGGAAGAGATCGGGCGGGAGTCGGGGTTTTGGCCATATGCGTTGGGGGCAAATTGCTGTTGTCCATTGTACTGTCTGTCCATGGATGGCTGAGCGGGGTAACCTGTGCTGCCGTGTCGGGAGGACTGGCGGTGCTGGGACTTCTCCGGGGTTCCAGTGCCGTGCTCTCGGCCGTGGTGTTCACGGCCACTGCTGCGAGAGGAGAGACCAACCTCATCCATCAGACGCTTGTATCCTTGGCTTGGGGAGGCCTTGAGCTTTGTGAGAACCTTGGACACATTCTTGACAACTTCGGCACGCATAGACTCATCAAAGAACGGCGTGGTGAGAACCTTGAAGATCAAAGTAGCACCAGAAGTCTGGTCACTCAAGATCTTCTCCAAAACCTCATCACCTGCGCTAAAGAATAATGCCTTCAAGACGATATCACGAGCCTCTGGCTCGTTGCGTTGGTTGATGACCTTGAGAACGGTCAAGTAGGCAACCTTGTGGGTGCAGAGATGAACAAGATGAGGCACAAGTCTTGGTGCCAAGACTGTTCGGCGACGAGGGAATGTGCAGGTGTCAAGGAACCAGGTCAGCAAGAGAGCGCCATTCGCGTTGGTAGCCAATTGCACACTGTGAAGAGCGATCGCAGAAGCCAGCATGCGCTGCTGGTCCTTTGTGGCATGGTGGCTCTCCAAGCAAGCCCGCATTGCGCGGGCGCCGAATCGACCTTGAGCAACTTCCCACAAACGGTTAAGCATGGATTCAAAAATGAAGCTGTTGAAAGGACTGGCGAATCGCAGGCAGCATTGCAAAACGTAGTTTCCGTATTGATCCAAGAAGAGAGGAACGGTGTATGGCCGAAGAGCATCGACAATAAACTGCATTTGTGCCGGAGTTTTGGCAACATCAATGATCTTCTGTGCAGCCCATGTTCCATTCTTGTGGACACCGATTTCAGAGAGATGGGGAGCAATGTGACTCAACATCTGCTCCTTGGTAGCTTCCGAGCAGAACTCGAACAGCTTTTGGACTACAGTGTTGCCCAAATAGTCAGAAGCCAACTCCGCAATCTCAGGAAGCATGGCCTCGGCGGTTTCCTCGATCTCTTGGATCGAGCAGGCGCCGTTGTCGATGCGCTTGCGAATGTCACGGAGACGAGGCGCATCAAACATGCGAGACTGACTGGGTTCCTGTACAGAGGGTATTTCATCCTCGAATGCCTGGAACGCGATGGAGTTTTGGATGCTTGCTGTGATGTTCTGGAGATCAGTCTCACTAGCACCAAACTCTCGCACAATCTGCACCATATCAGGCAGCAAGTCTGCCAACGCAGGGATTTGAGGGATTGTGTGGACATTGTCAGCCCGGTCCGGGCTGTCTCCTGCAGCAAGGTTGGACCGGAAGCTTGGATCGGGGGTCGGGGAAGACTGAATTCCGTTGGCACCAGGAGTGCCAGTGGCAGAGGCACCAGGAACCTTGGCATATCCGATTCTGACGGGTCCGGCACCAGGGAAAATTTCCTTGCCATTGAGCAATGACTTCGCTTGCACAGCACTGTCCAGACGATCGAAGTTGACAAACCCGCAGTTCTTGTGGGTGAGCACGCGGGTTGACTCGATCTTTCCATACATGCCGAAAATAGCTTCCAAGGATGTGACAGTTGTGGAAACGGGGATGCTGCCAATCCACAGGGCTCGAGTAGGCCCATCCTGGTTGTTCTCGTCCGACATCTCAGTGGTCTGGCGGGCACCCAGACCGGGAATACCAGCACCACCGAGGTTCATAAGCTGAACGGCCTCGGACAGTTCATCATATTCAAGATTTTCCGGGATTTGCAAGTCGGCAGCACTAAAGCTGTTGTCAAGACGAGAAGGGGTTGCGAGGTAGTTACGGATGGAAGATCGCTGGGGAGGGGCCTCCAAAATACCAGCGGTGCGAGCCCGGGGCCTGCTCACAGAAGCATGGCTTGCAAAGGCCTGAACAGCAAGGTTGTGCTGGTGAATTTGAGCCTGTGTAGCCGCAAGCTGAGCGGCAGTTGCAGCGGCAGACGGGGTCATGGTGCCTGAAGGAACCTGAGAATAACGGTTCTCATATTCGAGATCCTCGTCATCCGCGTATTTCTCTTTGGCGTTGACGGAGTATGAGCGGAACCGACTATTATTTTTTATCATTGCCAACTCAGCCAGGAGTGGCGGCAGCGCAGAGGCTTGCTGTTGTTGTTGTTGCTGCTGGTGCTGCATCAACTGCTCCATGGATGGACGCGCAAGAGATGCCATCGCTTGCTGGGGAGTCTCAGCAAGACCCAAGTAGTCTAGTGTCTTAACATCGGTATCCGCAAGGCCATCCCTCGAGAAGGAGGAGTGACTCGGCGAAGTAGGCCCTTCGGATGATCGAATACTTGTCAGGGTTGTAGCCCGCTCGCGGCCTGTGGACCAGTTTGTTGAAAACAGCGACGGTCCGAAGGGACCACTTCCACCCAAGAAGTTGCTTCTTTGTGGCATTGAGCCAGCGCGAAGACGTGAGAGAGACGCCGGGGCAGGTCCAGCACCTGAGCTGGCGGGCTTGGAGCCCGTATCGATTCCAGAGACACCGGGAGGCCTGAAAGGACTGGTCGAGGGTGTCGGGCGGGAGGTCTGCGAGGCGAATGGCTGCTGGAGTTCCATCTCATTCAGTGTGCCCATCGGAGGAAAACGAGATGGCACCGTTCCTGCACGGGCTCGGCGGCTGGGACTGCCAATGGAGCCATTGGTGGTAGGGATTAGATCAGGGAAGCTGTCCTGGCTCGGCGATTCGGGAATATTTTCACGAAGCGGGGTTGAATGGCCGCTCGTAGGAGGACCCCAGATGCTAGGTGAGACGCCTTCTTGCGCCTGAATTTCGCGAGCTCTGTAGGGCAATCATCAGTAATTGTTGCGACGTAATTTCCCTTGTATGACCTACCGCTTCGAGTAAAGTCGTGATCCCAAGTCGTGAGAAGGGGAGCCAGCTCCCGGCCTCGAACTCCCGATGGAACCCGGGGAAGGACCAAATGGCATTCTGGAATTGCTAGATCCCGGGTCACTCGGAGAGCTGCGGCCTGTCGAAGTACCCGACATTGGTTGAGTGGTTGGAATGTAGTTGAAACTCATTTGTCCCTCGGGTCGTGAAACCGGTAGCATTATTGATTATCGATTGTGGCCTTCAGTAAGGCAGTACTCGAGTGTTTTCCAATCTGTAGCCTTTGCGCGAATTCCAAATCGGCCCGTAAACGTATATTTAGATCTCAGAAAGGTGAGATGGGCATAGGACAGGGACGAGATTGAAAAGGTTGGGCAAAAGGTCGATGAGAATCGAAGGCGAACTAAGGATGAAAGATAATATTAGACGAAAGTTCAAAACGGGGGGTGTGTTTTGCCGTGACCGGAGCTGAGTCGCAGAATCGGGAGGGGTCGACAAAGCACTTTTCCAAGTCATGGAAATGAAGTATTTCCGCGACAGATCCGATTGATCTCCAAATGCAGCCTCCAGTCTTCGGGTTCTTTGAAATTCTTACCGTGTTTCGTGTGACAATCTGCGGGTGTCCCAAAGCGATCGAGTTGAGGGAGACCAAAAAAAAAAAATAGAAAGTCTTTCTATGCCGGAGATTCGTCAAAGGCTTAAAAACAATATGCACAATGATAGTCAGGCGCGGAGTGCGTCAAGTAGATCAAAGGAAGAAGATGGAAAGGATGATCCTAAGGGATTGAAGGTGGCTGGATGAATTAGTGGGAGACGTGGAAAAACAATGGTCACCACCAACCGAAAAGGTGAGAGCTCACCCTAATGCAAGAAGCAAGAAACAAGCAAAGAAGAAAGAAAAAAAGAGAGGGGAAGAAGTCAAGGGAGGATGAAGGGGAAGAAGGAGAAAGAGAAGAGAGAAGAGAGAGAGAAGATGTTGGGGGAGCTGGCCGGATGCCCGAGGAACATGGCTGTGGTTGGTGGAGAGCGTCCTCTTCAGCTTCATCCACAATACGATTGTTGATTTCGCGGTGAATTGACTGGATGAATTGTGTTATTATTGGTTCTACTGACCCTGCTATATTTTAGGTCTCAAGTAAGTCTGTGTTCCTTGTCCTCCGTAGCCTGATGCACATAGGTCACATCTATACAAATCCCTACTCCGTACTCCGAATACTGTCAACAATGTCGGATATGACACAGCCCCGTTGAGATCATGGAGATCTGAAATAGATGGTCTTTGCCTTGAGCCCCGAATACAATTCTGTACACCCACTCTTCCACACCTTTTCGGTCTTCATTAGACGGCCTGCCCGGCAAAACGAGTGTAGCAGCCCCGCATTCCAGTGCGTCATGGTCTTAACATGGATCCATCCCATTCATGAAGGGACGGGAGTACTCCGTACGAGTAAACATTGGACACAAGGTACAACTGATCTCTCGCGCTCTCTCAGTGTTCTCAGTGTGTGTATATGATGTAATGCTGCAAGGAGATCGGGTTCTGCTCTGAAACCCAGACCCGTGTTTGGAGGCGCGCAAGGGATGGGTCAGGTACGTGTCCTCCCGTACGGAGTATTTCTTGATGTATCAGTCCTTCCACGGCTTCAGGGTTGGCCAGAAGTGCGTTGGCGGATGAGGCTCAGGGTCAAGGGCTTTATCAATTGAAGAGCATTTACTCGTGATGGCCTGAGGCATGCCAAGCATTGGCTACAGTATGGCTGTACTAGGGTTCTTCAATATAGATCTTGTTGGCGAGGTTTTCCTTCCTAGCAGAACTCTCCTCGAAAGATAGACAGTCAATGGCAAGTGCGTTGTATCAAGATTCTCGGGGCCCTCTTTCTAAACCTCTTTCTATTGGTCTAAAACTGCAAACACCAACGGATCGATTGATAAGTGCTTCGGAATAGCCTAGAATGTGACGGTAGGCAATAATCTCTAGGCTTAGTTGGGTCTAGGGAAGAGGTACGAGACACGAATATTCTCAATATTGGAAGAAGAAGTAGAAGAAGAGAAAGAGCTATGAGTGTGGACTTCTCCATGTACCTTCCAAGGTTGGTAGTCTGTGCTAGCAATGGCCATCTTGCCTCAGGCATCAGCTTTATATTCGCGCCACTGCCGGGTCAAGCCACAGCTCTCCTTTGCATCCATCCCTCCATCATTGGAACGGCTTGCGTTCAAATCACCCCGCCTGACAAATCCATGTCTTGTCCACCGCATGTTTCTCCGAACTGATCACTAGCGCAATTCAAAGACAGTTGTCGCGCGCCGCATCCCACTCACGCGTTCAATGCCAACCCGATCAACTTAATCCGCATCACCACTACCATGGCCGACCTTTTAGAATCGGATCCAAACTCTGGGGTTCAGTCATCAGAAGAGGATCAAGATGTCCCGGTGGAGACCCTGGTCAGCGGGCGGGCGAAAAGAAGCACCGCAGGACGGCACATGTCTGCCCTCCTTGAGGCTGCAGCAGATGACGACCTAGCACTTCTCTTCGAGGAAGTTGAAGACGATAACGAGTTCGCGGATCTTGTCGACCCCGACGCTGAGGACGACGTGGCCCTCGAATCATCGGACGATGAAGACGACCAAGGGCCGAACGCGCAAAACGACTACGAAGGCGAGCAGCAATTACAAAAGGAGGAGCGCAAGAAGCGCAAAACACAAAACGACCTTAGATTCCAAACCCTGCGCAAACGAGTCAAGATTGATCCGACCGCCGTCTCGTCCATGGCTGCCGTGCCTCGCGCGAAGAAGAAATCAGAGCGGATCTCGTGGATTCCCACCGTGGAGGATGGGCCTACTCGCCAGTCATCGCGTCGGCAAACGATGGTCAATAAGGAGCTCACGCATGCTCGTTTGAAGGACAGCCAGGAGAAACGAGTGCGCATCATCGCGACCATGAAGGAGGCAGAAAAACGGAAAGCACATTTGAAGCCCAAGGAGATGACACAGGAAGATCACCTCGCGGAAGCTGCCAGGATTGAACGGCTCAACAGCAAGAGTCTCAACCGCTGGGAGCTATCTGAAAAAAGAAAGGCGGACGAACGACGAGCCAGGATCGAAGCACTCCAAAACCGCCGTCTCGATGGTCCAGTCATATCCTACTGGAGTGGCATGGCTACTTTCACTAATGGACGTCTGACGCGAGTGGGCACAGTCGACATCAAACCCAAACCCGACAAAGAAGAGGCACGGAAAAAGAAGAAGGAGAAGGAAGATAAAGAGAAGGCGGCGGCAGAGCTACGTGCATTGCAGTCTGCTGCTCCTATCGCCGAGAACAATGGATTGCCCCCGGTCGCTGGTCCTTCTTCCACCACTCTCACGAATACACCACAGCAGTTGCCTGGTCCCGTTCCAGTTGGGGTTGCTGCTGCCCCAGACTCGTCAGCTCCACCTCTTCCTGGACCCCCGACAGATCAAGAGCCACCCGAGAGAACCGCTCTATCCGAAAATGCTACAGCCCCAGTTCAAGGGGCACTCGACACTGCCAATACCCCTGTGGCCTCCGAGGAGGTGAAAACCAGTCAGCCAGATACGAAGGTTTCCGAACCGACGCAATCCGCGGTGGTGCCGAATTCCGACCAAGAAAAGAGCAATCGTGTAGAGCAGCCCCCAGTGCAACAAAATGCACCAGACCTTCCCTCGGGGCAAGATAAGGACTCTGCGAAACAAGTATCCTCGGAGGCAGCACCTGTACCACCGCCAGCAGCAATCAAACCCAAACGCCAATCATTTGCAGTGGAGGTTACTGTACCCCGCCATTTATCCCAATCTAACAACATTTCTGCACGCGAGTCACCCGGACCATCTTTAATAAAGACTAACGATGAAATGGAGATTGATCCCCCCGCATCGGCTGCCGCGGTTACAGAGGGTCCGGGGGTCCAGCAATCTACGAGCAAGTCAGAGTCGGCCACACTCAATCCTGCCGGGGCCCAATCTATTGCGGCAGAAACACCGCAAACAAGTGCTGAAACGACTGTACCTTCAAGATCGCTGGACGAATCTCAGCCTATTGAATCGGTCACGTCTATCAGCCCTGTAGTGGCACTGGCCCCTCATGCCGCGCCGGCCGCCGTGGTACCTACTCAAGCCACGGTGCCCGAAAGCGCCCTCCCTCCGAGCCTAAACCAACCATCCACCTTGCAGGCCGGATCACATCCTCCAAATGTGAAGATCGAACCACCTGCGCCGGAAGTACCTCCACCACCTCCGGTGGTCGAGACTATGGGGCGCACCGTCACGATTTTGGAAAACTTCGACTATGCGACGGCGCAAAAGTCCAAGTACAGCATGTACTTCAATGCCAAAAAGCCACCCCGGCTGACTAGTAGGTTGCATGATCTCTTTGTTTCATAACTTTTGTAAGGGCTAACCTGGTACCACAGAAATCTCGTCATCACTTTGCGTCATTACCTCATTGCCTTCGCGGTACCGCGATCCAGACACCGGTCTCCCATACGCCAACTCCTACGCCTATGGGCAAATCCGCCGTCTCATCACCGAAGGGTATATCTGGAGTGCGATGCTGGGATGTTTCGTGGGCCCGGCCGAGGCAGCCCGTGGAGTCCCTGAGCGATTTTCATTTGCCAGTAAGATGGGCCCTAGCAGGGTTCTCCTCGACCGTGGCCTGGACGAGCCGATTCCAGAACTTCCCAAGGCACCCGCTGAGATTCCATCGACCCCTACCCCGGCGACTAAACCGCCTCAAGCGCCTCCATCAGCGCCGGAGCCAATGAAGATCGATTAAGTAGTTTGTGGCCCGACCATTTGTACGATAATGTCTGAGTAGATACCCAAGGATTGTGAGATGGAGAGAGAGGGAGAGCTGAGAGAGTTATTAGCAATGTCAGAATGAGAAGTACCATAATGTATTACGTTTGTTGACATACTCCTATGTCATTGACCCATCAAAAGCATTAGTGTTTTAAGTGTTTGTGTGTGTTTTGGATGCAACGGGTACTTTCCCGAGGGTCCAACCGTGAAGACTCGCAAGTTTAACACTGACGTTTCGGTGGAGAACGTCACGTAAACAATGAAGAGTTTTTTTTTTCTCTTATTTTCTATTAACAGTCTCGAACAATAGTCCCAGTTTTTTGAAACAAAACACCCTCGGAAGATCGACAATTAGGCCAGAGCCATCTGACGACTTTGGCCCACGTACTCCGTACTCCGTACCCCATAGTGTGTACTCCATATCTTGGCCTGGACTTAGTGTGATAGTTACGTGTCTGTGTGGCGAGATTGACATTCTAGATCCGACGCATTTTCGTCGGATCTCCCGCAGCCCTGAGCCCTAGATAGGACTGGAGTACTTGTACAGTTGGGCCGAATCGCCCTGGAGGTTCACGCCATATTGGATGGCGTCATGTGTAGAACCCTTGGAATCCTTGGAATCACACACTACGCCATTAGGGCCTACCTTATGTGAAGTCTGGAGAGAATCACGCCAGATCCGACCCCCTCCGGAGATATGCACCCTGCGCTACTGCAGCTCATATGCAATAACCTTGGAAGTCGATATCTGTGCGTTTCAGGATACTTGATACCTCTAGACCACTTCATAGTCCATACTCCATACTATTGTAGGTCTGATCTAGAATCTCAAGTGGATATATTCGACAAAGCACACACAAAAAAGGAAAACAAAAGAAAACAAAAAGACAACACAGATAATTATAGAAAATATTCAATGTCACATTGACAATCTAGAACCATTGCGTGTTGGTGGAGCCAAGTACCCGGGAAGCACACGGTCTAGACGTGATCGTCCAGAGGTGTGAGAACGTGCTCATCAACCCCCATTAATTCTTTTGTATTTATATTCCATCTCCCAGTCGTGTCACCACTCATCTCAAAATTAGACAAACGATCTAATTACACCTACATCTACATCTACACCTACATTTACATTTACATCTACAAGGTATGCCAAGATATCCTTATCTCCCCCCACTAAGCATGCAAAGATAACCCTCTCGGGTTGTCCGTGTGTGTGTGTGTCATACAAAGAAAGACCCTAGAGGGACATGGCTAACCTTATCAGCATCTTTATTTGCCCTTGGGAACCTCGCCCTACTTCATTAGACATACATACCTCACGTCTTTCCTGTTCTCGACATTTCTGTCTCTGCACCGGCCCGGTTTCATTCCCGAATCGTGATATAATCCCTCAGTCTGTGCTCCCTAGGGGCTCTTTGTGCTCCACACTTGATACTTCACGATAAGAGGCATTTACATTCACCGCCATGACTCAAACTCCTTCACACCGTCGTTCCCCTTCTACTCCTTATACCAAGTCCAAGGCCTCTCGTCCAGTCTTACATCGTCGAGGGACCTCCAGTGCCACAGTCACTATCTCAAAGTTGGGCTCAGGGAAGGATCGGGGAACAAAACCACCCCCAGAGGAAGTCGATATGGCAAGCTTTTTGAACTTTTGGTATGTGATCCGTCCTTTCTTATCTCTGGATCCCTGCATGGGATTCATATACATCATTCACATGCCTGCCATCACCTGTGTTGCACCCACCGGTCTTTGTGCTATCAAAACAATGGAAACATAAAAGGCTAACCCTATTCCCAGTGCTATGTGCGAAAACCAGATCACAACACCCAACAACTCTATCCTATACTGTAGCGAAAGGTATGTGGCAATTGATCTATATTTAGGGGTCTTGGATCCCGCCCAGTTCCCAATCTGGGTGGACTCATGGGACCTGCATGATACTTCGAACTATATACTAATACATCCTTTCAGCTGCCGCCGCAAAGACTCTTGCAAACCTCTCTCAGCATCTCTCCCTTCTATGTCCACTATGTCCACAACACCTCCAGCATCACCTCCTCTCTCCCCACGCACCATCGTGGCTCCAATGACTCCCACCCGGGTTCCCTCCGGGAGTACTGGCCTCACCCATGATGCCAAGTCAGATCTTGACCCCACTGAATGGAAGCCCGTGTTACAGCGCAGCAGCTCGTCTCTCGCCTCCTCCGATGCCTGGAACTACCTCTCCCAGTTCCACGGCTCAATGCGGCCCAGCATCCACCGCAGCTCTTCCAGTCTGCCTGCCCTGGCCGGCAACGGCAGCGGTCACAGCCACAGCTCCAACCACAGCCGTGTGCCCTCGTTGACCAGCACGCCTTCCGTGGCTTCATCCTTCAGCAGCACCGCCTCTGAATACCTGGGCAGCATCCATGAGTCCCGCCCACTGCCCCCACGCCACAACCCCTACTTCGCAGGCACCAGCATGTCCAAGGGCGTCGAGCTGGTGGTCCCTCACATTGCGGTCACCGACGATCTGGATCCGGTTGGCCTTTCCGACAGTGGTTCCATCTTCCCTGCCAGCAGTGCTGTCTGGGAGGATAGCACTGAGCGCTCCAAGCCCATCACCATGACTCGGTGATTCGATGGCTGGCTCCGTCGAGAAAAGCAAGAAGCATATCTCATGCGTTAAGAACGGGAACATTTCCTTGCTCTGATTTCTACACTGCGTTAATTTTCGATTCTCACACTTTCACCCCCTTTTCAATTCTTCGGAACCCCTTCATGGACTCAAGCGATGCGATTTATAGCGAGGAAAACGATATGATGGATTTTACTTTATTACCTTTTATTCCCTACCTTCTCGGAGAGAGCGGCCATAGATTTTTCTTAATGCGATATATGTGGCATTTAGACCAAATGAATTTTTTGAATCATCAATTTTGTCCCATATTCATAATTACTCCAAAGCCATACTCTTGATCAGGCAAGTCTCTCCATATTTCGGTAAATCTCCACTTACCCCGTTTGCAACGGGAACTTAGTGCCGAATCTGAACCACTTGGTCTATGCTGACTTGGGGCAAATGATGAAAATAGATTCTGGCCTAGACATACGCCACTGTCTCGGCTTGTCCGAGATTTGCTTGTGTCAGGCTGATTTTCAAAGTCGCTGCTTCACTGCTTAGAGGGCGCTTGGCTAAACTGTTCTCAATGAGTCAATGAGTCACCGCAATATGTTCTCAGAGTCATCAGTTATCGTCGCTGGCAATGTTGTTCGGGTTCCACACAGTGTCTACAAGTGGAATCAGACGGCAACCCACCTTCTCAGGAGAAGTACTAGTAGGTATAATTAACGTCCGGCAGGTGTAGAGGCGTAGCCTCTGTTCCTACAACTTCCCTAGGGATATTGGGAGGTGCAAAGCTATGGTCTTATGTACGTGAATAATCTCCGCCACTGAATGCAACTCCAGCCGTAGCTTTAGTTGATGCATGGTTTCTCCTGTCTTCTCTATGTCGGAGGGGGCGTTGTATCTAGGAGAAGTGGACGACTGAAAGGGCTAATTTGGAGACCAAGAAGGCTGTCACCATGAAGTGAATTGCTTGATGCAAGCCAGACTGGGACCGAGGCCGACATCAGGCACTTGCAAAATGTGATGGTTTGCTACCATTATAATGTTTGATTTCCATGAACACCACCAGATTCGAGTCCGCAAGATCACCAAGGTAGAGATAGCAGCCATGCACAGCAAAGCATCGAAGTCTGCTGAGGAACGCGGAAAACCAAGTCTCATCATCTCAGCTTGTGGTCGATTTGGATCAAGCTAGAGAGGAACCCCGTACTGGGACCAGGAACCACCACCAGAGCCGACATTGAGCGAAAGATTTAAGAACATACCGTAACAAGCCCACTCTCACGTCAAACATTGAGATGCGCAAACAAGACCATCAAGAGACTGCATTGCCCGGCTGATTCGAGAGTACACTCGAGACCAAGAAAAGCTTTGAGACAGTTTGAAATTTCACATGCTGGACGACGAGCAGGCATCCCTTGGGGAGAAGCTTCGGAAACTGAACCAACTGCATGTCAAGTCTGAAGACAAGTTCAAAGGCTTGCATCGACCGGGAGTACAGCCGACGCGCAAATTAGGGCTTCCTTGGCAAATCAAGTAGGTGGATCTTCGACACTCACGCCAATACCAACAACAATGCCACCCTCAAGGTAGCTGGATTGGACTAGCTCATTAGACAAGTGGTTGCCTCCTCCCCTTACCCCCAAGATTTATACAGCAGACGGCAAGATGTAACCCGCATTTACCATAACGAGACCGCGTGGGATATCACTTGCAAGTACGGGAAGTACACGACCAACAACCTACTTCCCCAGCCAACTTGAAAGTCATGTCACCGCAGACAGACATCGGGGACTATGCCATCGACATATCTATTCTAAATGATGTGCATTGGACAGGCGCAACAGTCAATTCAAACCTGCATCAACAATTTGACATACTATTTCATCCATTGAAATACAACCGGCTCTACATACTCATTACTTAAGTAGTCAGAAATTTTCAATAACGACGAAAGGAAGCCTAGCTCAAACCTTCTCAGGTTGGAGGCAGTATGGATTTCTCAAGTTGTTCTCGAAGAAAAGCAAAAAACCCAAACCCGTTTACTCCATACCTCTCCAATCGTCGAGGGAAAGCTATCCAAAACACCCCAAAGCCTCAATATATGAAAGAATCAGAAATCACCAGCAGTGAAACAGCACTGGTAGCACCCCTGCTTCGACTTGTAGACAGACTCAGTCTATGATTTGATTAGCACATACGAATGTATACAATTATCAATGTTACAACTTACACCAGGACCGCTGCACTTCGCAGCATGGGGATTAGCATAGCATCCACCGAAGCAGAAGCTATTTCCCTCATCATTGCCATGCTGCTGGTCGTTGGCGATAGCAGGGGCGATATTATCACCTGGTTGAAGTAGGTCGACGGGTGCAATACCACCTGAATCCTCGGATGGCATGAAATCGCGTGAGTTGATGTTGGATCGGTCATTGGAATCCTGGGATGGGCGAGCAAGGAGTGTGCTAGGGGCTGATGGCTGGTCTCTTCTGAAGAAGGAGCCGGCGATGTCGGTGTTTCCGAGGTTGTTGATGCCGTTTCCAGAGGAGGTTCCGGGGTGGTCGTTGCTGAAGTCTACTTCTGTGTTGCCAACGTTATGCACTTGAGGGTGCGGGCCAAATTGTGGGATGGCATGGGCTGAGGCGAGAGAGGCGCCGAGGAGGAGAGTGAGAAGATTCATTGTGGCCTGGGTTTGGTGGTTGCTGCGTATTGAAGTTGCTGATTGTCGTGGGTTGGTGAGCACTTGGGGTTGAATGTAGGGACAGGCGGCTTATTAGTATCTTTTATGAGGCATTCTTTCCCCAGCCGTTCTTTACAAGGGATTGTGTTTTGCCTCGCATTCCTTGGAGCGGATGTGGAATGCGCGGGGATCATGAATTCCGCGGGATGACAGATAGAAATGGTGGAAATTCATGCCCTGAGTACTGATCACTGAAGATAAAAGCCTATTAGGGTTTGGTCGGGTCAGTTGATGTGATGTTATGCTGGTCTGAGAGAAACCCATAATCAAGAGGTACTTAAGTACGACGTTTACATAGCAACATTTACATTTTAAATGTACATTTTAAATGAATGGAAAAGGGTTTTTGACTGACAATTGGCGGCCAGACAACGTGGTAGATATCACTGAATAATAAAGTGTGGCCAATAATAGCATTTGCATGGCCAACGTTGCAGACAACTCCAGTTTGTATAGAAACCTACATCAATCTGCTCAAGTGCCGTCAAATCTAGCTCCCAGGGCGATGCACGGAACCACGTCAGAAGAGCCATGGTAGATCCACCATCTAGAACCTAGGTCACCATTCACTGGCACGGAGTAGGCAATGACCGAGTAGTGACTCGCTCTTGTGCTCACAAGATGTGGAACCTTTCCACAGAGTGGAAATGGCCTGTGTGGACAGGGGTGACCGCTTGTACAGTCTACGGTGTATGGGTGGGAGTATGAGGGTCGGTTTCGGGATACGAGACGGTGATGTCAACACGTTCATGCTAGCCCCGTGACCTGTGGCGCCTCGAGGATCCAGGTCAGCTTTGTTATCTCTTTCTTTCTATACAGGGTCAGCTCTTGCGGGTGAACGGTCCGTCCGGGTCAGTCGGAAATCGACTGTCTGGTATGGGGTGATTATTGAGACAGGTTTGTATGAGGGTCAATTGGCGGACCTGGCTCCGAAGAGTGGTTTTCTGACGGCTCAGTCATCGTTGGATTCGAATGCAGGGTTGAGGCTGGCGCGTTTGTTTGGTGGAACCCCCAATAGCCTCGCCAGGAACTATTTTCCCTTGGGGGTGGGCCCAATCGGCGGCACGGGGTGAAGAGTAGGGCTTGCAAGGCTTCCTTCCTCTTCTAATGAGAAGACTCTCCCACCTTGTCACCTACTTGCTAGTCGTACACATCCCCCACGGGGATGTTTGGGTACTATTGAGGCTTAGCTCACTGGATTTGGAGCTTTATACATCACTCGGTGTCAGGGGCCGTCAAGGAAGAGGCCAAGGGGTTGGGTATGACGGGAGACTGGTTCACGAACAATCGGGCTTGAAGGTCTGCTTTGCTCCTTGTCGTCGACCTTTCGTTTCTCCCATTATACATCATCACCGACATTGAGAGAGCTTGATGCCAATGAAGGATCAACGGAAGGCACTGCATAGTCCTCTGATGAGATAACCACGCCAGGGCAGCTTACCGACCGTGTTTGAGTGAATGACTGAGAGCAGAACGAGCATTTCAAACCCCATGTAGCGATCGAAAGCAGCGGCATCCAATCTCGAACGGCAACGAAGAAGCAAAACGAAGATACTCACCCGATCGAACACACTTTTGGCGAATAGTAGGAAGGTCAACATTGCCACCCACCCGGTCACCTGCTAGCGACGATCCAGCATCGACAAATGAACCAATTCGGCCATATCAAACCAGTTCAGATCAGAATCGAAACGGCCACCAGCACATCCGTCCAAAGCCCAAGGTTTCCAAGCCGCATGACATGAGCCCGGGCCTGTGCGAAGCATCCAGCATGGACTTCACATCCAACGACCAGGAAGTCAGAACACTACTGATAGCTATCCCAATGATCTCGAGATTCTCCCCACCGGCGATGCATACCGATGATAGCCCACGAGCGTCCCTTTAACCAGATCAACAACAACACCAACGACCCAGTCAACGATGCGAGACTTCAGGTCAGTGTGAGCCATCAAGGGCAATGTTCAGTCATGTCCTAGGCCCTCTTTTGATGTCTGCTGTCTTCACGTTCATTGTAACGTGGCGTAGTTTGCAGGTTCAAAATGAGACCTCAAGCCGACACGTTTTCTCCAGTGACACACACCATGAAGAGGACCATCATGATGGCCTTCTCGGAATCATGATCGAATCTTGATACGCGGCGATCTTATCAATCATACGTGTGACGACTTTCGGGACCATGGCGGGCTCACAAATGCGTTATGCATTTGGTCGACATAATCCGGGATCATGATAGCATTGGATTGATGAGGGCTTGTCGCGCCAA